GGGTGCTCACTGCTGTGTACAGAAAATCCCGTTAAGGAAAGAGGATCTGATATAATCCATGCATTAAATCCATAGACAAACGATGTAGTACTTTTTGACATTCCAGCAATGATTACGTCCCATGTAGATATCGGCATATGAGTCGATACCGTTGCGACATCCAACTTATTGAATGCGTGCACTATCCGCCATCCTCCTGTGGTCTTGCGTACATATACGGTCGGAGAGCTGTGATAAGAAGCTGACTCCCCCACATGACCCGCATCTAAACAATCGGCACATAACTTATTGATTGCTAGTACTGCTCAAAGGCAGTGACCACTGCTTCATGACACAGTACTTCGAGCCTGGTTTGAGCTCGATTTTCGTGTAGATTACGTCTGTCATTAGGCAACTCGCATGGCACGGATTCAAGGAACACGTCCTAGAATTCGATCAAATCCTTAATAATAAGATTTGCCTGGAGCGACTCTTAAGATTGAGAAGTGTATCGCTCAATCCGAGTCTTCTATTCTAAAATACTCCCGTTCATTGATAAGCTGCTGAAAACCCGTTCGTTCTCGGCAAATACCACTGCCGACCGAATTTTGGACACGTACTCGTCCCCCGTGACGAGTACACCAATCTGCCTGACCTTGCCACTAGGCAGATCTTGCAAAAACCTTATCGATTCTAGCGTAGGAAATCCAGCAATCTATAAAGTCAACTTTGGAGGCGCTATCCTATCGAATGTATAAGCTCCTTCCCTAGCCCCGTCATTAACCGAACATTCAATTTATCAGTTTGCCCTTAGAACTCTTTCCACATGCTGCTGAGGACTTACCCCCTCAGTCTGAAAGGGTATTGTTACCTCACTAATACCTGTTTGATGGATTTCTTCCTCAAGTAAGTAAATACCTTTTCCCTCGACGTCTTCTATCTGTGGTTGCGATACCACAGCTAGGTCCTCTACGATCGAAATGACAGCTGATCTGGGATCATCTTTTTGCCTTCTGTGAGCAAAATTTTTGCTCTTCTTTGGATGAGTCCCGTTAGGCATGCACACATTTCCCAATCCACTAGACTTCTTCGAGTGGTGGACCTTCGGCGCTGTCTGTGCAACCGCATAGCCGCCGGCAGCTCCCTCCACAGTGTAATTAGTTGTCACACTATGATCCTTTGCAGTATTATTAATGGACGTACCGCAAGTGAGGCCATCGCACTCACTCGCAGTACATCTACACGCTTGTGGACGCTCCAAGACGTTCATCAGATGGCAATCTGATGAACTAGTGGCAGGCATCTTCGCGGCTCGATACTGCCAGCTGACCCTGGATTCGTACTTCAAGAAATAAGGCAAACCTAGATTGACATCAAATCTGTCAGTCAAATCAAATACGATAAAATTGTCATCGTACTGAAAATCTTCTAGCGTGTAGCGAAGTTCCACTACACGTTTTATCGAATTTGTTGATGAGCATGTTGCTAGGCGCACCTTCATCCTCTTTGGGGGGATATCTCGCTCAACAAATTGAGCCTACGATCCTCTAGCGACTGGCGACGAAATAAGTTGTTTGACGCCCTACAGTATACTAGGGCACGAAGTGACAATTCATTTTCCACTTTAAAGCTAAAGGTGATGAGGGGTACATCGTCACCAAGTGCAGAGACACCTTTTGATTGTGAGTCTGGAGCAACTTTCATTAACAGCTTTACAAACTCTGTTGAAGTTGCTGGATCGATAGGGCGCTCCGCCCAACTGACCCTGGCCGTTTTTACGGTCCGCCATGCTTTTGAGACTTTTCAAGAGCGTCGGACCCACTTCCATTTCCCTTCTTGGTGGACGATCGATAACTTCGTTCAGTATTTTAGGATGCTGGGCATGAGCACTACGCTCGTAGGCGTAGTGCCCTAACTTCTGACATCGATTACACTTTTACATCGCTTACCGTGTTCACAGCGGGTTCTCTCGCTCTCAACACTGCACAGGTTATTGTTTTTTAGCCTGTCGAATCTACTCGTCTCGAAGGACAAAAGGGTGTCAAGCTAGTGTGATCCTGTCTCACACTAAAGTCGTCTCGCAACGCAGTTGTTATCGCTTTTCTCGAGCGACTTCAACTCGATGCTGAATAGGTGGTTTCTTACGGGACCATCTATAAGGCCCTGTAAGAATATCGTGATCAACACGAATTTACTTATATATTTTGCTGCCATGCAACATGCAAGGTAACGAACGTGCTGAGCGTTAGCGTGAACGTCACGCTTACCTATTTTATCTTTAGGAGCAATAAAAAGTCCTGAACTCAGCTCTTGGCTCAATTTTTGGATGAACATATTCTTAAAGACCGTCAACGATCCAAACCCGTTTGGACCGTGCTAATGATGATGGCTCACAAGTGCAACCAGGTGTAACAGGACACCAGAGCAACACACTGGACAATCAGTGTGGAGCTACTACCTAAGACAACACCGTGAGTGATGCCTCGCTACCTCTGTAAAATACGCAGAGGAAGGGAGAGCAATTAGGAACTGACTAGCTGCTGGTAAAAGTAAAATTGTATATAACAAATTTAAAGTATTGTCTATTACACCTCACTATTTACTGAATACATACATAAACCGCACCCGTAGAACACCACAATGCGGTATGTACGACGAGTATCGCGCCCACCTACCCCTTTACGTCCACTTTCGCACATCAAAGTCTGCATCTGTCGTACAAATGGTGAGTCTTTATCAGTAAATCTCGTATCTGCAAACTGACCGAGTCAAAAGCACTTTGAGCACGTAAACAGTCCCCTCAGACCGTCACGCGCTATTGTATTAGAATTTATATAGACATTAGCAAGCACAAGTGAACAAAATCAAGAGGAAAAACAAACTGCCGTGCGTGTTTAGCATCTTGTAGGGTGAAAAGTACGACCTCGTCGTATGTTGCTCCAGTAATTTAAGTATTTACTACATATTCGGTTCGGGACTAAAAGGGAAATAGACCGAATACAAGACTCGTGTTGAGGCATCTGGTTACTAAAGACCTTACACAACAAATCGAATGATGGATATCGGTTACGTGTCGTGCTGCTGAACAATCACTTTATGATTGGACCGATAATGGCCTGGTCATTACGCATATCCAGTATAGACTCGATCAAGACTGCGTATAGCTGTATAGTACAATTTCTCGCTCTTGGATGTAAGACTCGCTGTGACGTATGTATCCGACGACGCTCGGTGAAACGTGAACCACTCTTTTTTATTTATTTTGCCTTTCTCGACTGGACCATGGCTGCCGCCATTTATTAAAAGTCAAATAGCAACCCAGATGCATCCGAAATGTATTGATGAGTGCTTGTGTTTATTAGTCGATTTGTTTACGAAAGTATAGAGCCTCAACGTCTATTGCGGGCTAGAAGAAGTTTTTTCGGTAAGTAACTTACCATTTGTACGACAAATGCAGATTGCTGTGCGAAAGTATTCGTACAGAGGTGGGTGGGCTCAGTATTCGTCGTACATACCACATTGTTGTGTTTTGCGGGTGTGGTTAATGTGTGTATTTAGTAAAAAGTGGGGTGTATTTAACAATACCCTATTATCAAGTCCTAATCATTGACCCATGTCAGAGTTTGTACTCGACTAAATTTAGCTACGGAAATGTACGCTTTAGTCTTTCTCACCGCTTGTTGCGCGCGTCCATCGTTGATTGGACCGCTAGGGCTGGCTGATATGATTACCCATATCCACCAATCGGTGAGTGTTGCTGAGTATTACCTCTTATGGTAATATTCACGAATATTATCAACCTTTATGATGCTATTCGAATTAACAAGTGTCAAGGGCTAATTACGTGCAACAGGCTCACCCTGTTACAAGGCCGGTAATAAGTGCTTTGCAGTGACACCATCTCCACTCGTCTCTTGCAGCAACAACCCGATAAACAGAGCGTAAGTCATAGGTTTTAGCACACATCCTAGTACGAACGCTGGCTATAGTGTTGAAGGAGATTTACACGTGGACAAGAAAGGGGTGAGATGCGGCTGACGACACTGTCTGTCGTTTCGGTCTGGTCAACCAAGGTGTTGTACTGCAACCAGCCGATTGAATGGTGGTGAAGCTTACAAGCTCGAACAGTTTACTGGTAGGCTAAAACGTAATAACAGAATCCATTTTACCACTGCGCACAAAGTTGAACATATAGCGTATGTGTCACCGGGCACCTAGCTTATACTGACCACATTGTAAGCTTAACTGCACTGATTACAAGTGATGCGGAACCTCAATACACGATTGTGCTGAGGAAGCGGCAATTGGCGGACGAGCACATCGATCGAATGAAAAGGCACGAATTTATTTAGTAGAGTTTATTCTTTCGCCAATCAATCTTGTTTTAATCTTTTCTTTACTATGCTGAATTCTAATTTGTAGTACAACGAATGGTAACCACTCATCGCGTTCGTCTGTTGTGACGTGATCATATCAGTTGATATCGTGGCCCGTGCTAACCCAGTGAGCAGTGTTGCTAGCAGCAACGGAATGTTCTCTGATAAAAAACATTCCGAAACATTTGAATAGCTGTTCACCTATGTCAATATCATAATACGGGCTCCCCTCTTACATTATGACTTCTGTAGTCGTTGCGTTCTGCTGTCGACTCGAGATTGTGTGCAAGTTATGGCGGACTGGTAAGGTGCCTTTGCTACAGATTCCATCGATCGTTGTGGTACTTGCTTCGCTTTTGTACGTTCGCTCGATGTGTATGAGGGCGTTGAAAAGGTAGGCCAGGCTGTTCGCATGGTGGTGTAATTGCCCATACGGCAGATGACATACCACGATAACACACCGATTGCAACTGCATAGACGGCAGACGATATTTCACCGCAACACATCGACTGCAACTGCTTTCTTAGCGTACTCCCTCCGACCCAGTCCTTTGAGGCAATCAGACACGCTACATCGGTGCCGGATTCAACGTGGCCAGAACGCTGTTCGAGTTGACACTGGAAAACCTAGGTCGGACGTGGGTCCTACAGCTTGCTTATCAAACTCCGATTGTGCGAAGCGATACACGAGTACACAGGGTCGGCATGCTGCTCTTCCACGTCAACGTCGCCAATACGCTCCCCTTCCGCCACGAAAAGTGTGCCAACTTGCTGGCCGTCTACAATCCGCAGCAACGCTCCTTCCTCCGCTTTGGCAATGACTGCAGCCTGGACAGCGCCACTATCGACAGCACGAATGCAAGAGTGCAGCTTGTCAATCTGTCCGACCGCTCCGACACGGCTCTCGGTTGCAATGACCTGTTTGTCGCCGCGCCTGAACCTTGACAGCAGCTGTCGAGCCACCTCCGTGCCTGTGAAGATTCCGTCCACGTCCGTGATCACAATCATCAAGTCCACCATCAGTTCTTGGGCAAATAGTGCCGCGAGCGAGTCATTGTCCCAAGCTATTTTGTTCTCATCCATCAGTGGCGTCGTGCGCCGAGTAATGACGTCGTTCTCATTGATCACAGGGATGATACCCACGTCCAGCAACGCACGGACTGTGCGTTGCAAATTGGCTCGGACCTGCGGCTCCTTGAAGTCGGCGTCCGACGCCAGCACCTGCGAACAAGCCAAGTGATACTGACCAAAGAGCATTTCATAGAGACTTTGTAGCCCGCTCTGCCCTGCAGCTGCACACGCTTTCTCGTCGAAGTTGGCATTGTCGACCACGTGACCCCCAAGGTGCGACTGCATGGAGCCAGAGAGCAGGTACTGACGGTGGAGTACCATCTTGCCGATGGACACGGATCCACTGGACACGAGAATGATCTCGTGTCCTCTCATGTGCAGCGTGGCGATCTGCTCGATGATGTTTCCAATATGTCCCAAGGCCAGGAGACCTTGAGGCGAGTGTACGATCTCAGTGCCGATTTTTATGAGAATCGTACGTGCTCGGCGCAAGTCGCGGCCGAGCTCCCGTCTCTCGAGCGGACGGGTGGTCATTGTTTGAAACGACAAGTTGTGGTGATGATGGTGATGGTGGTGATGCGACGGTTGGTTTACGCTGGACACGGAAAATTGAATAGTGCCGACTTTTCAACGCGACAAGGACGTGGCGGTATCAGCTTCAAGTTCAAGAACAAGAAACAGTGCGACACGGCACTGACCGTTTGTTCATTTTCTTGTTTCTACACAAGAGACAGTACGACTTAGAAATAAGGTATCCGGATAAGAGGACATTGCGTCGTCGCGTCTTTTGGCGCGGACAGACGGTCACTCTAGCACCGTATAACTGCGATATACCTGTCGTGTGTGAACCTGTATGACTTGCATGTGCCTGCATGCGTACGATAGGGCAAACCAGATCACGCATAACTATCGTCAAGGGTGCGCAAATTGAGCCTCAGGTGTATTGGCCTGACAGAGCCGCTTCAAGTTTGTCGTGGCCATGACCACAAGCATTTGATTCCAAGCAATTAGCATAGCACCACTAACAAATGGCATCGAGCGCTCTACTGAACACTCATGCGATTGTTTCGCCCACTTTCTTGGCCGCGTCTTGCAGTGAGCGCAACTTCATCTTTTGCTCACCGTCCAGTAGCTCTTGGTCCTCGATAGACAGCTCCTGACCAAAGCGGGTCTTCTTCTGGTCCATAGTAGCCGCGTACTGCTCCCACTCGCGCAGAAACAGCGGCACGAACTTGGGATCTGCGCTCTTGTGTCGCTTGAATTCATCGCGAACGTACTGGTCTCCGAGCACGCGCATGTGCGGCTTCAACTGGCGTCGGTGCAGCGTCAACACGCGCTTATACAGCGCCAGCACCTTTGTTCGGTGCGTCATGCTACCGTCAAGTCGAGAATAGCGTGGGTCACACACATTGGTTCAACCCGCGCTTATTCACCGCCACTTTGTCCGGTGCAACATGTCACTGTCGAGTCAAGTCGAGAATAGTGTGGGTCACACACACTTTTCATCATCGCGTATGTTGCTCGCAAGTTGCGCAACTGACTGCCCCCGTCCCGCGTCTGTTGACGAATGCGGTCCAAGCCGAACATGACCCTCGAGTCGTGGCTCTTTGGCGACGACAAGTCAAGCGACGAGGGGTCTACTGTCCCGAGCAGCCGCTCGCCGTTCAGTACTGGACGTCCGAGTCCGGTGTCCCACGCAGGTCTTCGAGACTCCATGACGGACACGAGCGCTCTTCCCAAGCCGATGGTGCCCGTGAGTGTAAAGTTGCGGCGGCTTTTCCGCCCCTCGAAAATGCAGTGGAAGCGGCCAGGAGCAGGAACGGGACTGACTCGACTGGACAAGCAGCAGCAAGAACAGCTCCGAGGTATCTGCTCGATCGAGGGTTTCCAGCAGTTCCAGGACCACGTGCCGTTCACACTGCAGGAGATTGTTAAAGACCCGAGGAAATTGCCGTATTTGCTGCAATGGCTCTTGGTAGACGCCGACGTTTCGGATCATGTTGAAAGACGCGGCAATTACCATCAGGTGTTGCTGTTTCTCATGGAAATTGAACAGCTACAGACGGTTAATGAGAGTAAACGACGTGAGCAGGCGCACAAGATCTGGCTCAAGTATATTGACAAGACGTCCGAGTTTCAGATTGCGACGACGCTCGAGCTCACGTCTGATCTGGAGCAGCTTGTCAAGGACAAGATTGATGAGACGGACAGGGTTCACGACAGTTTCTTTCCGATTCAAAAGCTGGCATACATGCGGCTGACCCACGAAGAAATGCCAAGGTTCCTCAAAAGCGACGAGTATCTCAAGATGCTCATTGACACGGAAGATGGATCGAGAAGAATCTCAATTGAAAAAGTGCTGCAGCAGCCGCGAGCAGCGCACTATTTTCTTCTCTTCCTGATGCAGACTCGACAGCATTTCGAACTCTACTTTTGGCTACATGTCGAGTACGTGCTCAATCCTTTGCTGGAAGAAGCAAATGACGCGTTGTTCTGGCAATTAGCGCACGTACTCGTGGACAAGGCGCAGAAGGATTCGCAGGCCATCACACTTGCGACCAAAAATGATTTGTATCTGGCGGTAGCCAGTCGTCGCCTTGACGAGAAACTCCAGCAGCCACAACCTGTGGCCAAAGCGCTATTCGTCAAGGCACAACAAGAGATTTTTACGATGTTGCAATCCTCGTGTTTTGGCCGGTTTATCAAGAGCAATCTTTACAAGGTGGCGCTACAGGACGCGCTCATCCACTTCGATCTTGTCGAGAAGTATAAAGATGGTTCGCCTACGAAGCTGTTGTCCCGAGCCTTTTCTCCGGTAGAGCACTCGAAGGTACACATAAATGCTGGCGGGTCTGATGGTTCGGTTTGTAACGAAAAACGTAGCGACAACACGATGAAAAAAGAAGATAAGGAAGAGCGTATCGATAGCACGCCGGATGTAGCAGACGACTCGGGCCATGTGGACGCAAAAGACAGAGAAGGAGAGAGTCAGAGGGATTCTGGCGAAAGTGATGGCCGTGCTTTTGATGAAGTTGAGCTAAACCTCGAAAGCATCATACGACTGACCAAGTTGCCCGAAGGCCTTCAAGTACACTACCGACCAAATTACGAGCCTTCCAGCGCGAACGCATCGAACCCTACAGACGTCAACTGCGGTATCGATGCCATTTTGACGTTCGCGACATTTGTAGAGAAACAAGAGGAGGGGAGCGCAGCTGCCACTTTGATGCTTATGCCTGTGTTGAACCCGAGCAGAGATCGAATGCATCATGACGAGTCGATCGATGACGTTTCAAGACGCATCAATACATTTCTTGTGCCGAGCGGTCAAATCCTCATCAACGGGTCGGGAGGTAAACAGTGCCCGGCTGATACGTTGTTCGCGTTTCAACAAAGTGGTCGGAATGGCTTCTTGTTCGGCTCCGTCTACTTGACGTACGAATCGATGCGTGTAGGGTCACCAAACGAGGAGGTCTACGCTGCCAAGGGCTTTTGCTTGCTCTCCCACTTACCGCTTGTGACCTCTATGAGAAGATTGGTGGAAGAACACGTGCGAGCGGCACCGGACCGATCCAGCGTTTTGGCACATGACCGCTTGGTGTTGTTGTTCGAAAGCAGCCTCAAGTGGAAACACACGACTACTACTAGCATCAAGACTCACACGTATGTGCATCCAGACATGCGACGTCTAGCTCGTCGGCATGACAGCGGCATTGTGGGCCAACCTTTGACGTCGCTGGAAACTCAGGTGGACGTTCCAATGGCGATTCTGTTCGAGCAATTTGGTACTGCTCTCGCTCTCCAAATTCTCGCCAGCGCTGTACTTGAGTGCAGTGTCGTGGTGGTGGCGAGTCAGTATTCACTGCTGACAATATGTGCCGAAGCTGTCCGGACCTTGCTCCGACCGTTCTCGTGGTGTCACGTGTATGTGCCCGTGCTGCCGAAGCCATTGCTCTCGTATCTGCAGTGTCCGACGCCAATTCTTGTGGGAGTGCATAGCTCGTTTGCTCGGCGATCCGACCTGCCAACGCGTGGCCTGTATCTCGTCGCTGACGTTGATCGCAAGAGTGTGGAATATGTTGGTGATGAGTCAGTGTCTTGGCGGGGTCTGGGTCTGCTGAACGATGTCGAAGAGGACACCATCTTCTTACCCAAGTGCTTTGAAGATGCGAAGCACGAGCTTGACAGGCTACTGTTCCCGCGCACATTGATGTACGATGCGGTCGGTGGATGTGACGAAGCGCCGCCCGACACAACGAACAGTTTCTTGCCTCATGAACTTTCCCCAAAAACGAAAGCCGAGCAAGAGGAGCAGTTGCGTGGTATATGTTTTGACCTGTTTTCAGAGCTGTTGAGTGGTCACACGAACGCCTGTCTTGTCGTGGGTGACACAAAGGAGTCGGTTGTCATCTTTGACGAGACTGAGTTTCTTGCTACTCGTGCTGAGGTGGAGTTGCCATTTTACCGGATGCTGCTGCGCACTCAGTGCTTCTCGGAAATCGTTAGCGCGCACCGGATAAACATGAGCTCAAGAGAGAGGGGCTCAGAAGTTTCGAACACAGATGAAGATGTGCAGGAAGGAATAATTTAACCGAAGTAGAACAAGCCGGCCTCAAGCGAATTGAAATCCACATCGTGCCTTGCACGGCTGGCATTTAAATGTTAGGCCTGAGATACATCAGCGTCGTGAATGGGCGTGTTTTTTGCAGCACGATTCTTTTTCGCTGGTGTGCCCTCCATGCACACGTCGTCTCCAGTAGTGCGAGCTCGCTTATTTGGCTGCGCGTCAGCATCCGCAGGGATCACATCGTCTTGGCTACCATCAATGTTCGCAGCGTCCATTCCAGCAGTGACCACCGTCGCGGGTCTATCGGTTCTCTCTACTTCTGCACCCTCATGTGCAGTAGACACTTCGACAACAACGTCAATAGAACCGTCCGCATTACTGTCATCCAGCTCGTCAGTCGTCTGCCTATTGGCGGACTGCCGAATTTGACATTCACGGCGTGAATGTGTGCTATCCGCTATCATTCGAGTATCCTCTTTACATTGGCCTTTGCGGGCGTCATCGTTCAATGTAGAAGTGGTCTCACTTGACGACTCTGCGTGTAGACTTACGTCGTTCATCGCATCATCGGGAGCTGCAGCACTACTGCCTGTAACACTGGTCGTAACATACGATCCGTGTGTAGCACTGGCCGCTTGTAACGGATCCAGCGGGGCTTGCACCCGACCCTGTAAAAGCAAGTCATCATCGCTTTCATCGTCACTTAGGTCGGCCCCACGGCGTAGGCGACGCCTCGGGTAAGCTTTATCGAGGGCCTTCTTCTGCCTGGCCTGTCCTCCATCTTGTTCGACATCCAAGTTGCTTTGCTCATGCTCATCGGATAAGTCGCCGTTCTCCTGGTGGAGCTTCAGATGTTCTACACGGCGCTTTATCTGCTCCGACGTTCGATCACGCTCCTGGAACATGTCCTCACATGAAATGACATCGTACACCGACGGCAGGTGACGAAACTTCATGAATACCTTTGCCAGGTAGCGGTCCTCAACCTTACTCCAGTTTTCGGCACGCTCTATCGCTGCTCGTGACACTGACGTCGTCCTCTCCTGCTTCGATTTCGCAGCAGAAGCAGACGCACTCAGTGATAAATCCATCGAAGCACACTCCGTCTCAATCTCGTCGTCCCCTATATCTTTCCTATCCAGAAGCGATGCCGAGTCAAAGTCTGATGGTCCCAAAGTAAACTGAAACTCAGCCTCTCCCTCAAGCTCTTCATGGTCTAAAGCCGTTCGATGTCGTCTCGATTCATTCGTCGCTTCAATTCCATTCTCTCGGCCTAATGCAATTGCCTGCGATTTTGACTTGCTCATAGAATCGATCGGGTCGTAACTTCGCTGAATTAGCACGCATGATTTTGAGGGGTACGTTTGGCGCAAGAGAACTTCCACAAACAGCAAATTGTTCTTGTCTGCAAGCGTGAAGAAGTCGCGCACGACGCCGCGGATGAAGTCCAGGAGATTTTTGTACTCGGGCAGACGCTGAATATACGTGTCCTGAAGCATCTTGTTGAACAACAGGAGGACGTGGATGTTGAACAACATTGGCTGCATCGTCCATTCCTCTTGCTGATGAACTTTGAACAGCTTTGTTCGGTACAAAAACGAGTGAATGTAATGATTCACTTTTGCGCTGTTCTCACGGTAGTCAGCCAGTAACGAGCAGTACATTCGAACAGTGTCGGCTGAAACCATGCTGGCAAAGTACCTCCGCACGTCAAAGTCGGCCTCTTTACGCTGCATTTCCATCAAGACCTGCGCCTGCTGCTCGGTTTCCTCCTCATCCGTCACACTGCCATCTGAACCTTCGCCGTCTACATCACTCTGCTTCTTCTTTTGACGCTTCCTTTATCGGTAACCAAAAGCAAACACAGCAGCAGAACATGTCAGCGCGTACCAAGTGTGCTACCTCATTCACGCGTTTTGCTTACAGGTCAAGGTATGCTTTTCTTCGTGAAAGGACCTTGATAGTTCCTTGTGCGTCGAGTACTTTCAGAACAAGCTTCGAACACAGGGAAAAACGGACAACATACGAGTTAGATTGTCCGCGCACCAACAGTCAATTCGCACCTACATGAGTCAGGGTGACGACATCGACAACGTACGCCTTGGGGAAAAGACCCGGAGACCACGTTTTTAACAGCACCGGCAATCGATCGAGAAAATCGCGTTCATAGAAAATCTTGTGTTGCAGCGAGTCTGCGATACGCTGAAAACGGAGGTCATCGCTTGCGGCAAGCTCAGCAAGATACGCCATCATCCCGGTCAAAAGCTGGACGGCAACAGTCATGCCATGATAGTTCTTCATGGTGGCATAATTTTCGATCGACTGGAGCACAAAGTTGAAGGAAAACATATCCAACGTAGACAGCACAGCTTTCTCACCATAGTCCGGCTTCTCAGGTGCCGAGGACAGAGGCGTAGTCAGATCGGAAGCGTTTCGAAGTCCAGCAACTGCTGGTTCCTGCACTGCTTTCAGCTGACGCTTGTAGTGCGACTTCAGCGTCTGGATCTTAAGTCGGTGATAAGTAGTGAGAAACCAGACGAGATGGAAATACTGGAGTCGGTCCGTTGCAATCAATTTGCTGCTTCCTCGACGGAACTCCGTTTTCAACGAGTTCGTGAGCTGGAAGTAAGACTTGGCTAGGATCGAGTCGCAAATGCCTTGAAGCACCTGCATCGTACGTCTAGCAGAATCACAACAACACAGTCGCACGGTCAGCTTAACCAATCATCCAGGTAGGTAATCCAGTTAACCCTCCACCAAACAAACAAACAAACGCCTACTCGTCAGAGTCAGTCACTTTTCCCTTCCCGCTAAAAACCTCGTGGATGTCAGCAGCGATAGCGGCACTTTTCTTTCCTCTCCTCCGCGACGTTGGCTTCTTTGCTACCTGCGGCACCTGGTCATACGCCGGTTTCGAAAAGTCAGACACCACTGTCGATCGTCCAGTCGGACCGACCACCGTCAGCACGCCACCAAAGTTGGAATGGCGACGCAAGCTCAGCGGGTGGATCCCCGACGCTTTCTTTTCGTTATTGAGCTTGTCCAGCAGCAAATGCCCTCTCCCCCATCGAGGTGCTGCACAAGACCCGCCACGAGACACCGTCGTTTGTGCTGCTTGTTCCGCGTGGGCACCATCGTGTGCGCTACGACCGAGACTGCCCCCCGTGAGCTGCTTCTTTGCATACGCAGCAACAAACTGCGGCTGCGAGCAGGCAAGCGTGAGGTCGAGCATCTCCATGAGCAGCAGATTCCACTCCCGGTTCTCCGCCGAGTCAATGTCCTGCGCAAAGAGCAGCAGCATCTCGTACACGCTCTCGTCGTGCAACGTCCGGATGAGTTCCTCCTGCAAGTGGCTGAAATGCGCCGTCGTCGACGTCACGTACCGCGGATCTTCGTCTGGAATCGCCAGCAGATTCCGAAGCAACATGAGCACGATCTCCATGTGGAGGTAGTCACTGGACGTGCGCGCCGCGCCTTTCCTCGAGAGCGGGTGGACAAGGATCGCCATGAGGATCGGCACCACTTGGAGCCACAGGAACTCGTGCTTGTACTGGCGCAAGTACTGCAGCTGCTGCGCAATGTGGCTCGAGTCCCGCGGCGGTTTCGTCGTGAGCATCACGAGCACTTTGAGGATCGAAAACACGAGCGGCCAGTCGTGCTGGTGGTGCACGAGCAGCGGCAACAGCTTCTTCTGCAGGATCTGCCACTGGCCCAGCTGTTTCGCCACGAGCCGGTGCGTCGCGTGGTCGCGACGTACCGCGCGCTGCAAGTCGTGGATCCACTGCTCGCAGTCTTCGCCACGCATCAACACGGGCGCCTCGCCCTCTTGCGACACGCGCAGCATGCCCAGGTTCGAACACACGAGCAGCAGCTCATTCAGCATGGCGTCGTCCAGCGATGGCTCCGGCGCGGAAGCCGAGTCGCTGTCGGACAGCGACAGGTCAGCGTCCTCGACCAGTTCGTTGCCGCCGGTGACCATGAGCACAAAAGGAAAGGAAACGAGGTCGGTGGAGTGCGCACTGTGAAAGGAAACGAAGCGGTTGGAGTGCGCACTGCGAAAGGAAACGAGGTCAATGGATGCGCACGGCGAGGGACATCAACTCGAGCAAATGTGGTGGCAGAGCTGGTGTGGTGGGTGCACTCGTTTATATACGATTTCACCTCGCCAATCACGACAGTGCCCTACAACTACGATGGAAGACACGCTGCCGCAACAGCAGCAGACGTTTTCCCACGCCTCGGGCTACGATGCGTCCATGAGCGCAGCTATCGTGACTCCACAGCTACCGGAATCAGTGTCGCATCTGCAGCAATACAGTCAACAACCGTACCCTTCCCAGCAGCCTTTGTACCACCCGCAACAACAACAACAACAACAACAACAGCAGCAATTGAATGCCTACAGCTTGCCCCCGCCTCCTGCCATGCCGCTCGCATCAGCGCCTCCTTCTACCGAGGAACGTGCCACACACTTGATAGCCGCCTGTGAGTCCTGTCTCGTGGTCACGCGCATCCCAGGCGTCGACATGTCGTTCTGTCGCATTATGGAGCGCAAGTGTCCGCGCTGTAGCGGCACGTTGGTGCTCCCTCAGGAGATCATGGAGATGCTCATTCTCTACGGCCATTTCGTTTCCGAGTCCGTGGTCGTCACGCTCTTGCTGGGCACGATGGTGCTCCACCCGTCGCTCCGGCCGGACTTTATGGCTGCAGCAATGAACGAGCTGCTGACGCCGTTGCAGACGGACTTTGTCTACGATGTGGCGGTGCCCAAGCGGCCAGAAGGACTGGGCATGTCGCTCCGCATGAATCGTGAGGGACTTTTGCAGTCATGTTGTCGTCGTCCTTATTGTTCCTATCGTCGCCATTAGTGTTATCACTGGGATTGTCATTGTTGACTTCATGTCTCTCACGCTCTTTTTTATGCATTTGTACTGACTTTTTGACTGCAGAAGGAAGTCTCGTGGTAGGTGGCTTCATTGACTTTGAGAACAACAGCGAGAGTCCGTCCGTGGCTGCTCGGATCATCGCGGTCGACGACGTGCTGGTCGCGATCAACAAGAAATCCATCACGTCCTGGTCGTTTGAAAAGAGCATCAGCATGCTGGCCCATGCGGCGTCGCCAGTGTACTTGACGTTTCGGCGTCGTCAAGCAGTCATGCTGCTATAAGGGGCAACGAGGCGGCAGCAGGATTGACCGCACAAGACTGGATACAGCTTATAAAGATCTGTGTTCTGTCCGGCTCGCAGCGCAGCTCACGGTTGATTGAGCAACAGCCGAATGTTCCTTCTCCGGGCCGACACACGGTGCTTGAACGAGTTTGTCAATGGTAGTTTCGTATGTTATCTGTGAGCTCATGCAACCGTTTTCCGATGTCGCCCTGTCTTTTAGTGACAGCGCTCCAAGTGCAGTTGTTGAACGGCTGAACAGCACTTTATGTCGGTGGTGACCCGTGGTGCTTGAGTGAGCTGTCTATAATCAATTGCTACGTGGAGTCCGTAAACTTCCCGGAGCGTAACAGTCCTTTGGTGGTGACCACACCTTCCAGAGCTCCATAGTCGCACACGAAGCAGTGGTCACATCGTAGCATTGTAAAGATCATGTGAAGATCGTCGAGAGGCGTATTGCTGGAGATGGTCATCGCCATGGGGCGGATGATACAGATCCGCCCCTCCGTGATTTTTACGGTGCGATTGAGTTTTTCAGCTTTGGTGGCGTCCCAAGCATCGTTCAACAGTCCTAGCATCTTGGAGTCGTCCATCAAGAACGGAAGTGAGGCCCCAGCACCGATCACGTGGGGCATCTGCGTCGACAAAGCGTTGTACGTGACGTCGATGGAACCGATCCCGTTAAAGCCGCCGCTGTTGTCGGTCAAAGTGTGATGCGTGAGCCTTTCCTTCACAGTCACCCATGACATCAAAGACGGATTCTTCTTCGGCTTTTCACCAAGATCTTCGTCAACAGCACCGAGGTTGTTTGCCTGGTAGTAGTTCCTCACAAACCTTCGCAACTGTGAGCCACTTACGACACCTAACAAAATCATCGACCCTTCGTCCTGAACGACCGGAATCTCGTGGTGTGGCAGACGCTGGAGTGCAAGCAGGATCCGAGCGATCGTTGTCCGCTTATGGATGTAAACCAAGCACGGCTCCACGACGTCAGCTGCAATCATCGTTGGTTCAAAGTCGATGAAAGGTAGGAACGGCATCCCGTTTACCACTAGCAGCGTGTCGTAGACGGATTTTTCTTTGAACAGGCTTGACACTGCGATTGCCGCCAGCGATGCACAAAAGAGCGGAAGCGTCATCGACATTGCTGTCGTAATCTCTAGCGTGATGACTGCAACGGAAACTGCCCGAGTTGCAGCAGACCCGAACGCTGCTGCCCCAGCTAGCGCGTACGTGCCAGGAATGGCATCCAAGCTCGGAAACAACGATGTGACCAGTTCTCCAAACATGCGGCCCAATGCAGCGCCGGCAATAAATGTTGGCACCCAGATTCCAGTGGGGATCTTCAAAGTGATGCACAGCGGCAGCAAGAAAATGAACACAGCAGACAGAATTGAAAGCGTGTAGTATTTGGACACCATCTGCCATCCTGACGGTAGTTCCTCTCCTGTGAACAAAATGGCGAGATCATCCATGGAGCTATGGCGAGCATATTTGCCAGGCACGAAAGTCAGTACAGCCGTCAGTGTCGATACGACAAGCGGGTCAATCCACGTGACAAGCACTTTTTTCCACGTTTGCGAGGCCTTTCGAAGTGCACTTCTGCGCTCGGCAACTTTGCGCAAGAACCACATCATCACGGTGCAAATCAGTCCGAGTAGCGCACCGAGAAGAATGTAAAGAGGGATTTCCCAAATACTAAACGGACTGGGTGGGAATTGCGTCCTCAACACTGCCTCCGTCGCAAGGTTAGCTTCACTGCTGGCCAGCACCAGCGTCAAGCGTAGCATCACTGCTCCTGATACGGCGCTTATGAAGGCTTTGATGTAGTTGGACGTGAGGTAGTACGTCGACGTTACTTCCAAGGAGAAAAGCACGCCACCTATAGGCGACGAAAACAACGACGAGACACCAACTGCACATGCCGCAGCAAGCAGTTGAAGTCGACCATTAAGGTGCACGCTGAGTCCCTTGAACATTGGTGTTTTCAGCAAGTGGTGAGTGACGATCGACATGATGTGTACATACGCTCCTTCTGTGCCCACGATCAGACCGGCACCAACAGAGCAGACCAAACCGACAACTTTGGCCAAAAAAGTGGGGAAGTCAAAGTACCCAGGGAGGTACATGCGTGGATCGATTCCTGTGAGGATCGATTTCATCTGAGAAACCCCGGACCCGGCAGCAGCTGGCGCCAATTGGGTGAAGAATAGTCCCAGTCCCGAGAAAAGCACAGTGTGGGCGACCCAGATAGCGAGCTGCCACACATAGGCCGAGGTCTGGTCAACAAGGTGTTCTCTCAGATCGAGGAGGTGGTTGTACAGTCTGTATGCACAAATTGTCAGTTGTGTAGACCACCAGTCATTCATTCCACGAGCCCTAGAAGAACAAAGCAACACTCACACTCGAATGCCGTAATTCATGGGTCCTCCAATGACACCCAAAAGGACCAAAAAGCAAACCGCTTTCACTTGTCGCCGGTAGTACGACGCTTTATCCAAAGCGCGACTTCGCTCGCCGCCAAAAAGAGACGCCCCCGAAGCCGACCTCCTTCGACCGTATTTCCGAAAAGACTCGGCCGAGTCCGATCCGTCACTGTCGCGCTGCGTAGGAGTGACTTCAACGAACGTGTCCAAAGCGTCGGCCTCGTGCTCGTCCCTCAGCAGCTCCGACATGGGCGTCCTGTCGTTGGCACGAGTCTCATTGCCATTGTTGCTGTTGTAGCGAGCGGCACGTTGCTGGAATTCGTGAAGACTGCTGATCCGCCCCGTGCGTCGCTCGTAGGCTGGCAGCATCGTGTACGGTGTCGTGCGGTTTTCTCGGTGTTTGCTAGGAACTTGGTGTCTCCTCTGTCGGTGGTACGGCTGGCACCTACCTCCTGGGTCCCTGTCCTTTAAGCTGAAGATTTCGGTCCGGACTCGAGCGATTGGTCTCCTCAGCCTTCTTGCGACACGACGACTTCTTTCTACTGCCTCACAGCTGAAACCAATGCATCGTCTGGGATTCAGCAGGATGTTTTCGATACATGCTGCTGACTAAGCAAAGTATGACATTTGTTGCTGGACACATGGCTGTGATTGACTAAACGTTTGCAATCAACACGCCATCAGCGCCCAATCTGCTTTGCGTCTATTATAAGCGATGATGAAGCCAGAAGGGTGGGAAACGGTCTTGACCGACGACTGTACGACTATCAAAAGGTCAATCCATCGGCTTTGTCGACCATCACGCAATGAGTGTTAGCGTCGTTACTTGAGCTCGAGCATGGCATTCTTCCTCGCGCAGTCTTTTTGCGCGACTTACTGGGCAACCGCCAAGAAGCTGCCACCTCGGGCTCCGTGACAGGAAGTGGATTGGCAATTGGGCTGGCCTGGCCTTGTCCGGTGCGACACGCCGCTCAGCAGACGAAGCAGGGCAAGAAACAGGCCCTCCCCATGCGTTTATAGAGGTAGCACTGACCGACAGCTTCCAGCTGTTAACACAATGGCTGATCGTCCCCCCTCTGTCCCGAGAGAAACAACGCCTTCTCTTTTATGTGCAATACTTGCTTTCGTGCTCAACCAAGTGGCCAGCCAAGAGCTCATTACTCTTTTTGCAGGCGACCCCAGGTACGAGATGTTGCGTCCAGCACTTCGCTCGTCCTCCGCCGTTCGTCCTTTGCGAAGCGGCAGTCGCTGTCGGATCCGTTTCTCTACTACTGCAACTACCGAATACGACTACGTCGTTGTCGGTGGCGGCTCTGCTGGTTGCGTGCTGGCCAATCGACTGACAGAAGACGCAAACAACAAGGTGCTGCTGGTCGAGACCGGGCCCGATGATCGCAAGAAGTGGGACTCGTGGAAGATTCACATGCCTGCTGCTCTCACGTACAACTTGGCTGACTACAAGTACAATTGGTGCTACTACACAGAGCCCCAGAGACACTTGAATGGACGGGTGTTGCCCTGGCCGCGCGGTCGAGTGCTTGGCGGCTCCTCGTCGCTCAACGCCATGGTCTACATCCGCGGTCACGCTTATGACTACGACGACTGGCAAGAGAGTGGAGCCACGGGATGGAGCTATGCTGACTGTTTGCCGTACTTCCGCAAGGCACAGAATCATGAGCTCGGACCGGACGACTACCGGGGAGGCGACGGTCCTCTCCATGTCACCCGTGGCAACCAGAAGGACCAGATCTTGTTCCAGAAGTTCATTGATGCTGGCGTGCAGGCTGGCTACCCATTTACCGATGACATGAATGGATACCAGCAGGAAGGGCTTGGCTGGATGGACATGACGGTCTGGAAAGGGCGCCGGTGGAGCACAGCTTCGGCCTATCTGCGACCAGCTATGACACGCCCGAATCTGACGGTTGTCACGGACACCTTTGTGAGCAAGATCGTGTTTGAAGGCAAGAAAGCTGTGGGTGTCGAGATGGAAGACCGTAAGAAGAAAACAACTGCGCACGTGCGCGCGGCGAAGGAGGTGATTCTGTCTGGTGGAGCAATCAACTCGCCTCAGTTGCTGATGCTCTCGGGTGTTGGCGATGCGGATCACCTAACAGAGGTGGGTGTGCCAGTGGTCCAGCATCTGCCTGCAGTGGGTCAGAACATGGAGGACCATCTTGATCTCTACATCCAGTACATGTGCAAAGAGCCGATCACGTTGCACAACGCTACTTGGTAAGTTACTGTCGACTTTATTGCTCCAGCTGCTAGGCTGATACTGACACTGAGATGTCGCAACTTTGCAGGAAGTACCCGCACAAGATGGTCGCGATTGGCTTGGAATGGATCTTCCGTCAGACTGGTATGGGAGCGTCCTCCCACCTCGAATCAGGCGGCTTCATCCGTAGTGACGTTGGCAAGCGTCACCCAGACCTGCAGTATCACTTTCTACCTGGCTCACTGACGGGCCAGCTGACCCCTGGGGCTTTCCACGCCATGCAAGCCCACTGCTCACCGATGCGCGCCCAGAGCCGTGGGTGGTTGAAACTGCGAAGCAGCAACCCACGTGATCACCCGATCATTGAGCCGAACTACCTGAGTGTGGAACAAGACTTGATCGACATGCGTACTGGGGTGAAGCTCACGCGTGAGATTCTCGAGCAGCAAGCACTTGACGCGTACCGTGGTGACCCGATTTCACCGTCGAAGGACGTGCAAAGCGATGCTCAGGTCGACGAGTGGATTCGGCAGAACACGGAAAGCGCATACCATCCGTCATGTACGAACCGCATGGGTGTAGATGACGACACGGTCGTTGATCCGCAGACGCGCGTCCACGGACTTGAGAATCTGCGCGTTGTGGACGCGTCGATCATGCCAAATATCGTGAGTGGCAACCTAAATGCACCGACGATCATGATCGCAGAGAAGGCTGCTGACATTATTTTGGGCAAAACTCCTCTCCCGAGATCGACGGCAGCCGTGTATGAGCCAAAGAACTGGGAGGGTAGTCAGAGGTAAGCTGTCTGACTTCATAGTCAGCTGTTTTTGGTGAAAAGACGCTTGAAAAGCAGCTGCTACGACGCGCTGCACCACTGTAAAGCCGAGACTTGCTTGACATGACGCTGCATGGTTTTCTCCGATCGATACCTTAAGAAACAATGTCAAGAGCTTGGTTCTCATCAACCGAACCTCAAACAAAGCATTTTTGGACCCGCAACGTTGGCGTCGGCTGGGTCCCAAGGTCCAGAAGATGATTTTATACTTGCACGCAGATCAGCAGCCGGTCGCCTTGATTGATTGCATCCTGTGCATCTCCTACGAGAGTACTATCGCACCCACCGAGGACACAAGTGCAATGTACCTCTCGCGTCTCGCCTTTTCGCTCTCGATCATTTGCGGTTGCCCCGTGTCTCAATACACTGGCAGCGGTAATTGCAGGGTATGACAAGTTTTAGTGGAGATTTAAGAAGTTTGCACGAAGATCTCGTTGGTTGACGCTGTGTGTTTTTTCTACAGTATGCCTCACGTTTCACATTTCAGATCAAGTACCAAAGGTGACTCCAAGCAAACAAATTGGTCACTTGTGCATTGTCGAATGATTAACAAGCACATTCAAAAGAACTTTAATTTCGCTAATGACAAGGCGACTTTCAGCAGATTCCACTAAATGGGCCCGTTTTCTGCGGCGTATTATCTTCTTAAATGCACAGATGCCCAACAGTCGAACAGTTTGACCATTTTACTCAGAAGTGTGAGTCTGTTTCGTGACTTATCAAACAAGCTACTTCGTATAGTTACAGCTAATTATCGATGTACGTGCGGGAAGCAAGGTGTTGGAACTGTTTTGGTGAGTCTCGCTAAGCAACACAACGGCTTTGTATTCTCCTCCCGGTCTATCCTTGTTCTTGCTATGCTACGTTATCCACCCATCGAAGGCGACTAAGTATTGCTGCGAGCCCGAAGGGTGAAGCTAGTAGCGAGTGTGCGCAAGGTTTAATGCCAAGCTTTTAAATTGTACTTTTCTGTGTGCGTCTGTGCGTCTGTCCGTGTCTGTAAATAGAGCGGCGAGGTGTAGCTTGCCCGTACCAAGTGCGATTTATCCTGTCCGCACCACATTGGTATTGAGGTATGCACGTAGTCACTCTTCGGCTAGGTCACTGTTGAGACGCACGCTTCTGATTGTCTTTGAAGTCGACCAAAGGTGAATATGATCACATAACCAATTGCTAGCTGCTCATCAGCAAATGCCGATCGCGTGGACCCAGCTGACTGTACTAGGTCAACACAACACCGACATCAACAGCATCGTACTCATTCTTCAGTGTCTGGCGTTGTATAGTGTATTGCAGCTTGATTCAGTTCTACGAACTGAATTGCTCATATCAAAGGGCAAGCTCCAGAGCTTGCTTCCCTATCTTACCTACTTATTTCATTTCCAATCTTGCGATATATACCAATCATTTATCTTTGTTGATGTATTTTTATTTTCTGCATTATTTGATAAGCTCATTGGTCACATCTTTAGTCTTTTTTCAATCGGTTTGGTATTCTCATTTTCCAGCCGATAAAAACAATTGCAACATTATTCCGACTTTTCTAACAATAATAACACGACAAGACAACACTAAATGACGATATTACGACACGGCATCAAACGAGCCAATTCGCAATACTGAAGAGCTCTTGCCCACACCAGCGACATGCCTACGTCTTCCTTTTTTACAAAAGACTTTGTATCGTTGCCACTCCTTACACGTCAAAGTGCTGTCCACCACAGAGGGATCCGTGTTCGCAACACATTTCTCATAGACTTCAGTCGGATCCCTTTGCACAAAACGCCAGTAGCGGAACTTCACCGACTCCAAGAAGTCCCAATATGCACCCTCCGCTGCCAGTTCCAGCCCGTCAGCGGAACGAAGATGCAGCGGTCGTTATAGCTGCAAACTCCGTGCTTTGTCGTGTCGAAGTGGACGTTTTCGGTTACAAAAAGGCAGTGTATCTACTAGCAGGAAGAGAGGGTGAGTAGTGGGTCAGGGAAACCGGATGTAGGTGGGCTGGACGATCTCTATCGCTTTTCCACGTGCGAGTGTTTGAACCTCTCTCTGTATACTGCGGCTCTCGCTTTGACACTGCACCGTCGTCGGTGGAAACAAATGTGCCAATGGGCGGCCAAGTCCAGCATCACAACGGGAAGTTTCCACGTCTCGTCGATACCGTGTTGTGTGTTGACGACTGCCCCCTCATCCGTATCCGGGGCCTTACCGAAACTGTTCAGCATCAACGGTACGAGTCAGCATGGGATTCGACTCGTGTCCTCGGTGCAGACGCCACTGTGTTTGCACACAGTGGACGACGCGAATTGGATCAGCTCTATTGCACTTGGACGATAAAGTTGTTTCTTCGACCGATGCGGACCAACAACAACTTGTCGTCAATAAGATGTGACGTCTCGACGCGCAAAGCGTCGGAGTCGACGCGCTCGTTGTTCAGGTAAACGCCGCCACCTTTGATCAGACGTCGACACATGGCTACACGCACAACAAACCCAAGAAAAGTTGGTCGGTACCCCGAACGCGTTCCTCCATCAGACATTTACCATACCTTTCGACTGAGCAGCACCTACTCGTACAGCAAGGTCCACGACCCTTTGGTTGAGCACATCTGCACGAGACACAGCTATCGAGGGCGCGTCTCCAGCCAGACGAAGCATCTCGTCCGCTGATAAGCAACCGCTTTTCTTTCCAAAAAGTACCTCCGTGGCATCTAGCGCAGCCTTCAGGCCTTCTTGACCGTGCATCATTGCAGTGATGTCCCCTGCTAGCACCTTCTGGGCAGCGCGCTTTTCAGGCGCCTTTTCGTGCTCAGCCACGATGTCGCGAATCTCATCCATTTCTCGAAACGTGAAGCTCTGGAGCAGCTTCTGGACACTGCTGTCGTCCGAGCGGAGGAAAAACTGGTAAAAGTCAAACTGGCACAGATATCCACACAGGGAGAAGAAGACAACAGCATTTAGCACAAGAGCCTGCTACAAGAAAATGAATCGCGAGCATGCACTTACAACCGACGTCTTGTCCGCATTGAGCCAAATCGCATTGCCAGCAGACTTGCCGTATTTCTCTCCCGTAGCTGTTGTCAACAGTCCCAACGTCGCTCCAAACACTTCCTAGCGATCCATTTTGCGACCAAACGACGCACACGACAACGTCAGTCGCACGTCCTGAATCATACCACGACCCGATCGCTTCATCTCACCTTGCCCGTACTCTTACGAACCAGCTCAATGCCCGAGACAATGTTGCCCCATTGATCACTGCCTCCAATCTGTGCCACACAGCCGTAGTTCCGATACAGATGCAGGAAATCGTGTGCTTGGAAGAGCTGGTACGAGAACTCGAGAAAACTGATGCCCTGGTCCGTCTCCAGCCGTCTCTTGACGCTGTCGCGCTGCAGCATGGCGTTCACTCGAAAGTGACTGTGCCAAATCACACACACACACGTACACACACAGCACCATGCGCTCTCTCAATCGAAAAAGTCCTCATGAAAAAAAGAGACCCATTCAGATAGACAGCTACGGCAGCCCACCCCACCGTCCAATGTCGCGCATCCACGTGACTGCCGACACGCGGTCGTGCCACTCGGCATTATTGCACACGATCGCGCCCGTCTGTGCGTCGTCAAAGTCCAGTACATTCGACAGCCCCTTTGCAAGAAGCTGCTGCGTGTTCTGCAGTACCGTCTCGTCTGACAGCAACACGCGCGCCTCGGACTTGCCGCTCGGGTCGCCGATCATGCCCGTAGCCCCTCCCACCTGTCACACATGTCGCACATGACAATGAGATCGGCCCAGCTTTACCTCCTCCTCGTTGATAGCGACGCTTTTGTACCCATTTCAAGCTGCAAACAAACAATGTACCCACCAGTAAAATGGGCCGCACGCCCGCGCGTTGGAAGTGGCGCAGCGCAATGGCTTGCAGCAGGTTCCCCAGGTGCAGCGAGTCGGCTGTCGGGTCGAAGCCGCAGTAGACACTGGGCGGGTTTGGAGCGCGCTGATGCTGCACCAGTAGCTTGTCGATGGAGTGGCCGGCGTCCGGATGCGTCAGTGCAGACAGCAGGCCGCGTCTTTGCAACGCCGCGAGGGCGCGACTCATGGGAGCGAAGTGTCGTGCTGAAGTTGGGGTGGTCGGTGGGGCTGCTGTCGATACGTTAACCAAGTGTAAAGTGTAGCCATGAAGACGATGGCGGGCAGCTACAAACTACTATTTGTTTATGGATACATTTGTCAGTCAGGTGGTTGGTCATTAATTCGCTGGACCATGTGCTGCGACTTGAGTGTCGAATGCACAGCACGGGGACGTTGTTCTGCTCTGTATGAAGTGGCTCTTGGTCATTTACAACACAGCGCCCGCTCTTGTAGCTGACGATTGCGGGACGAGAGCGTTCCAATGTGAGCTGAACCGAGAGTAGCAGCTGGAGCAGCTTCGTCGTTTGGCTACAGGATCCGTCGCACCTCGAGCGCGCGCCGCAAGAACGAAATCTGCGCGACTGAGACAGACGTGAGTACGAGCAGCTCGATGACCGTCCACCACATGATGCGACTGTGTGTGCTCGTGATCACTGCAACAAGTCACACGCAACACAACGGCAAGATGCACAATCAGTCAGCAACAACAACAACAAAGTCAACGGAAAGTAGCACGGACTCAGGAGGAGTCCTGTAGCGTACGCACGCTGGTCATGGTGGTTTGTAATCGCCTTCATGTATGCTTGGGTGTCTTTCACCGTGTCGAGGTTCACGCTCAGCTCGTACACAATGTCCTCCAGCTCCTGCACGTGCTCTGGCGTTCCACCATCAATCATACAGTAGTTGCATGCACCCATCAACACATTTGTTAGACCACATCCAGCCCCCAATTTCATCACACTTGTTAGCCTGGAAGACTGAGCTACAGAGCCGTGTACGTGTCTCGTATACTCAACTGATTTTAGTAGCGTCCGCGTTCGAGAGCACCTCGTGGCTCGGATCGTCGGCATGGAACGAGAAGCCAACGACCACGTCTCCCGCACTCGTATGCTCATTGTCAAAGCACACTGAGTGCATCCCTCCTTCTCCAATGGGACTCACGTACCGCCCTGACGCACCAGTGCGAGTATACACGACCTGCTGTTTGCCGTCCAAGAGCTCCGTCTTCAGCTCGTCTGCTACGCCACGAAGGACCTCGTAGTTGAGAGAGATGCCTTGCTTGTAGCTCTCTGCCTCAACGGAGAAGCACTCGATAGCGCCCGACGGAATCGTCACGTGCACGGCAGTGGCCAGCGCCATAGAGCCCAGTAGTAATAGCACGACCGAGCGGATCATTGTTTGAGTGGGCCAATTCATTAACGGTAGGTAATATCTGGTGTGGCGTACGTAATTCGTTCGCGTGTCCGACATGACTCGCACGATGTGGTGTGGCGTACGTAACTCGCCCGCGAGTCCGACATGACTCGCACGATGTGGTGTGGCGTACGTAATTCGCCCGCGAGTCCGACATGACTCGCACTACAGGATGATGCAGACTGTACGCCGTCAACTGGACCTGCTTTTTGCCGTGCATATGGTCATTGCCGCAGTGACGGGCGCGTTCTGCTTCGTCACGCCCCACTCGCTCATGGCTCCGATGCTGGGCGACGCGAGTACGAACACGCACATGGCGCACGAGTTTCTCCGACTTTACGGTGCGTCTATGTACCCACTCTATCCATCTCTCTCTGTAGCTCCTGGTTGACGATGATGCCTTGCTGCCTCTAACACTTGGAACTGCTTGTCGTTGCTGCTTGCAGGTGCATTGACGCTGGCACAAGGTTGGATGGTGTGGCGCACGCGACTCGTGAGCGACGCTCTCATCCGTCGCACCTTCTGTCAAGCCTACTGCATCTGCTTTTCCCTCCAGACCATGACACTACTTCGTGCGCAGATCGTGTCGCCAGAAAGCCACTCGGTACTGCATTGGTTGAACATCTTGCTGCTGGGCGGATTGGGCTGTGCCTATGGCTACTTTCTCGTCTTCAAGACCATCAAAGCGTTCGAGCTGCCAGGCATGGATAAGGGGCTGCTGTGAAGAGAGGTCCGAGAGGAACGCGAGAGCTTGAGCAACTAGTAGCGGTACAAACCAGCCAAGATTCTGTTTGCGTCGCTCGTAATCTCCATGATGTTTACAGTCCTGACTCGCATCACATTCGCTAACGGTCGTCGACCGTATTGCCGCCACGAGTGTGTCCTTCGGTCGGTTGAGTTTCGGTCAGCTCTGTTTCAAGGGGAACGGGCTCGGAGAAGGGACCGATCTCGTCTCCAACTGCCGACTCTGTGCTACGTACTGGAGCATTAGATGACAACGGCGTGCTGGTCGCCGAGGTACTGCTTGCCACTGTCACGGACATTGCTGCAGCTGGCACCAGCGCCGGTGACGACTTGCGCTTCTTTCTTACCTGCAGTAGATTGACGGGGTTGGCAGCAGTGCTCCCCTCCAACTTCTGGTAGGCACGTGTAATGGGGTCTGACACCTGCTGTGGTCTCGACTTCGTGAGCGAGGGTTTCGCTGGCGTCAGCTCCTTTGACGTAGTCTGCGTCAAAACCTGACTCCTAGCTTTCTTGCGCACCTTCTTTGGCGTTGCAAACATTCGACACATCTTGGTCTTGTTCAATGCAACTTGATCTGCACACAAGATCCACAGACGTATAACGTCACTTACGTATCAGCATAGCAAGACACATGCAGACACTTATCAGACTCACCTGCGCGAGGAAGACTGGTCCCGAAGAAACCATCTGCAAACTGAATGATCGACAGGTAGCCGTCTGTAGACGAAATGCTCAGCGTCTGACCGTCGGCTGTCCAGGTTGCGTCCGTTAAATCTGCGTAGTGGAGTCCTTTTATCGTACATATCGGATGAGATTGCTGGAATATCGGCGTAACGACAACCGACAGAGATTAGTCGTGACACCATACACAACAACCAGCGAAATAACGTACTTGAGTGTCGTAGATGATTACAGCATCAAGAGTAAGGACAGCAAATACAGAGCGGTATTCCGTCTTGAAAAAGTTGGGCAAAGGCAAACTTCCTGCCTGATCATTTTGACGCCGCAATTCGTAGAGCAGAGGGCTACAGCGAACACCAAGCGACGCCTTCTTTTGGCCAGGAAGGTGTAGCGTCGGCTGACTTAAGTTGCCTCGCGAGAACGCATACACGGTGTTCACCGAAGACGACGAGTCGCTCGCTCGAAACGTTCCAGTTGGTGCCAAGAAGTAGCTTCCGTCTGGTGTCCACGTAGGCCGACGAGAGAACGCAGGGCACGTATCATCTAGGAACATCCGGTGCTTCTGCGCCGCCAGCGCTTTCGGCGGTGTCGGTGAATCTCCTGTGATTGCAAGAGTCCCTTCAGCGTCCTCCACATTCTTCACAATATCCTTGCCTTCTTTGCCACCTCCCTTTGCTATCACAGTAAAAGATCCACTCCCTGGTGCCGCGAATTCACGTGTCTTCAACGTCTGGATGCCAACAAACTTGCGCCGCTGTTTCTTCCCATCTGGCTGCGTGGCCGCGCCAAAGCCACTGAGCGAATAAACTCGACACGTGCGATCGTTGCTTTCCGTCACGAGAAACTCATTAAGCGGGTCCCACGCGACTCCCTGGACGTACTGCGTGTGGTCTTTGCGTCGCTCGGCCACGTCTCCTTTCTCCACGTCCCAAATCACGCAGCGATTGTCGACTGAAGTCGAGCAGAGAAAAGCCGAGTCTGGTGCCCACGACAGGTCCGTGATGTCCCCTTTGTGGCCCAGCGAGAGGATCGTGCGTCCCACGTCACTAAGCGACGAGATGTGGTCCCACCGCCACTCGTCGCCCGCCGTCTTGGGCTTCGTCCAGAGGATGATGGACGTATCGTCGCTGGCGGACGCTAAGTAGGCACCATTGGGCGAGAACCGCACGCAGTTGACGCTGCGATCGTGACCAGAGAGACTGAAGACGAACTCAAGCGTCGCGCGGTTCGTATCTGCGTCTTCACTGACGCGCCACAATTTGATCTCCTTATCGGCGCCACCTGTGGCCAGCAGCGGCTTGTCCGGGACGGCAGTAGCACCGTACACGCTGTCCACGTCAAGGTGAAGAAAGTCCAGCGATAGCACGGCCTCGTTGAGTCCTGTGGGGCCGCAGTGGAGCCGGATCTCGGGCGTCGTGACGCGCACGGCCGTCGTTGTCATGTCAGTTGACTGGAGGAGTTGGGGTTCACCCAGTAAGTACGCATTGAGACCAAACGGAGCGATCGGATACCGGTACACACCGGCGGTATCAGTTCGCTGAAATACTGCTGATGTTCAGAATAGGTCGCTATTTTTACCTGAAGAAAGTAGTTTTGTCCGTTTGATTTTCTCATGACGGACGGCAAAAGAACGTGACAACACACACTGAAAAAGTCGCGAACGAAGCTATCGACTGTACCACCTGTACCAGCAGCAACAGCGATCGGTCGCTCACTTGCTTCGAGCATGGCGAGCTGGACCGACTACTGCAGGTCGCACTTCTATGCGATGAAAGCCCGGCCAGTGTCCGCTTTCGACCCCTCGGGCTTCCTCATCATCGTCTCTTTCTGTCTCCTGCTCGTGGGCGTTGTAGCTGCCACGACGCGGGCGCTCGTCTCGCGTCATGGACTCGTGCTGCGCTCGCGCGTGGAGAAGAATCTGCAGGACATGTCGCTCTACGTATCGGACCAGCGCCACCGCGTGGGTGAGAACTTGCTGTACATCAAAGGACGAGCCATCGATCACTCGGGTCGCCAGGGCTTTATCACGGAGATGCTGAGCTACGCGTACCTCTCGCGTCTCGCCTTTTCGCTCTCGATCTTTGCGATTGCCTCGTATCTCAATACGCTGGCAGCGGTGATTGCAGGGTACGAAGAGTTTCAGTGGCGGTCTGAGAAGGTTGCACGAAGGTCCCGTTCGTTGACGCTGTGTGTGTGTTTTTTCTGCGTCGGTTCTTGTGATGTGTATCTACTGGCAGGTGGCGCACGCCAAACGTTGTGATTCTGAACCTCACAATGGAACGCACCGACCTCAAGACCCTTCCAGACCTCGGACACGATCTTTTTAAATTCGTCATGACAAAGATCTATGGCCAAACCACGTATATCGAGTGGTTTGACCTTCCGGACGAGTTCCTCGCAGCTGTTGGCGCGCTCACGTCGCTCATTTTCATCCTGCATCCGCGGGTGCGTTTCATCTGGTTGCTGGACGTTGTTCTGACGCGGATTGATAGCGTGGTCACTCACGGTTTTTCGTCCTTTTTGTTTGGATCAACCCTTGCAGCGTCTGTTGATCATACGTCGATTCTGCTTTATCTTTGCTATCATCAACCTCATGCGAGCTTGCTGCGTGGCGGTCACGTCGCTCCCGGATGCTAGTCCCATGTGCATTTCTCAGTTTGATACGGAGCGCGGAAACTACAAGTTGCTCCCCGTTTTTCCAAAGTGCGTGCGTACCCCTTGGTTTTCGTGTGCGACCACGACAATGATTCGGTCGTTTGCATGATTTTAACAACCGGCTTCATTTGTTTTGTCGTACAGAGCTTTCTTTCGCGCGTGGAAGGTCTTGATCCGCCCGTCACAGCACATCACGTGCGGCGACATGGTCTTTAGCGGCCACGCTGTCTTTCTGGTCCTCTGTTGCATGTTCGCTGGGACGGTACGACTAAAACAGCCTGTCTCTCACATTGTTGTCATCATGTTTGAGTTCTCTAACGTTGCCGCCTACTGATGCATGCAGTACTGCGTTCGCTCGGAGTTGAACACACCGTTCACCCGACGCTTCCCGTGCGTGTTGTGGATGATACGCTACTACACGTATATCATGTCGGCTTTTGGCATCTTTGCTATCGTGGGCACGCGTTTGCATTACACTCTTGACGTTCTCATCGCTATCTACATCACTATGCAAGTCTGGCTCACATACCATTGGCTTATGAAGCACCCGGAGAATACATTTGTGCTCATCAGCTGGCTCGAGCACGCTGAAGTGCACTTGGTCGACCAAAACGCCTACCACAAGGCACGGCGGTCTGGTAGCCAAAGTGGCCGTGCTGATAAGATCGACTAGCGACCAGGGCAAACCTGCGCTCGAGCGACGGGACAAGCAAGTAGAGAAGTGCATCATATTCCTGTAGACATATTAATCGTTGGCGCCGAAACAGACGCCAGACGTTTCACGACTGAGCTTCATTCGACCTTCTTCGCGTCAGACTCTCCGTTATCTTGTAGCAGCGCTTGGTAAAGTTTGTGTTCCAAATGCTCCCGCATCACCGTCCAGTCGCTGTTGACAGCAGCAAAGACAACAGTGTCACAGTTGCAGCTCTTGATGATTCGATGCTTGCGCATCACCCCTTCAAAAGTGAACCCCAACGAGTGCGCCGCACGTCGAGCACGAACATTGTGCCCGTCACAGCGCCACTCCACTCGACGGTATCCACTACCAAAAAGGTGCTTCAACATCAGCAACACGCTCTCTGTCATAGCTGCTGAATTCTGAAAAGCCGGCGTGAGCCACAAGTGCATCACCTCGATCCGAAGGTCCGTCGGTGAGTGTGCGCCCAGCGTCACCATTCCAATCGACTGCTTGCTCTGTCGATGCAGCAGCACAAAGTGACGTGCACCTTCCACATTAATCGAGTAGAACCTCTTGAAATCCGCAACGGACGCAAAAGGTCCATGCGGAAGATATCTCCAGATCATCTCGTCGGCGTCGTACGTCACGTCCCGAAAGATACCACCGCGTTGTTCCCCGCTCGAGGCCGCAAAGAGACCAGCAGCATCTTTTGATACAGAAAAGTCCCGCACGCAGACGCAGTTCCCCTCAAGCACCTTGTCCGCTCCGAGCTGCTCTGGACGCACGCTCAGCGTCTTTGCCTTCTCCAGCAGCTCATCGTACAGCAGCGGCTTCTGCTCGCCCAGCGTCTCTGGCAGCCCTATTGCCTCCTTCTGCATGCGATCGAACGATCCGCCGTGTCGCAGGAGCATAAACACTGCGAGCAGCGAGCTCGCGAAGACCGTGGCACCGGCTGCGATGCCGATGATTACCACTGGCGTGAGCATCGGGTTTGACAATTCGGGTCGTCTGGAGAGAGATTTTGCAAATTTCGGAATAATCGAATTCGGGGGCGCGCGTGTGACTCGAATGTACACGTGATGGGTCCAACGTGCGCTGACGATGAGAGGCTCTTGTTTTTGCAGGTTATAAAAAGCAGTCGTCTTGGTAGGCGAGTAGGATGAACGCTGCGCAGGCGCCTTCGCAGAACAAGCGACCGCCCCAGAAGGGCTCGTTCCCATTGGATCATTATGGGGAGTGCAAGCCCGTGATGAAGAGGTTCCTAGCCTGCATGCGCGAGCACAGCAACAGCCACATTGACTGCAAGAATCTCTCGGCCGAGTACCTGCAATGCCGTATGGACAAGTGCGTCTTGCGATATGGTTTATAGTATCAAATTATAGTAGAGTGACGTGCTTTGCGTATCTGGTGATGTTTTGGGTACTTGTCAATTAGGGGGCTGATGCGACCGGAAGAGCTGGAAAGGCTGGGGTTCCATGAAGAAGGTATGAAGAAGACCTGGTCCGATGCGACTCACGAAGGCAGGAAAGAAGGTAAGCGAGTGGCCGCATACGTGAGGGAAGGATAGCAGCACGTTGGAGCCGCTGAGCTGACGGTTGTTATGGCTTGTCGTTCTGTCTCAGGTGAGGGCTTCGTGGCAGGCATGGGGATCAAGAAATCGCGCTATGAAAAGAAGTAGCACTTCCGCAGCGTCTCGTCCTCGATACCGTATCTCTTTGAGCGACGCACACTGTTCTTTTCAATGATAACGAAGCTCAGCAAGCATTCACCACTGCCAGTCCACTGGTTTGCCATGACATCCGGGTTTAAGGTGCATGCATGTACGTGCTTTCATCGACAACAGTTTCCGAGCCACAAGTCTTGGCAGGCCTACCGCTTGTCGAGCTTATTTTCGAGCTGATGTCGGAAAAGAGCTGATCACCATTTGTGTAAGCGGACGGTGCTTCCCCCACACGGATTCTCGCATCTTGTCAAGGTGTAGGCACTGCACTTTTGCCAGCTGGTACGCTATGCTCTCAGTTGCGCGTTGATAGCATGTGGCTCTTTGCTGTTATCTACTAGGATGTGAGAACGTGACGACTGCATGCAGAACCGAGTTCCTGTTGTCTTCCAACCTTGATCGTAGCTGTTCGAGGGAGACTATCAGCATCACAGGTCAAGGCAACAGAGTGCGGTTGCATTAGGCTAAAGCTCTGTTAGAAGCAGATGGCAGCCACCACCACTGGTTTGTGCAAGCAGTGCAACCAGGAGCGATCCTATGACCAAGGTGTCATAAGCTGCTCCGTTCTACTGAAGTCGTAACGCAGGGTGACGGAAAACCCGAAAGCTGTCGGTATCAAGTGTGATTAATTCACGCTCTGTTCTAGTGCTGCTAGTGCGTGGAGATGATGTCTATAGTGTGTGCTGCGATGTATAGAATCAGGAGTGACTCCTGTGGATCCAGTTGCGCTTCGCAAGTCCGTGTCCTGGTTGCCCAATGTGCTGTAGTCGCTGATGTCTTGTAATCCACTGTCGTCACGCTAACGGTTGGGTGGGCTGATGCCGATCCAGGGCAGCGAACGTCGAGCATCGTGAAATGACGTCAACTGCTTCGTGTCCTTCACCGGACGAATGATCCGTGTGTTGGGGCACTATCACTGGGGCACTGGATTGACGGCAAGAAAGCAGCACGGAGAAGAAGCGTCCCGGTAATCAGCATTCACTCATTACGGAGCAAGCACGTGGCAACGTCGACTGCGACGCTGTCTCTGTATTTACAAGAGGTCAGCTTCCAGGCTGGGATAAAGCTGTTGTTGAGCTCAAACTGTACGAGGCACGAGGACTGCGTGGTAAATAACTTAGAACATCAAGTTGTCTGCTTCCTAGCTGCCGCCGGGCTGCCTCAGCACAGCTCCGTGGACTCGTGGACCCAGCATAACGCCGGGGCCTGTCGGGCTTCTCTAGTGCTGTAAATGGGATCCTGTTGCTGGCGAAGATAGCGAGGCTGGTTCTGGAAGTCCCACTCCGCTCCGGCAACAGCGCTCTCGTTGTAAGCATACGAAGCTACGTCGCTGCCAGTGCATCGTCTGCTACTTTCGTCCGAGCAAGAATCCGGCAGGTGCTTTTCTGACAACGTATACTTGCCACCAAGTACCTTGACGTGGCTGACCCCCTCGTGGCTGCTCCCTCTGCCCGTGACCCTCCTCATGAGATACAGCATGCATATGGTCGGAAGGACGTTCGGGAGAATACTGTACAGGACAAGGTGCACGATCATGGACATGGCAGCGCCGGATAAGTTGAGCACTAGTGCCAGCAAGCGAGCCATGTCCGAGACGATGAAGATGACGATCGCGAGCATAAGCTGGTTAAGAGACTTCTCTACGCTGGAAGCGAGGACGGTACCGCGCGCATGCAGCAGACGACGGCGTAAGCGAAAACCCTGATAGCCCAACAGAATCCCATACGTCAGCACGACAACCACACCCGAGTACAGTAAGATGACTCGAAGCTTGCTCCCCATAAAGCTGTACTGGCCGTCGCCGTCGTCGCGATATCCACACAGCAAGATGGACACCACCACACCCCACAGTAGCAGCAGCGAGTTGAAGACGACAATCAGCTTGGATGTACGTCGTTGTGCCATAAGCTGACCTGCTGCCACCACGCCAGCCCAGCAGATAGCCAGGTATGATTTGCAAAAGGACAGAAGCAGCAACGGGTAGAGGCGGCAGACGTACATGGCCTTCCATTCCGTCACCATTGGGTAACAGATCCACTCGATCGCTTCTGGGAGCTGCAGCAGCGTCGACACCAAGAGCATCACATGAAAAGCCTTCTTGGCGTTCCGACTCGAGTGCAGAAAGTGCAGTGACGTGCGCCACGCGACGGCCAGAGACAGCGGCGTGTACAGCAGTAGTACCAGCCAGCCACAAGCCTCCAGTACCGCCAGTTTCTCGTGCAAGAGCGTCTTGGAACTCTCCTCATCTTCAGCCACCGAGTTGGTCGTTGCGTCGGCGGTTATGTTACTCGCGACTAGAGAGGGCGTGGGCGATTGTGTGGTCTCGTCGTGGAGAGTTTCAGAGGCAGCAGAGATACTGGAGAGCGACACTAGCAGCAGCAGCAGCACGAAGAAGCCCGTACAGCGCGGCAGTCGTCTGCAGACAGGGTCGTCCATGCTCGCTTTTACGCGAATGCTGACTTGTTGATGCTTTTTGTTTGGCCGGCTGCTGTATTCGGACCATGCCACACAATCCGTACACCAGTTGTTTGAAGCACATAAAATAAACGCACACACGCACACCGTCGCACGACCAGCTGTTTTGTAGAGGTACGTGACGCGCACAGGAGGGACGTCAACCACCCGGTTGCATCACGGCGCCACGTTGCCGGACGTTGCATGGACGCAATGGCAGACGCGGGATGATGACCCGTCGATCGATTTGATTTGCAGTGTTGCCCTGACGCTCGTGTCAAGAGGCCAGCTGCTGCGTCTCAGGCGTCACTTTTTTCACCTTTCGATCTGACTCATTGATCCGTGCTGAAGCCATCTCCGGTACACCAGGATATTACGACGCCAGTATGAGTCACGATGTCGTCTTTTTTTTTTGTTTGTTTGTTGTATCATAGAAGCTACAGCAGTGGGAGGCAGAAAGGGATGGATGGACCTGGGCCATCTTCGCCTGCTCCAAAACGTACCCAAATTCGATCAGTTGGGAAGATACTGGTATCGGATACCGGTACAAGCGTCGGATGTCCGTCCATCTGATTCACCATCACTCCTGCCTCGTGTCACAACACGCGCTTCAATTGCGTTGCAAAATGCTGCACCGCAGTAGCGTAAGCGCCGACAGTGACGTCTTCAGGCGGACGTCCGTCCTCTCCAGGACATCGGCCCTGTCCAGCACTTCAACTGCGCGTGCTGAGCGCCAGCCGCTTCTTCTTTCGGGTGCTCCGCCTCCCCAAGTCTTCGCGCACCCCGTCGAGTGCGCGTCTCTCACGAATCGCGTGCTCTTTCAGTGGGTCACGCCGTCTGTGACGCTAGCGAATCATGGTTTGAGTCAGAATCAGACTCAGACGCAGACCCAGTCGCTTCCGTACCAGATCCAGCAACCACATAGTGTACCCACAGCCAAGCGTGGCCTGCAGCAGGCGGACGTCTGGGAGCTGCCGCCTCACGCGCGAGCAGAAGCTGGTGCGAATGCCTTACAACGCGCGTGGATCACTCGTGGCTCACTGCCACTGGCCTTTGTATCGACACATGGACTGCAGTTTGCCGGACTTGGAGTACTGGACGCCATCGTGCAGCTTTGTGACCTCATGGGGCCCTACGTGCTCTTTCAAATGGTGTCGCTCCTGCAGCAACAGGAGCAACAACATGAGGATGAAGCAGAGACGAGGAGCAGTTTGCTCTTCTGGCTGGGGACGCTGCTGGTCTCTCGGCTACTGCGTGCGCTGCTGTCGACGTTTGCTCGAGCAGAGCTGCAGACGATGACGTTGAGACTCACCATAGCGCTGCAGAGTCTAGTGTTCCAAAAGGCACTACGGCTACCGAGCGTCTCGACTCGGGAAGTCGACACGCTCGGCACTGTCGATGTGATGCAGCTACTGCAAGGTGTGGCGTGTGTACACGAACTGTGGGCGATGCCGTTCGTTGTAGTTTTGATTGTGGCTGTGATTGCAAGCTTCATTGGCGTTGCAGCATGCGTGGCTACTGTGGTGCTAGCAGTCGGGATGTTGCTTGTCTCTCGCCTATTGACACAACTGCAGCTTCGGTCGCTGGACCGACTGCGAAAAACACGGGAAGACCGGCAAAAATCTGTGATAGGCACGGTGCATGCTTTGCCTGCCGTGAAATTACACGCGTGGGAGCCGGCCGCTGGCATACGTGTGAAGGTCACTGGTGGACGTGAATTTGCGGCCTTGTGGAATTTCCACGTGCGATGCGCCGCTGAAATTGCATTTAGCTTTGCAACGCCGGTGCTGGTGACGACTGCGGCATTAGGGGTTGCACACCATTCGTCTGCGCATTCTCTTACCGCAGCATCAGCTTTTGCCACTTTGGCGCTTGTGCGTCTCATGCAGACACCACTCCGGGTCCTGCCCAAAGCGGTGGTGGGTGCTCGAAACGCCTGGCGATCTCTCTGTCGGCTGTCTCACTTTATCGACCAGGACGAATTGGACCCGCACGCTGTAGCTCGACGCGATAGTCTGGGTGTAACAGCCAAGTACGATGAGCGAGATGTCGTCATTGCGGTTGAAGATGCTACGTTAGTTTGGGGAAGTGGTGGACCGGTGCTTTTCCAGCATTTGGATCTGACTGTGAGTGCTGGCGAACTTCTTCTAGTTCATGGACGTCCCGGTAGTGGTAAGTCCTCGTTTCTGTCAGCATTGTTGGGTGAAATGCAGGCGCGTGATCGAAGCGACGGTGGAGGCGGACGTGTGTATGTTGGTGGCTCTGTGGCTTATTGTCCGCAGCAGCCGTGGCTGCAACAAACGCTGTCGGTGCGCGAGAACGTGCTGTTTGGTCTTCCGTTTGACCGCCGCAAGTATCAGCTCGTGCTTGACGCGTGCGCGCTCGCTAATTCGCTCGCAGTGTTGTCAACTGGAGACCGCACTCTCATTCAAGAGTGGATGCCTACCCCTGGACAGCAAGCGCTTGTGAGCCTTGCGCGTGCCTGCTACAGCGATGCAGCAGTGTATCTGCTTGACGAACCACTAGCACGCTGCTCCGAATTTGTAGCACGCGAAGTCTTTGACCGGTGCTTATCAGGTCTTTTGCGCAACAAAACGCGTGTAGTCGTCACGACGCGCAAAGAATTTGTTAACTCGGAGTTCGTTGACGACGCGATCCGATTCGAAGACGGCGGTCGGCTCATGCCCACCCGCGATATGTATGAAGGCAAAGAACGTGAAGAACAGGCCGAGGACAAAGGAAGAAGTGAAGAAAGCGAAAACGTTGATGTGGACAGGTGCGCGCACTATTCTGCGTCTGGTCTCGACTTTTCGAGCATCAATGAGCCACGGGGTTCGCGGTTGGAAGGACTAGCTAGCGCGGAGCAGCTGTCGATTGAAAATGCTGTCAACACGACTCGCACCTCATTGAGCGAACGACCGCTGCGCGAGTATTTTCTGTGTGAAACAGCAGCAGAGGCCGAGTGGGGTGAGATTGAGAGCGAACGGATGGGCAAGTCGATTAGGGCGTACGCGCATGCAATCGGTGGCGCTCGTGCAGCTGTCGCTCTTGTTGCTCTGCTACTCTTCTGGCAAGCTCTGCAGCTGCTGAGTGAGGTGTACGTTGCATACTGGGTACGTTCTAGCAGCCACACGAGTATGGCGGCAGATCAGCTCATTTACGCGTCATTGGCGTTGGGTGGCACGTTTATCGCCTTTGGCTACGCGCTGGCTATTGCTGTGGTGGCAGTTGGAGGAATGCGCCGTGCTTTCTTGTCGTTAGCATTCGCGTTTCTACAAGCTCCTCTGGCTTTCTTTGATGCTTTTGGTTGTGGAAATGGCAGGGTTCGGTCGAAGCGACTCAGCCTTGCCAGAAGACGTAAGCTTGAGCGGGCTTTTACAGGCACGGATCTTACCGACATGGGTGTGAGGCTCCCTCTCGCAGTTGGAGCCATACTGGTACTCGGAGCCTCAACTTTGACTGCGCTACTGACTACCGCGACGGTGACGCAGTATTATGTGGTGTTGATTGCTCCGGTATTGTACGTGTATGTGCGTACGGCGAGGCTATACCTGCGACCAGCTCGGGATCTCTTTCATCTGGGACGTCTAGCGCGACAAGCTGCTCAGTTGCATGTAACTGAGTCACTTCTGGGTGCGCGCGTGCTACGAGCTTTTGGGCCAGTGCATGTGAACCGTGTGTTAGGCCACCATTTCTGGCTGCAAGATGTTGCTGCTCGTAACAGCCATCTCGGCTTACACATCGACCAATGGCTCACATTGCGTATCCAGCTGTACGGCGCTGTCATCGTAGGGATCGTAGCATCCTCAACCATTTTGGCGCTGCGACACACACTGAGCACTGGCACGTTGGCTCTCGCTCTATATGAAGCACTGGTAGTCGATGGAGGCGCGCTCGAGTCGCTCGTCCGGGTATGGATTTGGTTAGGCCCGGTTCTACCGATTGCTGCCCGAACGCAGGCGGCTGTGCGGGGAGCGAAAGCAATTACAGAGAGTACAGCACACTCGACTGCAGCAGCAAGTCGGACGTCGGGACCATTCATACCCGTCCAAAGCGTAGCCAACCCTTCATTGTCGTGGCCCACGAAGGGTGATGTACGCTTTGATGCGGTGAGTTTTCGTGACCCGGCAGCCGCGAACGTTGAGATTACGGACATATTCGAGGCCGGTGATGGTGGCGCGCCGCCCTTGGCTCTTAGGTGTGTATCTTTTCGCTTACTGGCAGGAGAGAAGGTCGCCGTTTTTGAGTCGTCCGGCGTTGTTTCGTCGGTTGGACGTGCGCTACTACGTGTGCATGAGCCAACTGCGGGGCGGATTGTGGTAGATGGCGTGGACATGTCGACCTTAGATGTGCATACGCTTCGCTCTCGCGTGGCTTGCGTGTCGGCTGCCGCGCCCAGCGGTGCTTTATACGACGGTTCGGTGCGTACGCAGCTTGACCCAAGCGGTGCTGATATCGGAGACGAGCGTCTATGGACTGCACTGCATGCTGTCGGACTTGCGAGCAACGTGGCTACATTAGATGGACTGTTGCCAGGCATTGCTGCTCTTCAGCAAAATCCTGCTAATCGGCTCCGCCTGAGTCTTGCTCGTGCACTGCTGAGTGAGCCATCTGTAGTGGTGCTAGCATTGGCTCCTGTGCTTCTTCTATCACCTGAGGATGAATTCCAATTGCAGCTGGAGCCGTACGCTAGCCTCGACGATGCTACACTCGAGGTCTTGCAACGTGTGATGCATAAAGAGCTCTGCGATGCAACTGTTCTGCTACTTCTACCATCTGCTGCAGCGTCACCACAGTCAGTGCAAGCTCAGATAACAGCGTTGCTGAGTGCAGTGAGCCGCGTTCTAGTTGTGGGCAATGGTGAAATCGCAGAGCTTGGAACGCCTGCAGACCTTGCAACGACTGCAGCTTGTCCGGGTCAGCAGGAGATCCTTCCTAAGGTTCTGAGTAGACTGGAGCTATCCGACCTGGAGCATTTTCGTGAGGATTCTGATCCAGTGGCTTCGCAACGAAACGAGAGACTAGAGCACCATGTGAGCAGTGGCGATTCAGCTACAAGAGATGAGGCTCTGACGGACACTGCCAACAATGCTGTCAGATGAGTGAACAGGAGTGCTAATGTAGGAGCACTTGGCATGCACCTAGAGCAAGCATGAGACTCTTGTTTGGCATCGGGTCAGGTGGGTCAGCATTGTGTCGAGAGGTCGTCAAGGCGAGCTCTACCCCGGCAGCTGCGTGGAGCGACGCTGTCTCGTCATCGGTCGTGTCACCACACGAACAGGAGAAGGTTTGGTCGTCACACTTGAGGTTGAGGTGCCGCAGCCTGTTTCGCCAGACATCCCAACAGCGCTCGAAATGGCAAAGAAAGTGACAAGTTCCCGGATTGCATTGGCGCTGTTTGCTCTGAAGCGGCTCATCGCTCTGTAGCCACAGTGCTTTCGCGCAGGACAGCAAGAGGAAGGAGAGGTAGCTTCAGCTTGGATGGAGACCCGCTACCACTTTGTCTTGTTGCTGAGAAATTCGATCGTGTGAGTGGAACCAACGGAATGCTGGAGGATGTCGCGGCAGCAACAAGACCGCCGCGTGATGAGCAGAGACCTCTTTTGTGCTGCCACGTATCGTGAAAGGAGCTACAAGGCCTGTTGTCAATAACTCGCTGTCATGACACTGTATCCATTGTGCTCGACGACCGCATCAAGTTGTGATCTAGCAGCGTGTGTTCGCTCCTATACACGTAGCGGCAAATTATCCAGTGTCGTCGAGTCCGAGCTCTTGCCACCACGCAAAGGCGCACATATTGGACGCGTCTGGTCCCACAGACTTGGCCCCATTGGATGGTGGGAACTGCTTGCTCACTACCACTTCAACTCGAGTGTAGCCATCTCGAGTGTCAAAAGTCGCAACCAGACTGTGAAATTGTGTCAGAAATGGTGGTTCTGCGGGTTTCGGCATCAAAGGTGGCGCTCGTGACGGGACTCCATGACTTTGGTGACGTGGTGGAGGAGCTGCTGGAGTGTGTGTACCAAGACCGAGAAGAGCTGCTAGCACGCGACGCCGCGCAGTTACAGCTGCGTCTCGTGTCCAAGGACGAGGAGCTCGAGCTGCTCATGCAGAAGAGCGGGGCAGCAGCAGCTCTGCAGCTTCGAGCGGCGCTTCGTTGGGCTCAGGATCGATCGACTCCCGCCCGAGTAGGAGCGGCTCAGAGACTGCTGGCGGGTGTGGACAAGCGACTTGCCGAAGCTCACAAGGGCAAGAAACTCGCGAGTGAGGAGGCGCAAGAAGTGCGCAAGCTGCTGGCTGAGAAGATCCACACGAGCGTTGGCACTCGCAATGAGACGCTAGCTTTACAGGCGTACGAACGACAGACTGGGTCCAAGGTGCGGCTTACGAATGAACATTTCTATCTTCTCACGTTCCCGTCTCCTCCAGCAGGAACGAAGGGCGCAGAAGAGGAAGCTCCTGTTGATTACTCGTTGCTGGCAGCGCAACGCCGGCGCACTGTGATTCACAAACGACAAAAGGCGAAACGGCCATCCGAGTGTACGACTGCGGATTTGACAAAGAAGGAAGAGCGGTCTCCCGATGGCTATTTCTCCATCTGCGGCATGGTGGACGGTGTAACAGACGCATTGACTATCTCAGCGGACGACGAGTGGGAGCTCACTCCAGTCGTGGTGGAGGTCAAGAACCGCATGCGGGCTTTCCGAAACCCGCTTCCACTCTACGACCACATTCAACTGGCAGTCTACATGAAGATGCTTGAGGTTGAACATGGGGAGTTGATACAATGTATTCACAGCGCCGCCTCGCATCCAACGATTCAGGTATCGCGTGTGTCGTTGGGTGTTGCACCGCTGTGTCTGCCTGCGTCTGCGAAGGGGGATCTATGGACCGAAGTCATCATTCCGCGGTTGTATGCCTTCACAGCGACTGTACACAAGTTGCGGAGTGAAGAACTGCTGCGACTTGCTTTCCTCAATGGAAACAGAGAAGAACGGCTTGCCATCGTGCGTGCGACGTGTGACTTTCTGTGAGGAATAGATATCGTCACCCAGCTGCTACTAGCTGTGACGCTGTGGAAGTTGCATTAGCACTGCGATGATTTCCGGACTTGTGCGCTTCATCATCAGCTTCGCCATCGTCAGCACCTCTCGGATATTTTGGCCCTAGTTGCTTGCCTCGAACATCGCAGTGGGCTTCAGCATTACTGAGTAACTGAGCGTCCGTGATATTGTACCAAAGCAGAGCTGCATGGACACGAAAGATATTTGCGCAGTGTCGTTGCTGGCATTCGTATCCTTGCGGCATCCCACATTGACAGCACAATTTGCTCGTCACGTTACAGTAGCAGCTTCCACTCGAAACGGTCTGCTCAATCACTCATCCGACACGCGACCAAGGCCGCCGTCCGCGGAGCAAGCGACAAAAGCTAACCAGTCACAAGCACTCACCTGAAAACACGATCTCGACCACCGGATATTCTCGCACCTGTACCTTCATCCACAAGCAGGCAAATACGATCGCAACAACAATGACGCACATCTACAGAGAGAACAGCCTCCACCGAGGCGTTGCATTGCTGACTTCCTAGAGTAGCCCACCACTCCATGAAAGCTGCTTGACATCTGTCGCGCAGCCTGCTTTTCTGCTCTGCTTATTTTATGCCATTCGGGACAACCTACCACCTGCATGGCCCAGCACCCCAACCGCAGACAATGAGCATGCCAGCCACGTTGACAGCGCCAAGCAAGCGCGGCAATCAATCATCTCGGTCGACCCGGTTCGCCGCTCTTTCGTTGTTAGGCAGATCCACCCCCCCCCCGATGATGAGCATACCCACTGCCACCTGTTCGTGCGTTTCCACCTTGAGAATCGGCCGTACTAACCTCATTGTGCCCACCGATCTCTCTCAACTGTCTGCTCATCGCACTTCAGTGCAGCCATCCTGTTGTGTCGTTTGGGTCGCCAATATGACGGTCAGAAAGCAACTTCCCTCAACCAAACCATGTAGCAATCAGCTTTTAGAAGGCGTGCCTTGCGTAGTCGAATCCTTCGGTGCAAACACTTTCTTCTTCTAGAATGATAGCACACACTAGCATTAGATCGGCGACACAAATCAGTGACAAACGTGGCACCATCTCTCCTTACCCGCTCGCCCTTATTGCTCTGCTCCTTCTTGCCACCAACTTTGGCCTTGAGACGCGAATGAGGCTTCCCGTTCGGTCCTTCGCCAGCAGCGGCACTGCTGGTCCCATCAGTGGACTTTTTGAGATTACTGCGTCCGCGCCCGCCGTTTTTCTTGCCGCTTCGAGGCGCACGTTTTTCCGTTCCATGTTCCGTGAGAGCATTGGTAGAGGGTGCACGTCCACTTGCCGTAGTAGCGGGAGTGGAAGCAGGATCACCAGTGGCAGTACCAGACTTGGGAGCCATGATACGTAGCATACCAGGCTCTGCTGTAAGCGGTTCTTGCTTCGCTGGTCCTTTTTTCGGCGATGCTTTCCCACGTTGCTTGCGGGTTTTCGAGTCTGCGACAAGATCCCATCAGCACGCTGGATGGCGACAAGCTCACTCAACACGCACTCGTACCTTGAACACTAGCTGCGTCACCGCTGCTTTTCTTTTGACGATCTTTTAAAGGCTTGAGCTTGTCTTCCGTGGACTTTTTCCTGATGACCTAGATGAACCCCCAAATACTCTTAGCATGAAGCCAGCTAGCATCGCAAGACAAAACGCACAACTCACCTCTTTCTTTCCTTTCTGCCGACGCTCATTCTTCTCAAGCGCTTTACTTCCCGGTTTTCCCTGTACAGCAGCAGCACGGTTTCGCTTCACGTTCATAACCATTCCAGCCACAGGTCACCAACAAGACGGTAGATAGCTGCGAAAAACACAACGACAAAACAGCTACTTACTTTGCCCTTGTCACGGCTGTGAACCTTTCGTTCGTTCAGATACTTGACCAACGCCGCCACTGGCTTCTCCACTGTCTCGCCCTCTGCCATGTCCACAACTGCTTCAGCACTCGGTAGTTTCTACGCAAAAACAGCACAGCAGAAACACATCCGCGCAGCAGCACTGTACTCAGCGTCTCGCCTCTTTTTTCACTCAGCCACCACACGAACCACTCACGTCTTTCGGCCTAGAGAGCTCCTCCAGGAAAGCCACATAATCTGGATCACGGTCAATGGTCCCATTCTTGGCGTCGCTGCGCTGCTTTTCACGTGCAATTCTCTGGAACGGCGCAAACTCCACGTCCAGAGACTTGACACCAACGTCCTTCTCCTTGACGTCTCGCTCGAACGTCTGTCCGTGCAGCGCAGCAATGATCTTGGCAGCCTTCTCCGGCTCCTTCTTCATGTCCAAGTACAGTCTCCCAGGCGTCGACGCGCGGTTGTTACTGCGCGTGCGGCCAGGCACAAAGAGCCAGACGAACTCGAGGTCGACGCCATGCGCGCGCAGGAACTGCTGGACCTCGGGCTCGGTGGCGGTTGGAGGGATGTTGCGCACCACGAGCTTCTTCAAGACGGTCGTCACGGCTCGCGTGGGTCTTGTATACGGAGCGACAGACGAGACGGACGAGGCCATAGGGGCGGTGGGGAATGGCCCCCCTCGTCCACTGCGTTTGTGGCCGTTGCTGCTGCTGCTTCGCTCGTGCTTCTTGGCGTTGTCACTGCTGACGAGGAGACGACGATCAGGGCCACGACCCCCACGCCCGCGGCCTTTGCTGCTGCTGCGGCGAGGCGGCAGCGGTGGCGACATGGCAGGAGCTGGGCGAAACCGTGTCGCTTGGCGTGTTTTGGGATAAATAAAGCGTGCGACATGATAAGGGACTTTATTTTAGACAAGGACATCACCGAGTCGTCGATGTAGCTTTACGAGACGCTCGGTCGATAGAGCGACTCGTGGCTCTATAATTAACGCACGCCTCATTCGCAGCGTTTACACAGTACGCTTCTGCTTTATGGGTGTACTGCTGCACACGTACGTACGTATGGACATAGACGGTCTCTGTTGACACGCGCAACCTCAACCGCAGACAAAAAAATAGACACAACTCACACGAGCAATAGCGTCTGTTCGTTCCGAGCCACACATGGACTTCGCACCCCCAAAAGCAGCATCTGCGTGACGACTGTTTCTCGCAGGCGCGTCGTGTGTCCAGCACGTGCAGCTCAAACGGGTTCCGGAACCAGGCACAGCAGTCACAGCGGATGCTTCCCGCGGTTGAGTGGCATGTCCCCAGCACGACTGACTTGCTCGGTGGTTCCAGCAACACTGCACGTGCTGCAGACAAAGCTGCTTGAACGGCTTTGATGATCGTCCTTCTCGGTCAGGAGATGCAGGTTGAATGCCGGTCTTCGTTGTAGACGGAATCGGATGCCACACTTGTTCATTCTGCCACGAACGAGTCGTGGATCATGCACGAGATGGCAACGTCTGGCCCCCGACTCGGTCATCGGTGACGTTTCATGTCGCCACGCTTGCGCCTTTCCCACTGTAGCCTCGACTTGCTTGCATCTCCGATCATGTAGCTGCAATGCTGTGTCTTCAGCTACTCCGAGTAGACTTGTTCAGCTTAGCATTGCATGAACGTCAACTGCAAGACACCGATCCTCACGCCTTCCCAAACGGTCTACACCTGGTCAGTCGAGAAGCTTCATGTCATGTTCTCCGGTACGTTGCTCTGGTGCAACAGCGTCTTCTCCACACTGTTCTACCGCCGTGTCGTGTCCGTTTCCTTGTGCTCAGACTCAAGGTTTTTACTACCGTTCGCATCCTTTGTCTTCTCTCTCCTCGTGGTCCACATCGCAATGCAACACACGGCATGGCCGTCAAAGCGTAATACCTTCGTCCGCTTCCAGCGCTACCTGGATCAAAATGAGGTATTTGCTGTCTGGCCGCTGTTTGTCATCACCCGACACCCGCGCCTCATCACAATCTGGATCTAGCATCGTATTGTCCGCCTGCGACTTCCCATAAAACGTGTTCGCTCGTTGTTCACGCATTATCCTTCCTGGACTTGATCTGCCGTTTTGGTTTGCCTAGCTCGCACTGGTTTACTTGCTTTGCAAACCGCAGCGAGCACAGACTCTCGTTTGCCGACTCAAGCGTTGGCGACAAATTAACCATCATCAGCGTCTTGCCATCACCCGACAGACTACTCTGGAGCAAGTACGTCAGCTTGGAATTGCGGAACGGAATCTGTGGAGCAACGAAAAGGTGCATACTTAGTACCGCATGATGTTGAAGCACAATCGGTTCCAGACTTACATGAGAAGACTTGTTTCCAATCGCGTTAAAGACATCGGCGAGACAGCTAAGACTCTTGTTGATAGCTTGTGTCTCTTTCAAACGGTCGCCCGAAACGTTGGAGCGCGAAGCACGTTCGCTGCCAGCTAAGTCGACGAGATTCAACTGGCCATTCAGCATGACGCCTCCCTTGTCGTTCACGCCTTGCAGGTGCAATGTGAATACGCTATGTGACCGCGACGACTCCGCATTCATGTCTGTACGCGCTACACGTCGTGCTCTGTTGGCTCGTTCCATGATCTCTTCCACTTGTTGCGTCGAAGTGACATTTACGACTGTCAATCCTGGAACGTATACGCCCCCCTTCGCATCTTTCTTAATGCTAAGCTTGTCATCACTGTTGTGTTTGACAACCAGCAAATCTTTTAGACTTTCGTTGTAAATTTCCAGAAACGAAGCTTTTGTGGTATAATCCCATCCCTCGAGCTTCAATGATTCACACTCATGCAGAGTCTGTTCAATCGCCCTCGGAATGATTCCGCGCATCTGACCATTACCGCTTCCTTGCATCTATCAGAGCATACGCGAAAGTCAGCAACAACACGCCAAATCAAAACCTCAGCAGCATCCCTACCGTGTGTGTTTTCCCAGAACCAGTCTGACCATAAGAAAACAGACAGACATGATATCCATCCAAAGAAGACTGCACGAACTCTGACACCTGCTCGAACACCGCGTCCTGGCCCGAAGAAGGAGCAAATACTTTGTCAAACGTGAACGGAAAAGTATCCGGCTCTAATGGGTTCTTTCCCGGTCGACGCAATTTCAGGCTTGCCCCGTCAAAATCACACGAAATAACGGGAGTTGCTGTGTTGGGGTCGCAGCGATCAGAGGGCAGGAAAGGACGTGTTCTGGCGAATACTCGAACATTTCCACGCAGCTCCTACGACGTCAAACGACAACAGGTCAGGTAATGCAGACTACACCTCACCATAGTAAGTTTACCTGTATTGTGTTGTGCATCGCTCTTCGAAGCTTGTCACCCTGCTTGATCTTTTCTCGCAGCTCCAAAATCATATCGTCCTTTTGAGCAATCGATTGGGCGCCTTGACTTGTCAGCTCGCCAAGACGCCGGCGCAAAACATCGGCCTCACGCTGCACCTTACACAGCTCCTCGACATCGCCATCACGTGCTGACGAGACTCGCGTTCGCAAAGTCTGTACTTCGCTTTCCAAGCTGACTTTCTCCTCCTGTAACTTATCAATCTGGTACCTAAAGTCGTCCCTTTCTTGCTGGAACCTTAGCTCCAGGGCGCCAAGTTGCGAGGTGTGCTGCTCCTTCGAATCTGCATTCGCGGACTGCAGTCGCATCATTTCTGCCTTGACCGCTTCCAGCTGCGCATTCACGGCAATGTGTTCTGTCCGAAGTTCGCGCACTTGATTTTCGAGCATTTGACGAACACCTCCTTCTACGCCTACCTTCTGCACGTTTGAGTTGAGCTCCGATTCTAGCTTCTTCATCCGGGCATAGATTTCTTGCTCACTCTTTTCAGCCTTTTTCTGGGACTTGATTGCTGACTTCGAAAAACATCAACATCATCATACCTGCTATTTAGCCAAGCGACAATTTCACGATACCAGAACTTCCGTACCTCTAATTGCTTGCTCAGGTCGCGCGCTGTTGTAGAGCTTGATGACTCCTGTCGCTCGAGATCACGAATGGTGGCATGAAGCTGCTCAACCTTATCAGCCAACTCTCTTTTATCAGCTTCAACCTTCGTGCTTGCAGACGCGTTAAATTTCTGCATATCAGTCAAGCTTCTCACAAGATTGGACACTTCTTCGTCTTTGTGTTGGAGCTTCTCCTTCAGTTCTACAACTTCAATCGCAGCGCTGCTCACTCGAGCCTGTAACGACTGATTCGTTGCCTCGAGAGTACACTTTTCCATCTCGGACTTAATGCGACGTTCACGTTCGTCATCAAGACTGCTTGCAGCATCGAGAGCCTTTTCCTTGTAGTTGTCAAAATCTTTTTGTACTAACGCAAGTTCTTCACGGGCCTTGCGAAGCTGCTCCTGCAACTTTTCGAGCTCGACCTGCTTCCGTTTGCTTTCTTCCAGCACTTTCTTCTCGTGCAACTGCTCTAGTTCACGCTTCCGTTCTTCAAAGCGCCGAGATTCGTCTACGACGCGTGCCTCGTGAGATTTCAACGTTAGTTGCAGCTGCTCATTCTTTTTCTGGGTCTCTTCCAGCTGTATCTCTAGCTTCGCCGCGTTATCCTGAAGTACACCGTTACTGCGTACAGCTTCTTGCTCTGACGCACGAACACGTGCAATGCTTTTCTGCATATCATCATGCTCTTTCCGCAGCTTCCTCAACTCAGCTTTCGAGCAGTCGCTTTTTTTCGCTACCTGCTGCAAGGCTATTAGTCTCGTCTCCAAAGCCGTCTTCTCCGCTGCGAGTTTGTCATCAATTGCCGCCGACGTTTGGCCAAACTCTTGGATCTACCAGTAACACACACACAAAAAACACAGAGAACATGCTCATCAACAACTACAACACACCCATTAGACGGCGGTCGCAGCATTGCAGTACCTTAGTCAGCACATCCCGCACGCCAGCCTTCAGCTGCTTAATGTAATTGATCTGCTCTTCTTTTCTCGCTTTGACCGCAAATTTGTTTGTCTTGTGACGAAACGCCAGCAGCTGCTCCAGTGCTGCCACTGTCTCGTGCCCAAAGCGCTCGTCGAACTGCGCCCGCACGTGGACATCCGCCACGTCAATGGCCAGCGCGCTCCCAGCTGCGTCATCATTCATCGTCACAGTATCTCCATGCTCAGTTGGTTGCAAACCGCATGCAACGCGTGGCCGCTTCGTCGTGGTAGACGTCGTGGAGGCTGCAGCTGGGACAGTCGGCGTCGGAAGCTGCGAGATCGACAGCCCCTTGAAGCCGAAACGACGTGAAGTAGGGACAGAGGCTGCAGCAGATTTCAATGCCTTCGTGGCAGGTGGCAGACACTCGGCAGCAGCCACGTACGAGAGACTCGAGACGCGTGGGGGCGGCGCCACCACCTCGTCTCCCTTTTTCCGCTTCGTCCCCATGTCCTTCGTCGTTTATTTTGGGTTCGTTTTGATCCAATCAAGTGAAAAAGGTCGTGGTTTTATTAGGTTCGGAAATACACGAATTCATACGGTACTCGTCCACCCATCCGCCAACAGCTCTCGTCAATGAATGCACTTGGTCGTTACGGGAGGTCCCAGCGCCACACGGTCGCGTCGTCTGAGCACGTGATGATCGTGCGGCCGCTTTTGCTGAAACACACTTGACGCACTGTGCTCTTGCAGCTGTTGTGCGTCAACTTGCACACGGAGCGCTCCTGCTCAGCGTCCACGTCAAAGACGCTCACTACGCCCTTCTTGTTGCCCACCGCCATCACTTCCAGCTGTGCGTCGAGCCCGAACTTCATAAACCACAGGTCCGCGTCCTTGTAGTGGTACTCGCGCAAGACCGTGACCGCGTCTTTGCCTCGGGACGGGTTCGGCTTCCAGAAAATCACCTTGTTCCCAGTCGACTTGGACAGAATCAAGTCGCCCACCATTCGCACGCAATCCACGTAGTCTGCGTGCACTTTGCTCGTGCAGAACGCTGGGAACTGGATGAACTTGGTGTCGAACGGACGATCCGCTGGACGAGGCTCCTCGTACGACTTCGTGATGGCTGTCTGAACGACCTCGTCCTCGAGATCCCAAATCTTGACAGTGTTGTCCATGCCAGACGATACGAAACACGAGCCCTTCAGATGGACGTCCACGCTCAACACGTCATCACGGTGGCCGACGTGACCGGCAAAGATGGCTACGCACACCCCCGTGAGCGAGTTCCACAGACGAATGGACTCGTCCTTGCCAGCCGAGAACAGCAGACTCGGGTCGACCGGGTGGAACTTGAGCTCGTTCACCGAGTTGCCGTGGCCAGACAGCACGACGACCACCGATTGGGTGATGCAGTTAATCACTTTGATGTGGCCGCGGAAGCCTGCGGCAGCTAGCAGCGGCGACCCCGTGATCACGTCCACGGTCCACGCAGCCGTGAAGTACTGCTCTTCCTGGTCTCCGTCGCAGTACACTTGGATCACATCGAGTCCGCCGTTCTCCAGACACTCGTACACGGTCAGCTGAAAAGCCACCCAACACACGCACAAGGCCAAGAGTGAGACAAGCGAGCATCCACTCAACAAGATAGTGCATCCCCCGCCTCGTCCGCTACCGTACTCGGTTGCCTCCAGCCACTGCAAACATGCGCTCGTACACGGGCAAGACGTCGCAGAACATGACGCAGTACAGCGCGTTCCCATGGTCCTCTCGGGCGTAGGCTGCGCATCAGTGAAGTCAACGGAACAGCCGCAACGCAGTAGCACGCCGTCAGTCAGTCAGTCAGTCAGTCAGTCAGTCGGTCACGGTAGCCAACGAGTGGATGGACTACGACGTACAGGAAAACTTGTAGCCTTTTTTGCGGAGACGCGGGAGCAGCGACGCTGGTGTGACGTCGTCCACGCCATCCACTGGCATCGCCTTGCTCGGAGTGAGAGGGACCACTGCGTTCATGTCGTGGAGTGGGTCAAACGTAAAGGACCCACGACTTGTGCAATTGGATCGGGTCGAGGGAGAAACGACGGCGTTTTGGGTGGTGGAGTTGCACCGAGACCGGTAAACGTCGACGTCATCTGGGTGGGACTTGCGAGCAAATAAGCGTGCGACCGCGTCTAAATTGATCGCGCGAGAACTGTGATACCTGATATGTTGTTGACAGATACAAAGTCCGCAGCGGGTTGTAATTGTACTGAAATAATGATACAGCTTACAAAGTGCTTTGGTTGAAGGTCGTTTGAGTGCTGATTCTTTTACGCAATTAATTCTGGCAAGACGCGATTGCTTAATCTCAAATGACGTCATTCACCTCCATCATAACCGGGACGGTGTGAGTCTGAAAGTAGATTCCAACCTTAAACACTGAGCGGGAATCGTAAAAAAGCAAAGGCGAAACGGCTCTGTTCCTTTTTATCCGACTGGGTCTCTCGGATTCATTTTTAGGGGTAGTAACACTAAGAATTACGCTCCAGTCGCCAAGAGCAGATCCTACATAATCGATACACAATGACTGTTTACTCTCTTGCCTGTGCAAAGCTCAAACGACGGTAGCAGTACACTATCAAGCTAACACCCTCTTAACGTCCTTACTTTCTGCTCGAACCTAATCCTATGAGCAACAGCACAGGTGCGTTAAGTACGCGCAAGATAATCCATTCTAGATGACCTGTAAGTGCGGCCTCGTCACTGCCGTCATCTACATTACACTTGAAGGTGCCACATCCTCCTCGTTGTGTCTAGATGTTTAATTACGAAACGCCTTCGTCTTGAGTGAAAAGGAGCTTCTCATGGAACGGGCCATGGCCAGTACGGCTGTGTTTGCCGATTGAAGAAGCGCCGATTCGTGCTGGCAGAAAGGCTTCTGTCCTATTACAAGCAATGTGATGCACATGAGATTTTAAAAAGAGATCTTGAGCGCGCGCCGTATAGCATCCTTTTGAAGAGCTTCAATGATGCCAAGTCAACTGTTTCAATACCATGACGCGCACAAAAATGTATTTGTCGAGCAAGTACAGTCAAAGAGATGGAATACTGAGTCAAGTTGCGATGGAGTGGAGTTCGCAAACTGCTGATGCGATCGCGACTCTCCACTGCACTCAGAAGACCTGCTAATGGATGTGTGCTCCGATTGTTGAAGATGTATTCCTTCTTTGCCTTGTTTGCTCATCGGTAGGGGAGGCTGCACTTTTCTCGTTAGACTTTAGTCCGTGTCAAACTTTACCGAGCCGATCGCGTGGAAATATTTACGCAAACATGGAGTATTTAAAAGACTCGGTTCCAGTTTCTCGGATCTCCTTGAGATAACCTTGTTGAAATTTGTCCTTGATCTGCGATCCTTCTAACCACTTGAGCCTTCCCGTGATCTAAACCGCTAGGGATCGCTGCATCCGATCGTAGCTGGGGAGGTGATGTTTCTTGCGCCTGGTTAAATTAATCCAGGAGCGATTTTCCATGCTAACATGGCCAAAGTTTTCTTACATCAGAAGGCCAAAATATCCGACCTGGAAGGGAAGGACACATGTGGACGTTGAAGTAATTTACGCTCTGATTAATATCATCCAACCAAGAGACACAACTATCAAAATGGAGGTGTAACGGGGCACCCTGAAGCTTGTACTGGTGACAGTACAAGCTACTTATTCTGATAACAGAATAAGGCGGTGCCTCGTAACTTCACGTACACTCGTACGTGCAGAGGAAGACGGTAAGAAGAAGCGAGTACTTGGTTTAAGTAAAAAGTAGAACTGTATTTATAGTAGTTAATGTCTGCAATAAATCACTATTTATCTTCATCTAACTATGTCTAAATACAAATGTGTAAATCAGTTATCTGCTCACCACTCATTGCGTGCGTCTGTCGTGGCGCGTCTTCGTTGGTTGATATAATGGCCTATATCAACCAATTAGGAACTACTTGGAAGTGCTACAGAATATTGTCCTTATGACAATATTCTGAGAATATAACTCTTATAGTTATATTCTATTAACAATTTCTTATAAATTGTTATGTAACGATTCACCCCGTTACATCACCCCCCTTAACCATCAGTCACTTTAGTGACTGATTGACTAAATGGATACTCGTCCCAAATCATTTGGGACGGGGTTTGCACTTGTTGGTCCGCGTCCACTTTCCAACATCTCATCGCATGGTAAACAAGCCCATGCGATGCGCGAGCAAGGCCGCCGAGAGCGCGTCTGCACGTCTCTGTGCGGACGCCGAAGCAGAAACTACAGCAACTGATGTCCCATCGGTTGCTGAATCGACTTTCAGCCTGTATCACCTGGTGATGCAGGCGCTGGTCATGAAGACACTCGTGTCTTCACAGAGTACGAGCTCGGTGTCTCGTACTCTCCTGATACGGATGACGGATCCGTATCGACGGCAATTGAATCCAAGCCGCCTGCCAAGCGTGGCATGGACGATGCTTTGCGTCGCAGCATCTTTGGTTCATCTGATGAGTCAGATGAACCATCGCCGAAGCGAAGGCGCTCGAGGTCGCGAGACTCGGGCGCTAATAGTGGTGTCGTTTCTCCAATGGACACCACTTCACAGCGAGGTGCCAGTACTTCTGTCGGCACGTCGCAGGAAGAGCGGGACCGCAATGTGTTGCGTCTCGCTCCAGAAAAGAAGGCATGGATGCCTCCTAAATCTGTCATGGATCACTTGTCGGCGACGACGAGTGATCGTTATCGAACACGATTGTTCGATTCGTCGAGGATTCATCACCTTGACCCCAGCGCGAAAGACTATCGCGCTGAACATGAGTTCTTCATCGATGCTTTCTTCAGACATCGATGGTACAGTGGGAATCACAAACGTGATGGTCCCTCACTACTTCAGGCGTGGAACGCCTACATCCATAATCTCGAGGATGTAGGTCGTGACGCTTGGAACGACAAACTTATCAAAGCTCGTGATAAGTTTGAAAAGCGAACCCCGACAGGTGCACGCTATAAGCTGCATCGTCTGTCAAGGGAGAAAGGATTACCCTGCCTCTCTTGGGGAGACTCGTGCCCATGTTGTGTGAACAACTCTGCACGAGCACCTAAGGAGGCTTACCTCCTTACCAGCCCGTGGTGGCGCGTACGTGTCTCTACTGAGATGTACGAAGGGATTGACAACCTGAAATCCCTTTACGACCGTGCCGGGAAGACTTTCTCCGGCGGTCCTTCTGCGGCACAGGATGTGTCGCGTCGTACTGCTCGACCAGACCCAGTACGTCAACCATCAATTGGGAGCGGGGCTCCCAAGAATCCCAGGACGGGGGATAGCCGCGCCACCGGACGAGGTAACTCGTCCGACGTCCGTTCACGTCGCGGTGGTTCAACAGCTGCTCTACTAGATAGCGCTGGCCACCGCGAGAGTCCTCTAATGGAGGTGGAGGAGGAGGAAAGACGCTCTCCACACGATCATGTGGATCGGTGTGTTCCCGAGAGCTTCTTTGATCGCGTAACGCAAGGGTTACGCGACGATCTCGAGCATGAGCGGAATAGGCGTCTCCAGATGGTGGACACTGCCTCGAAGCATCGAGCTGAGTTTGCCTTTGCTCAGCTTGAGAACGAGAGATCTCTGACATCTCTTCGTGACGAGCTAAGGGTAGCTCGTGGGATTGTTGATCGGTCTCGGGCTGAGATAACTGCTCTTCAGACCCTTGTTGATGCCCACCATCGGGAGCACAAGGCTCTCTGCGAGATGCTTGAGCGCAAGGGCGTTCTTCATCGGAAGAAGCAGCGTACTGATGGTACGGCTTAAGCCGACCAACGTAAAACGTGGGATGCGTTCGCATCTTACGTGGTAACTCGATCGTGTATGCATTGCCTAGGCGGTGCAATACACGAAATGGGCCAATGTACTTGGGTAGTAGTTTACTGCTACCCAAGTTAGTCACTACATGTTTTGGTAGATTAACCGTAGACAGTAGGACTAAGTCACCTTTATTAAATAAAAGAGTGTTTGCCCTTCCATTCTTGTCAGCGTTTTGCTTTTGCTTATCCACCGCTTCGGCGATGGAGTCTTGCACAAAACGGACTACCGTTTCACGAGCCAGTATGAACTCATCTGATGACTCGTTAGCTTCAGTGTGCTGTGAGCGCACTGCAGCGACAACAACCTTTTCTTCAGTGAGGGCTTCCGCACTCTCACTGGGATCATTGTCTTCAGTGAGGGCTTCCGCACTCTCACTGGCATCATCTTCTTCGATATCGATGTTATCGATATCGGCATCAAACGCAATGACTTCTTCGTCAGAGCGTGATGAGCGTGAACCAAATCGGTTTTTGCTCGCGCGAGTCCCTCCCCCTTAAACCAGAGTTACACTCTAGTAAGGTGGGTACACGCGGATGGCGCAAGCCATTCACGTAAAACGGTGTATGTGTCGTGGACGCATGCACCGAGTTGTTGATGGCAAACTCTACCATCGGCAAAAACTCACTCCAACTCTTAAAGGAGTGTACGTATCCTCGAAGTATCTCTTCAAGGACACGATTGGCACGTTCCGTCTGACCATCTGACTCTGGATGATCAGATGTTGACATCTTCAAGCGCGTTCCGAGTGATTTGAACACGGAACGCCAGAAATCAGCAGTGAATCGTGGATCTCTGTCTGATACGAGTTCACGGGGGCAACCCATGAAGTCGGAAGATGGTGTCAATAAAGACACAAGCACAGCCACTTGCCGTGATTGTCTCTGGTACAGCCACAAGGTGTACCATTTTGCTGAATCTGTCAACAAATACGAGAATACCCGTATTCCCGCGTGCGTCTTTGGGTAACCCGAAGACGAAATCCATTGAGATGGATTCCCAGCACTCAGCCGGAACCGGTAGAGGCTGTAAAGGTGCACGCAGTGAAGGACTTGACTTCACTCGTTGGCAGACTTCGCATGCGCGAACATACTTTCGCACAAACTGATACTGGCGGGGCCAGTAAAAGTCTCGACTTACCGTGAGATATGTTTTCTCTCGGCCACGATGTCCTCCTATAGGAGCATCGTGATACTCGAACATGATCCGCAAACGCAGATCAGTATCATCTGGAATGACAACACGTGGTGTGTCACCAGAAACGGCTGTATAGTACAGTAAACCGTTACGAGTAGTGTATCGATCTGATGCAGATCGATACGCAGACGACAATCGTTTCAACGATTCTCGAGATGGTTGGGAGAGATGTGACAACAACTTCACTATCTCACCATCTTGGGCGTATGCCCGCCTCACATCATCATACAACGTTGTAGATGGAACTGAGGACGTCATAACCGCAACAGTGACTGTCTCACTGTTGGGTTTCGCGACTGTTTCAAAGTCGGGACGACGTGAGAGTGCATCAGCGACGACATTAAGTCGTCCTGGTTTGTACTCGACCGTAAAGTTGTATTCTGCAAAGAATGACAACCACCGCGCCATTCGTTGTGAAAGGTGCGGGCTGTTCACTGCCGTGCGTAAGGACGCATGGTCAGTGTAAACAACGAAGGGTCTATCTGCTAATAGATAGACTCTGAACTTCGCGAGTGCATACTTCATGGCAAGGAGTTCCTTGTCATGCACTGGATAGTTCCGCTCAGCTGGTTGCAGCTGACGCGACTGATAGCAGACGACGCGTTCAACGCCTTCAAGGTCGTACTGCATTAATGCACAGCCGATTGCGAAATCGCTGGCATCACAGACCACATGAAATGGCCTGTCCTGATCGGCTATTGCTAGGACTGGGGATTGTATCAAGCTCTGCTTGATACCCTCAAAGGAGCGTTGACATTCAGCGTTCCATAACCACCTCTCGTTCTTTTTCAACAAACGAGAGAGGTGTACAGTCATCTCGGCGTAATTGCGTGAATACTTATGCAAATACGCCGCTAGCTAAGGAATTTTCGAAGACCTTTGACATCGACCGGCACAGGCCAGTCGGTGATCGCCTTGATCTTTTCGGGATCAGGACGTACACCGTTCTTACCAACGATGCACCCAAGAAGTGGTATTTCGCTTGCTGCAAATATACACTTCTTGAGGTTTGCATACAATTGATGCTTTCGCATGATTGTAAGAACTTGTCGGACGTGGTACTTGTGAACCTCAACGTCCGACTTTCCATCCATAGCTCGACTATGGATGAATACGTCATCGAAATAACTCGGCGCGAATTCTCGTACTGGCCTCAACAGATGTGGTACACACCTGTTGAACGTGGCAGGGGCATTACTGAGCCCTTGTGGCATTACTAGCCATTCCCAGAGCATGCCGCTAGGCGTGCTAACTGCGGTATAGGGTATATCCCGTTCCCGCATTAGGATTTGATAGAAGCCATCCATCAAATCCATGGACGAAAAGATGGTACTCTTTGACATACCATCAATGATTACGTCCTTCCTCGGTATCGGCGTCTGAGCCGGTACCGTTGCAGCGTTCAATTTGTTAAACGCGTGCACTATCCGCCACCCTCCTGTTGCTTTTCGCACACAGAAGGTCGGAGAGCTATGTGGGGAAGTTGATTCCCTCACATGGCCCGCTGCTAAACGATCGGCAAAGAACTTGTCGATCGCAAGTACTTGTTCACGAGGCAGTGGCCACTGCTTCATGACACAGTACTTCGAGCCTGGTTTAAGCTCGACTTCGTGTCGAATACCTTTATCCTTCGATAATTCGCACGGAACAGTTTCAGGGAATACATCCTTGAATTCAACCAAATCTTCATAGAGAGGATTTTCCTTGAGCGATTCCCATGATTGGGACTCATATCGCTCAATTCGTGTCTTTTCATCTAGGACACTCTCGTCCATAGATGAACTACTGAGAACTCTCTCGTTCTCAGTAAACACTGTTGCTGACCTTATGTCGGTTACATACTCGTCTTCAGCGACGAGTATGCAGATCTGCTTGACTTTGCCACTACGCAGATCACGCAAGAATCTTTTATGTTCGAGCGTTGGCAACTGAGTGATCTCCGAAGTTAACTTCGGAGGCGCAATCAGATCAAGTGTATAAGCGCCTACACATGATCCGTTATTGACTATGACATTCAATGTCTCTGTCATTTCCTGGGGACTTATTCCCTCAGGCTTCGAAGGACTTATTCCTTCGTCTTCCCGGGGACTTATTCCCGCGGGTTTCGGGGAACTTATTTCCGCCGTATTTGTAATCTTGGGACTTATTCCCTTTACTTCCTCTAGCTGGGGTTGCGCAACCACAGCGAGATCCTCTACGAAAGACTCTCCAGTCGATCTAGGATTATCGTTTCGCTTAACCTGAGCGATCGATTGTTTCTCTTCTAGATGTTCCCCTCTAGGGGATACATCTTTGTCCCAGTCCACCCGACTTATTCGAGTGGTGGACCTTCAGCGCAGCCTGTGTTTCCTCACAGCCGCCGGAACTTTGCTCCGAAGTGTAACCGTTTGGTACACTAAGGTTTTGTGCAGTCGTACTAACGACCGTACCACAAGTGAGGCCATCGCACTCACTCGTAGTACATCCACACGCTTGTGGACTCTCCAAAACGTTCATCAGATGGCCATCTGATGAACAAGCGGCAGGCATCGTTACTGTCCGATGTTGCCAGTTTACCCGTGGTTCGTACCTTCTGAGCCACGGTATTCCAAGGATGACATCAAATTTGTCATCCAAATCCAATACGATAAAGTCATCGTCGTATTGGGTATCTTCTAGCGTATAGTGAATCTTCACTATACGCTTCATGACGGTTACGGATGCGCCTGTCGCAAGACGTACCGTCATCCTCGTAGGAGGTGTGTCACATTCACTGAATTTAAAGTGACCATCTTCTAGCGATTGGCGTCGCACAAAATTGTTGGACGCCCCACAATCGACTAGAGCTCGAAGGGACAACTTATTCGTCACTTCGAGTTTCAAGGTAATGAGTGAGATCTCATTACCTAGAGCAGCAACGCACAATGTCTGTGTGTTGGGAGCAACCTTCATCAAAGAGGCCTACAAATTCTCTTGACGTTGCTGGATCAGTAGGGTGCTCCGCACCTACTGATCCTGTCCGTTTTTTGACGGTCCATCCCGTTGTTGCGTCTTTGCACCAACTGCGGACCCTCGTCCCTGCCCCTTTCTCATGGGTGGACGGTCACTACGCCCAGTGTCGCGAGACACTGGACGAGGGCACTACACTCGTAAGCGTAGTGTCCTGTCTTTTGACATCTGTTGCATCTCTGCAACTTCTTGTAGCCTGTAGAGCGAGCCTTCTCGCTCTCTACATAACAGAGTTCCATCGGCTCTGGACCTCCGTTGTCATATCGTCTCGGTTGACGATATGATGTCGAGCTGGCGCGAGCCTGTCTCAGACTGAAGTCTTCCTGCTCCGCAATTGAAATGGCTTGTTCTAGTGAATCTAGTTCAAGCCGGAACAGGTGAGTCTTGACGGGACCATCCGCAAGACCCTGCATGAACACCGAAACCAACGTGTGTTCATCCACCGGATTGGAACTTATACAACTCGTGAGATGTCGTATATGTTGAGCGTAAGCGTGCACATCACGCTTACCCTGCTTGAGCTTCAAGAGTTCGGTTCGAGCTCTGAACTCAGCTCTAGGCAGTTCAAACGTTTGTCTGAGCCGCGACTTGAAGAGACTTCCAACGACCCAAACGCGTATGGGTCGTGCAGCTTGAGCCCCAGTGCCCAAGTCTTGGCACGTCCTGCCAGATTTGACTGGGCAAATGCAACTTGCATATCCCCGTCGTCGATGCGACGCGCCCTTATGGCGTCATCCAATTCGACGAACCATCTCAAGAGGGAGTCTTCTTCGACCCCCTATACTTTGAGATGTCAATCTTCAAAGTCTCGGGCCGACGCGAGTGCATCGACCCGCCAGCAGCAGCCTGCTGCTGTCTCAACAGTTCAAACTGTTGAGCACCTTGTTCTCTCAACAACTCTGCTTGTTGAGAACCTTGTTGGTGAAGCAAGGCTACTTTCTCGCGTTCTGCGTCAAGTTCATTTTGAATGAACTTGGCGATAGTAGCATGTTGGGCATCTCTATTGAGAGCCTCTAGCATGACGCTAACAGCATGGATGCCCATGGTCGAACCCATTCGTTCAACCGCATCCCATTCGACATCGCTCAAATGGGAGTAGCCGTCACGCGTAGCGTGAAAGCTTTGGTCATCTTCATCATCCAACATATTCATGTTGGATGTGAACACGGTCCTTGGACGGACTACGAAGTGCTACCAGGTGTAACGGGGCACCCTGAAGCTTGTACTGGTGACAGTACAAGCTACTTATTCTGATAACAGAATAAGGCGGTGCCTCGTAACTTCACGTACACTCGTACGTGCAGAGGAAGACGGTAAGAAGAAGCGAGTACTTGGTTAGAGTAAAAAGTAGAACTGTATTTATAATAGTTAATGTCTGCAATAAATCACTATTTATCTTCATCTAACTATGTCTAAATACAAATGTGTAAATCAGTTATCTGCTCACCACTCATTGCGTGCGTCTGTCGTGGCGCGTCTTCGTTGGTTGATATAATGGCCTATATCAACCAATTAGGAACTACTTGGAAGTGCTACAGAATATTGTCCTTATGACAATATTCTGAGAATATAACTCTTATAGTTATATTCTATTAACAATTTCTTATAAATTGTTATGTAACGATTCACCCCGTTACAGGAGGCCAGTATAGACCGCCACGCGTCGTCTTCATGCCGTGTAGGTTTGTAATCTTCTTTTATCAGGTGGCCCACGCCAGATCGTGTTGCGCAGTTTCCATACTTGATCTTACCCCTAGATTGTGGTGCGTGATCGCTACGCCTTTATCGTGGTTCCGGATCACGGTGCCTTGATCATGACGCCCGATCGTTGCTGGTAAAGGCTGTGTGCGATCGTGACATGTGGTTCAAAATAAATGTGTGGTCCACACTAATATTACAATCTTCTTTGGTGATCGCAATCTTAAACAGCAGATTCATGCACCCGCCCGCGGTCGTCATTCATTGTAGCTATTACGCCTCCTTTCACCTCCAGATAGCATCTTCAATTTCTCCTTTTGCATAACACAGTCCACATCAATTGCCGCTGATATACGTCCATCACCAGTACTCGTACCTTCCTAATTTGAATCGCGTTGGAGCATCGACCGCGTCTTCAACAGCGATAGCGGTATTGGCTAGTCTTCTCGCGGTCGGCGTCTGGAACACAACCATCTAGGATAATTCGCGTGGGACATGTGATGCATATGAACGAATCAAATATGTACAAATACGACCTTAACGCACAAGAAATTTAATCGCCTAGTTAGGTCGTCCAGTAGGCTACAGTGCAAGCCACTTATAATCAACAACACCTACAAAATGTGGCCAAATTTTGTCCCTAAAAAATTGTAAGCAAAAATGGGAAATTTTCATATCCGGTAGGTGAACAATCGCGTGACTTTACCTGACTGCGATACCTCATAAAGTACTTTTGACAACTTTGTTCATTTTGGTAAGAGGTATGAGGTATCTGGTTATTAAATGGTGGTGTAGTGCTAATTTACGATTGATTTGGGGAGGAAGTTCAAGTTAGTGACAGCGAAGAAGTCACTGAAGACCGGGCAGCCGAGGTCTCTCTGCGCTTAAAGAACCTCGCGGTAAAAAAGGATGGCCGTCAATTTACGTAGGCAACTCGGAAAGAATGCGGCGTCGGCAGAAGCTGTGGCAGAAGCAGACAGCTACAGGAGCACGGCCGTTGACCAGCTATTGGCAACCTTATTAGGGCGCGGAGGTCGAGCGACAGGAGAACTCTAGAGAGGAAGCGGATGGAGAAGACCCTGAGGAAGGAGCTGGCACTTCTGCTGCCTGGGAGGATGCTGCCGTGCCGCAAAGAGCCGTCGATTAGTTGAAGCAGCAGTGTAAAGGAAGTTCCAAGTTTAAAGGAGCCCGTGGCGTGGCCATGTTGGCGTACATGCGTCTTGTCCAGAATGTCAAATCAAGGATAGCCGCTAGTGAACTCGCAGCTGAAACGTGCGTCAAAGGTGTCTACTTTGCACGTTCAATTCGCAGCTGGACCAACACGTTTCTGTTTGACTGAAGACTTCCGCATAGCCGCCAAGGAAAGCATGCAAACGCTGGTCGTTACTGTGGGACGAGGATGTCCTCAACGATGTTCTGGCCTTCCTTCGTAAACAAAATTTTATATCGAAGTGCGTAAAATGGTGGACCACATCAACTCTGAAGTTTTGCCAAAGCTTAAATATGCTCCGTACCCGACAATTTCAGAGAGCACCGCCATCCGCTGGTTAAATAAGCCTTGGCCTTAAATACTGTGAAGTCATGAAGGCCATCTAAATGGACGGCCATGCGCGCGACGACGTTGTGGTTTATCGAAAAGTCTTTGTGGAGAAAATGGCAGATTACGTCCCAAATGGCTCAATTAAGTGGCGACATGCCGATGATTATCACATGCCCAGAAGGACAAACTTAAATCTTGTGCACACATGATGAGAGCACCTTTGCGGACTTTGCTAGAAAACGGCGGCTCTGTTTGACGGATGGAGAATAACCACTACGGAAAAAAGGAGCTGGACAATCGCTTTATGTCAGCGATTTTCTAACGGACTTTAGTGGGCGCTTGGCACTCGAGGACAGCGACACAGACCTACCTGAAGCTTCTCAAGAAAGACTTGCTTATTCTTAAACCCGAAAAAACTACGATGGATGGTAGACAGCCGAATACCTGGTAATGCAAGTAAGAGATCGATCAAAACCTACTTTTAAAGGTCGATTTCCAGGGGAACAGGCGCTTTTTGCATTCGACAATGCCACTAGCCATGCCGCTTTTGCGCCTGATGTCCTGTTTGCAAACAAGATGAACTTTTCGCATTTGGAAAAAGCGGCCAAAAATGCGGTAAGTTTTACATTAGGTTTGTCGTTTTGTCAGCGACATTACTACCGTGCTGTGTGCTAACTGAATTATTCACTGCACAGGGCAACAAAATTCGTCCAAGACGAGCAATTACAATTTATGTGCTTCCTGCAGGACCACCCTGATCCGGCTTTTAAAGGACAGCCAAAAGGACTGAAATCGTGCTACAGGAAAGTGGTCTGTGGAGAAACGGGTTTCGACTTGATTACAAAGATGAGTGTGAAGACTTGAGGATGTGCTGCGCCCTTTCCATCATAGCCAAACAACCTGCCTTTGTTGGTCAGGTCGGAATGCTTGAGGCTCTCGTCGTTGGAAAAGGCCACAAGATTATCCTTTACCCAAAAATTCATCCAGAACTCAATTTTATCGCAAATGTGTGGGGTGCGGTAAAGCGGTATGCCAGGACGCATTGAGACTACACGTGGAGTGGTCTACAAGAAACGCTGCCAAAAGCCCTGGATTCCGTCAGCATGACAGAGCTCCGACGGTATGCACGTAAAGCGCAGCGGTACATGGATGCATACCAGAAAGGTTTCATGGGAACAGCTGCAGAATATGGCGTCAAGAGGTACCGTTCACACCGGCACATACCAGCCACGGACCTCGATTAACGTGATTTTCAGACAATTTAGATTTTTCTATCAATTTTAATTGGATAGTAATTGATCAGTTGATAAAAATTTGATTTTAATCAATTTATCCTTGGCCAAATTTTCCCTCGCCCATACAAAAATGCTACCATTTGCTATACTTTAAAGAGGGGCTGCTCTATGAAAATGAAGATCCATGAAATCCTATTCCATAGAACTGCTCAGTATGTTCCCAGCTTTCAATGTATAGAGGCTGTTCAATGATTAGTGCAGCTTCTGGAGGCAAGCTCACGAAGAAGCTTTAGGTGTTTGAGTTGCTGATTATAAGTGACTTGCAATGTAGTACGTTGGGATACAAAACCCTTCGCGGATCGTTCCTTCAGGTTCAGTTGTACATTAAGCCTAACCGATTTCTTGCAATCACCTCTTTAGATGACTGCTGAGCTCTGCAGCTTTTAATCCTCATGCCACATAGCCTCACAACAAAGAGTGGATGCTGATGCTTTGAGTATTTTTACATGCCATCGGACGCAGTGTATGCCCAAAATTAGACTAATTAAGAAGCCTCTGCTGAGGCCTGCCGATTTGTCACCCAGTTAAGTTTTAGCGGTGTTTTCTACTGAGTAGCAACTACTCGACATCGACAAGTAATAAGCAGTACCATCTATTGGGTTGACCGGTCTTCGTCTACAAGTTTCTTTCTTTCTCCGTCTCTTCATACTCTTCATTTTATTGTCCCTATCGTCAAGACCCTCATACGTTTGCGCCCGTGAAACCTCCTCAACGACCGCCAACCTACTCGTTTTCTGGCACCATCTTCAAGTTTGTTTGATACAATCGATAATCTTGATACGCGAGCATTGTCTACCATAATAATCGAGTGGTAATCAATTTCTTTCTTATCCTTGTTGACTTCACTTTTTGTCCATTTCTATTTTACAATTCTGTTCTCGTCAGGCCGTTCTGTAGCACTAGAAATTAAGTGCACATAGTTCGCGTCGACTTACATTTCAAGTGACTGTTGCGACACATTTCTGTGCGACTTAGTCACAGTTGACAATAAATGTAACTTGATAACCCTATGAATAGATATACTGAGGTGTCTGTACGATTAGGTATTTAACTGAAGACTTTAAGAACTTTGCGCGTTTCTCGAAATGCTCCGACAATTTATACCGACGTCATGCACCCCTTTTGTAGAACTTGCAACTTGGTTTAAAAAAACGGGCTTCGTGTTCAGACGTCTAGTATGCCTGCAATGCCCTTACACTCGTCTTTCCATCGAAATTGTTCCTTTTTAAAGTCGGTAGTGGCTTTCACGGTGATCGATGCGGTTTTCTATATCATCCGATGATCCGGTCCAATTGGCTTGTCTTGCTTGTTAACTATACTTAATTGGACGGTAGATGCAGCCTTCGCACTTCCATACCGCTTTGAGAAAGTAAGAGTCATCCACTGAACTCAGTCACTGCTGGATGCGCTGGAGCTCTCCTTGCTCATATACTAGACTCGACGAGTATGTTAAAACACGCAGCTGTCGCCCCCAAGTACTCCGTAATAGCACCCGTGATAGCGCCTCGACGATTCTGGTCGTTATTTTGATATCCATTCCACTTTTTTCGTCGTGGGCGACTGTCTTTGCGGACAAATCGGCGCTCATCGTATCGACCCCGGTGTTCTTTACAGACTTAGTGGTACCTGCCGTCGCATCGTGAATCTGTTCGGCGAGTGTAGTGAGCTTGGCTTTCTTGTTGGCGAGTATCGTCATTACTGATCTCTCAACCCCGACAGTCTCTAGCCTTCTTCGACGACTCTCTGAGAATCTTTCTGTGCTCGCTCTATCGCGTTATATATCACGTTTCTCTCTGAAAACTCGATGATAGTCTTCTCGATCCACTCTGTGCCATCAAGTTGTACGAGTAGATGAAATTTATGAGTTCATCACAAAAAAGAGAGTGAGAAAGCTCAACGTGAACAGTGGCATCGGCTCCTCCCTTTTCAAATCATAGTTGTGCTGTTGAAAAAATCCACATAGTCGCAGTGGGTAATCACGTACATACTCCACTCTTGAATTTTCGCTGAGAAGTACTGCGAGCGTGCTGACTGGTTAGTTAAATTTGAAAAAATAATAATCTATGAAGGTAAATTATACAGTTTGCATCGTCTTTGCCTCTTCTTAGACAGTAATTGGTAATGCCTATTAGCCGCTTCCCCAAATTGAGCGAGAAAATCTCACAGTACTCGTCTTGAGACTTGCAAGTGCTCTTCACATCGTGTATAAATTGTTTTTTCCACTGTAGTGACTATTACACCGGTATTGCTTGACTTCGAATAAAGCTACCTTCTTCATCGGTCCGTGCGTAACTATTTCTAGCGCTTATACTTTCTGGATAGCTGGTCCATCAACGTGATCGTCGAACGTTGTTGGTCATCAAATGACTGGCTCTACTTTGCATGCACTATTGGGCGTGTTCTTCATCATCCCACGCGGTTACTCCATCGTTGACCTTTGACTCCAAGAAGGTTGCTAGTCGTTTTTCTCTTTTGTAGATAGTGACTTCTCAATGTATGGTGATTTTTCAGCTCGAAAGAATACTTGTTGTCATGATCAGTATTTGTGGCTCTGCAAACTTTCGGTGACTCGTGGTACTTGTTCATATTTGACTTTGACCATACCGCACCGACAACGGGCCCTTTAAGTCACACGTATATACTTCTCCTTGCACCGTGCGATGCAATCTCGATGAAGACTTAGACCTTCCCCTTAGCCTAACGCTTCACTCGAATTTATCATCCACCTTTCACTTCAATCCTAAGCAAACGTAGGCGAAATGTTGCTTTTAAAACCTTGAGCTGCGGTGTAACATTACGAGTTCTTACACAATAGTCTCCACGATATTTACCATGTAGGTAGAGAGTTGCGTCAAGTTCCGGTCTTTGAAGCTTTTATTCATCACGGTTCTCAGGTTTTTCCATCTCGAATACGGTGATCGCTCAAAACCGAATGGTCCAATCCACGTGCTCATCTTAATCTTTTTGGAGACTTAGTAAATGACTCGGTTCACTCGCGACGTAGTGTAACTCTTAGCCGTTTGAAAGATCGTCGACAGTAGTTCATCGATAGCCGCTACTTGTTCTTCTTCTTCATCCTCATCATGCTTGGCCTTTACGCAGTCCTTAACAGCGTAAATTGGACTAACACTCTCCGCGTGTAGCACACTCTCTTCCCCATCTTCGTCGGACACCAATAGTATAAAACCCGGCTCTTCATTTCTTCATCCTCCACTTGATCATCTATCTCAAAGTCGTTGACTTCTATTTCTCTTTCCACGTTCGCGTCGAAATCAGCGTTGCTCGCTCACTCGCTCACAATCGTTATGACTCCGCGTGTGGCGATACTACAGATGTCGCTGCAACACAGTCGCTCGCTTTTCTCGAATAGATGACCTCATCTCTCTTAGTCGAATGCTTAATTTCCGTAAACAATACACTAAAACCTAGGTTGCGGCACCGTTTGTAATACAGTCGTTGGCCAAATTAGTACAAATACAGCCTCAACGTACAAACACAACAATCACCGAGTTAAATCGTCAAATAGGCTAGTACGTTAGGATAAGATCCCTTCGCGATTTTCCCCTTCAGGTTCAGTTGTGGCTTTTGCCTTACCGATGCTTCGTACCCAAATTTCTTAGAAGAACGCCTGAGATCAGCAGCTTTTAACCTCACACCCATGTGAACTCACACCAAAGGGTTGACGCCGACGCTTTACGCGCCTTTTACAAGTCGCTGGACGCAGGGTACGCTCAACTATAGAAATTAAGATCCGTCGGCTAAGATCCATCGTCTGATCACTCGGACAAGCCTTAAAATGGTGTCTTTTACTGAGAATTACCGGCTCGTCAATCGACAAGTCTTTAGCAACACTATCGATTTTGGCGACTGGTTAGTCAATCGACAAGTCTCAGGCAATACCGTAGATTGGGTCGACCGGCTCGTCACTCGAAAAACCTTAAGTGGTACAATCTTTTGGCCTGATCGGGTCGTAGTTGAAGAGCGCCTTTTTGCTAGGAGCGAGTAAATTCTACCCCAGGCCAAATAGTACTCTTGACGCTTCCAGTGATATACATTCAAGCTAAGCCTCTTAAAATATAATTGCAGGTCTAATTTAACCTACGCAGCGACTCATTGGAAGAGTATTTGCTTTACCAGTACGCAAAACATTATGCAATATACTAATTTATCGCTTTTGCTCTATCTTGGATCTTTTTTGTGTGCCTCTTCTTCGTTATCCATTTCTCCTACACAAACACCTGATGACACCTAACTTGGATCTTCCGTCACCATCAGCTGAATATCCGCGTCCATCAACCTCATCGTTCGCCGACTTATGCTTTGCCGACAGAAGTGCGCTGACGAATATTCTGTCGACTCACAATTTCCGCCAACTCGAACCGATACTAATACTATATATAATAATTCCCTTCACGACACTTTTTAGTGCATATTCTCGAAGAGCAGAGTTATAAAACGCAAAAGTTCGTATTGTGGAATCCCATAGCGCATAGTCTTAAACGCGGAGTTCCAAAGAGAACTTCAGCTTACAAAATCACTAAAATACAGGGCCTATCTGTTAGGTGACCAACGGCGACGAAATTCACCAAGGGGGACGATCGGATTTACGTCATACTTCCTAATCCATCAATTAACCTATAAATAGCATTTAGCCGGATATTACAATCAAGTCGTTGTGTTTCATAATAATATTCGCCAGAAAGTCGGTGCGTGCGCGCATTGAAGGCTACGTAATATACATAGATAAGGCAGTTTTCATGGTGCAGCTACTGCAGTGCATGCGACGTCATAAAGACCAAACGGTTTAAGGGCTGGAGTGTTAAATGCGATTTCTGTGCAGAGGCATGGATTGAGACGTACTAATCGCGCTAGGTCTGGAGTGTTTAATGCGATTTCTGTGCAGAGGCATGGATTGAGACGTACTAATCGCGTAGTATCATGCCGGAGAGTTGTTAAAATGTGCGTAAAGATAGAAAGTCATTGGATTCGAAAGACGTTGTGATCAAACAGTTGCTTGAAGAAAACGTATTGCAAGTATGAACGATTTAAGATCAAGAACTTGGTCATTTACTAACTAATGTCAACTAATGGTCGCTTTATTATGCGCACCAGTTCGCGCATGCAAGGGGCAGTTAAAGGCGCCGCAGATGATTCCAAATTTGATAGACGTGAAAAGAAATAATGTGGTGCTGCAAAAGCGAACGATCGACATCTTACTGCATCTTTATTTTGTGTCAATGCGGAAGATTTTTAAAAGGAGTGGGTATTATTAATCAAATGTTGGTGCTGCATCAATTTACTAACTGCGTACTACTATCCAATTAGTAGCAAATGTCACCAGATTTTGCCGCCATGGGATTAGCAGAATTTCCCTATTTTCGGTCGAGGAAAGGTCTACTTCTGCTAAAAAAAATTCTTTACGCAATCAACATTGCCAGCCTAAGCAGCAACTTGGTAGAACATTTTCAACCTTTAGCTAGAGATAATTCTATGCGATACAAGAGATCCAGTTTTGAGAAGACGCACCGTGTACCCATGGATGTGCTTGACTGCGGAGTAGGGTGTGAGGGTGAGTGATCACGCTAAAAATGGCCTTAAAGAGTGATATCTTCCCTGTACAAGAACGCCAACCTAGGAGGTAATACCTGGAGTAGAATTTTAGCGTCTAATTGCACTGACATCGTCGTTTTTAGATTCTCACAAGCAACTAAGCGCAAAATAATAGTGAATTAGGTATTGTAAGACCTATTTCAGACAAAACTGGGCGGTCATCTCAGCTACCTCCAAGAAAGAAACATTAGCCAGATGACATGGGGACCTCCAGTTTATAATTTAAGTATAACGCTCAAGCTGTACATAAACCCGTTCTTTTATCTATCCTACGCAATTGTTATAACATAGTCACACAAATTGCTGATAGTATACACCCATCTCTGATAACTCTAGTGGTCACGTTGCGTGCACTACACACACCATCGCTTGACAATGCCCTCCATCACTTCTTTTAGTTCTTCCACGCTGCCGCTCCCACTATTACATAAAGCGCTGATTTGCTATTCAATGTATGTATACCCCAGAAATCGACTCGTATTTTTATTGAAGCGGCATAATGTATCTAGGATTTACCTGTTTTTTACAGAGAGCCCTTTCTTTGATGCTATTGTGGAAAAGCCATCATCTCAAAGTTGCTGACGCAAACTGCACGCACCATTAATTTTTCCAAGACTCGCACAACCTACGGGGGATTCTCAATCCGTTTTCTGCTTTCTACTTTTGCTTGCCTTCCTTTTTGTCGGTTAGGCTGGCTCAAGACCTTCTTAACGGCCATGGGAGGTATCGATCTCGATCGATGTTCGGTTCGATTCTGGAAAGTATAGCACAAAAATCTTTGCACACGACATGATATAGAAGAGATCTCAATGCCACTTCTGGACAATCAGGTTCCATTTATGTTAAATTCTACTTTATCAGTCCTCAAAAACGCTTCAAAACGAATTCTGACCACTTAATCCATCTCGCAATTTCTTACCCAGATACGATACGGTTCCCTGTGTTGAATTGAAGCTAGTAATAAGAATTATCGCACTACTGGGTGGACAATTCAGAAGCGATTTTCTGTGGATAGGCCTGTTGGCTGTAGGGAGACCAAATAAAACAGAAAATGACGCGTGTCTTATAAGCAAATTGAATATTGTTTGATGTGACCAACTAGTAGCGAAAGCTACGACTAAATGGTTATGTATAATAGGATCACATGAAACATATCGCCTACGATGACAACCGTCTCCTTGACCTATGCGGTTCACATCAGGTACACAGCTGGATCTCAAATCTCGGATCGCGATACAATCGTAGGTCTAAGATTGCGATCGTAGTGCGTTTATCACATAAGTTATGTTTTATACACCACTCATGTGTCACGCACCTGTAATGTGGTCTACACTAAATCCCCACGATTCTTTCTCGCGGATAGGTATTTAGGGAACTTTCGCGGATCGCGCGATCACCATTCCTTTGTATCTCAGCATCTGTATTACCAAACAGTTGTACTATATTCTACATGTCCCTTACCGATATGTGTCTCATAAAAACTTATGTAAGCGCATTACCTACCACCTACATTTGCTCGACTTCTGATCCTCGAGAATTGGTATCCATTGTTTCCTTCGCGATTACGATCCATGACGGTGGGATCGCGGGATAACTGCCTGATATTTTGTCTCTATAATTATCCTGTCGCGACTCAGATTATGCCCTGGTAATTTAATCAATCCACTTTTGTCTGGACTAACGGCCATAAAGTACCTGTCCAATAGTGTGGTGACCTATCTGAGTCGGATGCATCTGTGTGAACGATCTATTCAGTCTCAAATTACACGCAACTGCTAAGATCACTCGCCATCACTCCACCACAATCGCCTCCTGCACCGGTTATCAACAAACAGTGTTTATATGAATGTGCAACGTCCAAATTAGTTTCTCCAGTATATTTTAACTTTTCAAGATGGCTGATTTTGCACCTTCGATCTTCACGGGTAACGGCGGTTCGTACACTACTTGCTACGGATCGTGTTCATAAATCTCTGCCCTGAAAACTTCCATTTCAGTCGATTATATCACAGTAACTTCAGACGCTCTGACCTTGACGTTAAAAGTCTCCAAACTCTCTGTGCTCTCACCTTCGGCTACTCCAGCAGCTTTTGTCGAGGAAGTTACAATCGCGATTCCTCACGCATCCTCGAACTCTACTATGATTCCGGGATACGAGACAGCCGGGTGATTTGTCTCAATTTTCATTGGGTCGGCACTGCTTCGCATCAGTTGCATTATATCGCATTGGTTATAGAGAGCACGAATTTGGGCGACGCGACCGCTTTTCTTCATCTTCCTTGCACTTCCAACAAAACATCGTGGACATCTACTGCTATATGTACGGCGGATTAAGCAACAGTAGGTCTGAAACCTACAGGAGAAAAGACCTAAAGAGCTCTACATCTCGGCTTCTCAGTACGGTCGGTTTATCCAATACAAATGCAATAGGATGCGTAGGCAACACCAAAAGAAGGTAAAGCAAACCAAAATTTGGGAGTAATTATTACCACTCTTCTTTACGCATTTTCCATCCTCGGTAATTTACAACTATCGAAAACGCCATGTCGCACAAGAGACGTTTGATCGTGCGACTGAAAGCATTCAGATACTGGTGGACCAGGCGACCTAACGGCTTTAAAGACACTGTACGGTGGGTCGCGGAAGGCTGGGCGCATCTACTTGAAGCGCCAGCTGTTCAGCGTGGAGATGAAGGAAGGCAGCAATGTGATGCATCATTGCAATGAAGTCCTCTACATCAGCGCGAAGCTGAGCAGCATCAGCACCGAGATGGAGGACGAGGACGTGGCATCTGCTTATTGCGCAGCCTCCCCAAGAGCTACGAGAACGTCGTTCTCAACTTGGAGATGAGCAGCGCGGAACTGCAATCGCGAGACGTCGTGAGAGTGCTCACGAATGAGCACATCAAGAAGCAAGGTGACAAGACGACATCGGTGAAGACTGAAGACGTGGCGAAGGCGTTCAGTGCCGAGCGTGAACCTCGCCAGTGTACATACTGCGGAAAATTGGGGCACACGGTGGAGCGGTGCTGGACCAAGCAGAAGGACGAAAATCAAGGAAGAGATCGACGCGGCGGCAACAAGGCTCGTGGAAGCGGAGCCAACAACGTTCAGTGGCGAACCAACAGCAACTACGACGACGACTACGATCGAGTTGCGTTCGCAGTTTTCGCTGGAGGCTGGACTTTCGACGGGCAATAATATGCCAGGGATGTGGGCAGTCGACAGCGGTACGACGCATCACATCTGCAACGACAAGGCCAAGTTCACAAGCCTGAATGAGCGAGATGAAGGTGATCTATCGCTGGCTGATGGCAGAAAAACCGCGATCAAGGGTGTGGGATCCATAGGGGAACGGGTGGTTCTGCCTAGTGGCAACGAACGCAACATCGAGATCAAAGACGCACTGTTTGTACCAAGTATGAGCAAGAATCTTCTTTCGGTACCGCAGATCAACAAGGGTGGCAGGTTACAAGTTTTGTTTGATGGGTCCAAGATGCAAGTAACGCGCAAGAATAACAAGCAAGTCGTGGTGACAGGGGATCTCGTCGATGGACTTTACTGGCTGCGGATTTCTAACGATCGGCTAATGCAGCGACACACAATGGGGCCATCGACTTACACGCGCGCATGGGTCATGCGCACCTCGATGTTCTGCGCAAGATGGTGGCCACCGGCATGATCAAGGAAGCCACGGCACCTCTTAACTCGACTGGGTCAAGTGTGTGCCGCGGTTGCCAGCTAGGGAAGATGGTTCAAAAACCATTCCCAACAAACCGTGACAAACGCCAATATGGTGTGTTCGAGTTGCTGCACTTCGACATCTGCGGGCCAGTAGAACAAGTCTCGATCGGAGGTAGCAGATACTTGCTGCTTGCGGTTAAGAAGCCAGCGGGTGCATGGAGGGATTCTGTCTGCGGTCCAAGTCTGAGAGTAAAGGCTGCATCGCGAACAAAATTCTCAAGTTTCAGACGCAGTTCGGCAAGAAGATCAACTTCGCTCGACATCATGGAGCGTATGAGTTTGCGACCAACTCGATCAAGACCTTCTACGAAGATCAAGGTATTGAGCAGCAGGTCACGGTGCCGTATGCACGCCAGACCAACGGCACCTCAGAACGCGCGATACGGACCTTCGTCACGATCGGACGCAGCTTGTTGCATCATTCAAAGCTTAAAAAGTGTTTACGGGCTGAAGCGGCAATGAAGGCGGTATCAACATCAAGAACCGCCTGCCGTCACCCATGATTGACCACAAGACTCCGTTCGAGATCGTGTATGAGTCGAAACTAAGTGTTAAGCACATGCGCGTGTTTGGATGTCGGGCGTTTATCCTGACACCAAGGGAGAAGCGACTGAAGTGGGACCCGAAGGCTCGTGAAGGGATGTTCATGGGCTACGAAGAAGCGTCTAAGGCTTATCGAGTGTACGACATTGAGTCGGGAAAAGTGGTGATCAGTTGTGACATCACCTTCGACGAATCGACTTTTGACTTTTCGATGGACCGACCAAGTGACGATGATGAAGATGCGGAGTTGGACATCAACCTCATAGCAATTATCTATGACGACGTGCGTCAGACCACCTACAAGTAGACTGGCAAGCGCAAGAGCGAAGCAAGTACCGACATGTCACGTCCAGCTCGCCCTCGAACTGGGTTGGAACAAGCAAGTGCGCCGGAACGTGTCTCCAACCGTCACCAGAAACGACGATCAAGTTTTCCCGAAACAAAGTCTGATGACTAAGAATACGCGGACGTCTACAATCAAGGTGACGACTCGACGCCTTAAACATTTTGTCGTGCAAGTGCAAACGCAGTGGAAGCAACGGATTTGAGAAATACTAGGCGTGTCTTGTTGCCAAAGGCTTCAATCAGAAGTACGGCATCGACTACACGGAGATTTACTCGCCCGTGGTGAAGTATGTGACACTGAGTATGGTGATCGCGATCACCAAGTATTTCGACTGGCCACTGGACCAACTCGATGCGGTGACAGCTTTTCTCTACGGACTGGTGAAGGAGAAGGTGTAATGTGTGGTATCAGAAGTCGTCGAGATGGATAATGACTTTGATTGTTTAAAGTTGTTGAAGGAACGGTCTCAAGCAAGCTTCACGTGTGTAAAACAGACTTCGACGAGTTGGTATGCTTTATCGGTTTCAAAGTGTCGGCGTTCGACCCATGTCTCTACATCAAGGTTGTCGACGGTCACTGTGTGCTCGTGCTGGTCTACGTGGATGACGTGTTGGTCACCGGCAGCTTGCTCGAGTTGATTGCGCAGACGAAGGCCGACCTCAAGACGCGTTTCGAGATGACCAACAGTGGCAAGTGTACTTTTGTACTGGGCATCGAACTGGTGGACGAATCGGATGGCAGCGTGACGATGTGCCAGCGACGGTATGTCAACGACATCCTCAAGCGCTTCGGCATGGATGAGTGCAAGGCCACAGCAAGTCCGGTCGACTTGAGCACTCGGCTTGTCGCAAGCAGCGAAGCGGCCAAGATCGACGTTCCGTTTCGTGAAGCTGTGGGAGCTTTGATGCACTTCACGACTGCGACGCTCCCGGACATTGCGCATGCTGTGGGGTACGTCTCGCGCTTCATGGAGAATCCGCAGCAAGAACATTGGACGGCGGTGAAGCGCATCTTTCGTTACTTGCAAGGGACCAAGTCGCACGGACTCCGCTTCCAGCCAAGCGACAAGATCGACTTTCGTGGCTACTCGGACGCGGACTGGGCCGGCGACCACGCTGATCGCAAGTCGACTTCGGGTTACACTTTCATGCTGATGGGTGCTCCTGTGAGTTGGGGAAGCAAGAAGCAGTCAAGTGTGTCGCTGTCGACGAGTGAAGAGGAATACATCGCACTGAGTCTGGCCATCCAGGAAGGCAAGTGGGTGCATCGCCTGCTATGCGAGATTTTGGCGGCCGCAAACGAACCAGGACCGGACCTCGTCATCCGTGATAACAACCAGTCGTGCATCAAGATGACGAAGAATCCGGTGAATCATGGCCGCGCCAAGCACATTGACATCAAGTACCATCACATCCGTGATGAGGTCAAGCGCGGTGAAGTGCAGCTCGAGTATTGCGAGACTTCCGTGATGATAGCGGACATCATGACCAAGGGACCTTTGGGACCTCGCCACAAGGACTTGACGACGGCTCTCGGCATTCGTGCGAGTTCGGATTGAGGGGGCGTATTGAGGGTTACCGACACAATCCGAACTGAAGCGTAGTTTTTACGGGATAGTTTTTACGCCAGTAATTACCTGAGAGATGATTGGACGCGTAGGTTGATCATACGTGTGTAAATCAGGTATATTAGATGCACCATGTGATTGAATGCAGTCTAGGGTAGGCAGAGTTAAGACCTATGAATCAATCACTTTTCCAATCTTCCATCTACCCCCCAAGTGTCTTCTCCGGTCTTCCGAGTGGACTCCCGGCATCCCTCCCAGTTTCGGTCGTCAAGCTTCACACCTTTCAACAGGTTGTGAGCCCAAGCACGATGTCCTCTGTTCATGATGCCACAACCACGATCTCCATTGACAAGCTCGACGGCGACAACTACGCGACATGGAGCTGCTACATGCGTGGCGTGTTCCTGACCAAGTCGACGTGGCACGTGGTGAACCGGGAGACGTCGCCGACCTACGCGGACGATCGCGCCATGGACGACTACGTCAAGGCCAACAACATCGCTTTCGGACTGATGTTGCTGCACATGGACGCGGACTACCATCACATCGTCGATGACCGTGAAGAGGCGGGGGTCGCGTGGTCGCGTTTGAAGACGCTGTACGGCGGGTCGCAGAAAGCTGGACGCATCTACTTGAAGCGCCAGCTGTTCAGCGTGGAGATGAAGGAAGGCAGCAATGTGATGCATCATTGCAACGAAGTCCTCAACATCAGCGCGAAGCTCAGCAGCATCGGCGCCAAGATGGAGGACGAGGACGTGGCGATCTGCTTGTTGCGCAGCCTCCCCAAGAGCTACGAGAACGTCGTTCTCAACTTGGAGATGAGCAGCGCGGAACTGCAATCGCGAGACGTCGTGAGAGTGCTCACGAATGAGCACATCAAGAAGCAAGGTGACAAGACGACATCGGTGAAGACTGAAGACGTGGCGAAGGCGTTCAGTGCCGAGCGTGAACCTCGCCAGTGTACATACTGCGGAAAATTGGGGCACACGGTGGAGCGGTGCTGGACCAAGCAGAAGGACGAAAATCAAGGAAGAGATCGACGCGGCGGCAACAAGGCTCGTGGAAGCGGAGCCAACAACGTTCAGTGGCGAACCAACAGCAACTACGACGACGACTACGATCGAGTTGCGTTCGCAGTTTTGCTGGAGGCTGGTTTTTTAACGGGCAATAATATGCCAGGGATGTGGGCAGTCGACAGCGGTACGACGCATCACATCTGCAACGACAAGGCCAAGTTCACAAGCCTGAATGAGCGAGATGAAGGTGATCTATCGCTGGCTGATGGCAGAAAAACCGCGATCAAGGGTGTGGGATCCATAGGGGAACGGGTGGTTCTGCCTAGTGGCAACGAACGCAACATCGAGATCAAAGACGCACTGTTTGTACCAAGTATGAGCAAGAATCTTCTTTCGGTACCGCAGATCAACAAGGGTGGCAGGTTACAAGTTTTGTTTGATGGGTCCAAGATGCAAGTAACGCGCAAGAATAACAAGCAAGTCGTGGTGACAGGGGATCTCGTCGATGGACTTTACTGGCTGCGGATTTCTAACGATCGGCTAATGCAGCGACACACAATGGGGCCATCGACTTACACGCGCGCATGGGTCATGCGCACCTCGATGTTCTGCGCAAGATGGTGGCCACCGGCATGATCAAGGAAGCCACGGCACCTCTTAACTCGACTGGGTCAAGTGTGTGCCGCGGTTGCCAGCTAGGGAAGATGGTTCAAAAACCATTCCCAACCAAACGTGACAAACGCCAATATGGTGTGTTCGAGTTGCTGCACTTCGACATCTGCGGGCCAGTAGAACAAGTCTCGATCGGAGGTAGCAGATCTTACTGCTTGTGGTTGACGAAGCCAGCGGGTGCATGGAGGGATTCTGTCTGCGGTCCAAGTCTGAGAGTAAAGGCTGCATCGCGAACTAAATTCTCAAGTTTCAGACGCAGTTCGGCAAGAAGATCAACTTCGCTCGACATCATGGAGCGTATGAGTTTGCGACCAACTCGATCAAGACCTTCTACGAAGATCAAGGTATTGAGCAGCAGGTCACGGTGCCGTATGCACGCCAGACCAACGGCACCTCAGAACGCGCGATACGGACCTTCGTCACGATCGGACGCAGCTTGTTGCATCATGCAAAGCTGGAGAAGTGTTTATGGGCTGAAGCGGCAATGAAGGCGGTATCAACATCAAGAACCGCCTGCCGTCACCCATGATTGACCACAAGACTCCGTTCGAGATCGTGTATGAGTCGAAACTAAGTGTTAAGCACATGCGCGTGTTTGGATGTCGGGCGTTTATCCTGACACCAAGGGAGAAGCGACTGAAGTGGGACCCGAAGGCTCGTGAAGGGATGTTCATGGGCTACGAAGAAGCGTCTAAGGCTTATCGAGTGTACGACATTGAGTCGGGAAAAGTGGTGATCAGTTGTGACATCACCTTCGACGAATCGACTTTTGACTTTTCGATGGACCGACCAAGTGACGATGATGAAGATGCGGAGTTGGACATCAACCTCATAGTAATTATCTATGACGACGTGCGTCAAACCGTCTACAAGCAGACTGGCAAGCGCAAGAGCGAAGCAAGTACCGACATGTCACGTTCAGCTCGCCCTCGAACTGGGTTGGAACAAGCAAGTGCGCCGGAACGTGTCTCCAACCGTCACCAGAAACGACGATCAAGTTTTCCCGAAACAAAGTCTGATGACTAAGAATACGCGGACGTCTACGATCAAGGTGACGACTCGACGCCTTAAACATTTTGTCGTGCAAGTGCAAACGCAGTGGAAGCAACGGAAGAGATTTAAATTTGAGAAATACTAGGCGTGTCTTGTTGCCAAAGGCTTCAATCAGAAGTACGGCATCGACTACACGGAGATTTACTCGCCCGTGGTGAAGTATGTGACACTGAGTATGGTGATCGCGATCACCAAGTATTTCGACTGGCCACTGGACCAACTCGATGCGGTGACAGCTTTTCTCTACGGACTGGTGAAGGAGAAGGTGTAATGTGTGGTATCAGAAGTCGTCGAGATGGATAATGACTTTGATTGTTTAAAGTTGTTGAAGGCGATCTACGGTCTCAAGCAAGCTTCACGTGTGTAAAACGAGACTTCGACGAGTTGGTATGCTTTATCGGTTTCAAAGTGTCGGCGTTCGACCCATGTCTCTACATCAAGGTTGTCGACGGTCACTGTGTGCTCGTGCTGGTCTACGTGGATGACGTGTTGGTCACCGGCAGCTCGCTCGAGTTGATTGCGCAGACGAAGGCCGACCTCAAGACGCGTTTCGAGATGACCGACAGTGGCAAGTGTACTTTTGTACTGGGCATCGAACTGGTGGACGAATCGGATGGCAGCGTGACGATGTGCCAGCGACGGTATGTCAACGACATCCTCAAGCGCTTCGGCATGGATGAGTGCAAGGCCACAGCAAGTCCGGTCGACTTGAGCACTCGGCTTGTCGCAAGCAGCGAAGCGGCCAAGATCGACGTTCCGTTTCGTGAAGCTGTGGGAGCTTTGATGCACTTCACGACTGCGACGCGCCCGGACATTGCGCATGCTGTGGGGTACGTCTCGCGCTTCATGGAGAATCCGCAGCAAGAACATTGGACGGCGGTGAAGCGCATCTTTCGTTACTTGCAAGGGACCAAGTCGCACGGACTCCGCTTCCAGCCAAGCGACAAGATCGACTTTCGTGGCTACTCGGACGCGGACTGGGCCGGCGACCACGCTGATCGCAAGTCGACTTCGGGTTACACTTTCATGCTGATGGGTGCTCCTGTGAGTTGGGGAAGCAAGAAGCAGTCAAGTGTGTCGCTGTCGACGAGTGAAGAGGAATACATCGCACTGAGTCTGGCCATCCAGGAAGGCAAGTGGGTGCATCGCCTGCTATGCGAGATTTTGGCGGCCGCAAACGAACCAGGACCGGACCTCGTCATCCGTGATAACAACCAGTCGTGCATCAAGATGACGAAGAATCCGGTGAATCATGGCCGCGCCAAGCACATTGACATCAAGTACCATCACATCCGTGATGAGGTCAAGCGCGGTGAAGTGCAGCTCGAGTATTGCGAGACTTCCGTGATGATGGCGGACATCATGACCAAAGGTCTTTCTGGACCTCGCCACAAGGACTTGGCGACGGCTCTCGGCATTCGTGCGAGTTCGGATTGAGGGGGCGTATTGAGGGTTACCGACACAATCCGAACTGAAGCGTAGTTTTTACGGGATAGTTTTTACGCCAGTAATTACCTGAGAGATGATTGGACGCGTAGGTTGATCATACGTGTGTAAATCAGGTATATTAGATGCACCATGTGATTGAATGCAGTCTAGGGTAGGCAGAGTTAAGACCTATGAATCAATCACTTTTCCAATCTTCCATCTACCCCCCAAGTGTCTTCTCCGGTCTTCCGAGTGGACTCCCGGCATCCCTCCCAGTTTCGGTCGTCAAGCTTCACACCTTTCAACAGGTTGTGAGCCCAAGCACGATGTCCTCTGTTCATGATGCCACCACCACGATCTCCATTGACAAGCTCGACGGCGACAACTACGCGACATGGAGCTGCTACATGCGTGGCGTGTTCCTGACCAAGTCGACGTGGCACGTGGTGAACCGGGAGACGTCGCCGACCTACGCGGACGATCGCGCCATGAACGACTACGTCAAGGCCAACAACATCGCTTTCGGACTGATGTTGCTGCACATGGACGCGGACTACCATCACATCGTCGATGACCGTGAAGAGGCGTGGGTCGCGTGGGCGCGTTTGAAGACGCTGTACGGCGGGTCGCAGAAGGCTGGACGCATCTACTTGAAGCGCCAGCTGTTCAGCATGGAGATGGCGGAAGGCGGCAATGTGATGCATCATTGCAACGAAGTCCTCAACATCAGCGCGAAGCTCAGCAGCATCGGCGCCAAGATGGAGGACGAGGACGTGGCGATCTGCTTGTTGCGCAGCCTCCCCAAGAGCTACGAGAACGTCGTTCTCAACTTGGAGATGAGCAGCGCGGAACTGCGATCGCGAGACGTCGTGAGAGTGCTCACGAATGAGCACATCAAGAGGCAAGGTGACAAGACGACATCGGTGAAGACTGAAGACGCGGCGAAGGCGTTCAGTGCCGAGCGTGAACCTCGCCAGTGTACATACTGCGGAAAATTGGGGCACACGGCGGAGCGGTGCTGGACCAAGCAGAAGGACGAAAATCAAGGTGGAGCTCGACGCGGTGGCAACAATGCTCGTGGACGCGGAGCCAACAACGTTCAGTGGCGAACCAACAGCAACTACGACGACAACTACGATCGAGTTGCGTTTGCAGTTTCGCTGGAGGCTGGACTTCGACGGGCAAGAATATGCCAGGGATGTGGGCAGTCGACAGCGGTGCGACGCATCACATCTGCAACGACAAGGCCAAGTTTGCAAGCCTGAATGAGCGAGAGGAAGGAGAACTATCATTGGCTGATGGCAGCAAGGCTGCGATCAAGGGTGTGGGAACCATCATGGAACGGGTGGTTCTGCCCAATGGTGACGAACGCGACATCGAGATCAAGGACACACTGCTTGTACTGTTGATAGGTGTAAAGCTTGACGACCGAAACTGGGAGTGATGCTGGGAGTCCACTCGGAAGACCGGAGAAGACACTTGGGGGGTAGATGGAAGATTGGAAAGTGATTGATTATCGGGGCTTACTACTTACTACATGATTTATGTGTGGTGCACATATAAATCATGTGAAGCGTCTCATCATCCTACGCGTCTAATCAACTATGGTAATTACCGTAAGAACTACGTCGTAAATACTAAGCTGAACAGGCGGTTCGGATTGGACCGGTCACGGTTACCAATACTGGTAGGAAACCGATGACCGTCAACACGCCCTTTCAATCCGAACTCGCACGAGTGCCGAGAGCCGTCGTCAAGTCCTTGTGACGAGGTCCCGAAAGTCCCTTGGTCATGATTCGCCATACACGGAAGTCTCGCAATACTCGAGCTGCACTTCACCGTTGACCTCATCACGGATGTGATGGTACTTGATGTCGATGTGGGCGGCATGATTCACCGGATTCTTCGTCATCTTGATGCACGACGGTTGTTATCACGGATGACGAGGTCGGTCTGGTTCGTTTGGGCCCCAAAATCTCGCAAAGGAATACCGCCTTTGGATGGCAACTCAGTGGATGTATTATTAAAGACACATGAGTTCCAAAAGAGAATAAGAAAGAAGAAGTCGACTTGCGATCAGCGTGGTCGCCGGCCCAGTCCGCGTCCGAGTAGCCAGGAAAGTCGATCTTGTCGCTTGGCTGGAAGCGGAGTCCGTGAAACTTGGTCCCTTGCAAGAAACGAAAGATGCGCTTCACCGCCGTCCAATGTTCTTGCTGCGGATTCTCCATGAAGCGCGAGACGTACCCCACAGCATACGCAATTTCCGGGCGCTTCGCAGTCGTCAAGTGCATCAAAGCTCCCACAGCTTCACGAAACGGAACGTCGATATTGGCCGCTTCACTGCTTGCGACAAGCCGAGTGCTCAAATCGACCGGAATAGCTTGGCCTTGCACTCATCCATGCCGAAGCGCTTGAGGATGTCGTTGACATACCGTCGCTGGCACATCGTCACGCTGCCATCCGATTCGTCCACCAGCTCGATGCCCAGTACAAAAGTACACTTGCCACTATCGGTCATCTTGAAACGCGTCTTGAGGTCGGCCTTCGTCTGCGCAATCAACTCGAGCGAGCTGCCGGTGACCACCACGTCATCCACGTAGACCAGCACGAGCACACAGTGACCGTCGACAACCTTGATGTAAAGACATGGGTCGAACGCCGACACTTCGAAACCGATAGAGCATACGAACTCGTCGAAAGTCTCGTTCCACACACGTGAAGCTTGCTTGAGACCGTAGATCACCTTCACCAACTCGAGACAGTCGAAGTCGCCATCCATCTCGACGCCTTCTGGTATCACGCAGTACACCTTCTCCTTCATCACTCCGTAGAGAAAGGCTGTCACCACATCGAGTTGGTCCAGTGGCCAGTCGAAATACTTGGTGATCGCGATCAACATACGCAGTGTCACGTACTTGACCACGGGCGAAACGTCTCTGTGTAGTCGATGCCGTACTTCTGCTTGAAGCCCTTGGCAACGAGACGCGCCTTGTATTTCTCGACCGATCCATCCGCTTTGCGCTTGATCTTGAACACCCACTTGGTGCCGATCGCGCCTTGGCCTCTTGGCAGTTTTGCCGCACGGAAAACTCCACGAAGATGCATCGACTTGAGTTCCGCCTTCACAGCATTTCGCCAGTGAGCTTGATCAGGACCATTGATCGCGTCTTGAAAAGTCACATGTTCTGCTAGGTCCGTTGCTTCCACTGCGTTTGCACTTGCACGCCAAAATGTTGGAGGCGTCGAGTCGTCATCTTGATCGTAGACGCTTGCATCTTCTTCGTCATCAGACATCGTTTCGGGAAAACTTGATCGTCGTTTCTGGTGACGGTTGGAGACGTGTTCCGGCGCACTTGCTTGCTCCAACCCAGTTCGAAAGCGAGCTGAACGTGACGTGCCGGGTCTTGCTTCACTCTTGCGCTTGTCAGTCTGCTTGTAGACGGTTTGACGCACGTCGTCCTCGTTGATCGCCAGGAGGTCGAGGTCCAACTCCGCATCTTCATCATCGTCAATTGGTCGGTCCATCGAAAAATCAAAAGTCGATTCGTCGAAGGTGATGTCACGACTGATCACCACTTGGTCCGCCTCAATGTCGTACACTCGATAAGCTTTTGACGCTTCTTCGTAGCCCATGAACATCCCTTCACGAGCCTTCGGGTCCCACTTCAATCGCTTCTCCCTTGGTGTCAGGATAAACGCCCGACATCCAAACACGCGCATGTGCTTGACACTTGGTTTCGACTTGTACACGATCTCGAACGGAGTCTTGTGGTCGATCTTGGGTGAAGGCAGGCGGTTCTTGATGTAGATCGCCGTCATTGCCGCTTCAGCCCATAAACACTTCTCCAGCTTTGCATGATGCAACAAGCTGCGTCCGATCGTGACGATGGTCCTTATCGCGCGTTCTGCGGTGCCGTTGATCTGGTGTGCATACGGCACCGTGACCTGTTGTTCGATACCATGATCTTCGTAGAAGGTCTTGATCGAGTTGGTCGCAAACTCATACGCTCCATCGTGCCGAACAAACTTGATCTTTGTGCCGAATTGAGTTTGAATCTTGATAATGTGGTTCTTGATACAGTCTTCACTCTCAGACTTGGACCGCAGACAGAAGCCCTTCATGCAACCGCTGGCTTCGTCAACCACAAGCAGTAAGTATCTGCTGCCGCCGATCGAGACTTGTTCCATTGGCCCGCAGATGTCGAAGTGCAGCAACTCGAACACACCATATTGGCGTTTGTCACGGTTGGTTGGGAATGGTTTTTGGACCATCTTTCCTTGCTGGCAACCGCGACACACACTTGGACCAGTCGAGTTGAGAGGTGCCTTGGCGTCCTTGATCATGCCGGTGGCCACCATCTTGCGCAGAACTTCGAGGGGTGCATGACCCATGCGCGCATGCAAGTCGATAGTCCCATTGCGTGTTGCTGCATTTGCCGATCGTTGAGGAGTCCGCAGCCAGTAAAGTCCATCGACGAGATCCGCTGTTGCCACGACTTGTGTGGAATTCTTGCGCTTCAATTGCATCTTGGACCCATCGAACACGACTTGGAACCTGCCACCCTTGTTGATCTGTGGTACCAAAAGCAGATTCTTGCTCATACTTGGTACGAACAGTGCGTCCTTGATCTCGATGTCGCGTTCGTCACCATTGGGCAGAACCACCCATTCCATGATGGTTCCCACACCCTTGATCGCAGCCTTGCTGCCATCAGCCACTCACTGATAGTTCGCCTTCCTCTCGCTCATTCAGGCTTGCAAACTTGGCTTTGTCGTTGCAGATGTGATGCGTCGCACCGCTGTCGACTGCCCACATCCCTGGCATATTCTTGCCCGTCGAAAGTCCAGCCTCCAGCGAAACCGCGAACGCAACTCGATCGTAGTTGTCGTCGTTGTTGTTGTTGTTTCGCCACTGAACGTTGTTGGCTCCGCGTCCACGAGCATTGTTGCCGCCGCGTCGAGCTCCACCTTGATTTTCGTCCTTCTGCTTGGTCCAGCACCGCTCCGCCGTGTGCCCCAATTTTCCGCAGTATGTACACTGGCGAGGTTCACGCTCGGCACTGAACGCCTTCGCCGCGTCTTCAGTCTTCACCGATGTAGTCTTGTCACCTTGCCTCTTGATGTGCTCATTCGTGAGCACTCTCACGACGTCTCGCGATCGCAGTTCCGCGCTGCTCATCTCCAAGTTGAGAACGACGTTCTCGTAGCTCTTGGGGAGGCTGCGCAACAAGCAGATCGCCACGTCCTCGTCCTCCATCTTGGCGCCGATGCTGCTGAGCTTCGCGCTGATGTTGAGGACTTCGTTGCAATGATGCATCACATTGCCGCCTTCCGCCATCTCCATGCTGAACAGCTGGCGCTTCAAGTAGATGCGTCCAGCCTTCTGCGACCCGCCGTACAGCGTCTTCAAACGCGCCCACGCGACCCACGCCTCTTCACAGTCATCGACGATGTGATGGTAGTCCGCGTCCACGTGCAACAACATCAGTCCGAAAGCGATGTTGTTGGCCTTGACGTAGTCGTTCATGGCGCGATCGTCCGCGTAGGTCGGTGACGTCTCCCGGTTCACCACGTGCCACGTCGACTTGGTCAGGAACACGCCACGCATGTAGCAGCTCCATGTCGCGTAGTTGTCGCCGTCGAGCTTGTCAATGGAGATTGTGGTGGTGGCATCATGAACAGAGGACATCGTGCTTGGGCTCACAACCTGTTGAAAGGTGTGAAGCTTGACGACCAAAACTGGGAGGGATGCTGGGAGTCCACTCGGAAGACCGGAGAAGACACTTGGGGGGTAGATGGAAGATTGGAAAAGTGATTGATTCATAGGTCTTAACTCTGCCTACCCTAGACTGCATTCAATCACATGGTGCATCTAAAATACCTGATTTACACACGTATGATCAACCTACGCGTCCAATCATCTCTCAGGTGATTACTGGCGTAAAAATTATCCCGTAAAAACTACGCTTAAGTTCGGATTGTGTCGGTAACCCTCAGTACACACGTCTAATCATCCTACGCGTCCAATCATCTCTCAGGTAATTACCGACGTAAAAACTATCCCGTAAAAACTACGCTTAAGTTCGGATTGTGTCGGTAGCCTTCAATACGCCCTCCTCAATCCGAACTCGCACGAATGCCGAGAGCCGTCGTCAAGTCCTTGTGGCGAGGTCCCAAAGGTCCCTTGGTCATGATGTCCGCTATCATCACGGAAGTCTCGCAATACTCGAGCTGCACTTCACCGCGCTTGACCTCATCACGGATGTGATGGTACTTGATGTCGATGTGCTTGGCGCGGCCATGATTCACCGGATTCTTCGTCATCTTGATGCACGACTGGTTGTTTTCACGGATGACGAGGTCCGGTCCTGGTTCGTTTGCGGCCGCCAAAATCTCGCATAGCAGGCAATGCACCCACTTGCCTTCCTGGATGGCCAGACTCAGTGCGATGTATTCCGCTTCACTCGTCGACAGCGACACACTTGACTGCTTCTTGCTTCCCCAACTCACAGGAGCACCCATCAGCATGAAAGTGTAACCCGAAGTCGACTTGCGATCAGCGTGGTCGCCGGCCCAGTCCGCGTCCGAGTAGCCACGAAAGTCGATCTTGTCGCTTGGCTGGAAGCGGAGTCCGTGCGACTTGGTCCCTTGCAAGTAACGAAAGATGCGCTTCACCGCCGTCCAATGTTCTTGTTGCGGATTCTCCATGAAGCGCGAGACGTACCCCACAGCATGCGCAATGTCCGGGCGCGTCGCAGTCGTGAAGTGCATCAAAGCTCCCACAGCTTCACGAAACGGAACGTCGATCTTGGCCGCTTCGCTGCTTGCGACAAGCCGAGTGCTCAAGTCGACCGGACTTGCTGTGGCCTTGCACTCATCCATGCCGAAGCGCTTGAGGATGTCGTTGACATGCCGTCGCTGGCACATCGTCACGCTGCCATCCGATTCGTCCACCAGCTCGATGCCCAGTACAAAAGTACACTTGCCACTATCGGTCACCTCGAAACGCGTCTTGAGGTCGGCCTTCGTCTGCGCAATCAACTCGAGCGAGCTGCCGGTGACCACCACGTCATCCACTTAGACCAGCACGAGCACACAGTGACCGTCGACAACCTTGATGTAAAGACATGGGTCGAACGCCGACACTTCGAAACCGATAGAGCATACGAACTCGTCGAAAGTCTCGTTCCACACACGTGAAGCTTGCTTGAGACCGTAGATCGCCTTCACCAACTCGAGACAGTCGAAGTCGCCATCCATCTCGACGCCTTCTGGTATCACGCAGTACACCTTCTCCTTCATCACTCCGTAGAGAAAGGCTGTCACCACATCGAGTTGGTCCAGTGGCCAGTCGAAATACTTGGTGATCGCGATCAACATACGCAGTGTCACGTACTTGACCACGGGCGAGAACGTCTCTGTGTAGTCGATGCCGTACTTCTGCTTGAAGCCCTTGGCAACGAGACGCGCCTTGTATTTCTCGACCGATCCATCCGCTTTGCGCTTGATCTTGAACACCCACTTGGTGCCGATCGCGCCTTGGCCTCTTGGCAGTTTTGCCGCACGGAAAACTCCACGAAGATGCATCGACTTGAGTTCCGCCTTCACAGCATTTCGCCAGTGAGCTTGATCAGGACCATTGATCGCGTCTTGAAAAGTCACATGTTCTGCTAGGTCCGTTGCTTCCACTGCGTTTGCACTTGCACGCCAAAATGTTGGAGGCGTCGAGTCGTCATCTTGATCGTAGACGCTTGCATCTTCTTCGTCATCAGACACCGTTTCTGGAGCACTTGATCGTCGTTTCTGGTGACGGTTGGAGACGTGTTCCGGCGCACTTGCTTGTTCCAACCCAGTTCGAAAGCGAGCTGAACGTGACGTGCCGGGTCTTGCTTCACTCTTGCGCTTACCAGTCTGTGTTGATAGGTAAAAAGCTTGACACCCGAAACTGGGAGTCCATTTGGAAGACCGGAGAAGACACTTGGGGGTAGATGAAAGATTGGAAAGTGATTGATTATCGGGGCTTACTACTTACTACATGATTTATATGTGGTGCACATATAAATCATGTGAAGCGTCTCATCATCCTACGCGTCTAATCAACTATGGTAATTACCGTAAGAACTACGTCGTAAATACTAAGCTGAACAGGCGGTTCGGATTGGACCGGTCACGGTTACCAATACTGGTAGAAACGGATGACCGTCAACACGCCCCCTCAATCCGAACTCGCACGAATGCCGAGAGCCGTCTTCAAGTCCTTGTGGCGAGGTACCGAAAGTCCATTGGTCATGATGTCCGCTATCATCACGGAAGTCTCGCAATACTTGAGCTGCACTTCACCGTGCTTGACCTCATCACGGATGTGTTGGTACTTGATGTCGATGTGCTTGGCGCGGCCATGATTCACCGGATTCTTCGTCATCTTGATGCACGACTGGTTGTTTTCACGGATGACGAGGTCCGGTCCTGGTTCGTTTGCGGCCGCCAAAATCTCGCATAGCAGGCAATGCACCCACTTGCCTTCCTGGATGGCCAGACTCAGTGCGATGTATTCCGCTTCACTCGTCAACAGCGACACACTTGACTGCTTCTTGCTTCCCCAACTCACAGGAGCACCCATCAGCATGAAAGTGTAACCCGAAGTCGACTTGCGATCAGCGTGGTCGCCGGCCCAGTCCGCGTCCGAGTAGCCACGAAAGTCGATCTTGTCGCTTGGCTGGAAGCGGAGTCCGTGCGACTTGGTCCCTTGCAAGTAACGAAAGATGCGCTTCACCGCCGTCCAATGTTCTTGTTGCGGATTCTCCATGAAGCGCGAGACGTACCCCACAGCATGCGCAATGTCCGGGCGCGTCGCAGTCGTGAAGTGCATCAAAGCTCCCACAGCTTCACGAAACGGAACGTCGATCTTGGCCGCTTCGCTGCTTGCGACAAGCCGAGTGCTCAAGTCGACCGGACTTGCTGTGGCCTTGCACTCATCCATGCCGAAGCGCTTGAGGATGTCGTTGACATGCCGTCGCTGGCACATCGTCACGCTGCCATCCGATTCGTCCACCAGCTCGATGCCCAGTACAAAAGTACACTTGCCACTATCGGTCATCTTGAAACGCGTCTTGAGGTCGGCCTTCGTCTGCGCAATCAACTCGAGCGAGCTGCCGGTGACCACCACGTCATCCACTTAGACCAGCACGAGCACACAGTGACCGTCGACAACCTTAATGTAAAGACATGGGTCGAACGCCGACACTTCGAAACCGATAGAGCATACGAACTCGTCGAAAGTCTCGTTCCACACACGTGAAGCTTGCTTGAGACCGTAGATCACCTTCACCAACTCGAGACAGTCGAAGTCGCCATCCATCTCGACGCCTTCTGGTATCACGCAGTACACCTTCTCCTTCATCACTCCGTAGAGAAAGGCTGTCACCACATCGAGTTGGGCCAGTGGCCAGTCGAAATACTTGGTGATCGCGATCAACATACGCAGTGTCACGTACTTGACCACGGGCGAGAACGTCTCTGTGTAGTCGATGCCGTACTTCTGCTTGAAGCCCTTGGCAACGAGACGCGCCTTGTATTTCTCGACCGATCCATCCGCTTTGCGCTTGATCTTGAACACCCACTTGGTGCCGATCGCGCCTTGGCCTCTTGGCAGTTTTGCCGCACGGAAAACTCCACGAAGATGCATCGACTTGAGTTCCGCCTTCACAGCATTTCGCCAGTGAGCTTGATCAGGACCATTGATCGCGTCTTGAAAAGTCACATGTTCTGCTAGGTCCGTTGCTTCCACTGCGTTTGCACTTGCACGCCAAAATGTTGGAGGCGTCGAGTCGTCATCTTGATCGTAGACGCTTGCATCTTCTTCGTCATCAGACACCGTTTCTGGAGCACTTGATCGTCGTTTCTGGTGACGGTTGGAGACGTGTTCCGGCGCACTTGCTTGTTCCAACCCAGTTCGAAAGCGAGCTGAACGTGACGTGCCGGGTCTTGCTTCACTCTTGCGCTTACCAGTCTGTGTTGATAGGTAAAAAGCTTGACACCCGAAACTGGGAGTCCATTTGGAAGACCGGAGAAGACACTTGGGGGGTAGATGAAAGATTGGAAAGTGATTGATTATCGGGGCTTACTACTTACTACATGATTTATGTGTGGTGCACATATAAATCATGTGAAGCGTCTCATCATCCTACGCGTCTAATCAACTATGGTAATTACCGTAAGAACTACGTCGTAAATACTAAGCTGAACAGGCGGTTCGGATTGGACCGGTCACGGTTACCAATACTGGTAGAAACGGATGACCGTCAACACGCCCCCTCAATCCGAACTCGCACGAATGCCGAGAGCCGTCTTCAAGTCCTTGTGGCGAGGTACCGAAAGTCCATTGGTCATGATGTCCGCTATCATCACGGAAGTCTCGCAATACTTGAGCTGCACTTCACCGTGCTTGACCTCATCACGGATGTGATGGTACTTGATGTCGATGTGCTTGGCGCGGCCATGATTCACCGGATTCTTCGTCATCTTGATGCACGACTGGTTGTTTTCACGGATGACGAGGTCCGGTCCTGGTTCGTTTGCGGCCGCCAAAATCTCGCATAGCAGGCAATGCACCCACTTGCCTTCCTGGATGGCCAGACTCAGTGCGATGTATTCCGCTTCACTCATCGACAGCGACACACTTGACTGCTTCTTGCTTCCCCAACTCACAGGAGCACCCATCAGCATGAAAGTGTAACCCGAAGTCGACTTGCGATCAGCGTGGTCGCCGGCCCAGTCCGCGTCCGAGTAGCCACGAAAGTCGATCTTGTCGCTTGGCTGGAAGCGGAGTCCGTGCGACTTGGTCCCTTGCAAGTAACGAAAGATGCGCTTCACCGCCGTCCAATGTTCTTGCTGCGGATTCTCCATGAAGCGCGAGACGTACCCCACAGCATGCGCAATGTCCGGGAGCGTCGCAGTCGTGAAGTGCATCAAAGCTCCCACAGCTTCACGAAACGGAACGTCGATCTTGGCCGCTTCGCTGCTTGCGACAAGCCGAGTGCTCAAGTCGACCGGACTTGCTGTGGCCTTGCACTCATCCATACCGAAGCGCTTGAGGATGTCGTTGACATGCCGTCGCTGGCACATCGTCACGCTGCCATCCGATTCGTCCACCAGCTCGATGCCCAGTACAAAAGTACACTTGCCACTATCGGTCATCTTGAAACGCGTCTTGAGGTCGGCCTTCGTCTGCGCAATCAACTCGAGCGAGCTGCCGGTGACCAACATGTCATCCACGTAGACCAGCACGAGCACACAGTGACCGTCGACAACCTTGATGTAGAGACATGGGTCGAACGCCGACGCTTCGAAATCGATAAAGCATTCGAACTCGTCGAAAGTCTCGTTCCACACACGTGAAGCTTGCTTGAGACCGTAGATCGCCTTCACCAACTCGAGACAGTCAAAGTCGCCATCCATCTCGACGCCTTCTGGTATCACGCAGTACACCTTCTCCTTCATCACTCCGTAGAGAAAGGCTGTCACCACATCGAGTTGGGCCAGTGGCCAGTCGAAATACTTGGTGATCGCGATCACCATACGCAGTGTCACGTACTTGACCACGGGTGAGAACGTCTCTGTGTAGTCGATGCCGTACTTCTGCTTGAAGCCCTTGGCAACGAGACGCGCCTTGTATTTCTCGACCGATCCATCCGCTTTGCGCTTGATCTTGAACACCCACTTGGTGCCGATCGCGCCTTGGCCTCTTGGCAGTTTTGCCACACGGAAAACTCCACGAAGATGCATCGACATGAGTTCCGCCTTCACAGCATTTCGCCAGTGAGCTTGATCAGGACCATTGATTGCGTCTTGAAAAGTCACATGTTCTGCTAGGTCCGTTGCTTCCACTGCGTTTGCACTTGCACGCCAAAATGTTGGAGGCGTCGAGTCGTCATCTTGATCGTAGATGCTTGCATCTTCTTCGTCATCAGACATCGTTTCTGGAGCACTTGATCGTCGTTTCTGGTGACGGTTGGAGACGTGTTCCGGCGCACTTGCTTGTTCCAACCCAGTTCGAAAGCGAGCTGAACGTGACATGCCGGGTCTTGCTTCACTCTTGCGCTTGCCAGTCTGCTTGTAGACGGTTTGACGCACGTCGTCCTCGTTGATCGCCAGGAGGTCGAGGTCCAACTCCGCATCTTCATCATCGTCAATTGGTCGGTCCATCGAAAAATCAAAAGTCGATTCGTCGAAGGTGATGTCACGACTGATCACCACTTGGTCCGCCTCAATGTCGTACACTCGATAAGCTTTTGACGCTTCTTCGTAGCCCATGAACATCCCTTCACGAGCCTTCGGGTCCCACTTCAATCGCTTCTCCCTTGGTGTCAGGATAAACGCCCGACATCAAAACACGCGCATGTGCTTGACACTTGGTTTCGACTTGTACACGATCTCGAACGGAGTCTTGTGGTCGATCTTGGGTGAAGGCAGGCGGTTCTTGATGTAGATCGCCGTCATTGCCGCTTCAGCCCAGAAACACTTCTCCAGCTTTGCATGATGCAACAAGCTGCGTCCGATCGTGACGATGGTCCTTATCGCGCGTTCTGCGGTGCCGTTGGTCTGGTGTGCATACGGCACCGTGACCTGTTGTTCGATACCATGGTCTTCGTAGAAGGTCTTGATGGAGTTGGTCGCAAACTCATACGCTCCATCGTGCCGAACAAACTTGATCTTCGTGCCGAATTGAGTTTGAATCTTGATAATGTGGTTCTTGATACAGTCTTCACTCTCAGACTTGAACCGCAGACAGAAGCCCTTCATGCAACCGCTGGCTTCGTCAACCACAAGCAGTAAGTATCTGCTGCCGCCGACCGAGACTTGTTCTATTGGCCCGCAGATGTCGAAGTGCAGCAACTCGAACACACCATATTGGCGTTTGTCACGGTTGGTTGGGAATGGTTTTTGGACCATCTTTCCTTGCTGGCAACCGCGACACACACTTGGACCAGTCGAGTTGAGAGGTGCCTTGGCGTCCTTGATCATGCCGGTGGCCACCATCTTGTGCTGAACTTCGAGGGGTGCATGACCCATGCACGCATGCAAGTCGATAGTCCCATTGCGTGTTGCTGCATTTGCCGATCGTTGAGGAGTCCGCAGCCAGTAAAGTCCATCGACGAGATCCGCTGTTGCCACGACTTGTGTGGAATTCTCGCGCTTCAATTGCATCTTGGACCCATCGAACACGACTTGGAACCTGCCACCCTTGTTGATCCGTGGCACCGAAAGCAGATTCTTGCTCGTACTTGGTACGAACAGTGCGTCCTTGATCTCGATGTCGCGTTCGTCACCATTGGGCAGAACCACCCGTTCCATGATGGTTCCCACACCCTTGATCGCAGCCTTGCTGCCATCAGCCACTGATAGTTCTCCTTCCTCTCGCTCATTCAGGCTTGCAAACTTGGCTTTGTCGGTGCAGATGTGATGCGTCGAACCGCTGTCGACTGCCCACATCCCTGGCATATTCTTGCCCGTCGAAGTCCAGCCTCCAGCGAAACCGCGAACGCAACTCGATCGTAGTTATCGTCGTAGTTGCTGTTGGTTCGCCACTGAACGTTGTTGGCTCCGCGTCCACGAGCATTGTTGCCACCGCGTCGAGCTCCACCTTGATTTTCGTCCTTCTGCTTGGTCCAGCACCGCTCCGCCGTGTGCCCCAATTTTCCGCAGTATGTACACTGGCGAGGTTCACGCTCGGCACTGAACGCCTTCGCTGCGTCTTCAGTCTTCACCGATGTAGTCTTGTCACCTTGCCTCTTGATGTGCTCATTCGTGAGCACTCTCACGACGTCTCGCGATCGCAGTTCCGCGCTGCTCATCTCCAAGTTGAGAACGACGTTCTCGTAGCTCTTGGGGAGGCTGCGCAACAAGCAGATCGCCACGTCCTCGTCCTCCATCTTGGCGCCGATGCTGCTGAGCTTCGCGCTGATGTTGAGGACTTCGTTGCAATGATGCATCACATTGCTGCCTTCCTTCATCTCCACGCTGAACAGCTGGCGCTTCAAGTAGATGCGTCCAGCTTTCTGCGACCCGCCGTACAGCGTCTTCAAACGCGACCACGCGACCCCCGCCTCTTCACGGTCATCGACGATGTGATGGTAGTCCGCGTCCATGTGCAGCAACATCAGTCCGAAAGCGATGTTGTTGGCCTTGACGTAGTCGTCCATGGCGCGATCGTCCGCGTAGGTCGGCGACGTCTCCCGGTTCACCACGTGCCACGCCGACTTGGTCAGGAACACGCCACGCATGTAGCGGCTCCACGTCGCGTATTTGTCGCCGTCGAACTTGTCAATGGAGATCTTGTTGGTGGCATCATGAGCAGAGGACATCGTGCTTGGGCTCATAACCTGTTGATTGGTAAAAAGCTTGACGACCGAAACTGGGAGTGATGCTGGGAGTCCACTCGGAAGACCGGAGAAGACACTTGAGGGTTAAATGGAAGATTGGAAAGTGATTGATTATCGGGGCTTACTACTTACTACATGATTTATATGTGGTGCACATATAAATCATGTGAAGCGTCTCATCATCCAACGCGTCTAATCAACTATGGTAATTACCGTAAGAACTACGTCGTAAATACTAAGCTGAACAGGCGGTTCGGATTGGACCGGTCACGGTTACCAATACTGGTAGAAACCGATGACCGTCACCAGGACCGGTCACGGTTACCAACACTGGTAGGAAAACGAGGACCGTCAACACGCCCCCTCAATGCGAACACGCACAAATCCCGAGAGCCGCCGTCGTCTCCTTGTGGCGTGGCCCGTGAAGTTCCTTCGTCATGATGTCCGCTAACATCATTGCAGTTTCACAGTACTTGAGCTTCACTTCACCGCGCTTGACCTCATCACTGATGTGATGATACTCTATGTCAAAGTGATTGGCACGGCCGTGGTTGACCGGATTCTTCGTCATCTTGATGCATGACTGATTGTCTTCAAGAATCATGAGTTCCGGTCCTTCTTCATTGGCAGCCATCACGATCTCACAAAGTAGACGATGAATCCACTTGCCCTCTTGAATCGCCAAGCTGAGTGCGGTGTATTCAGCTTCACTCGTGGACAACGAAGCACTTGGCTGTTTCTTGCTGCCCCAACTCACTGGCGCACCCAACAGCATGAATACGTGACCAGACGTCGGCTTGCGATCAGCGAGGTCACCGACCCAGACTGCATCCGAATAGCCACGAAAGTCGATCTTCGCATTTGGCTTGTAGCAGATGCCGTGCATCTTGGTGTCTTGTAGGTAGCGGAAGATGCGCTTGACCGCAACCCAGAGTTCTTCTTGGGGGTTCTCCATTAATTGCGACACATAGCCCACGGCGAACGCAATATCCGGGCGCGTTGCAGTGGTCAGGTGCATCAACGCACCAACAGCTTCGCGAAAAGGAGCATCGACATTGGTGGCTGCATCACTTGAAACAAGTCGAGAGCTCATGTCGACTGGACTTGCGACGGCCTTGCAATCATCCATGCCAAAGCGCTTGAGTGTGTCATCGACATACCGACGCTGGAATAGTGTCAAGCGTCCATCCGCGCCATCCAAAAGCTCGATTCCAAGCACAAATGCACACTTGTCGCTGTCAGTCATCTCGAATCGTGTCTTCAGGTCGGTCTTGGTGCGTGCAATTAGCTCGCATGAGATACCGGTGATCAACACGTCATCCACATACACCAGCAGCAGCACGCATTGCCCTTCCACAATTCTTATGTAGAGACATGGGTCAAAGCTTGACGCTTGAAATCCAATAGCACACACGAAATCGTCAAAAGTTTCGTTCCATACGCGTGACGCTTGCTTGAGTTCATAGATTGCCTTCACCAACTCCAGACAATCGAAGGGGCCCTCCAATTCCACGCCTTCAGGGATGACGCAGAACACTTGTTCCTTCATGACACCATACAGGAATGCCGTCACCACATCGAGCTGGTCGATGGTCCATCCGAAATACTTGGCGACTGCAATCACCATGCGTAGCGTCACGTACTTGACCACGGGTGAGAACGTTTCCGTGTAGTCGATCCCGTACTGTTGCTTAAAACCCTTTGCCACAAGACGCGCCTTGTACTTGTCAATTGATCCGTCCGCTTTGCGCTTGATCTCGAAGACCCACTCCGTGCCAATGGCGCAATGTCCTTTAGTTAGCTTGGCTGCGCGGAATACTTCACGAAGTCGCATCGACTCAAGTTCCGCACGGATAGCTTTACGCCAATGCACTTGATCAGGACCGCTCACCGCAGCTTCAAAAGTCGATGGCTCGGATAAGTCTACTGCCGTTTCGATGGCGTTCGCACTCGCACGCCAAAACACAGGCGGAGTTGATGCGTCAGCATTCTTTATTTCTTCATCTTCTTCTTGGTGGGTCGTGTGATTGTCTGGCGCACTCGATTCTTCTAGTCCAGGCCGTTGACGCACTGTGCGCGTGGGTGGAGCTGGTACTCCTTCGTCATGGGGACGACTCTTGCACTTTCCTGTTTGCTTGTACTGCGCTTGACCTGGCGCTTCATCATCCAGCTCGAGGGAGGCGAAGTCAAGGTCATCGGCGTCTTCAGCGATGGTTGGCGGCGAAAGTCCAAAGGTGGACTCGTCAAAGTTGACATTGCGACTGATGACCACCTGTCCCGCCTCGATGTCATAATCGCGATACGCTTTGGATGCTTCTTCGTAGCCCAAGAATATTCCAGTGCGAGCCTTGGGGTCCCACTTGAGCCGCTTTTCCTTCGGTGTCAGTATGTAAACCTGACAACCGAGCACCCGCATGTGCTTGACACTAAGCTCGGAGTTGTGGACAATCTCGAACGGATTCTTGTGTACATCTTTAGGCGACGGCAGACGATTCTTGGTGTAGATTGCCGTCATTTTTGCTTCTGCCCAGAAGCACTTTTCCAGCTTAGCATGGTGGAGCATGCTGCGACCAATTGTGACGATAGTCCGAATGGCGCGCTCCGCCGTGCCGTTGGTCTGGTGTGCATATGGTACTGTCGTCTGTTGCTCAATGCCTTCATCTTCGTAAAATTCTTGAAGCGAGCTGGTTGCGAACTCGCGGGCTCCGTCGTGTCAGACGAGCTTGACCTTCTTGCCAAATTGCGCTTGCACCATCGTGATGTATCGTGTGATGTAGTTTTCACTTTCCGACTTCACACGTAGACAGAAGCCCTTCATGCATCCACTGGCTTCGTCAACGATCAGCAGTAGATACTTGCTGCCACCCAGAGAATTCATCTTCATGGGTCCGCAGATGTCGACGTGAAGTAGCTCGAAGGTGTCGTATCTGAGCTTGTCCTTGTTGCATGGGAATGGTTTTTGGACCATTTTCCCTAGTTGACATCCTCGGCATGCGCTTGATCCACTTGACGTGAGAGGTACTTTTACGTCCTTGGTCATGTTCGTGGCCACCATTTTGCGAAGCACATCAACTGGAGCGTGTCCCATCCGCGCATGTAAGTCGACACCGTTGCATCCGTTTGTTGTCGCATTGGCCAATCGATGAGCTGTGTGAAGCCAGTAAAGGCCATCCAGAAGATCTGTTGTTGCCACCACTTGTTGCAATCCCTTGCGAGCGACAAACATCTTGGTCCTTGTTGACGTTCATCGGTTTCTACCAGTATTGGTAACCGTGACCGGTCCAATCCGAACCGCCTGTTCAGCTTAGTATTTACGACGTAGTTCTTACGGTAATTACCATAGTTGATTAGACGCGTAGGATGATGAGACGCTTCACATGATTTATATGTGCACCACATATAAATCATGTAGTAAGTAGTAAGCCCCGATAATCAATCACTTTCCAATCTTCCATCTACCCCCCAAGTGTCTTCTCCGGTCTTCCGAGTGGACTCCCAGCATCACTCCCAGTTTTGGTCGTCAAGCTTTACACCTATCAACAGGTTATGAGCCCAAGCACGATGTCCTCTGCTCATGATGCCACCAACAAGATCTCCATTGACAAGTTCGACGGCGACAACTACGCGACGTGGAGCCGCTACATGCGTGGCGTGTTCCTGACCAAGTCGGCGTGGCACGTGGTGAACCGGGAGACCACCCCCACCTTCGCCGATCCTCGCGCCAGTGACGACTACGTCAAGACGAACAACATTGCGTTCGGCTTGATGCTGCTGCACATGAGCGCGGATTATCATCACATGGTTGATGACCGTGAAGAGGCGTGGGTCGCGTGGGCGCGTTTGAAGACACTGTACGGCGGATCTCAGAAGGCTGGGCACATCTGCTTGAAGCGCCAGCTCTTCAGCATGCAGATGGCGGAAGACGGCAATGTGTTGCATCATTGCAATGAGGTCCTCAACATCAGCGCAAAGCTGGCTAGTATCGGCGCCAAGATGTAGGACGAGGACGTTGCGATCTGCTTACTGCGCAGTCTGCCCAAGAGTTTCGAGAACGTGGTTCTCAACTTGGAGATGAGCAGCGCAGAGCTTCAATCGCGGGACGTCGTGAAAGTGCTCACGAACGAGCATGTCAAGCGGCAAGGTGCGAAGGCTACGGTGATCAAGACTGAAGACGCGGCCAAGGCGTTTAGTACCGAGCGTGAACCGCATCATTGCACGTACTGCGGAAAATTGGGGCATACAATGGACCGATGCTGGACCAAGCAGAAGGACGAAAATCAAGGTGGAGCTCGACGCGGTGGCAACAATGCTCGTGGACGCGGAGCCAACAACGTTCAGTGGCGAACCAACAGCAACTACGACGATAACTACGATCGAGTTGCGTTCGCAGTTTCGCTGGAGGCTGGACTTTCGACGGGCAAGAATATGCCAAGGATGTGGGCAGTCGACAGCGGTGCGACACATCACATCTGCAACGACAAAGCCAAGTTTGCAAGCCTGAATGAGCGAGAGGAAGGAGAACTATCAGTGGCTGATGGCAGCAAGGCTGCGATCAAGGGTGTGGGAACCATCATGGAATGGGTGGTTCTGTCCAATGGTGACGAACGCGACATCGAGATCAAGGACGCACTGTTCGTACCAAGTACGAGCAAGAATCTGCTTTTGGTACCACAGATCAACAAGGGTGGCAGGTTCCAAGTCGTGTTCGATGGGTCCAAGATGCAATTGAAGCGCGAGAATTCCACACAAGTCGTGGCAACAGCGGATCTCGTCGATGGACTTTACTGGCTGCGGACTCCTCAACGATCGGCAAATGCAGCAACACGCAATGGGACTATCGACTTGCATGCGTGCATGGGTCATGCACCCCTCGAAGTTCAGCACAAGATGGTGGCCACTGGCATGATCAAGGACGCCAAGGCACCTCTCAACTCGACTGGTCCAAGTGTGTGTCGCGGTTGCCAGCAAGGAAAGATGGTCCAAAAACCATTCCCAACCAACCGTGACAAACGCCAATATGGTGTGTTCGAGTTGCTGCACTTCGACATCTGCGGGCCAATAGAACAAGTCTCGGTCGGCGGCAGCAGATACTTACTGCTTGTGGTTGACGAAGCCAGCGGTTGCATGAAGGGCTTCTGTCTGCGGTCCAAGTCTGAGAGTGAAGACTGTATCAAGAACCACATTATCAAGATTCAAACTCAATTCGGCACGAAGATCAAGTTTGTTCGGCACGATGGAGCGTATGAGTTTGCGACCAACTCCATCAAGACCTTCTACGAAGATCATGGTATCGAACAACAGGTCACGGTGCCGTATGCACACCAGACCAACGGCACCGCAGAACGCGCGATAAGGACCATCGTCACGATCGGACGCAGCTTGTTGCATCATGCAAAGCTGGAGAAGTGTTTCTGGGCTGAAGCGGCAATGACGGCGATCTACATCAAGAACCGCCTGCCTTCACCCAAGATCGACCACAAGACTCCGTTCGAGATCGTGTACAAGTCGAAACCAAGTGTCAAGCACATGCGCGTGTTTTGATGTCGGGCGTTTATCCTGACACCAAGGGAGAAGCGATTGAAGTGGGACCCGAAGGCTCGTGAAGGGATGTTCATGGGCTACGAAGAAGCGTCAAAAGCTTATCGAGTGTACGACATTGAGGCGGACCAAGTGGTGATCAGTCGTGACATCACCTTCGACGAATCGACTTTTGATTTTTCGATGGACCGACCAATTGACGATGATGAAGATGCGGAGTTGGACCTCGACCTCCTGGCGATCAACGAGGACGACGTGCGTCAAACCGTCTACAAGCAGACTGACAAGCGCAAGAGTGAAGCAAGACCCGGCATGTCACGTTCAGCTCGCTTTCGAACTGGGTTGGAACAAGCAAGTGCGCCGGAACACGTCTCCAACCGTCACCAGAAACGACGATCAAGTGCTCCAGAAACGATGTCTGATGACGAAGAAGATGCAAGCGTCTACGATCAAGATGACGACTCGACGCCTCCAACATTTTGGCGTGCAAGTGCAAACGCAGTGGAAGCAACGGACCTAGCAGAACATGTGACTTTTCAAGACGCGATCAATGGTCCTGATCAAGCTCACTGGCGAAATGCTGTGAAGGCGGAACTCAAGTCGATGCATCTTCGTGGAGTTTTCCGTGCGGCAAAACTGCCAAGAGGCCAAGGCGCGATCGGCACCAAGTGGGTGTTCAAGATCGAGCGCAAAGCGGATGGATCGGTCGAGAAATACAAGGCGCGTCTCGTTGCCAAGGGCTTCAAGCAGAAGTACGGCATCGACTACACAGAGACGTTCTCGCCCGTGGTCAAGTACGTGACACTGCGTATGGTGATCTCGATCACCAAGTATTTCGAATGGCCACTGGACCAACTCGATGTGGTGACAGCCTTTCTCTACGGAGTGATGAAGGAGAAGGTGTACTGCGTGATACCAGAAGGCGTCGAGATGGATGGCGACTTCGACTGTCTCGAGTTGGTGAAGGTGATCTACGGTCTCAAGCAAGCTTCACGTGTGTGGAACAAGACTTTCAACGACTTGGTATGCTCTATCGGTTTCGAAGCGTCGGCGTTCGACCCATGTCTCTACATCAAGGTTGTCGACGGTCACTGTGTGCTCGTGCTGGTCTAAGTGGATGACGTGTTGGTCACCGGCAGCTCGCTCGAGTTGATTGCGCAGACGAAGGCCGACCTCAAGACGCGTTTCGAGATGACCGATAGTGGCAAGTGTACTTTTGTACTGGGCATCGAGCTGGTGGACGAATCGGATGGCAGCGTGACGATGTGCCAGCGACGGTATGTCAACGACATCCTCAAGCGCTTCGGCATGGATGAGTGCAAGGCCAAGCTATTCCGGTCGATTTGAGCACTCGGCTTGTCGCAAGCAGTGAAGCGGCCAATATCGACGTTCCGTTTCGTGAAGCTGTGGGAGCTTTGATGCACTTGACGACTGCGAAGCGCCCGGAAATTGCGTATGCTGTGGGGTACGTCTCGCGCTTCATGGAGAATCCGCAACAAGAACATTGGACGGCGGTGAAGCGCATCTTTCGTTACTTGCAATGGACCAAGTCGCACGGACTCCGCTTCCAGCCAAGCGACAAGATCGACTTTCCTGGCTACTCGGACGCGGACTGGGCCGGCGACCACGCTGATCGCAAGTCGACTTCGGGTTACACTTTCATGCTGATGGGTGCTCCTGTGAGTTGGGGAAGCAAGAAGCAGTCAAGTGTGTCGCTGTCGACGAGTGAAGCGGAATACATCGCACTGAGTCTGGCCATCCAGGAAGGCAGGTGGGTGCATTGCCTGCTATGCGAGATTTTGGCGGCCGCAAACGAACCAGGACCGGACCTCGTCATCCGTGAAGACAACCAGTCGTGCATCAAGATGACGAAGAATCCGGTGAATCATGGCCGCGCCAAGCACATCGACATCAAGTACAATCACATCCGTGATGAGGTCAAGCGCGGTGAAGTGAAGCTCGAGTATTGCGAGACTTCCGTGATGATGGCGGACATCATGACCAAGGGACTTTCGGGACCTCGCCACAAGGACTTGACGACGGCTCTCGGCACTCGTGCGAGTTCGTATTGAGGGGGCGTATTGAGGGTTACCGACACAATCCGAACTTAAGCGTAGTTTTTACTGGATAGTTTTTACGTCGGTAATTACCTCAGAGATGATTGGACGCGTAGGATGATTAGACGTGTGTAAATCAGGTTGATTAGATGCACCATGTGATTGGATGCAGTCTAGGGTAGGCAGAGTTAAGACCTATGAATCAATCACTTTTCCAATCTTCCATCTACCCCCCAAGTGTCTTCTCCGGTCTTCCGAGTGGACTCCCAGCATCCCTCCCAGTTTCGGTCGTCAAGCTTCACACCTTTCAACAGAGATCGTCCACAACTCCGAGCTAAGTGTTAAGCACATGCGGGTGTTTGGTTGTCAGGTTTTCATACTGACACCGAGAGAAAAGCGGCTCAAGTGGGACCCCAAAGCTCGCACTGGGATATTCTTGGGCTACGAAGAAGCATCCAAAGCGTATCGCGATTATGACATCGAGGCGGGACAGGTGGTCATCAGTCGAGATGTCAGCTTTGACGAGTCCACCTTTGGACTTTCGCCGCCGATCACTGTTGAATATACCGATGACCTTGACTTCGCCTCCCTCGAGCTGGATGATGAAGCGCCGGATCAAGCGCAGTACAAGCAAACAGGCAAGCGCAAGAGTCGTCCCCATGATGAAGGAGTACCAGCTCCACCCACGCGCACAGTGCGTCAACGACCTGGACTAGAAGAATCGAGTGCGCCAGACAATCACACGACCCACCTAGAAGAAGAGGAAGAAATAAAGAATGCTGATGCATCAACTCCGCCTGTGTTTTGGCGTGCGAGTGCGAACGCCATCGAAACGGCAGTAGACTTATCCGAGCCATCGACTTTTGAAGCTGCGGTGAGCGGTCCTGATCAAGTGCATTGGCGTAAAGCTATCCGTGCGGAACTTGAGTCGATGCGACTTCGTGAAGTATTCCGCGCAGCCAAGCTAACTAAAGGACATCGCGCCATTGGCACGGAGTGGGTCTTCATGATCAAGCGCAAAGCGGACGGATCAATTGACAAGCACAAGGCGCGTCTTATGGCAAAGGGTTTTAAGCAACAGTACGGGATAGACTACACGGAAACGTTCTCACCCGTGGTCAAGTACGTGACGCTGCGCATGGTGATTGCAGTTGCCAAGTATTTCGGATGGACCATCGACCAACTCGACGTGGTGACGGCATTCCTGTATGGTGTCATGAAGGAACAAGCGTTCTGCGTCATGCCTGAAGGCGTGGAATTGGAGGGCCCCTTCGATTGCCTGGAGTTGGTGAAGGCAATCTATGAACTCAAGTAAGCGTCACGCGTATGGAACGAAACGTTTGACGAGTTCGTGTGTGGTATTGGATTTCAAGCGTCAAGCTTTGACCCATGTCTCTACATAAGAATTGTGGAAGGGCAATGCGTGCTGCTGCTGGTGTATGTGGATGACGTGTTGATCACCGGTAGCTCATGCGATCTAATTGCACGCACCAAGACCGACCTGAAGACACGATTCGAGATGACTGACAGCGGCAAGTGTGCATTTGTGCTTGGAATCGAGCTTTTGGACGGCGCAGATGGAAGTGTGACACTATTCCAGCGTCGGTATGTGGATGACATACTCAAGCGCTTTGGCATGGACGATTTCAAGGCCGTCGCAAGTCCATTCGACATGAACTCTCGACTTGTTTCAAGTGATGCAACTACCAAGGTCGATGCTCCTTTTCGCGAAGCTGTTGGTGCGTTGATGCACCTGACCACTGCAACACGCCCGGACATTGCGTTCGCCGTGGTCTATGTGTCGGGATTCATGGAGAATCCCCAAGAAGAACACTGGGTTGCAGTTAAGCGTATCAAAAGATACCTCCAAGGCACCAAGACGCATGGATTCGCTATAAGACAAACAGCAAGATCTACTTCCGTGGATATTCGGATGCAGACTGGGCTGGTGATCTTACCGACCGCAAGTCAACTTTGGGGTACACGTTCATGCTACCTGTTGCGCCAGTGAGTTGGGGCAGCAAGAAACAGCCAAGTGTTTCGTTGTCCACGAGTGAAGCTGAATGCATCGCACTCAGCTTGGCGATTCAAGAGGGCAAGTGGATTCATCGTCTACTTTGTGAGATCATGATGGCTGCCAATGAAGAAGGACCGGAGCTCATGATCCATGAAGACAATCAATCGTGTATCAAGATGACGAAGAACCCGGTCAACCACGGCCGTGCCAAGAACATTGACATAGAGTATCATCACATCCGTGATGAGGTCAAGCGCGGTGAAGTGAAGCTCAAGTACTGTGAAACTGCGGTGATGTTAGCGGACATCATGACGAAGGGACTTCACGGGCCACGCCACAAGGAGACGACGGCGGCTCTCGGGATTCGTGCGTGTTCGCATTGAGGGGGCGTGTTGACGGTACTCGTTTTCCTACCAGTGTTGGTAACCGTGACCGATCCAATCCGAACCGCCTGTTCAGCTTAGTATTTACGACGTAGTTCTTACGGTAATTACCATAGTTGATTAGACGCGTAGGATGATGAGACGCTTCACATGATTTATATGTGCACCACATCTAAATCATGTAGTAGGCAGTAAGCCCCGATAATCAATCTTTCGAATCGTCCAGCTTATGAGTAAGTGTCTTCTGCTCTTCTCTCTCCAGCCTCTCCGCTTCCTTTGCCCCGTTCTCTGCTATGCGACAGGTTATGATTCCGAGCGCCATGTCGTCCGCCACCAACGCATCATCTGGCGTCTCCATTGATAAGTTCAATGGAGAAAACTATGCAACTTGAAGTCGATGCATACGCGGCGTGTTCTTGACGAAGTCCGTCTGGTACGTCGTGAACCGCGAAGTGACGCCAACCTTCACCGACCCGCGAGCGTCCGACGAGTACGTCAAGACGAGCAACATCGCGTTCTGGTTGATGCTACTGCACTTAAATGCGGACAACCACCACGTGCTTGACAACTGCGAGGAAGCGTGGGTCGCGTGGTCACGCCTGAAGACGCTTTGCGGTGGATCACAGAAGGCAGGGCGAATCTACCTCAAGCGCCAGCTGTTCAGCATGAAGATGGCTGAGGGCGCGAACGTCATGCATTACTGCAATGAGGTCTTGAACATCGCCGCCAAGCTTAGCAGCATCGTTGCGAAGATGGAGGACGAGGACGTCGCAATATGTCTGCTGCTCAGTCTCCCTAAGAGTTTCGAGAACGTTGTTTTAAACTTGGAGGTGAGCAGCGCAGAGCTTCGTACCCAAGATGTGGTGAAGGCACTCACGAATGAGCATGCCAAGCGCCAAGGGGGGAAGGTGACAACTACAGCGACGATGGTCAAGAGTGAAGATGCAGCCAAGGCCTTCAACACTGAATGCGAGCCATACAACTGCACCTACTGTGGAGAGGTGGGACACACCGTGGATCGCTGTTGGACCAAGCAGAAGATTGAACGTCGAGGAGCCCGACGCGGCGGCAATGGTCGTGGACGCGGGGCAAACAATGTCCAGTGGGGACAATATCGTGATGAAGACAGCGACTACAATCAAGTAGCGTTTGCAGTTTCGTTGGAGCGTGGACTCTCAGCGAAGAAGGACGTGTCCGGAATGTGGGCAGTCGACAGTGGTGCAATACACACCACATTTGCCACGACAAGACCAAGTTTGCGAGACTGAACAAGCGCAACGACGGTGAAATCTTGGTGGCGGATGGCAACAAAGTGGCCATCAAGGGTGTTGGAACCATCTTTGTTAAGGTGGTTCTGCCCGACGGTGAAGAGCGCGAGATCGAGATCAAGAACGTGCTTTACGTACCAAGCATGAGCAAGAATATGCTTTCGGTACCGCAGATCAACAAGCACGGCAAGTTTCAAGTCGTGTTCGACGGGACCAAGATTTTTGTTGCTCGCAAGGAATTGCACCAAGTGGTGGCAACAGCATAACTTGTGGATAGTCTTTACTGGCTTTACACAGCTCATCGATCGGCCAATGCGACAACAAACGGATGCAACGGTGTCGAATTACATGCACGGATGGGACACGCTCGAGCTGATGTGCTTCGCAAAATGGTGGCCACGAACATGACCAAGGACGTAAAAGTACCTCTCACGTCAAGTGGATCAAGCGCATGCCGAGGATGTCAACTAGGGAAAATGGTCCAAAAACCATTCCCATGCAACAAGGACAAGCTCAGATACGACACCTTCGAGCTACTTCACGTCGACATCTGCGGACCCATGAAGATGAATTCTCTGGGTGGCAGCAAGTATCTACTGCTGATCGTTGACGAAGCCAGTGGATTCATGAAGGGCTTCTGTCTACGTGTGAAATCGGAAAGTGAAAACTACATCACACGATACATCAAGATGGTGCAAGCGCAGTTTGGCAAGAAGGTCAAGCTCGTCTGACACGACGGAGCCCGCGAGTTCGCAACCAGCTCGCTTCAAGAATTTTACGAAGATGAAGGCATTGAGCAGCAGACGACGGTGCCATATGCACACCAGACTAACGGCACGGCGGAGCGCGCCATTCGGACCATCGTCACAATTGGTCGCAGCATGCTCCACCATGCTAAGCTGGAAAAGTGCTTCTGCGCCAAAGCAAAAATGACTGCAATTTACACCAAGAATCGTCTGCCGTCGCCTAAAGATGTACACAAGAATCCGTTCGAGATCGTCCACAACTCCGAGCTTAGTGTTGTTGACGGTCATTGGTTTTCTACCAGTATTGGTAACCGTGACCGATCCAATCCGAACCGCCTGTTCAGCTTAGTATTTACGACGTAGTTCTTACGGTAACCACCATAGTTGATTAGACGCGTAGGATGATGAGACGCTTCACATGATTTATATGTGCACCACATATAAATCATGTAGTAAGTAGTAAGCCCCGATAATCAATCACTTTCGGATCTTCCAACTATTGGGCAAGTGTTTTCTGCTCTACTCTCTTCGGTCTCTCCGCTCCGTTCGCTCCGCTTTCCTCGCTCCGATCTACAATGCAACAGGTTATGAGCCCAAGCGCCATGTCGTCCACCAGCAACGCCTCCATTGACAAGTTCAACGGAGACAATTACGCAACGTGGAGCCGGTACATGCGCGGTGTGTTTTTGACGAAGTCCGTCTGGCACGTCGTCAACCGTGAAGTGACTCTGACTTTCACCGACCCGCGAGCGTCCGATGTCTACGTCAAGGCAAGCAACGTCGCGTTTGGTAGATGCTGCTGCACATGAACGCGGACTACCATCATGTGCTGGACAACTGCGAGGAAGCCTGGGTTGCGTGGACAAGTCTGAAGACGCTGTACGGTGGGTCGCAGAAGGCAGGACGCATCTACCTCAAGCGACAACTTTTAAGTATCAAGATGGCTGAAGGCGCAAACGTCATGCATCACTGCAACGAGGTCCTCAACATCTCCGCCAAGCTTAGCGGCATCGGTGCGAAGATGGAAGACGAAGACGTTGCAATTTGTCTGCTACTCAGTCTTCTGAAGAGCTACGAAAATGTGGTGCTCAACATGGAAATGAGCAGCACCGAGCTTCGCACTCAAGATGTGGTGAGAGTCCTGACGAATGAGCATGCCAAGCGTCAAGGAGAAAAAGGGACAACGACAGCGACTACGGTGAAGGCTGAAGATGCAAGCAAGGCATTCAGAGCCGAGCATGAGCCCTACCAATGCACGTATTGTGGCAAGGTGGGACACACGGTGGATCGTTGCTGGACAAAGCAGAAGAACGAAGGTCGGGGAGCCCGACGCGGCGGCAATGGTCGTGGACGCGGGGCTAACAATGTCCAGTGGGGACATCATGATGAAGGCAATGGCTACGATCGAGTGGCGTTTGCAGTCTCGTTCGAATGTGGAGTTTCGACGAGCAAGGACGTGTCTGGAATGTGGGCCGTCGACAGTGGTGCAACGCACCACATTTGCCACGACAAGACCAAGTTCGCAAGTTTGGCAGAGCGCAATGAGGGCGAACTCTTGGTGGCTGATGGCAACAAGGTGGCCATCAAGGGTGTGGGAACCATCATGGAAAAGGTGGTTCTGCCCAACGGTGAAGAGCGTGAGATCGAAATCAAGAACGCGCTATATGTTCCAAGTATGAGCAATAACCTGCTCTCGGTACCACAGATTAACAGCCATGGCAAGTTTCAAGTCGTGTTTGACGGGTCCAAGATGTATGTGAGACTCAAGAACTCACAGCAAGTGGTGGCGACAGCGGATCTCGTGGATGGACTCTACTGGCTTCGGACGACTTAACGATCAGTGAATGTGACAACAAGTGGAACCAGTTGTGCCGATCTACATGCGAGAATGGGTCATGCTCCAGTCGATGTACTTCGCAAGATGATCGCGACCAACATGATCAAGGATGTGCGAGTCCCTCTCAAGTCGGGTGGAGCAACTACATGTCGAGGATGTCAACAAGGGAAAATGGTCCAAAAACCATTTCCAAGCAACCGAGGCAAGCGCAGCTACGATACGTTTGAGCTACTTCATCTAAACATCTGCGGGCCCATGGAAAAGGATTCGCTCGGTGGCAGCAAATATTTGCTGCTGATCATCGACGAAGCCAGTGGATGCATGAAGGGCTTTTGTCTACGAGTGAAGTCCGAGAGTGAAGACTACATCCGGAAATATATCACCATGGTACAGACGCAATTCTGTAAGAAGGTCAAGTTCGTGCGACACGACGGAGCTCGCGAGTTTGCAACCAACTCGCTTCAACTGCTCTACGAAGACGAAGGCATTGAACAGCAGACAACGGTGCCGTATGCACATCAAACAAACGGAACAGCAGAGCGTGCCATTAGGACTATTGTAACGATCGGCCACAGCATGCTTCATCATGCCAAACTGGACAAGTGTTTCTGGGCCGAAGCAGCGATGACGGCCATCTACGTCAAGAATCGACTGCCGTCACCTAAAGTCGTGAAAAAGACCCCGTTTGAGATCGTCTACAACTTGAAACCAAGCGTCAAGCACATGCGAACATTCGGGTGTCAGACATACATACTGACGCCTAAAGAGAATCGATTCAAGTGGGATCCAAAGGCTCGCGCTGGCATATTCGTGGGCTACGAAGAAGTTTCGAAGGCATATCGTGTTTATGACATCGAGGCGGGGCAGGTGGTTATCAGCCGCGATGTCAACTTCGACGAGTCCACCTTTGGACTTCAACTGCCGATCACTGATGAAGATGTCGATGACCTGGACTTCGAATTGCTGGATCTTGATGACGAAGAGCTGCGTCAAATGGAGTACAAGCAAACAGGCAAGCGCAAGAACCGACTCAATGATGAAGATACAGCAGCTCCACGACCGCGTGCAGTGCGTCAACGACCAGGACTAGAAGAGTCAAGCGCGCCGGAAAACAACTCGTCACGCCAAGAAGAAGACGAAGAAACGAAGGATTCTGGTGATTCAACACCGCCTGTGTTTTGGCGTGCGAGTGCAAATGCCGTTGAAGCAGCAGTGGACTTATCAGAGCCCTCAACATTTGAAGCAGCAGTAAGCGGCCCTGACCAAGTGCACTGGAGAAAAGCAATTCATGCAGAGCTCGAGTCAATGCGACTTCGCGGTGTGTTTCGTGCAGCCAAGCTGCCCAACGGACAACGCGCCATTGGCACAAAATGGGTGTTCAAGATCAAGCGCAAGGCGGATGGATCTATCGAGAAGTACAAGGCACGTCTCGTGGCAAAGGGCTTTCGCCAGAAGTATGGAATCGACTACACGGAGACGTATTCGCCCGTGGTCAAGCATGTGACGCTGCGAATGGTGATCGCAATTTCCAAGCATTTTGGATGGCCCATCGACCAGCTTGATGTGGTGACAGCTTTCCTGTATGGCGTCATGAAGGAACAAGTGTTCTGCGTGATTCCTGAAGGCGTCGAACTTGACAGTACGTTCGACTGCCTGGAATTGGTGAAGGCAATTTACGGCCTGAAGCAAGCTTTGCGAGTATGGAACGAGACTTTTGACGAGTGTGTGTTCCATTGGATTTCAAGTGTCAGGCTTCGACCCATGTCTCTACATCAAGACATCGGACGGCCATTGCGTGTTTATACTGGTCTATGTGGATGACGTGTTGGTGACAGGAAGCTCACCCAAGTTGATTGCACACACCAAGGAAGACCTGAAGACACGCTTCGAGATGACTGATAGCGGCAAGTGTGCATTTGTTCTTGGAATTGAGCTTTTGGACGGTGAAGATGGCAGTGTGACACTATGCCAGCGTCGGTATGTCGATGATATCCTCAAGCGCTTTGGCACGGATGATTGCAAGGCCGTCGCAAGTCCAGTCGACATGAGCTCTCGACTTGTTTCAAGTGATGCAACTACCAAGGTCGATGCTCCTTTTCGCGAAGCTGTTGGTGCGTTGATGCACCTGACCACTGCAACACGCCCGGACATTGCGTTCGCCGTGGTCTATGTGTCGCGGTTCATGGAGAATCCCCAAGAAGAACACTGGGTTGCAGTTAAGCGTATCTTTCGCTACTTACAAGGCACCAAGATGCATGGATTCGCTATAAGACAAACAGCAAGATCGACTTCCGTGGATGTTCGGATGCAGACTGGGCTGGTGATCTTACCGACCGCAAGTCAACTTTGGGGTACACGTTCATGCTACCTGTTGCGCCAGTGAGTTGGTGCAGCAAGAAAGAGCCAAGTGTTTCGTTGTCCACGAGTGAAGCTGAATGCATCGCACTCAGCTTGGCGATTCAAGAGGGCAAGTGGATTCATCGTCTACTTTGTGAGATCGTGATGGCTGCCAACGAAGAAGGACCGGAACTCATGATTCATGAAGACAATCAGTCATGTATCAAGATGACGAAGAACCCGGTCAACCACGGCCGTGCCAAGCACATTGATATCAAGTACCATCACATCCGTGATGAGGTCAAGCGCGGTGAAGTGAAGCTCAAGTACTGTGAAACTGCGGTGATGTTAGCGGACATCATGACGAAGGGACTTCATGGACCACGCCACAAGGACTTGACGACGGCTCTCGGCATTCGTGCGAGTTCGGATTGAGGGGGCGTGTTGACGGTCATCCGTTTTCCTACCAGTGTTGGTAACCGTGACCGATCCAATCCGAACCGCCTGTTCAGCTTAGTATTTACGACGTAGTTCTTACGGTAATTACCATGGTTGATTAGACGCGTAGGATGATGAGACGCTTCACATGATTTATATGTGCACCACACATAAATCATGTAGTAAGTAGTAAGCCCCGATAAGCAATCACTTTCGAATCTTCCAACTATTGGGCAAGTGTTTTATGCTCTACTCTCTTCGGTCTCTCCGCTCCGTTCGCTCCGCTTTCCTCGCTCCGATCTACAATGCAACAAGTGTCAAGCACATGCGGGTGCTCGGTTGTCAGGTTTACATACTGACACCGAAAGAGAAGAGGCTCAAGTGGGACCCCAACGCTCGCACTGGGATATTCCTGGGGCTACGAAGAAGCATCCACAGCGTATCGCGATTATGACATCGAGGCGGGACAGGTGGTCATCAGTCGCAATGTCAACTTTGACGAGTCCACCTTTGGACTTTCGTCGCCAACCATCGCTGAAGACACCGATGACCTTGACTTCGACTCCTTCGATCTGGATGATGAAGCGCCAGGTCAAGAGCAGTACAAGCAAACAGGCAAGCGCAAGAGTCGTCCCCATGATAAAGGAGTACCAGTTCCACCCACGCGCACAGTGCGTCAACGGCCTGGACTAGAAGAATCGAGTACGCCAGACAATCACACGACCCACCAAGAAGAAGATGAAGAAATAAAGAATGCTGACGCATCGACTCCGCCTGTATTTTGGCGTGCGAGTGCGAACGCCATCGAAACGGCAGTAGACTTATCCGAGCCATCGACTTTTGAAGCTGCGGTGAGCGGTCCTGATCAAGTGCATTGGCGCGAAGCTATCCGTGCGGAACTTGAGTCGATGCGACTTCGTGAAGTATTCCGCGCAGCCAAGCTAACTAAAGGACATCGCGCCATTGGCACGGAGTGGGTCTTCAGGATCAAGCGCAAAGCGGACGGATCAATTGACAAGCACAAGGCGCGTCTTATGGCAAAGGGTTTTAAGCAACAGTACGGGATCGACTACACGGAAACGTTCTCACCCGTGGTCAAGTACGTGACGCTGCGCATGGTGATTGCAGTTGCCAAGTATTTCGGATGGACCATCGACCAACTCGACGTGGTGACGGCATTCCTGTATGGTGTCATGAAGGAACAAGCGTTCTGCGTCATGCCTGAAGGCGTGGAATTGGAGGGCCCCTTCGATTGTCTGGAGTTGGTGAAGGCAATCTATGAACTCAAGTAAGCGTCACGCGTATGGAACGAAACGTTTGACGAGTTCGTGTGTGGTATTGGATTTCAAGCGTCAAGCTTTGACCCATGTCTCTACATAAGAATTGTGGAAGGGCAATGCGTGCTGCTGCTGGTGTATGTGGATGACGTGTTGATCACCGGTAGCTCATGCGATCTAATTGCACGCACCAAGACCGACCTGAAGACACGATTCGAGATGACTGACAGCGGCAAGTGTGCATTTGTGCTTGGAATCGAGCTTTTGGACGGCGCAGATGGAAGTGTGACACTATTCCAGCGTCGGTATGTGGATGACATACTCAAGCGCTTTGGCATGGACGATTTCAAGGCCGTCGCAAGTCCAGTCGACATGAACTCTCGACTTGTTTCAAGTGATGCAACTACCAAGGTCGATGCTCCTTTTCGCGAAGCTGTTGGTGCGTTGATGCACCTGACCACTGCAACACGCCCGGACATTGCGTTCGCCGTGGTCTATGTGTCGGGATTCATGGAGAATCCCCAAGAAGAACACTGGGTTGCAGTTAAGCGTATCAAAAGATACCTCCAAGGCACCAAGACGCATGGATTCGCTATAAGACAAACAGCAAGATCGACTTCCGTGGATGTTCGGATGCAGACTGGGCTGGTGATCTTACCGACCGCAAGTCAACTTTGGGGTACACGTTCATGCTACCTGTTGCGCCAGTGAGTTGGGGCAGCAAGAAACAGCCAAGTGTTTCGTTGTCCACGAGTGAAGCTGAATGCATCGCACTCAGCTTGGCGATTCAAGAGGGCAAGTGGATTCATCGTCTACTTTGTGAGATCATGATGGCTGCCAATGAAGAAGGACCGGAGCTCATGATCCATGAAGACAATCAATCGTGTATCAAGATGACGAAGAATCCGGTCAACCACGGCCGTGCCAAGAACATTGACATAGAGTATCATCACATCCGTGATGAGGTCAAGCGCGGTGAAGTGAAGCTCAAGTACTGTGAAACTGCGGTGATGTTAGCGGACATCATGACGAAGGGACTTCACGGGCCACGCCACAAGGAGACGACACCGACTCTCGGGATTCGTGCGTGTTCGCATTGAGGGGGCGTGTTGACGGTACTCGTTTTCCTACCAGTGTTGGTAACCGTGACCGATCCAATCCGAACCGCCTGTTCAGCTTAGTATTTACGACGTAGTTCTTACGGTAATTACCATAGTTGATTAGACGCGTAGGATGATGAGACGCTTCACATGATTTATATGTGCACCACACATAAATCATGTAATAAGTAGTAAGCCCCGATAATCAATAACTTTCCAATCTTCCATCTACCCCCCAAGTGTCTTCTCTGTTAAAGTCTGAAGAGCACTGGGCGAGAGAACGAAGCTTGAAAGGCTTGAAAGAAGTCTACACTGCGAAGTGAAGACGACTTGTGTAGGAGAAGGAATATTTAGAAGTGAATTTATTTGTGGGTTTTGTTGAAGCTACCTGATTCGTCCCTGCACTGATTATATGCTGTCCACAAATAAATCATGAATCGTCAATCATGTAGGTCATCCAATCATCCTATGCGTCTAATCATTGGTAAGAACTCACCGTAATTAGGCGGGATCGACTTGGACAGGTTTACGGTTCCCATGGTAGCTGATAGCAGTTTCTCAACCGTCAACCCACAATACGCCCCCTCAATGCGAACACGCGTGAATGCCGAGCGCTGCCGTCAAGTCCTTGTGACGCGGTCCTGGCAGTCCCTTCGTCATGATGTCCGCCAACATAGTCGTAGTCTCACAGTACACCAACTTGACATCACCACGCTTGACTTCATCACGAATGTGATGGTACTTGATGTCGATGTGCTTGGCCCGACCATGGTTCACAGGATTCTTCGTCATCTTGATGCACGACTGGTTGTCTTCCATGATCTTGAGCTCGGGTCCAGACTTGTTCTCTGCGGCATCCAGAATCTCGCACAGCAATCGATGCACCCACTTGCCTTCTTGAATCGCCAGACTTAGTGCAATGTACTCAGCTTCACTTGTTGACAGCGACACACTTGACTGCATTTTGCTTCCCCAGCTCACCGGAGCACCCATCAGGATAAACGCGTATCCTGAAGTCGACTTGCGGTCTGCATGGTCGCCGGCCCAGTCTGCATCCGAGTAGCCACAGAAGTCTATCTTGTCATCAGGCTTGAAACAGATACCGTGCGACTTAGTCCCTTGTAAGTATCGCAAAATGCGCTTGACCGCCATCCAATGCTCGACTTGGGGGTTCTCCATGAAGCGCGAAACGTAACTCACAGCAAAGGCAATGTCCGGTCGTGTCGCGGTCATCAAGTGCATCAGAGCGCCTACTGCTTCACGAAACGGGGCGTCGATTTTAGTTGCTGCGGTACTTGGTATGAGTCGAGAACTGATGTCTGTTGGGCTGGTGACGGCTTTGCAGTCGCTCATGCCAAAACGCTTGAGAACATCTTCCACGTAGCGTCGCTGGCACATCGTCACGCTACCGTTGTCGTTGTCCACCAGCTCGATGCCCAACACGAATGCGCACTTCCTACTGTCGGTCATTTCGAAACGCGCCTTTAAGTCACTCTTGGTGCGCATAATCAGTTCGGTTGAGCTGCCAGTCACCAACACATCATCAACGTATACCAGCAAAAGCACACACTCTCCAATTGTAATCTTGAGATAAAGACACGGGTCAAAATCGGAGACTTGAAATCCAATGAAGCAGACGAACTCATTCAAAAAAAACTCGTTCCATACGCGCGATGCTTGTTTTAGTCCGTAGATCGCCTTGATCAGTTCAAAGCAGTCAAAGTCTTCATCAACTTCGACTCCTTCTGGGATCGCGCAGAAAACCTTTTCCTTCATTTCTCCGTAAAGGAAAGCTGTCACCGCGTCCAGTTGGTCCAGTGTCCAGCCAAAGTACTTCGTGATTGCAACCACCATGCGCAGCGTCACGTACTTGACTACCGGCAAAAACGTTTCCGCGTAGTCGATGGCATATTTCTGCTTGAACCCTTTTGCCACGAGACGCGCCTTGTATTTCTCGATGGATCCATCAGCTTTCCGTTTGATCTTGAATACCCACTTGGTGCCAATGGTATGCTGTCCAGACGGCAGTTTGGTCGCTCGAAACACGCCACGAAGTTTCATCGAGTCCAACTCGGCACAGATTGCCTTACGCCAATGCACTTGATCTGGTCCACCAACAGCATCTTCAAACGTGGTCGGCTCAGACAAGTCAGTACCTTCGACTGCATTGGCACTCGCTCGCCAAAAGACTTTGAGGTGTAGCATCCTTGTTATCTTCGTCACTGCACTTTTGATCTTCGTCCAGATTGTCTCGAGCGCTTGATCGTCGCTTCGCTTGGTGCGATTCATAGTGTTGACGGTCATCGGTTTCTAACAGTATTGGTAACCGTGACCGGTCCAATCCGAACCGCCTGTTCAGCTTAGTATTTACGACGTAGTTCTTACGGTAATTACCATAGTTGATTAGACGCGTAGGATGATGAGACGCTTCACATGATTTATATGTGCACCACATATAAATCATGTAATAAGTAGTAAGCCCCGATAATCAATAACTCTCCAATCTTCCATCTACCCCCCAAGTGTCTTCTCCGGTCTTCCGAGTGGACTCCCAGCATCACTCCCAGTTTTGGTCGTCAAGCTTTACACCTATCAACAGGTTATGAGCCCAAGCACGATGTCCTCTGCTCATGATGCCACCAACAAGATCTCCATTGACAAGTTCGACGGCGACAACTACGCGACGTGGAGCCGCTACATGCGTGGCGTGTTCCTGACCAAGTCGGCGTGGCACGTGGTGAACCGGGAGACCACCCCCACCTTCGCCGATCCTCGCGCCAGTGACGACTACGTCAAGACGAACAACATTGCGTTCGGCTTGATGCTGCTGCACATGAGCGCGGATTATCATCACGTGGTTGATGACTGTGAAGAGGCGTGGGTCGCGTGGGCGCGTTTGAAGACGCTGTACGGCGGGTCGCAGAAGGCTGGACGCATCTACTTGAACCGCCAGCTGTTCAGCATGGAGATAGCGGAAGGCGGCAATGTGATGCATCATTGCAACGAAGTCCTCAACATCAGCGCGAAGCTCAGCAGCATCGGCGCCAAGATGGAGGACGAGGACGTGGCGATCTGCTTGTTGCGCAGCCTCCCCAAGAGTTTCGAGAACGCGGTTCTCAACTTGGAGATGAGCAGCGCGGAACTGCAATCGCGAGACGTCGTGAGAGTGCTCACGAATGAGCACATCAAGAGGCAAGGTGACAAGACTACATCGGTGAAGACTGAAGACGCAGCGAAGGCGTTCAGTGCCGAGCGTGAACCTCGCCAGTGTACATACTGCGGAAAATTGGGGCACACGGCGGAGCGGTGCTGGACCAAGCAGAAGGACGAAAATCAAGGTGGAGCTCGACGCGGCGGCAACAATGCTCGTGGACGCGGAGCCAACAACGTTCAGTGGCGAAACAACAACAACAACGACGATAACTACGATCGAGTTGCGTTCGCGGTTTCGCTGGAGGCTGGACTTTCGATGGGCAAGAATATGCCAAGGATGTGGGCAGTCGACAGCGGTGCGACGCATCACATCTGCAACGACAAGGCCAAGTTTGCAAGCCTGAATGAGCGAGAGGAAGGAGAACTATCAGTGAGTGGCTGATGGCAGCAAGGCTGCGATCAAGGGTGTGGGAACCATCATGGAATGGGTGGTTCTGCCCAATGGTGACGAACGCGACATCGAGATCAAGGACGCACTGTTCGTACCAAGTATGAGCAAGAATCTGCTTTTGGTACCACAGATCAACAAGGGTGGCAGGTTCCAAGTCGTGTTCGATGGATCCAAGATGCAATTGAAGCGCGAGAATTCCACACAAGTCGTGGCAACAACGGATCTCGTCGATGGACTTTACTGGCTGCGGACTCCTCAACGATCGGCAAATGCAGCAACACACAATGGGACCATCGACTTGCATGCGCGCATGGGTCATGCACCCCTCGAAGTTCTGCGCAAGATGGTGGCCACTGGCATGATCAAGGACGCCAAGGCACCTCTCAAGTCGACTGGTCCAAGTGTGTGTCGCGGTTGCCAGCAAGAAAAGATGGTCCAAAAACCATTCCCAACCAACCGTGACAAACGCCAATATGGTGTTTCGAGTTGCTGCACTTCGACATCTGCGGGCCAATGGAACAAGTCTCGATCGGCGGCAGTAGATACTTACTGCTTGTGGTTGACGAAGCTAGCGGTTGCATGAAGGGCTTCTGTCTGCGGTCCAAGTCTGAGAGTGAAGACTGTATCAAGAACCACATCATCAAGATTCAAACTCAGTTCGGCACGAAGATCAAGTTTGTTCGGCACGATGGAGCGCATGAGTTTGCGACCAACTCCATCAAGACCTTCTACGAAGATCATGGTATCGAACAACAGATCACGGTGCCGTATGAACACCAGACCAACGGCACCGCAGAACGCGCGATAAGGACCATCGTCACGATCGGACGCAGCTTGTTGCATCATGCAAAGCTGGAGAAGTGTTTCTGGGATGAAGCGGCAATGACGGCGATCTACATCAAGAACCGCCTGCCTTCACCCAAGATCGACCACAAGACTCCGTTCGAGATCGTGTACAAGTCGAAACCAAGTGTCAAGCACATGCGCGTGTTTTGATGTCGGGCGTTTATCCTGACACCAAGGGAGAAGCGATTGAAGTGGGACCCGAAGGCTCGTGAAGGGATATTCATGGGCTACGAAGAAGCGTCAAAAGCTTATCGAGTGTACGACATTGAGGCGGACCAAGTGGTGATCAGTCGTGACATCACCTTCGACGAATCGACTTTTGATTTTTCGATGGACCGACCAATTGACGATGATGAAGATGCGGAGTTGGACCTCGACCTCCTGGCGATCAACGAGGACGACGTGCGTCAAACCGTCTACAAGCAGACTGGCAAGCGCAAGAGTGAAGCAAGACCCGGCATGTCACGTTCAGCTCGCTTTCGAACTGGGTTGGAACAAGCAAGTGCGCCGGAACACGTCTCCAACCGTCACCAGAAACGACGATCAAGTGCTCCAGAAACGATGTCTGATGACGAAGAAGATGCAAGCGTCTACGATCAAGATGACGACTCGACGCCTCCAACATTTTGGCGTGCAAGTGCAAACGCAGTGGAAGCAACGGACCTAGCAGAACATGTGACTTTTCAAGACGCAATCAATGGTCCTGATCAAGCTCACTGGCGAAATGCTGTGAAGGCGGAACTCAAGTCGATGCATCTTCGTGGAGTTTTCCGTGCGGCAAAACTGCCAAGAGGCCAAGGCGCGATCGGCACCAAGTGGGTGTTCAAGATCAAGCGCAAAGCGGATGGATCGGTCGAGAAATACAAGGCGCGTCTCGTTGCCAAGGGCTTCAAGCAGAAGTACGGCATCGACTACACAGAGACGTTCTCGCCCGTGGTCAAGTACGTGACACTGCGTATGGTGATCGCGATCACCAAGTATTTCGAATGGCCACTGGCCCAAATCGATGTGGTGACAGCCTTTCTCTACGGAGTGATGAAGGAGAAGGTGTACTGCGTGATACCAGAAGGCGTCGAGATGGATGGCGACTTTGACTGTCTCGAGTTGGTGAAGGCGATCTACGGTCTCAAGCAAGCTTCACGTGTGTGGAACGAGACTTTCGACGAGTTCGTATGCTCTATCGATTTCGAAGCGTCGGCGTTCGACCCATGTCTCTACATCAAGGTTGTCGACGGTCACTGTGTGCTCGTGCTGGTCTACGTGGATGACGTGTTGGTCACCGGCAGCTCGCTCGAGTTGATTGCGCAGACGAAGGCCGACCTCAAGACGCGTTTGAGATGACCGACAGTGGCAAGTGTACTTTTGTACTGGGCATCGAACTGGTGGACGAATCGGATGGCAGCGTGACGATGTGCCAGCGACGGTATGTCAACGACATCCTCAAGCGCTTCGGCATGGATGAGTGCAAGGCCAAAGCAAGTCCGGTCGATTTGAGCACTCGGCTTGTCGCAAGCAGCGAAGCGGCCAAGATCGACGTTCCGTTTCGTGAAGCTGTGGGAGCTTTGATGCACTTGACGACTGCGACGCGCCCGGATATTGCGTATGCTGTGGGGTACGTCTCGCGCTTCATGGAGAATCCGCAGCAAGAACATTGGACGGCGGTGAAGCGCATCTTTCGTTGCTTGCAAGGGACCAAGTTGCACGGACTCCGCTTCCAGCCAAGCGACAAGATCGACTTTCGTGGCTACTCGGACGCGGACTGGGCCGGTGACCACGCTGATCGCAAGTCGACTTCGGGTTACACTTTCATGCTGATGGGTGCTCCTGTGAGTTGGGGAAGCAAGAAGCAGTCAAGTGTGTCGCTGTCGATGAGTGAAGCGGAATACATCGCACTGAGTCTGGCCATCCAGGAAGGCAAGTGGGTGCATCGCCTGCTATGCGAGATTTTGGCGGCCGCAAACGAACCAGGACTGGACCTCGTCATCCGTGATAACAACCAGTCGTGCATCAAGATGACGAAGAATCCGGTGAATCATGGCCGCGCCAAGCACATCGACATCAAGTACCATCACATCCGTGATGAGGTCAAGCGCGGTGAAGTGCAGCTCGAGTATTGCGAGACTTCCGTGATGATGGCGGACATCATGACCAAGGGACTTTTGGGACCTCGTCACAAGGACTTGACGACGGCTCTCGGCATTCGTGCGAGTTCGGATTGAGGGGACGTGTTGACGGTCATCGGTTTCTACCAGTATTGGTAACCGTGACCGGTCCAATCCGAACCGCCTGTTCAGCTTAGTATTTACGACGTAGTTCTTACGGTAATTACCATAGTTGATTAGACGCGTAGGATGATGAGACGCTTCACATGATTTATATGTGCACCACATATAAATCATGTAATAAGTAGTAAGCCCCGATAATCAATAACTTTCCAATCTCCCATCTACCCCCAAGTGTCTTCTCCGGTCTTCCGAGTGGACTCCCAGCATCACTCCCAGTTTCGGTCGTCAAGCTTTACACCTATCAACAGATGGGTCCAAGATGCAAGTGAAGCGCAATAATTCCACACAAGTCGTGGCAACAGCGGATCTCTTCGATGGACTTTACTGGCTGCGGACTCCTCAACGATCAGCAAATGCAGCAACACGCAATGGGACCATCGACTTGCATGCGCGCATGGGTCATGCACCCCTCGAAGTTCTGCGCAAGATGGTGGCCACTGGCATGATCAAGGACGCCAAGGCACCTCTCAAGTCGACTGGTCCAAGTGTGTGTCGCGGTTGCCAGCAAGAAAAGATGGTCCAAAAACCATTCTCAACCAACCGTGACAAACGCCAATATGGTGTTTCGAGTTGCTGCACTTCGACATCTGCGGGCCAATGGAACAAGTCTCGATCGGCGGCAGCAGATACTTACTGCTTGTGGTTGACGAAGCTAGCGGTTGCATGAAGGGCTTCTGTCTGCGGTCCAAGTCTGAGAGTGAAGACTGTATCAAGAACCACATCATCAAGATTCAAACTCAGTTCGGCACGAAGATCAAGTTTGTTCGGCACGATGGAGCGCATGAGTTTGCGACCAACTCCATCAAGACCTTCTACGAAGATCATGGTATCGAACAACAGATCACGGTGCCGTATGCACACCAGACCAACGGCACCGCAGAACGCGCGATAAGGACCATCGTCACGATCGGACGCAGCTTGTTGCATCATGCAAAGCTGGAGAAGTGTTTCTGGGCTGAAGCGGCAATGACGGCGATCTACATCAAGAACCGCCTGCCTTCACCCAAGATCGACCACAAGACTCCGTTCGAGATCGTGTACAAGTCGAAACCAAGTGTCAAGCACATGCGCGTGTTTTGATGTCGGGCGTTTATCCTGACACCAAGGGAGAAGCGATTGAAGTGGGACCCGAAGGCTCGTGAAGGGATGTTCATGGGCTACGAAGAAGCGTCAAAAGCTTATCGAGTGTACGACATTGAGGCGGACCAAGTGGTGATCAGTCGTGACATCACCTTCGACGAATCGACTTTTGATTTTTCGATGGACCGACCAATTGACGATGATGAAGATGCGGAGTTGGACCTCGACCTCCTGGCGATCAACGAGGACGACGTGCGTCAAACCGTCTACAAGCAGACTGACAAGCGCAAGAGTGAAGCAAGACCCGGCATGTCACGTTCAGCTCGCTTTCGAACTGGGTTGGAACAAGCAAGTGCGCCGGAACACGTCTCCAACCGTCACCAGAAACGACGATCAAGTGCTCCAGAAACGATGTCTGATGACGAAGAAGATGCAAGCGTCTACGATCAAGATGACGACTCGACGCCTCCAACATTTTGGCGTGCAAGTGCAAACGCAGTGGAAGCAACGGACCTAGCAGAACATGTGACTTTTCAAGACGCGATCAATGGTCCTGATCAAGCTCACTGGCGAAATGCTGTGAAGGCGGAACTCAAGTCGATGCATCTTCGTGGAGTTTTCCGTGCGGCAAAACTGCCAAGAGGCCAAGGCGCGATCGGCACCAAGTGGGTGTTCAAGATCAAGCGCAAAGCGGATGGATCGGTCGAGAAATACAAGGCGCGTCTCGTTGCCAAGGGCTTCAAGCAGAAGTACGGCATCGACTACACAGAGACGTTCTCGCCCGTGGTCAAGCACGTGACACTGCGTATGGTGATCTCGATCACCAAGTATTTCGAATGGCCACTGGACCAACTCGATGTGGTGACAGCCTTTCTCTACGGAGTGATGAAGGAGAAGGTGTACTGCGTGATACCAGAAGGCGTCGAGATGGATGGCGACTTCGACTGTCTCGAGTTGGTGAAGGCGATCTACGGTCTCAAGCAAGCTTCACGTGTGTGGAACAAGACTTTCGACGAGTTCGTATGCTCTATCGATTTCGAAGCGTCGGCGTTCGACCCATGTCTCTACATCAAGGTTGTCGACGGTCACTGTGTGCTCGTGCTGGTCTACGTGGATGACGTGTTGGTCACCGGCAGCTCGCTCGAGTTGATTGCGCAGACGAAGGCCGACCTCAAGATGCGTTTCGAGATGACCGACAGCGGCAAGTGTACCTTTGTACTGGGCATCGAACTGGTGGACGAATCGGATGGCAGCGTGACGATGTGCCAGCGACGGTATGTCAACGACATCCTCAAGCGCTTCGGCATGGATGAGTGCAAGGCCACAGCAAGTCCGGTCGATTTGAGCACTCGGCTTGTCGCAAGCAGCGAAGCGGCCAAGATCGACGTTCCGTTTCGCGAAGCGGTTGGTGCTTTGATGCATTTGATGACTGCAACGCGCCCAGATATCGCGTATGCTGTGGGGTACGTCTCGCGCTTCATGGAGAATCCGCAGCAAGAACATTGGACGGCGGTGAAGCGCATCTTTCGTTGCTTGCAAGGGACCAAGTTGCACGGACTCCGCTTCCAGCCAAGCGACAAGATCGACTTTCGTGGCTACTCGGACGCGGACTGGGCCGGTGACCACGCTGATCGCAAGTCGACTTCGGGTTACACTTTCATGCTGATGGGTGCTCCTGTGAGTTGGGGAAGCAAGAAGCAGTCAAGTGTGTCGCTGTCGATGAGTGAAGCGGAATACATCGCACTGAGTCTGGCCATCCAGGAAGGCAAGTGGGTGCATCGCCTGCTATGCGAGATTTTGGCGGCCGCAAACGAACCAGGACTGGACCTCGTCATCCGTGATAACAACCAGTCGTGCATCAAGATGACGAAGAATCCGGTGAATCATGGCCGCGCCAAGCACATCGACATCAAGTACCATCACATCCGTGATGAGGTCAAGCGCGGTGAAGTGCAGCTCGAGTATTGCGAGACTTCCGTGATGATGGCGGACATCATGACCAAGCGACTTTTGGGACCTCGTCACAAGGACTTGACGACGGCTCTCGGCACTCGTGCGAGTTCGGATTGAAAGGGCGTGTTGACGGTCATCGGTTTCTACCAGTATTGGTAACCGTGACCGGTCCAATCCGAACCGCCTGTTCAGCTTAGTATTTACGACGTAGTTCTTACAGTAATTACCATAGTTGATTAGACGCGTAGGATGATGAGACGCTTCACATGATTTATATGTGCACCACATATAAATCATGTAATAAGTAGTAAGCCCCGATAATCAATAACTTTCCAATCTTCCATCTACCCCCAAGTGTCTTCTCCGGTCTTCCGAGCGGACTCCCAGCATCACTCCCAGTTTCGGTCGTCAAGCTTTACACCTATCAACAGATGGGTCCAAGATGCAAGTGAAGCGCAATAATTCCACACAAGTCGTGGCAACAGCGGATCTCGTCGATGGACTTTACTGGCTGCGGACTCCTCAACGATCAGCAAATGCAGCAACACGCAATGGGACCATCGACTTGCATGCGCGCATGGGTCATGCACCCCTCGAAGTTCTGCGCAAGATGGTGGCCACTGGCATGATCAAGGACGCCAAGGCACCTCTCAAGTCGACTGGTCCAAGTGTGTGTCGCGGTTGCCAGCAAGAAAAGATGGTCCAAAAACCATTCTCAACCAACCGTGACAAACGCCAATATGGTGTTTCGAGTTGCTGCACTTCGACATCTGCGGGCCAATGGAACAAGTCTCGATCGGCGGCAGCAGATACTTACTGCTTGTGGTTGACGAAGCTAGCGGTTGCATGAAGGGCTTCTGTCTGCGGTCCAAGTCTGAGAGTGAAGACTGTATCAAGAACCACATCATCAAGATTCAAACTCAGTTCGGCACGAAGATCAAGTTTGTTCGGCACGATGGAGCGCATGAGTTTGCGACCAACTCCATCAAGACCTTCTACGAAGATCATGGTATCGAACAACAGATCACGGTGCCGTATGCACACCAGACCAACGGCACCGCAGAACGCGCGATAAGGACCATCGTCACGATCGGACGCAGCTTGTTGCATCATGCAAAGCTGGAGAAGTGTTTCTGGGCTGAAGCGGCAATGACGGCGATCTACATCAAGAACCGCCTGCCTTCACCCAAGATCGACCACAAGACTCCGTTCGAGATCGTGTACAAGTCGAAACCAAGTGTCAAGCACATGCGCGTGTTTTGATGTCGGGCGTTTATCCTGACACCAAGGGAGAAGCGATTGAAGTGGGACCCGAAGGCTCGTGAAGGGATATTCATGGGCTACGAAGAAGCGTCAAAAGCTTATCGAGTGTACGACATTGAGGCGGACCAAGTGGTGATCAGTCGTGACATCACCTTCGACGAATCGACTTTTGATTTTTCGATGGACCGACCAATTGACGATGATGAAGATGCGGAGTTGGACCTCGACCTCCTGGCGATCAACGAGGACGACGTGCGTCAAACCGTCTACAAGCAGACTGGCAAGCGCAAGAGTGAAGCAAGACCCGGCATGTCACGTTCAGCTCGCTTTCGAACTGGGTTGGAACAAGCAAGTGCGCCGGAACACGTCTCCAACCGTCACCAGAAACGACGATCAAGTGCTCCAGAAACGATGTCTGATGACGAAGAAGATGCAAGCGTCTACGATCAAGATGACGACTCGACGCCTCCAACATTTTGGCGTGCAAGTGCAAACGCAGTGGAAGCAACGGACCTAGCAGAACATGTGACTTTTCAAGACGCGATCAATGGTCCTGATCAAGCTCACTGGCGAAATGCTGTGAAGGCGGAACTCAAGTCGATGCATCTTCGTGGAGTTTTCCGTGCGGCAAAACTGCCAAGAGGCCAAGGCGCGATCGGCACCAAGTGGGTGTTCAAGATCAAGCGCAAAGCGGATGGATCGGTCGAGAAATACAAGGCGCGTCTCGTTGCCAAGGGCTTCAAGCAGAAGTACGGCATCGACTACACAGAGACGTTCTCACCCGTGGTCAAGTACGTGACACTGCGTATGGTGATCGCGATCACCAAGTATTTCGACTGGTCACTGGCCCAACTCGATGTGGTGACAGCCTTTCTCTACGGAGTGATGAAGGAGAAGGTGTACTGCGTGATACCAGAAGGCGTCGAGATGGATGGCGACTTCGACTGTCTCGAGTTGGTGAAGGCGATCTACGGTCTCAAGCAAGCTTCACGTGTGTGGAACAAGACTTTCGACGAGTTCGAATGCTTTATCGATTTCGAAGCGTCGGCGTTCGACCCATGTCTCTACATCAAGGTTGTCGACGGTCACTGTGTGCTCGTGCTGGTCTACGTGGATGACGTGTTGGTCACCGGCAGCTCGCTCGAGTTGATTGCGCAGACGAAGGCCGACCTCAAGATGCGTTTCGAGATGACCGACAGCGGCAAGTGTACCTTTGTACTGGGCATCGAACTGGTGGACGAATCGGATGGCAGCGTGACGATGTGCCAGCGACGGTATGTCAACGACATCCTCAAGCGCTTCGGCATGGATGAGTGCAAGGCCACAGCAAGTCCGGTCGACTTGAGCACTCGGCTTGTCGCAAGCAGCGAAGCGGCCAAGATCGACGTTCCGTTTCGCGAAGCGGTTGGTGCTTTGATGCATTTGATGACTGCAACGCGCCCAGATATCGCGTATGCTGTGGGGTACGTCTCGCGCTTCATGGAGAATCCGCAGCAAGAACATTGGACGGCGGTGAAGCGCATCTTTCGTTGCTTGCAAGGGACCAAGTTGCACGGACTCCGCTTCCAGCCAAGCGACAAGATCGACTTTCGTGGCTACTCGGACGCGGACTGGGCCGGTGACCACGCTGATCGCAAGTCGACTTCGGGTTACACTTTCATGCTGATGGGTGCTCCTGTGAGTTGGGGAAGCAAGAAGCAGTCAAGTGTGTCGCTGTCGATGAGTGAAGCGGAATACATCGCACTGAGTCTGGCCATCCAGGAAGGCAAGTGGGTGCATCGCCTGCTATGCGAGATTTTGGCGGCCGCAAACGAACCAGGACTGGACCTCGTCATCCGTGATAACAACCAGTCGTGCATCAAGATGACGAAGAATCCGGTGAATCATGGTCGCGCCAAGCACATCGACATCAAGTACCATCACATCCGTGATGAGGTCAAGCGCGGTGAAGTGCAGCTCGAGTATTGCGAGACTTCCGTGATGATGGCGGACATCATGACCAAGCGACTTTTGGGACCTCGTCACAAGGACTTGACGACGGCTCTCGGCATTCGTGCGAGTTCGGATTGAAAGGGCGTGTTGACGGTCATCGGTTTCTACCAGTATTGGTAACCGTGACCGGTCCAATCCGAACCGCCTGTTCAGCTTGGTATTTACGACGTAGTTCTTACGGTAATTACCATAGTTGATTAGACGCGTAGGATGATGAGACGCTTCACATGATTTATATGTGCACCACATATAAATCATGTAGTAAGTAGTAAGCCCCGATAATCAATCACTTTCCAATCTCCCATCTACCCCCAAGTGTCTTCTCCGGTCTTCCGAGTGGACTCCCACCATCACTACCAGTTTCGGTCGTCAAGCTTTTCACCAATCAACACAACCGTCACCAGAAACACGATCAAGTGCAGCAGCAACGATGTCTGATGACGAAGTAGATGCAAAGCGTCTCGTCGATCAACTTGACGACTCGACGCCTCCAACGATTTTGGCTTGCAAGTGGCAAACGCAGTGGAAGCAACGGACCTAGCAGAACATGTGACTTTTCAAGACGCGATCAATGGTCCTGATCAAGCTCACTGGCGAAATGCTGTGAAGGCGGAACTCAAGTCGATGCATCTTCGTGGAGTTTTCCGTGCGGCAAAACTGCCAAGAGGCCAAGGCGCGATCGGCACCAAGTGGGTGTTCAAGATCAAGCGCAAAGCGGATGGATAGGTCGAGAAATACAAGGCGCGTCTCGTTGCCAAGGGCTTCAAGCAGAAGTACGGCATCGACTACACAGAGACGTTCTCGCCCGTGGTCAAGTACGTGACACTGCGTATGGTGATCGCGATCACCAAGTATTTCGACTGGCCACTGGCCCAACTCGATGTGGTGACAGCCTTTCTCTATGGAGTGATGAAGGAGAAGGTGTACTGCGTGATACCAGAAGGCGTCGAGATGGATGGCGACTTCGACTGTCTCGAGTTGGTGAAGGCGATCTACGGTCTCAAGCAAGCTTCACGTGTGTGGAACGAGACTTTCGACGAGTTCGTATGCTCTATCGATTTCGAAGCGTCGGCGTTCGACCCATGTCTCTACATCAAGGTTGTCGACGGTCACTGTGTGCTCGTGCTGGTCTACGTGGATGACGTGTTGGTCACCGGCAGCTCGCTCGAGTTGATTGCGCAGACGAAGGCCGACCTCAAGACGCGTTTCGAGATGACCGACAGTGGCAAGTGTACTTTTGTACTGGGCATCGAACTGGTGGACGAATCGGATGGCAGCGTGACGATGTGCCAGCGACGGTATGTCAACGACATCCTCAAGCGCTTCGGCATGGATGAGTGCAAGGCCAAAGCAAATCCGGTCGATTTGAGCACTCGGCTTGTCGCAAGCAGCGAAGCGGCCAAGATCGACGTTCCGTTTCGTGAAGCTGTGGGAGCTTTGATGCACTTGACGACTGCGACGCGCCCGGACATTGCGTATGCTGTGGGGTACGTCTCGCGCTTCATGGAGAATCCGCAGCAAGAACATTGGACGGCGGTGAAGCGCATCTTTCGTTACTTGCAAGGGACCAAGTCGCACGGACTCCGCTTCCAGCCAAGCGACAAGATCGACTTTCGTGGCTACTCGGACGCGGACTGGGCCGGTGACCACGCTGATCGCAAGTCGACTTCGGGTTACACTTTCATGCTGATGGGTGCTCCTGTGAGTTGGGGAAGCAAGAAGCAGTCAAGTGTGTCGCTGTCGATGAGTGAAGCGGAATACATCGCACTGAGTCTGGCCATCCAGGAAGGCAAGTGGGTGCATCGCCTGCTATGCGAGATTTTGGCGGCCGCAAACGAACCAGGACTGGACCTCGTCATCCGTGATAACAACCAGTCGTGCATCAAGATGACGAAGAATCCGGTGAATCATGGCCGCGCCAAGCACATCGACATCAAGTACCATCACATCCGTGATGAGGTCAAGCGCGGTGAAGTGCAGCTCGAGTATTGCGAGACTTCCGTGATGATGGCGGACATCATGACCAAGGGACTTTTGGGACCTCGTCACAAGGACTTGACGACGGCTCTCGGCATTCGTGCGAGTTCGGATTGAGGGGACGTGTTGACGGTCATCGGTTTCTACCAGTATTGGTAACCGTGACCGGTCCAATCCGAACCGCCTGTTCAGCTTAGTATTTACGACGTAGTTCTTACGGTAATTACCATAGTTGATTAGACGCGTAGGATGATGAGACGCTTCACATGATTTATATGTGCACCACATATAAATCATGTAATAAGTAGTAAGCCCCGATAATCAATCACTTTCCAATCTCCCATCTACCCCCAAGTGTCTTCTCCGGTCTTCCGAGTGGACTCCCAGCATCACTCCCAGTTTCGGTCGTCAAGCTTTACACCTATCAACAGATGGGTCCAAGATGCAAGTGAAGCGCAATAATTCCACACAAGTCGTGGCAACAGCGGATCTCGTCGATGGACTTTACTGGCTGCGGACTCCTCAACGATCAGCAAATGCAGCAACACGCAATGGGACCATCGACTTGCATGCGCGCATGGGTCATGCACCCCTCGAAGTTCTGCGCAAGATTGTGGCCACTGGCATGATCAAGGACGCCAAGGCACCTCTCAAGTCGACTGGTCCAAGTGTGTGTCGCGGTTGCCAGCAAGAAAAGATGGTCCAAAAACCATTCTCAACCAACCGTGACAAACGCCAATATGGTGTTTCGAGTTGCTGCACTTCGACATCTGCGGGCCAATGGAACAAGTCTCGATCGGCGGCAGCAGATACTTACTGCTTGTGGTTGACGAAGCTAGCGGTTGCATGAAGGGCTTCTGTCTGCGGTCCAAGTCTGAGAGTGAAGACTGTATCAAGAACCACATCATCAAGATTCAAACTCAGTTCGGCACGAAGATCAAGTTTGTTCGGCACGATGGAGCGCATGAGTTTGCGACCAACTCCATCAAGACCTTCTACGAAGATCATGGTATCGAACAACAGATCACGGTGCCGTATGCACACCAGACCAACGGCACCGCAGAACGCGCGATAAGGACCATCGTCACGATCGGACGCAGCTTGTTGCATCATGCAAAGCTGGAGAAGTGTTTCTGGGCTGAAGCGGCAATGACGGCGATCTACATCAAGAACCGCCTGCCTTCACCCAAGATCGACCACAAGACTCCGTTCGAGATCGTGTACAAGTCGAAACCAAGTGTCAAGCACATGCGCGTGTTTTGATGTCGGGCGTTTATCCTGACACCAAGGGAGAAGCGATTGAAGTGGGACCCGAAGGCTCGTGAAGGGATGTTCATGGGCTACGAAGAAGCGTCAAAAGCTTATCGAGTGTACGACATTGAGGCGGACCAAGTGGTGATCAGTCGTGACATCACCTTCGACGAATCGACTTTTGATTTTTCGATGGACCGACCATTGACGATGATGAAGATGCGGAGTTGGACCTCGACCTCCTGGCGATCAACGAGGACGACGTGCGTCAAACCGTCTACAAGCAGACTGGCAAGCGCAAGAGTGAAGCAAGACCCGGCACGTCACGTTCAGCTCGCTTTCGAACTGGGTTGGAACAAGCAAGTGCGCCGGAACACGTCTCCAACCGTCACCAGAAACGACGATCAAGTGCTCCAGAAACGATGTCTGATGACGAAGAAGATGCAAGCGTCTACGATCAAGATGACGACTCGACGCCTCCAACATTTTGGCGTGCAAGTGCAAACGCAGTGGAAGCAACGGACATAGCAGAACATGTGACTTTTCAAGACGCGATCAATGGTCCTGATCAAGTTCACTGGCGAAATGCTGTGAAGGCGGAACTCAAGTCGATGCATCTTCGTGGAGTTTTCCGTGCGGCAAAACTGCCAAGAGGCCAAGGCGCGATCGGCACCAAGTGGGTGTTCAAGATCAAGCGCAAAGCGGATGGATCGGTCGAGAAATACAAGGCGCGTCTCGTTGCCAAGGGCTTCAAGCAGAAGTACGGCATCGACTACACAGAGACGTTCTCACCCGTGGTCAAGTACGTGACACTGCGTATGGTGATCGCGATCACCAAGTATTTCGACTGGTCACTGGCCCAACTCGATGTGGTGACAGCCTTTCTCTACGGAGTGATGAAGGAGAAGGTGTACTGCGTGATACCAGAAGGCGTCGAGATGGATGGCGACTTCGACTGTCTCGAGTTGGTGAAGGCGATCTACGGTCTCAAGCAAGCTTCACGTGTGTGGAACGAGACTTTCGACGAGTTCGTATGCTCTATCGGTTTCGAAGCGTCGGCGTTCGACCCATGTCTCTACATCAAGGTTGTCGACGGTCACTGTGTGCTCGTGCTGGTCTACGTGGATGACGTGTTGGTCACCGGCAGCTCGCTCGAGTTGATTGCGCAGACGAAGGCCGACCTCAAGACGCGTTTCGAGATGACCGACAGTGGCAAGTGTACTTTTGTACTGGGCATCGAACTGGTGGACGAATCGGATGGCAGCGTGACGATGTGCCAGCGACGGTATGTCAACGACATCCTCAAGCGCTTCGGCATGGATGAGTGCAAGGCCAAAGCAAGTCCGGTCGATTTGAGCACTCGGCTTGTCGCAAGCAGCGAAGCGGCCAAGATCGACGTTCCGTTTCGTGAAGCTGTGGGAGCTTTGATGCACTTGACGACTGCGACGCGCCCGGACATTGCGTATGCTGTGGGGTACGTCTCGCGCTTCATGGAGAATCCGCAGCAAGAACATTGGACGGCGGTGAAGCGCATCTTTCGTTGCTTGCAAGGGACCAAGTCGCACGGACTCCGCTTCCAGCCAAGCGACAAGATCGACTTTCGTGGCTACTCGGACGCGGACTGGGCCGGTGACCACGCTGATCGCAAGTCACTTGGGTGACCAAGGGTGGTGGGGAGAAGAACACTTTCGGGACCTCGTCACAAGGACTTGACGACGGCTCTCGGCACTCGTGCGAGTTCGGATTGAAAGGGGCGTGTTGACGGTCATCGGTTTCTACCAGTATTGGTAACCGTGACCGGTCCAATCCGAACCGCCTGTTCAGCTTAGTATTTACGACGTAGTTCTTACGGTAATTACCATAGTTGATTAGACGCGTAGGATGATGAGACGCTTCACATGATTTATATGTGCACCACATATAAATCATGTAATAAGTAGTAAGCCCCGATAATCAATCACTTTCCAATCTCCCATCTACCCCCAAGTGTCTTCTCCGGTCTTCCGAGTGGACTCCCAGCATCACTCCCAGTTTCGGTCGTCAAGCTTTACACCTATCAACAGATGGGTCCAAGATGCAAGTGAAGCGCAATAATTCCACACAAGTCGTGGCAACAGCGGATCTCGTCGATGGACTTTACTGGCTGCGGACTCCTCAACGATCAGCAAATGCAGCAACACGCAATGGGACCATCGACTTGCATGCGCGCATGGGTCATGCACCCCTCGAAGTTCTGCGCAAGATGGTGGCCACTGGCATGATCAAGGACGCCAAGGCACCTCTCAAGTCGACTGGTCCAAGTGTGTGTCGCGGTTGCCAGCAAGAAAAGATGGTCCAAAAACCATTCTCAACCAACCGTGACAAACGCCAATATGGTGTTTCGAGTTGCTGCACTTCGACATCTGCGGGCCAATGGAACAAGTCTCGATCGGCGGCAGCAGATACTTACTGCTTGTGGTTGACGAAGCTAGCGGTTGCATGAAGGGCTTCTGTCTGCGGTCCAAGTCTGAGAGTGAAGACTGTATCAAGAACCACATCATCAAGATTCAAACTCAGTTCGGCACGAAGATCAAGTTTGTTCGGCACGATGGAGCGCATGAGTTTGCGACCAACTCCATCAAGACCTTCTACGAAGATCATGGTATCGAACAACAGATCACGGTGCCGTATGCACACCAGACCAACGGCACCGCAGAACGCGCGATAAGGACCATCGTCACGATCGGACGCAGCTTGTTGCATCATGCAAAGCTGGAGAAGTGTTTCTGGGCTGAAGCGGCAATGACGGCGATCTACATCAAGAACCGCCTGCCTTCACCCAAGATCGACCACAAGACTCCGTTCGAGATCGTGTACAAGTCGAAACCAAGTGTCAAGCACATGCGCGTGTTTTGATGTCGGGCGTTTATCCTGACAACAAGGGAGAAGCGATTGAAGTGGGACCCGAAGGCTCTTGAAGGGATATTCATGGGCTACGAAGAAGCGTCAAAAGCTTATCGAGTGTACGACATTGAGGCGGACCAAGTGGTGATCAGTCGTGACATCACCTTCGACGAATCGACTTTTGATTTTTCGATGGACCGACCATTGACGATGATGAAGATGCGGAGTTGGACCTCGACCTCCTGGCGATCAACGAGTACGACGTGCGTCAAACCGTCTACAAGCAGACTGGCAAGCGCAAGAGTGAAGCAAGACCCGGCATGTCACGTTCAGCTCGCTTTCGAACTGGGTTGGAACAAGCAAGTGCGCCGGAACACGTCTACAACCGTCACCAGAAACGACGATCAAGTGCTCCAGAAACGATGTCTGATGACGAAGAAGATGCAAGCGTCTACGATCAAGATGACGACTCGACGCCTCCAACATTTTGGCGTGCAAGTGCAAACGCAGTGGAAGCAACGGACATAGCAGAACATGTGACTTTTCAAGACGCGATCAATGGTCCTGATCAAGCTCACTGGCGAAATGCTGTGAAGGCGGAACTCAAGTCGATGCATCTTCGTGGAGTTTTCCGTGCGGCAAAACTGCCAAGAGGCCAAGGCGCGATCGGCACCAAGTGGGTGTTCAAGATCAAGCGCAAAGCGGATGGATCGGTCGAGAAATACAAGGCGCGTCTCGTTGCCAAGGGCTTCAAGCAGAAGTACGGCATCGACTACACAGAGACGTTCTCACCCGTGGTCAAGTACGTGACACTGCGTATGGTGATCGCGATCACCAAGTATTTCGACTGGTCACTGGCCCAACTCGATGTGGTGACAGCCTTTCTCTACGGAGTGATGAAGGAGAAGGTGTACTGCGTGATACCAGAAGGCGTCGAGATGGATGGCGACTTCGACTGTCTCGAGTTGGTGAAGGCGATCTACGGTCTCAAGCAAGCTTCACGTGTGTGGAACGAGACTTTCGACGAGTTCGTATGCTCTATCGGTTTCGAAGCGTCGGCGTTCGACCCATGTCTCTACATCAAGGTTGTCGACGGTCACTGTGTGCTCGTGCTGGTCTACGTGGATGACGTGTTGGTCACCGGCAGCTCGCTCGAGTTGATTGCGCAGACGAAGGCCGACCTCAAGACGCGTTTCGAGATGACCGACAGTGGCAAGTGTACTTTTGTACTGGGCATCGAACTGGTGGACGAATCGGATGGCAGCGTGACGATGTGCCAGCGACGGTATGTCAACGACATCCTCAAGCGCTTCGGCATGGATGAGTGCAAGGCCAAAGCAAGTCCGGTCGATTTGAGCACTCGGCTTGTCGCAAGCAGCAAAGCGGCCAAGATCGACGTTCCGTTTCGTGAAGCTGTGGGAGCTTTGATGCACTTGACGACTGCGACGCGCCCGGACATTGCGTATGCTGTGGGGTACGTCTCGCGCTTCATGGAGAATCCGCAGCAAGAACATTGGACGGCGGTGAAGCGCATCTTTCGTTGCTTGCAAGGGACCAAGTCGCACGGACTCCGCTTCCAGCCAAGCGACAAGATCGACTTTCGTGGCTACTCGGACGCGGACTGGGCCGGCGACCACGCTGATCGCAAGTCATGACCAAGGGACTTTCGGGACCTCGTCACAAGGACTTGACGACGGCTCTCGGCACTCGTGCGAGTTCGGATTGAAAGGGCGTGTTGACGGTCATCGGTTTCTACCAGTATTGGTAACCGTGACCGGTCCAATCCGAACCGCCTGTTCAGCTTAGTATTTACGACGTAGTTCTTACAGTAATTACCATAGTTGATTAGACGCGTAGGATGATGAGACGCTTCACATGATTTATATGTGCACCACATATAAATCATGTAATAAGTAGTAAGCCCCGATAATCAATCACTTTCCAATCTCCCATCTACCCCCAAGTGTCTTCTCCGGTCTTCCGAGTGGACTCCCAGCATCACTCCCAGTTTCGGTCGTCAAGCTTTACACCTATCAACAGATGGGTCCAAGATGCAAGTGAAGCGCAATAATTCCACACAAGTCGTGGCAACAGCGGATCTCGTCGATGGACTTTACTGGCTGCGGACTCCTCAACGATCAGCAAATGCAGCAACACGCAATGGGACCATCGACTTGCATGCGCGCATGGGTCATGCACCCCTCGAAGTTCTGCGCAAGATGGTGGCCACTGGCATGATCAAGGACGCCAAGGCACCTCTCAAGTCGACTGGTCCAAGTGTGTGTCGCGGTTGCCAGCAAGAAAAGATGGTCCAAAAACCATTCTCAACCAACCGTGACAAACGCCAATATGGTGTTTCGAGTTGCTGCACTTCGACATCTGCGGGCCAATGGAACAAGTCTCGATCGGCGGCAGCAGATACTTACTGCTTGTGGTTGACGAAGCTAGCGGTTGCATGAAGGGCTTCTGTCTGCGGTCCAAGTCTGAGAGTGAAGACTGTATCAAGAACCACATCATCAAGATTCAAACTCAGTTCGGCACGAAGATCAAGTTTGTTCGGCACGATGGAGCGCATGAGTTTGCGACCAACTCCATCAAGACCTTCTACGAAGATCATGGTATCGAACAACAGATCACGGTGCCGTATGCACACCAGACCAACGGCACCGCAGAACGCGCGATAAGGACCATCGTCACGATCGGACGCAGCTTGTTGCATCATGCAAAGCTGGAGAAGTGTTTCTGGGCTGAAGCGGCAATGACGGCGATCTACATCAAGAACCGCCTGCCTTCACCCAAGATCGACCACAAGACTCCGTTCGAGATCGTGTACAAGTCGAAACCAAGTGTCAAGCACATGCGCGTGTTTTGATGTCGGGCGTTTATCCTGACAACAAGGGAGAAGCGATTGAAGTGGGACCCGAAGGCTCTTGAAGGGATATTCATGGGCTACGAAGAAGCGTCAAAAGCTTATCGAGTGTACGACATTGAGGCGGACCAAGTGGTGATCAGTCGTGACATCACCTTCGACGAATCGACTTTTGATTTTTCGATGGACCGACCAATTGACGATGATGAAGATGCGGAGTTGGACCTCGACCTCCTGGCGATCAACGAGTACGACGTGCGTCAAACCGTCTACAAGCAGACTGGCAAGCGCAAGAGTGAAGCAAGACCCGGCACGTCACGTTCAGCTCGCTTTCGAACTGGGTTGGAACAAGCAAGTGCGCCGGAACACGTCTACAACCGTCACCAGAAACGACGATCAAGTGCTCCAGAAACGGTGTCTGATGACGAAGAAGATGCAAGCGTCTACGATCAAGATGACGACTCGACGCCTCCAACATTTTGGCGTGCAAGTGCAAACGCAGTGGAAGCAACGGACATAGCAGAACATGTGACTTTTCAAGACGCAATCAATGGTCCTGATCAAGCTCACTGGCGAAATGCTGTGAAGGCGGAACTCAAGTCGATGCATCTTCGTGGAGTTTTCCGTGCGGCAAAACTGCCAAGAGGCCAAGGCGCGATCGGCACCAAGTGGGTGTTCAAGATCAAGCGCAAAGCGGATGGATCGGTCGAGAAATACAAGGCGCGTCTCGTTGCCAAGGGCTTCAAGCAGAAGTACGGCATCGACTACACAGAGACGTTCTCACCCGTGGTCAAGTACGTGACACTGCGTATGGTGATCGCGATCACCAAGTATTTCGACTGGTCACTGGCCCAACTCGATGTGGTGACAGCCTTTCTCTACGGAGTGATGAAGGAGAAGGTGTACTGCGTGATACCAGAAGGCGTCGAGATGGATGGCGACTTCGACTGTCTCGAGTTGGTGAAGGCGATCTACGGTCTCAAGCAAGCTTCACGTGTGTGGAACGAGACTTTCGACGAGTTCGTATGCTCTATCGGTTTCGAAGCGTCGGCGTTCGACCCATGTCTCTACATCAAGGTTGTCGACGGTCACTGTGTGCTCGTGCTGGTCTACGTGGATGACGTGTTGGTCACCGGCAGCTCGCTCGAGTTGATTGCGCAGACGAAGGCCGACCTCAAGACGCGTTTCGAGATGACCGACAGTGGCAAGTGTACTTTTGTACTGGGCATCGAACTGGTGGACGAATCGGATGGCAGCGTGACGATGTGCCAGCGACGGTATGTCAACGACATCCTCAAGCGCTTCGGCATGGATGAGTGCAAGGCCACAGCAAGTCCGGTCGACTTGAGCACTCGGCTTGTCGCAAGCAGCGAAGCGGCCAAGATCGACGTTCCGTTTCGTGAAGCTGTGGGAGCTTTGATGCACTTGACGACTGCGACGCGCCCGGATATTGCGTATGCTGTGGGGTACGTCTCGCGCTTCATGGAGAATCCGCAGCAAGAACATTGGACGGCGGTGAAGCGCATCTTTCGTTGCTTGCAAGGGACCAAGTCGCACGGACTCCGCTTCCAGCCAAGCGACAAGAACGACTTTCGTGGCTACTCGGACGCGGACTGGGCCGGTGACCACGCTGATCGCAAGTCATGACCAAGGGACTTTCGGGACCTCGTCACAAGGACTTGACGACGGCTCTCGGCACTCGTGCGAGTTCGGATTGAAAGGGCGTGTTGACGGTCATCGGTTTCTACCAGTATTGGTAACCGTGACCGGTCCAATCCGAACCGCCTGTTCAGCTTAGTATTTACGACGTAGTTCTTACGGTAATTACCATAGTTGATTAGACGCGTAGGATGATGAGACGCTTCACATGATTTATATGTGCACCACATATAAATCATGTAATAAGTAGTAAGCCCCGATAATCAATCACTTTCCAATCTCCCATCTACCCCCAAGTGTCTTCTCCGGTCTTCCGAGTGGACTCCCAGCATCACTCCCAGTTTCGGTCGTCAAGCTTTACACCTATCAACAGATGGGTCCAAGATGCAAGTGAAGCGCAATAATTCCACACAAGTCGTGGCAACAGCGGATCTCGTCGATGGACTTTACTGGCTGCGGACTCCTCAACGATCAGCAAATGCAGCAACACGCAATGGGACCATCGACTTGCATGCGCGCATGGGTCATGCACCCCTCGAAGTTCTGCGCAAGATGGTGGCCACTGGCATGATCAAGGACGCCAAGGCACCTCTCAAGTCGACTGGTCCAAGTGTGTGTCGCGGTTGCCAGCAAGAAAAGATGGTCCAAAAACCATTCTCAACCAACCGTGACAAACGCCAATATGGTGTTTCGAGTTGCTGCACTTCGACATCTGCGGGCCAATGGAACAAGTCTCGATCGGCGGCAGCAGATACTTACTGCTTGTGGTTGACGAAGCTAGCGGTTGCATGAAGGGCTTCTGTCTGCGGTCCAAGTCTGAGAGTGAAGACTGTATCAAGAACCACATCATCAAGATTCAAACTCAGTTCGGCACGAAGATCAAGTTTGTTCGGCACGATGGAGCGCATGAGTTTGCGACCAACTCCATCAAGACCTTCTACGAAGATCATGGTATCGAACAACAGATCACGGTGCCGTATGCACACCAGACCAACGGCACCGCAGAACGCGCGATAAGGACCATCGTCACGATCGGACGCAGCTTGTTGCATCATGCAAAGCTGGAGAAGTGTTTCTGGGCTGAAGCGGCAATGACGGCGATCTACATCAAGAACCGCCTGCCTTCACCCAAGATCGACCACAAGACTCCGTTCGAGATCGTGTACAAGTCGAAACCAAGTGTCAAGCACATGCGCGTGTTTTGATGTCGGGCGTTTATCCTGACACCAAGGGAGAAGCGATTGAAGTGGGACCCGAAGGCTCTTGAAGGGATATTCATGTGCTACGAAGAAGCGTCAAAAGCTTATCGAGTGTACGACATTGAGGCGGACCAAGTGGTGATCAGTCGTGACATCACCTTCGACGAATCGACTTTTGATTTTTCGATGGACCGACCAATTGACGATGATGAAGATGCGGAGTTGGACCTCGACCTCCTGGCGATCAACGAGTACGACGTGCGTCAAACCGTCTACAAGCAGACTGGCAAGCGCAAGAGTGAAGCAAGACCCGGCACGTCACGTTCAGCTCGCTTTCGAACTGGGTTGGAACAAGCAAGTGCGCCGGAACACGTCTACAACCGTCACCAGAAACGACGATCAAGTGCTCCAGAAACGGTGTCTGATGACGAAGAAGATGCAAGCGTCTACGATCAAGATGACGACTCGACGCCTCCAACATTTTGGCGTGCAAGTGCAAACGCAGTGGAAGCAACGGACCTAGCAGAACATGTGACTTTTCAAGACGCAATCAATGGTCCTGATCAAGCTCACTGGCGAAATGCTGTGAAGGCGGAACTCAAGTCGATGCATCTTCGTGGAGTTTTCCGTGCGGCAAAACTGCCAAGAGGCCAAGGCGCGATCGGCACCAAGTGGGTGTTCAAGATCAAGCGCAAAGCGGATGGATCGGTCGAGAAATACAAGGCGCGTCTCGTTGCCAAGGGCTTCAAGCAGAAGTACGGCATCGACTACACAGAGACGTTCTCACCCGTGGTCAAGTACGTGACACTGCGTATGGTGATCGCGATCACCAAGTATTTCGACTGGTCACTGGCCCAACTCGATGTGGTGACAGCCTTTCTCTACGGAGTGATGAAGGAGAAGGTGTACTGCGTGATACCAGAAGGCGTCGAGATGGATGGCGACTTCGACTGTCTCGAGTTGGTGAAGGCGATCTACGGTCTCAAGCAAGCTTCACGTGTGTGGAACGAGACTTTCGACGAGTTCGTATGCTCTATCGGTTTCGAAGCATCGGCGTTCGACCCATGTCTCTACATCAAGGTTGTCGACGGTCACTGTGTGCTCGTGCTGGTCTACGTGGATGACGTGTTGGTCACCGGCAGCTCGCTCGAGTTGATTGCGCAGACGAAGGCCGACCTCAAGACGCGTTTCGAGATGACCGACAGTGGCAAGTGTACTTTTGTACTGGGCATCGAACTGGTGGACGAATCGGATGGCAGCGTGACGATGTGCCAGCGACGGTATGTCAACGACATCCTCAAACGCTTCGGCATGGATGAGTGCAAGGCCACAGCAAGTCCGGTCGACTTGAGCACTCGGCTTGTCGCAAGCAGCGAAGCGGCCAAGATCGACGTTCCGTTTCGTGAAGCTGTGGGAGCTTTGATGCACTTGACGACTGCGACGCGCCCGGACATTGCGTATGCTGTGGGGTACGTCTCGCGCTTCATGGAGAATCCGCAGCAAGAACATTGGACGGCGGTGAAGCGCATCTTTCGTTTCTTGCAAGGGACCAAGTTGCACGGACTCCGCTTCCAGCCAAGCGACAAGATCGACTTTCGTGGCTACTCGGACGCGGACTGGGCCGGTGACCACGCTGATCGCAAGTCATGACCAAGGGACTTTCGGGACCTCGTCACAAGGACTTGACGACGGCTCTCGGCACTCGTGCGAGTTCGGATTGAAAGGGCGTGTTGACGGTCATCGGTTTCTACCAGTATTGGTAACCGTGACCGGTCCAATCCGAACCGCCTGTTCAGCTTAGTATTTACGACGTAGTTCTTACGGTAATTACCATAGTTGATTAGACGCGTAGGATGATGAGACGCTTCACATGATTTATATGTGCACCACATATAAATCATGTAATAAGTAGTAAGCCCCGATAATCAATCACTTTCCAATCTCCCATCTACCCCCAAGTGTCTTCTCCGGTCTTCCGAGTGGACTCCCAGCATCACTCCCAGTTTCGGTCGTCAAGCTTTACACCTATCAACAGATGGGTCCAAGATGCAAGTGAAGCGCAATAATTCCACACAAGTCGTGGCAACAGCGGATCTCGTCGATGGACTTTACTGGCTGCGGACTCCTCAACGATCAGCAAATGCAGCAACACGCAATGGGACCATCGACTTGCATGCGCGCATGGGTCATGCACCCCTCGAAGTTCTGCGCAAGATGGTGGCCACTGGCATGATCAAGGACGCCAAGGCACCTCTCAAGTCGACTGGTCCAAGTGTGTGTCGCGGTTGCCAGCAAGAAAAGATGGTCCAAAAACCATTCTCAACCAACCGTGACAAGCGCCAATATGGTGTTTCGAGTTGCTGCACTTCGACATCTGCGGGCCAATGGAACAAGTCTCGATCGGCGGCAGCAGATACTTACTGCTTGTGGTTGACGAAGCTAGCGGTTGCATGAAGGGCTTCTGTCTGCGGTCCAAGTCTGAGAGTGAAGACTGTATCAAGAACCACATCATCAAGATTCAAACTCAGTTCGGCACGAAGATCAAGTTTGTTCGGCACGATGGAGCGCATGAGTTTGCGACCAACTCCATCAAGACCTTCTACGAAGATCATGGTATCGAACAACAGATCACGGTGCCGTATGCACACCAGACCAACGGCACCGCAGAACGCGCGATAAGGACCATCGTCACGATCGGACGCAGCTTGTTGCATCATGCAAAGCTGGAGAAGTGTTTCTGGGCTGAAGCGGCAATGACGGCGATCTACATCAAGAACCGCCTGCCTTCACCCAAGATCGACCACAAGACTCCGTTCGAGATCGTGTACAAGTCGAAACCAAGTGTCAAGCACATGCGCGTGTTTTGATGTCGGGCGTTTATCCTGACACCAAGGGAGAAGCGATTGAAGTGGGACCCGAAGGCTCTTGAAGGGATATTCATGGGCTACGAAGAAGCGTCAAAAGCTTATCGAGTGTACGACATTGAGGCGGACCAAGTGGTGATCAGTCGTGACATCACCTTCGACGAATCGACTTTTGATTTTTCGATGGACCGACCAATTGACGATGATGAAGATGCGGAGTTGGACCTTGACCTCCTGGCGATCAACGAGTACGACGTGCGTCAAACCGTCTACAAGCAGACTGGCAAGCGCAAGAGTGAAGCAAGACCCGGCACGTCACGTTCAGCTCGCTTTCGAACTGGGTTGGAACAAGCAAGTGCGCCGGAACACGTCTACAACCGTCACCAGAAACGACGATCAAGTGCTCCAGAAACGGTGTCTGATGACGAAGAAGATGCAAGCGTCTACGATCAAGATGACGACTCGACGCCTCCAACATTTTGGCGTGCAAGTGCAAACGCAGTGGAAGCAACGGACATAGCAGAACATGTGACTTTTCAAGACGCAATCAATGGTCCTGATCAAGCTCACTGGCGAAATGCTGTGAAGGCGGAACTCAAGTCGATGCATCTTCGTGGAGTTTTCCGTGCGGCAAAACTGCCAAGAGGCCAAGGCGCGATCGGCACCAAGTGGGTGTTCAAGATCAAGCGCAAAGCGGATGGATCGGTCGAGAAATACAAGGCGCGTCTCGTTGCCAAGGGCTTCAAGCAGAAGTACGGCATCGACTACACAGAGACGTTCTCACCCGTGGTCAAGTACGTGACACTGCGTATGGTGATCGCGATCACCAAGTATTTCGACTGGTCACTGGCCCAACTCGATGTGGTGACAGCCTTTCTCTATGGAGTGATGAAGGAGAAGGTGTACTGCGTGATACCAGAAGGCGTCGAGATGGATGGCGACTTCGACTGTCTCGAGTTGGTGAAGGCGATCTACGGTCTCAAGCAAGCTTCACGTGTGTGGAACGAGACTTTCGACGAGTTCGTATGCTCTATCGGTTTCGAAGCATCGGCGTTCGACCCATGTCTCTACATCAAGGTTGTCGACGGTCACTGTGTGCTCGTGCTGGTCTACGTGGATGACGTGTTGGTCACCGGCAGCTCGCTCGAGTTGATTGCGCAGACGAAGGCCGACCTCAAGACGCGTTTCGAGATGACCGACAGTGGCAAGTGTACTTTTGTACTGGGCATCGAACTGGTGGACGAATCGGATGGCAGCGTGACGACGTGCCAGCGACGGTATGTCAACGACATCCTCAAGCGCTTCGGCATGGATGAGTGCAAGGCCACAGCAAGTCCGGTCGACTTGAGCACTCGGCTTGTCGCAAGCACCGAAGCGGCCAAGATCGACGTTCCGTTTCGTGAAGCTGTGGGAGCTTTGATGCACTTGACGACTGCGACGCGCCCGGACATTGCGTATGCTGTGGGGTACGTCTCGCGCTTCATGGAGAATCCGCATCAAGAACATTGGACGGCGGTGAAGCGCATCTTTCGTTTCTTGCAAGGGACCAAGTTGCACGGACTCCGCTTCCAGCCAAGCGACAAGATCGACTTTCGTGGCTACTCGGACGCGGACTGGGCCGGTGACCACGCTGATCGCAAGTCGACTTCGGGTTACACTTTCATGCTGATGGGTGCTCCTGTGAGTTGGGGGGGCAAGAAGAAGTCAAGGGGGTGGTGGGGGAGGGGGGGAGGGGAGAAAACTCCCTGGGGGTGCCCCCCCCGAAAGAGGAGGGTGGGTGGCGCGCGCGGGGGGGGGGGGGGGGGGCGGCACAAACAAAAGGGTCGGCGCCGCCCCCCGGGAGACCAACAATCCGGCCATGAGAAGATGAAGAAAAAAAGGAAGAGGGGGGGGGGCGCGGCCACCAGCAACAACTAATTTAATATTATTTGTGGGGGGGGGGGGGGGGGGGGGGGGGGTGGGGGGGTGGGGGGGGTTTTGGTGGGGGGGGGGGGGGGGTCATGACCAAGGGACTTTTGGGACCTCGTCACAAGGACTTGACGACGGCTCTCGGCATTCGTGCGAGTTCGGATTGAGAGGGCGTGTTGACGGTCATCGGTTTCTACCAGTATTGGTAACCGTGACCGGTCCAATCCGAACCGCCTGTTCAGCTTAGTATTTACGACGTAGTTCTTACGGTAATTACCATAGTTGATTAGACGCGTAGGATGATGAGACGCTTCACATGATTTATATGTGCACCACATATAAATCATGTAATAAGTAGTAAGCCCCGATAATCAATCACTTTCCAATCTCCCATCTACCCCCAAGTGTCTTCTCCGGTCTTCCGAGTGGACTCCCAGCATCACTCCCAGTTTCGGTCGTCAAGCTTTTCACCTATTAACACAGAGTCATCTATGGTACTTGCTTCTTCTAACCCGGCTCCACGACTCTTAAGAAGTGTCCGTTGTAGAACTTGTTCTTGACTGTTTGAACGGCTTTTGCGTTTTCCATTTTGCTTGAACTGCATGGGGTGAGGCTCATCGCTGATGATCATCGATTCGATATCCAGCGCAGTGTCATCAACATTTTCTTGTGGTAGCATCGGCGAGAAACCAAGCGTTGATTCGTCGAATGTGGCATTGTGAGATATCACAACTTGGTCCGCTTCAATGTCGTAAACGCGATATGCCTTTGACACTTCTTCGTACCCCATGAATAGTCCTTCACGAGCCTTCGGATCCCATTTCGATCTCTTTTCCTTAGGGGTCAGCACAAACGTTCGGCAGCCGAAAACCCGCATGTGCTTCACACTTGGTCGAAATCCGTTGACGATCTCGAACGGGGTTTGATCTTGGCACTTGGGCGATGGTAGGCGATTCTTGATGTAGATCGCCTTCATTGCTGCTTCAGCCCAAAAACATATGTCCAGCTTGGCGTAGTGAAGCATGCTGCGCCCGATCGTCACAATAGTCCGAATTGCCCGTTCCGCCGTGCCGTTGGTCTGATGCGCATACGGAACGGTAACTTGCTGCTCGATTCCTTGATCATCGTAAAATGCCTTAAGCGAATTCGCCGCAAATTGTCGTGCACCATCGTGTCGAACGAACTTGACCTTGTAGTCAAACTGCGTCTGTACTGCCATGATGTACTTCTTGATGCACTCTTCGCTGTCGGACTTGGCGCGCAGACTGAAACCCTTCATACATCCGCTGCTTTCATCGACGATCAGTAGCAAGTACTTGCTTCCACCTAGCGAGTCGACTTCCATTGGACCACAAGTGTCGATGTGTAGAAGCTCAAACGGATCGTAGTGGCGCTTGTTTGGATTGCTTGGGAACGGTCGTTGAACCATTTTTCCTTCTAGACAACCCTGACACACGCTTGATCCGCTCAATTTTGTTGGCATCTTGGCATCCTTGACCATGCCCTTGGAGACCATTCTGCACAAGACATCAATCGGTGCGTGGCCCATACGCGCATGAAGGTTTTTGACTCTTGGTCTTGAAGCCGCATTCACGGATGGGATGTACGAAGCCAGTAGAGGCCATCCACAAGATCGGCCATCGCTATTACTTGCTTGGAGCCTTTGTGCGAAATCTTCATCTCGTCACCATCAAACACCACTTGAAACTTGCCGCTTTTGTTGATTTGTGGTATCGAAAGCAAGTTTTGTTAAAGCTTGGGACGTAAAGCGCGTTCTTGATCTCGACTTCGCGCTCTTCACCGTTGGACAGGATCACTTTTTCGATGATTGTCCCGACACCGTTGATCGCAGCCTTGTTCCCATCTGCAACTAACACTTCGCCTTCATTGCGCTCGTCCAGAAATTCGAACTTGGACTTGTCATAGCAGATGTGATGTGTTGCACCGCTATCAATCGCCCACATTCCAGACATGCTCTTGGTCATTGAAAGTCCGCATTCCAGCGAAACAGCAAACGCCACTCGATCATAGTCACAGTTGCTGTTGCCGTTGTAGCCTCGCCACTGAACTTGATTCGCTCCGCGTCCACGTGCATTGCCGCCGCGTCGAGCTCCCCGATTGTCTTCCTTCTGCTTGGTCCAGCACTTTTCCACCGTGTGCCCCAATTTTCCGCAGAACGTACACTGACGAACCTCACGCTCGGTACTGAAGGCCTTGGTCGCTTCTTCAGTTTCACCGATGTCGTCTTTTTCCCTTGCCTCTTGATGTGCTCATTCGTCAGCACTTTCACGACGTCTTGCGTCCGCAGTTCCGCGCTGCTCATCTCCAAGTTCAGCACGACGTTCTCGTAGCTCTTGGGGAGGCTGCGCAACAAGAAGATCGCCACGTCCTCATCCTCCATCTTGGCGCCGATGCTGCTGAGCTTGGCGCTGATGTTGAGAACTTCATTGCAATTATGCATCACATTGCCGCCTTCCGCCATCTCCATGCTGAACAGCTGGCGCTTCAAGAAGATGCGTCCCGCCTTCTGCGACCCGCCGTAGAGAGTCTTCAACCGTGTCCACGCAACCCATGCCTCGTCGCAGTCATCAACCACGTGATGATAGTCCGCGCTCATTTGAAGTAACATCAAGCCGAACGCAATGTTGTTCGTCTTGACGTAGTCGTCAATGGCGCGAGGATCGGCGAAGGTGGGGGTGGTCTCCCGGTTGACCACGTGCCACGTCGACTTGGTCAGGAACACGCCACGCATGTAGCGGCTCCAAGTCGCGTAGTTGTCTCCATCGAATCTATCGATAGAGATCTTGGTGGCGGAATCTTGAGCAGAGGACATCGTGCTTGGGCTCATAACATGTTAAAGTCTGAAGAGCACTGGGCGAGAGAACGAAGCTTGAAGAGCTTGAAAGAAGTCTACACTGCGAAGTGAAGACGACATGTGTAGGAGAAGGAATATTTAGAAGTGAATTTATTTGTGGGTTTGGTTAAAGCTGCCTGATATATCTCTGCACTGATTTATATGTTGTCCACATATAAATCATGGATCATATATCATGTAGGTCATCCAATCATCCTATGCGTCTAATTATTGGTAAAAACTCAACGCAATTACGCGGGATCGACTTGGACAGGTTTACGGTTCCCATGGTAGCTGATAGCAGTTTCTCAACTGTCAACCCACAATATTCTCTGCTCCGCTCCTCAAGCCACTTCGCTCCCTCCGGTCTCTTCCGGTCTTCTTGTCACTACCGTGCCATACCATTAACAGTTTCGTTGGAGTGTGGACTCTCAGCGAAGAAGGACGTGTCCGGAATGTGGGCCGTCGACAGTGGTGCAATACACACCACATTTGCCACGACAAGACCAAGTTTGCGAGACTGAACAAGCGCAACGACGGTGAAATCTTGGTGGCGGATGGCAACACAGTGGCCATCAAGGGTGTTGGAACCATCTTTGAAAAGGTGGTTCTGCCCGACGGTGAAGAGCGCGAAATTGAGATCAAGAACGTGCTTTACGTACCAAGCATGAGCAAGAATATGCTTTCGGTACCGCAGATCAACAAACACGGCAAGTTCCAAGTGGTGTTCGACGGGACCAAGATGTTTGCTGCTCGCAAGGGATCGCACCAAGTGGTGGCAACAGCATATCTTGTGGATAGTCTTTACTGGCTTTACACAGCTCATCAATCGGCCAATGCGGCAACAAGCGGAAACGGCGGTGTCGACTTACATGCGCGAATGGGATACGCTCGAGCTGATGTGCTTCGCAAAATGGTGGCCACGAACATGACCAAGGACATAAAAGTACCTATCAAGTCAAGTGGATCAAGCGCATGCCGAGGATGTCAACAAGGGAAAATGGTCCAAAAACCATTCCATTCCCATGCAACCAGGACAAGCGCAGATACGACACCTTTGAGCTACTTCACGTCGACATCTGCGGACCCATCGAGATGAATTCTCTGGGTGGCAGCAAATATCTACTGCTGATCGTTGACGAAGCCAGTGGATGCACGAAGGTCTTCTGTCTACGTGTGAAGTCGGAGAGTGAGAACTACATCACACGATACATCACGATGGTGCAAGCGCAGTTTGGCAAGAAGGTCAAGCTCGTCTGACACGACGGAGCCCGCGAGTTTGCAACCAACTCGCTTCAACAATTATACGAACATGAAGGCATTGAGCAACAGACGACGGTGCCATATGCACACCAGACTAACGGCACGGCGGAGCGCGCCATTCGGACCATCGTCACAATTGGTCGCAGCATGCTCCACCATGCTAAGCTGGAAAAGTGCTTCTGCGCCAAAGCAAAAATGACGGCAATCTACACCAAGAATCGTCTGCCGTCACCCAAAGATGTACACAAGAATCCGTTCGAGATCGTCCACAACTCCGAGCTAAGTGTCAAGCACATGCGGGTGCTCGGTTGTCAGGTTTACATACTGACACCGAAAGAGAAGAGGCTCAAGTGGGACCCCAAAGCTCGCACTGGGATATTCTTGGGCTACGAAGAAGCATCCAAAGCGTATCGCGTTTGTGACATCGAGGCGGGGCAGGTGGTCATCAGTCGCAATGTCAACTTTGACGAGTCCACCTTTGGACTTTTGCCGCCGATCACTGTTGAAGATACCGATGACCTTGACTTCGCCTCCCTCGAGCTGGATGATGAAGCGCCGGGTCAAGAACAGTACAAGCAAACAGGCGAGCTCAAGAGTCGTCCCAATGATGAAGAAGTACCAGCTCCACCCACGTGCACAGTGCGTCAACGGCCTGGACTAGAAGAATCGAGTGCGCCAAATAACTACACGACCCACCAAGAAGAAGATGAAGAAATAAAGAATGATGATGCATCAACTCCGCCTGTGTTTTGGCGTGCGAGTGCGAACGCCATCGAAACAGCAGTGGACTTATGTGAGTCATCGACTTTTGAAGCTGCGGTGAGCGGTCCTGATCAAGTGCATTTGCGCGAATCCACCCAAGCGGAACTCGAGTCGATGCGACTTCGTGAAGTGTTCCGCGCAGCCAAGCTACCTAAAGGACATGGCGCCATTGGCACGAAGTGTGTATTCAAGATCAAGCGCAAAGCGGACGGATCAATTGACAAGTACAAGGCGCGTCTTGTGGCAAAGGGTTTCAAGCAACAGTACGGGATGGACTACACGGAAACATTCTCGCCCGTCTTCAAGTACGTGACGCTGCGCATGGTGATTGCAGTCGCCAAGTATTTCGGATGGACCATCGACCAACTCGACGTGGTGACGGCATTCCTGTATGGTGTCATGAAGGAACAAGTGTTCTGCGTCATCCCTGAAGGCGTGGAATTGGAGGGCTCCTTCAATTGTCTGAAGTTGGTGAAGGCAATCTACGGACTCAAGCAAGCGTCGCGCGTATGCAATGAAAATTTTACCGAGTTCGTGTGTGCTATTGGATTTCAAGCGTCAAGCCTCGACCCGTGTCTCTACATAAGGATCGTGGAAGGGCAATGCGTGCTGCTGCTGGTGTATGTGGATGACGTGTTGATAACCGGTAGATCATGCGATCTAATTGCACGCACCAAGACCGACCTGAAGACACGATTCGAGATGACTGACAGCGGCAAGTGTGCGTTTGTGCTTGGGATCGAGCTTTTGGACGGCGCAGATGGAAGTGTAACACTATGCCAGCGTCGGTATGTGGATGACATACTCAAGCGCTTTGGCATGGACGATTGCAAGGCCGTCGCAAGTCCAGTCGACATGAGCTCTCGACTTGTTTCAAGTGATGCAGCCACCAAGGTCGATGCTCCTTTTCGCGAAGCTGTTGGTGCGTTGATGCACTGACCACTGCAACACGCCGGACAGTGCGTTCGCCGTGGGCTATGTGTCGCGATTCATGGAGAACCCCCAAGAAGAACACTGGGTTGCGGTCAAGCGCATCTTCCGCTACCTACAAGGCACCAAGATGCACGGAATCTGCTACAAGCCAAGTGCAAGGATCGACTTCCGTGGATATTCGGATGCAGACTGGGCCGGCGACCTCGCTGATCGCAAGTCGACGTCTGGTTACGTATTCATGCTGTTGGGTGCGCCAGTGAGTTGGGGCAGCAAGAAACAGCCAAGTGTTTCGTTGTCCACGAGTGAAGCCGAATACATCGCACTCAGCTTGGCGATTCAAGAGGGCAAGTGGACTCATCGTCTGCTCTGTGAGATCATGATGGCTGCCAATGAAGAAGGACCGGAGCTCATGATCCATGAAGACAATCAGTCGTGTATCAAGATGACAAAGAACCCGGTCAACCACGGCCGTGCCAAGCACATTGACATAAAGTATCATCACATCCGTGATGAGGTCAAGCGCGGTGAAGTGAAGCTCAAGTACTGTGAAACTGCGGTGATTTTAGCGGACATCATGACGAAGGAACTTCACGGGCCACGCCACAAGGAGACGACGGCGGCTCTCGGGATTTGTGCGTGTTCGCATTGAGGGGGTGTGTTGACGGTCATCGGTTTCCTACCGGTATTGGTAACTGTGACCGGTCCAATCCCAACCACCTGTACAGCTTAGTATTTACGCTGTAGTTCTTACGGTAATTACCATTGTTGATTAGACGTGTAGGACGATGAGACGCTTCACATGATTTACATGTGCACCACATGTAAATCATGTAGTAGGCAGTAAGCCCCGATAATCAATCTTTCGCATCTTCCGACTAGTGGGCAAGTGTGTTCTGCTCTACTCTCTCCAGCCTCTCCGCTTCCTTCGCTCCGCTCTCTGCTATGCAACAGTTTATGCGCCCAAGCGTCATGTTGTCCAGCACCAACGCATCATCCAGCGTCTCCATTGATAAGTTCAATGGAGAGAACTATGCGACTTGGAGTCGATACATGCGCGGCGTGATCTTGACGAAGTCCGTCTGGCACGTCGTGAACCGCGAAGTGACGCCAACCTTCACCGACCCGCGAGCGTCCGACGAGTACGTCAAGACGAGCAACATCGTGTTCTGGTTGATGCTACTGCACTTGAATGCGGATTAACACCACGTGCTTGACAACTGCGAGGAAGCGTGGGTCGCGTGGTCACGCCTGAAGACGCTTTGCGGTGGATCACAGAAGGCAGGGCGAATCTACCTCAAGCGTCAGCTGTTCAGCATGAAGATGGCTGAGGGCGCGAACGTCATGCATTACTGCAATGAGGTCTTGAACATCGCCACCAAGCTTAGCAGCATCGTTGCGAAGATGGAGGACGAGGACGTCGCAATATGTCTGCTGCTCAGTCTCCCTAAGAGTTTCGAGAACGTTGTTCTAAACTTGGAGATGAGCAGCGCAGAGCCTCGTACCCAAGATGTGGTGAAGGTGCTCACGAATGAGCATGCCAAGCGCCAAGGTGAGAAGGTGACAACAACAGCAACGATGGTCAAGACTGAAGATGTAGCCAAGGCCATCAACACTGAATGCGAGCCATACAACTGCACCTACTGTGGGTAGGTGGGACACACCGTGGATCGCTGTTGGACCAAGCAGAAGATTGAAAGTCGAGGAGCCCGACACGGCGGCAATGGTCGTAGACGCGGGGCAAACAATGTCCAGTGGGGACAATATAGTGATGAAGACAGCGACTATGATCAAGTAGCGTTTGCAGTTTCGTTGGAGTGTGGACTCTCAGCGAAGAAGGACGTGTCCGGAATGTGGGCCGTCGACAGTGGTGCAATACACACCACATTTGCCACGACAAGACCAAGTTTGCGAGACTGAACAAGCGCAACGACGGTGAAATCTTGGTGGCGGATGGCAACACAGTGGCCATCAAGGGTGTTGGAACCATCTTTGAAAAGGTGGTTCTGCCCGACGGTGAAGAGCGCGAAATTGAGATCAAGAACGTGCTTTACGTACCAAGCATGAGCAAGAATATGCTTTCGGTACCGCAGATTAACAAACACGGCAAGTTCCAAGTGGTGTTCGACGGGACCAAGATGTTTGCTGCTCGCAAGGGATCGCACCAAGTGGTGGCAACAGCATATCTTGTGGATAGTCTTTACTGGCTTTACACAGCTCATCAATCGGCCAATGCGGCAACAAGCGGAAACGGCGGTGTCGACTTACATGCGCGAATGGGATACGCTCGAGCTGATGTGCTTCGCAAAATGGTGGCCACGAACATGACCAAGGACGTAAAAGTACCTATCAAGTCAAGTGGATCAAGCGCATGCCGAGGATGTCAACAAGGGAAAATGGTCCAAAAACCATTCCATTCCCATGCAACCAGGACAAGCGCAGATACGACACCTTTGAGCTACTTCACGTCGACATCTGCGGACCCATCGAGATGAATTCTCTGGGTGGCAGCAAATATCTACTGCTGATCGTTGACGAAGCCAGTGGATGCACGAAGGTCTTCTGTCTACGTGTGAAGTCGGAGAGTGAGAACTACATCACACGATACATCACGATGGTGCAAGCGCAGTTTGGCAAGAAGGTCAAGCTCGTCTGACACGACGGAGCCCGCGAGTTTGCAACCAACTCGCTTCAACAATTATACGAACATGAAGGCATTGAGCAACAGACGACAGTACCATATGCACACCAGACTAACGGCACGGCGGAGCGCGCCATTCGGACCATCGTCACAATTGGTCGCAGCATGCTCCACCATGCTAAGCTGGAAAAGTGCTTCTGCGCCAAAGCAAAAATGACGGCAATCTACACCAAGAATCGTCTGCCGTCACCCAAAGATGTACACAAGAATCCGTTCGAGATCGTCCACAACTCCGAGCTAAGTGTCAAGCACATGCGGGTGCTCGGTTGTCAGGTTTACATACTGACACCGAAAGAGAAGAGGCTCAAGTGGGACCCCAAAGCTCGCACTGGGATATTCTTGGGCTACGAAGAAGTGTCCAAGGCATATCGTGTATTTGACATTGAGGCGGGGCAGGTTGTTGTCAGTCAGAATGTCAACTTTGACGAGTCCACCTTTGGACTTTTGCCGCCGATCACTGTTGAAGATACCGATGACCTTGACTTCGCCTCCCTCGAGCTGGATGATGAAGCGCCGGGTCAAGAACAGTACAAGCAAACAGGCGAGCTCAAGAGTCGTCCCAATGATGAAGAAGTACCAGCTCCACCCACGTGCACAGTGCGTCAACGGCCTGGACTAGAAGAATCGAGTGCGCCAAATAACTACACGACCCACCAAGAAGAAGATGAAGAAATAAAGAATGATGATGCATCAACTCCGCCTGTGTTTTGGCGTGCGAGTGCGAACGCCATCGAAACAGCAGTGGACTTATGTGAGTCATCGACTTTTGAAGCTGCGGTGAGCGGTCCTGATCAAGTGCATTTGCGCGAATCCACCCAAGCGGAACTCGAGTCGATGCGACTTCGTGAAGTGTTCCGCGCAGCCAAGCTACCTAAAGGACATGGCGCCATTGGCACGAAGTGTGTATTCAAGATCAAGCGCAAAGCGGACGGATCAATTGACAAGTACAAGGCGCGTCTTGTGGCAAAGGGTTTCAAGCAACAGTACGGGATGGACTACACGGAAACATTCTCGCCCGTCTTCAAGTACGTGACGCTGCGCATGGTGATTGCAGTCGCCAAGTATTTCGGATGGACCATCGACCAACTCGACGTGGTGACGGCATTCCTGTATGGTGTCATGAAGGAACAAGTGTTCTGCGTCATCCCTGAAGGCGTGGAATTGGAGGGCTCCTTCAATTGTCTGAAGTTGGTGAAGGCAATCTACGGACTCAAGCAAGCGTCGCGCGTATGCAATGAAAATTTTACCGAGTTCGTGTGTGCTATTGGATTTCAAGCGTCAAGCCTCGACCCGTGTCTCTACATAAGGATCGTGGAAGGGCAATGCGTGCTGCTGCTGGTGTATGTGGATGACGTGTTGATAACCGGTAGATCATGCGATCTAATTGCACGCACCAAGACCGACCTGAAGACACGATTCGAGATGACTGACAGCGGCAAGTGTGCGTTTGTGCTTGGGATCGAGCTTTTGGACGGCGCAGATGGAAGTGTAACACTATGCCAGCGTCGGTATGTGGATGACATACTCAAGCGCTTTGGCATGGACGATTGCAAGGCCGTCGCAAGTCCAGTCGACATGAGCTCTCGACTTGTTTCAAGTGATGCAGCCACCAAGGTCGATGCTCCTTTTCGCGAAGCTGTTGGTGCGTTGATGCACCTGACCACTGCAACACGCCGGACAGTGCGTTCGCCGTGGGCTATGTGTCGCGATTCATGGAGAACCCCCAAGAAGAACACTGGGTTGCGGTCAAGCGCATCTTCCGCTACCTACAAGGCACCAAGATGCACGGAATCTGCTACAAGCCAAGTGCAAGGATCGACTTCCGTGGATATTCGGATGCAGACTGGGCCGGCGACCTCGCTGATCGCAAGTCGACGTCTGGTTACGTATTCATGCTGTTGGGTGCGCCAGTGAGTTGGGGCAGCAAGAAACAGCCAAGTGTTTCGTTGTCCACGAGTGAAGCCGAATACATCGCACTCAGCTTGGCGATTCAAGAGGGCAAGTGGACTCATCGTCTGCTCTGTGAGATCATGATGGCTGCCAATGAAGAAGGACCGGAGCTCATGATCCATGAAGACAATCAGTCGTGTATCAAGATGACAAAGAACCCGGTCAACCACGGCCGTGCCAAGCACATTGACATAAAGTATCATCACATCCGTGATGAGGTCAAGCGCGGTGAAGTGAAGCTCAAGTACTGTGAAACTGCGGTGATTTTAGCGGACATCATGACGAAGGAACTTCACGGGCCACGCCACAAGGAGACGACGGCGGCTCTCGGGATTTGTGCGTGTTCGCATTGAGGGGGTGTGTTGACGGTCATCGGTTTCCTACCGGTATTGGTAACTGTGACCGGTCCAATCCCAACCACCTGTACAGCTTAGTATTTACGCTGTAGTTCTTACGGTAATTACCATTGTTGATTAGACGTGTAGGACGATGAGACGCTTCACATGATTTACATGTGCACCACATGTAAATCATGTAGTAGGCAGTAAGCCCCGATAATCAATCTTTCGCATCTTCCGACTAGTGGGCAAGTGTGTTCTGCTCTACTCTCTCCAGCCTCTCCGCTTCCTTCGCTCCGCTCTCTGCTATGCAACAGTTTATGCGCCCAAGCGTCATGTTGTCCAGCACCAACGCATCATCCAGCGTCTCCATTGATAAGTTCAATGGAGAGAACTATGCGACTTGGAGTCGATACATGCGCGGCGTGATCTTGACGAAGTCCGTCTGGCACGTCGTGAACCGCGAAGTGACGCCAACCTTCACCGACCCGCGAGCGTCCGACGAGTACGTCAAGACGAGCAACATCGTGTTCTGGTTGATGCTACTGCACTTGAATGCGGATTAACACCACGTGCTTGACAACTGCGAGGAAGCGTGGGTCGCGTGGTCACGCCTGAAGACGCTTTGCGGTGGATCACAGAAGGCAGGGCGAATCTACCTCAAGCGTCAGCTGTTCAGCATGAAGATGGCTGAGGGCGCGAACGTCATGCATTACTGCAATGAGGTCTTGAACATCGCCACCAAGCTTAGCAGCATCGTTGCGAAGATGGAGGACGAGGACGTCGCAATATGTCTGCTGCTCAGTCTCCCTAAGAGTTTCGAGAACGTTGTTCTAAACTTGGAGATGAGCAGCGCAGAGCCTCGTACCCAAGATGTGGTGAAGGTGCTCACGAATGAGCATGCCAAGCGCCAAGGTGAGAAGGTGACAACAACAGCAACGATGGTCAAGACTGAAGATGTAGCCAAGGCCATCAACACTGAATGCGAGCCATACAACTGCACCTACTGTGGGTAGGTGGGACACACCGTGGATCGCTGTTGGACCAAGCAGAAGATTGAAAGTCGAGGAGCCCGACACGGCGGCAATGGTCGTAGACGCGGGGCAAACAATGTCCAGTGGGGACAATATAGTGATGAAGACAGCGACTATGATCAAGTAGCGTTTGCAGTTTCGTTGGAGTGTGGACTCTCAGCGAAGAAGGACGTGTCCGGAATGTGGGCCGTCGACAGTGGTGCAATACACACCACATTTGCCACGACAAGACCAAGTTTGCGAGACTGAACAAGCGCAACGACGGTGAAATCTTGGTGGCGGATGGCAACACAGTGGCCATCAAGGGTGTTGGAACCATCTTTGAAAAGGTGGTTCTGCCCGACGGTGAAGAGCGCGAAATTGAGATCAAGAACGTGCTTTACGTACCAAGCATGAGCAAGAATATGCTTTCGGTACCGCAGATCAACAAACACGGCAAGTTCCAAGTGGTGTTCGACGGGACCAAGATGTTTGCTGCTCGCAAGGGATCGCACCAAGTGGTGGCAACAGCATATCTTGTGGATAGTCTTTACTGGCTTTACACAGCTCATCAATCGGCCAATGCGGCAACAAGCGGAAACGGCGGTGTCGACTTACATGCGCGAATGGGATACGCTCGAGCTGATGTGCTTCGCAAAATGGTGGCCACGAACATGACCAAGGACATAAAAGTACCTATCAAGTCAAGTGGATCAAGCGCATGCCGAGGATGTCAACAAGGGAAAATGGTCCAAAAACCATTCCATTCCCATGCAACCAGGACAAGCGCAGATACGACACCTTTGAGCTACTTCACGTCGACATCTGCGGACCCATCGAGATGAATTCTCTGGGTGGCAGCAAGTATCTACTGCTGATCGTGGACGAAGCCATTGGATGCATGAAGGGTTTCTGTCTACGTGTGAAGTCGGAGAGTGAAAACTACATCACACGATACATCACGATGGTGCAAGCGCAGTTTGGCAAGAAGGTCAAGCTCGTCTGACACGACGGAGCCCGCGAGTTTGCAACCAACTCGCTTCAACAATTATACGAACATGAAGGCATTGAGCAACAGACGGCAGTACCATATGCACACCAGACTAACGGCACGGCGGAGCGCGCCATTCGGACCATCGTCACAATTGGTCGCAGCATGCTCCACCATGCTAAGCTGGAAAAGTGCTTCTGCGCCAAAGCAAAAATGACGGCAATCTACACCAAGAATCGTCTGCCGTCACCCAAAGATGCACACAAGAATCCGTTCGAGATCGTCCACAACTCCGAGCTAAGTGTCAAGCACATGCGGGTGTTCGGTTGTCAGGTTTACATACTGACACCGAAAGAGAAGAGGCTCAAGTGGGACCCCAAAGCTCGCACTGGGATATTCTTGGGCTACGAAGAAGCATCCAAAGCGTATCGCGTTTGTGACATCGAGGCGGGGCAGGTGGTCATCAGTCGCAATGTCAACTTTGACGAGTCCACCTTTGGACTTTTGCCGCCGATCACTGTTGAAGATACCGATGACCTTGACTTCGCCTCCCTCGAGCTGGATGATGAAGCGCCAGGTCAAGCGCAGTACAAGCAAACAGGCGAGCTCAAGAGTCGTCCCAATGATGAAGAAGTACCAGCTCCACCCACGCGCACAGTGCGTCAACGGCCTGGACTAGAAGAATCGAGTGCGCCAAATAACTACACGACCCACCAAGAAGAAGATGAAGAAATAAAGAATGATGATGCATCAACTCCGCCTGTGTTTTGGCGTGCGAGTGCGAACGCCATCGAAACAGCAGTGGACTTATGTGAGTCATCGACTTTTGAAGCTGCGGTGAGCGGTCCTGATCAAGTGCATTTGCGCGAATCCACCCAAGCGGAACTCGAGTCGATGCGACTTCGTGAAGTGTTCCGCGCAGCCAAGCTACCTAAAGGACATGGCGCCATTGGCACGAAGTGTGTATTCAAGATCAAGCGCAAAGCGGACGGATCAATTGACAAGTACAAGGCGCGCCTTGTGGCAAAGGGTTTCAAGCAACAATATGGGATGGACTACACGGAAACATTCTCGCTCGTCGTCAAGTATGTGACGCTGCGCATGGTGATTGCAGTTGTGGTGAATTCGATCTCACAAAATTGCTTGTATGAGTGTCGATCTTCCACTTGCCCAGACTTGCCGACTCACGGAGGGGGTACTCCGATCCGTGCCTTGTTGTATGACCTTGTGCTCACCTTGTGTACCCGTCGGTTGGGCTGGCTTGAGCTCTTCGTAACGGCCTTGGGAGATGTCGATCTCGCTGAGAGGTTGGGTTGAGGGTTCGCCTCCGGTGCGGAAATCTTCACACCACGAACGGGGGTTCTGCGATCCCGATCTTGGATCGCACCGATCTTGATTTGTCTTCGAGATCGGGGTCTTTGCTGTGCGGAAATCTTCACTCAGCAAATAAAAGTCCAGCGTCGATCTTGCCTTGGGATCGGTCCGATCTGGTCTTGGGATCGGCCGATCTTGCCGGAAGTGCGCAATTTGGGTAGATCGGTGTCTTGTTTCGCCAAAATGAAACGTGCCGATCTGTCCAGGGGATCGCTTCGATCCTGCTCGGTCTTGTCTTGAACGCCTTGTCCAGATCTTCTGACCACTTGAGCCGTCTCGCGATCCTGTGTCCAAAATCCTTTTCCTTTTCCGTTGTGTGCTGCTACCCTAGCAGTTGAGTTGAGTGTGAGTACTTGATCGATACGGGCCAGATATCCCGGGATCGCTCTTCTCGATCTTGGCCAACAATCCAAGATCGGTCTTCTGTGTCCCTGTAACACGCTTGCCTTAACCCGCCGGGGAAGCCAAATCAATCTTGCCTGGAGAAGAGGGGAGGATAACGTGCGTCGTGAGCAGAAGAAGTAGAGTTCAAGTCTGTTTATTAACCAACCAAATTACTATCCAACCTACCCTTAAGCCTATTCTTAACTATAGGTCACTCTTCAAACCGATATCGCCTTGAATCTGGATCGCCCCCTTGCCACGTGTCGAAATTTCGTGCCCTGTACTCCAATGATAGCGCCAATATTCCCGATACCGTACCTGAACGCCAAAAGAGGACCAAATCCCAAATGGGGTACCAAATACCCATTTTGGGTACCCAAAAGCCCAAAATAGTGCCCAAATGCCGAAGGCGTCTAAATCCATTTTGCGACGTCAATTTAACCGGCTTCCACTGGCTCTTTCGATCTGAACTTTTGAGACATCACTCATGGACCTTCAACAAGCATGTTTGTCATGATCCAAAATTCTCATCAACGATACATCCATAATCAGTGGGGATCATGACCGATCTGATGCCCAATTCGAGATTGTTGAGGATCGACACAGTACAATCCGGCCATTTATGTTCTTCCGTTCATTGTGTGCACTCCGATGCTTTATCAAAATGATTCTGCTTCAACATCCACATCCTTGCCTCTGATCAGCCTTCAGAGTGGTCGTTCGGTTCAATCCAGTCCCTCATCCCAGATCGCACCGTGGAAATCACCCCTTGCTACGCCCCGTCTCAAACCACGTCGCATCGCCTGGTCCCAGGCGTACTTTTCTCAAATGATTCTGCTTCAACATCCACATCCTTTCCTTTGATCAGCCTTTAGAGTGGTCGTTCGGTTCAATCCAGTCCCTCGTCCCAGATCGCACCGTTGGAATCACCCCTTTCTACGCCCCGTCTCAAATCACGTTGCATCGCCTGGTCCTAGGCGTACCTCTTCCGCCAGTGGGTGACATCTTAACTGGGTGGAAACCGATCCACGTCCCATCATTTGATTAGTGACTTTACCACAGTTACACCTTCGTCGCAGAGTCATATCCCATCACCCGGTCCCAGATCCTTGTCCCAGATTGTTCCATGTAAATCGTTCCAGATCGCTCCGTCCCAGGTCGATTCATACCCATTAGCCTAACGACAGTTGGATCGGTTCGCCAATCCCGTTAAGATCATCTTCCACCTCCGTATTGGATCGCCGAGTCTCATGGCCTCCTTTTCCACCAGTAAGCGGTGCTTTAAAGATGTGGCCACCGATCCTCGTACCAAATTTGAGTAGTGACTTTGCCACAACCGCCCCCTGTACTGGAGTCTTTTGTACAGCAATTGACCTCAGTAGAGTCACTCATCGACTTCGTTCCAAGCACTCAAGTCCGTCTCATGGTCTCTCCGACGCATCCACCCACCTCGCCGATCTCTTTAGAAGGATCCACCATGTTTCTGTCTCCGGATCGCGACCTGTCGCCCGGATCGCCCGATCTCGGAGGACACACCCCAGCTGTCCCCGATCGGCCTGGGTGTCCGCGCCATCTAGATCATCCCGGATCGCAGATCCCTCGTCTGCAGGACAAGTTCAAACCTGCTCCATCGTCTTAGTCCAAGGTCGATATCCAAGCCCGATCGTCTTTCATAATCGTGTAAGTCATTCAATCATCTTCTTTTTGGTACTTCAATTCTTTGCAGCTTCCACGATCTCGATCCTCATCGCTCCACATCATTCAGGAAGGTAATTCACTTGACTATCTCCATACTCACATACAAAAACCTCATCCACCAGCATGTGCTACCGTCTAGCACATCTTTCAACCCCTACATCCGCATATGCTACCTCCCGCATACTTGTTCGAACTGTTAAGGTTCGTCCGACTTGCCTTCATGAGACTGCATTACGTCGAAACGGTTTCGACTCACTCGGTTCCGCTCAAACTCTTGCAAGATCACCCCACAACTTAGATCGGCCTCGTCCACCCAACTTAGATCGGGATATCCCTTCCACTTCACCAGAAACTGCCGGTGTACTCGCCCATAACGGGTTTTTCTACCAGATCGCACGTCCAATATTGCCTCCACTTCGTATTCCCCTTCTTCAAGATCGCCATCCCAACTGTCTTCTGGCAGCAGAGCTTCATCGAAATCCAAGCGATCTGATTCCTCTATCGTAAGCTGATCCTTCGGGCGTTCAGGGAACGTCTTTACCTTTTTATCTTCGATATATGTACAATCGGAAATAACCGATATGGGGTTCCAGCGATCTCCAATTTTACAGCATGATCTCCACATACGTCCGCAACTCGGAATGGCCCATGCCAAATGTGCGCTAGCTTCTTCGCATATCCCTCTTTAACTCGGTCCAGGTATAGCCAAACTTGCGCTCCTACTTCGATCTCGTGTGGTTCCAGATCTTCGTTGTGTCGATCTGCTCGCTCCTGGATCGCGGCTTGTAAACGATCGTTCACTGCAGATCGGGCTCGCTGGTATTGTCTTTGGATTTTGTATCTCCACCTCTTTGGATCGCGATCTCGTGTCCCCGTATTTCCCACTGGTAGCGTAGCCTCCAAAGTCGATCGCGGGTCCCACCCATGAATCAGATAAAACGGGGTATCCCCCGGATCCGATCTTGTGCAGTGTTAATGGCAAATGTGAGCCGCTCAGCATACTCATCCCAGTCTCGCTGGTCAACTTCAGCCACGTACATCTTGAGCGAATGTGTCAGGGTTTGCACCATTCGTTCGGCTGTTCCATTTGCTTGTGGCCTGTAAGCCATAGTAGCACGCTGTTTTTGTCCTACGATCCGACTGAAGGCTCGAAAGAAGTCGGACATAAATCCCGGTTCTCGATCGTGCCTGATAGCCTCGCTAGCTCCGAAGCGTCGAAACACACATTCTTCGTAATTCTCCGCTATTGTTTGTGCCGTCCGAGAGGAGCTAGCCTTTGCAATCACCTATCCCGAGAAAAGGTCGACCCAAATGAGCAGTTCGGTGTTCCCCTTGATGGACTTGGGCAACGACGGTATATGATTCATGGCGATGATCTGGAATGGATAGGTTGCGTGTAGATTGCCCGGGGATTTCCCATGAATCATCGGGTTTCCTTTCCCGGTCTCACAGTCGGTACATTCGCCCACATATCGTTGAACGCTCCGATACAGTCCTCTCCAATGAAATCGCGATCTGATCCTCTGATAGGTTCGGCCAATACCCTGATGGCCTCCTTCCAGACTCGTGTGATAGTGATGCAAAAATCCTGCTGCAACGTCTCAGGGATCACCAACCGCATCAAACCATCGCGATCTTCTGACTCTCTTTTCGCCATGGGGCAAAAAAATAGCAGATTGTTCTCATCGATCTCGTAATCCGGCGCCAGTTTGGCGCACATCTTCACTTCTACCGCATCCAAGTTTGATACATCGCCACTTAGATATGTCTTGAGATTGACAATCCAACGCTCTTCATCTTGAGCTTGGACAATTCGTTGAATCCTGATCCTCTGTACTATCTCCTCCTGTATCACTTCAGGTTCATGACGTATCCTCCTGGCTGATCTCGTGATCGCAGTTACCCGAGCCAGCTGACCATCTTGCTTGGGCTTCAACAATTCATCGAGACGGTTCAGAGTCATCAGATCTTGCCGATCCTCTTCAGCTACAACCGTTCTTCCCTTTTCGCTCTGCAATGCTGTGCTGGCTAGTCGATCTGCGCTCTGATTCCACTCTCGCTTCACATGCAGCAACTCGTGACTAGGCCATGACCGCAGCTTCTCCAACGCTTTGTGTCTCAGAAGCTGAAGGCCCGGTGCCTTGCAGTCGATCTCACCGCGCATCTGTCGAATCACCAGACTGGAATCTCCACACAGTATTACTCGCCCCCTATCCAGATCGGCGAGTAACTCAAAGCACAGTAGCAAGCCATTATACTCAGCTTCATTCACAGTCAGATCGTGAACATATCTCGATTCGGCCGCCACGATCGTCCATTCGGGTAACTTCCATATCACGGCACTGAACGACCCTCCTTTCTTTTTTATCCTAGCCGATCCATCGAAACTGGCCACCAGCAACTCCTCATCTGTTTCCACCGTTGGAGGAGGCATCGATATTTTGAGTCGACAGTCTTTTCGTGGGGAGATCGCAATCAGCATCTCTTCCACTTCTCCTCTCGGAGTGATACTCGCTGCTAACATGCCCAGTATCTCTTCCTCTCCTCTTTCACATTTCTTCACCTCCATAGTCCAATTTGACAACAAAGCAGCCCACCGTCCTAATCTCCCGTTGAGCCCTCGAGACTGCATCAACCAGGCTAACGTAGAATGTCGGGTCAGTACAGTGATCTCCCGCGAGGCAAGCGTAGTATAGCATACATCCAACAAACGAAGTAGCGCCAGCACTTCTTTTTCTACCGTTTCGTAGTTAAGCTCATTAGGCTTTAAAGTGCGGCTAGTAAACGTAACCGGATGAAAAACGCCATCGTACTCCTGTATCAGGGCCGCTGAGACAGCCCACTTGCTAGCGTAGACCACGATTACGGGGGACCGATCTGGGTCGAAATGCTTGAGCATGGGAGCTGTAGCTATCTTAGCTTTTAGCATAGTGAAAGCAACCTTGGCTTCCGTCCATCGACCCTCGTTGGAGCATTCGTCTCCTGCTGCAAGCTGAGATCGGCCGATCTCGAAGAAATCCGATTCTCTTAACTCATACAACACCGCGGCATACACCGCGAAATCCTCAATGAAGTGACGGTAGTAGTTCAAGCTCCCGAGAAAAGATTGCATAGCTCGTAGCGTGCTAGGAAACGGGATGTTAACCAACGACTCTAGGTTCTTGGGCTGAGCCTCCAGACCATCCATCGACACTCGATGTCCCAAATAATCGACCTTACGGCACCCCCAAAAGCTCTTCGTGAGGCTGATAGACAGATTCCACTTATCACATGCCTCCAGCAACCGTTCTAATTTTGTGTACAAAGATCCCCATGACGCGGCTGGTATGAGAATATCGTCAATGTAAGATCGGCGTCCCAGTATAGACGGTCGTCGATCTGTCTCAGGTTCTCCGTCTTTGAACACGTCGATCGGGCCATCAGAGGCTGATCTCTGACCGATCTTGAAATATCCATACAGCGCATTGTCCACCAGACGTTGGTAGATCTGGGGCGCGTTCTTAAGCCCAAAAGGCATTCGCAGCCACTCGAACAAGCCAAACGGTGTGACAAACGCTGAGATCAGTTTTGCTCGTTCAGTCATTTGGACGACCCAAAATCCACTAGCCATGTCTAGCGAACAGTACCATAGAGCTTTATCCAGATCTTCCAACAGATCGCTGATCAACGGCATGGGATAAACCATCAGACGCGTCAGCTGGTTCACTCTTCGATAATCAATGCAAAGGCGAATATCCACTCCGTTCTTCTTGATGATCACCACTATCGGAGACGCCCAAGGTGACGTGGATGGCTGAACGATTTTGGCTGCTAATAGTCCTTTGATGAGATCTGACAGCTTCTCCCGATATTTGGGTGCGACCGGACGCACTCTTTGCGCTATCGGTGCTGCCCCACCGACATCAATATCACAGATCGCGCCTCGTGCTGCTGGTGGTAAAGCATTACCTTTACCCATGAGGAGGTGACGGCTCTTCCAGATCAGCGATCTGAGCCGTTGTTGATCTGTGGTGAGAGGCACATCGGGATCACCGATCTGAATGTCCTCAATCGTAACTTCTTCCGTAGTCGCCGACATCTCTGGTAGCACGGCCATATGCTGCTCGATATCTTCCGCAAACAAATCTCCGCTCTCGTGGTGATAAACTGGTATTTCTGCAATCTCGACGTCTTCAGTATTTAGCATTATTTCTTCTATAGGCTCCTTCGTCTCTTCCGGCTGGCCCAATTTCAACAGTCGGTCAGTCGGCTCAGCCTTCGGTAGAGACGATCTGTCACGTAGCCCTTCTTGACCGGTGTCGCGGTCTCCCTTCGTTGCATGTTGGGTACCGATCTCATGACCGTTCTCCATCCGCGATAGTTCGGCTCCCCTGACCGTTACTTCCCTCGCAACTACAGCATCTGCCTTTTTCAAATCGTCATCGTTAGCTTGCGGCGTTACCGTGGAGATCGCCGGAGACAGGTTCTGTAACGCATCAGACGGACGTTTCAAGATGCGTTTGGGAGCGGCATACGTAGGACGGTCTACCAATGGTCCGATCTGTTCTTTCGGGAGTTCGTTCACTCGATCCGTCGTAGCCTCATATGCCAGAGTTTGCCATTCCTTGTACTTCCCTGACCCGACTGTCACCAAACCTTGAGTTCGCGGTACCATATCGCCTTCGACCCACATGCCTAATATAGTGTGGGTGGGCAGTATGATCTCCCGGTCGCCAATGTTGGTCATCTGCAGGTATTTCGTCTTACCCCACCCCGAGATCACAGTGGGGACCCAATCTAGTCCTCTAGCGACCCACAACTTTATCTTAGCCCCTCCGATCCCGATCTTCACTTCCCTTGACTCTCCGACCGGGATCACCACGTGTTGGTCCTTCGCCGTTATATGTTGTATCTTCGATCCGTACGCGGGGCGACGTCCTGCGAGATGAATGCGGATTTCTTCTGGTAGACATAGCGCGCCATCCGCTAGATCGAGCCGCACTCCAGCAGGCACCATAAAATCCATACCCAGAATCGCTTCTTGCCCTGCCAGATCGCCTACCCATACATTGAAATAGTATACCAGCGATCCGGCGAGGGTCACCTTGATCTTGGTACGTCCTACCGTCATGTACGGAGTTTCTCCAATCCCGATACATTCTTGTCGTTGACTTTCGTCAATATTGCAACCGACCTCACGAGCAAAGGTGGTGTCAATGATCGACACTTCAGCACCAGAATCAAATAACAGAGTAGCTTTTACGTTGTTGATCTTGCCAACGGCTTTCGCTTGTTTGAACCACTTCCCGGGTGAATAATGTTTCCAGTATCCGCGAGATTCACCATATGCGAGCTCGATCTCCATAGCTGGTTCAGATCGTGAGTACTCATCGATCCGCTTCAGATGGGACACGGAAGCGACACGTTTAACTTCGAACGAGATATATTTGTTTCCACGTCAATATCCTGCTTACTCTCGCGATCCGTCTTCTTTTTTTCCACGTATGCAATAATGCAGAGCCCAGAACGCTCGGCTCGTACCAGATTCAACCTGGCGAGCGTCCTAGTTTAACATCTTCTCGGCCTTCTCTGGTAGCATCCCCGCATGCTTATTCGGGACGTACCACTGACGGATCATGTTGTAGAACTCCTCCATGGGACACTTCCCCGGGTCGTGCATCTCACCGCAAGCACGACACACGAAAAAACAATTGTCAGAGGGGTGTCCTTTACGCCCACACTTCTGGCAAGTGAGCCGCTTCCAGCAACCGAGATCTCCATTCTTGGTCGATCCGCAATGAGTACACGGCTTCAATGGCATATTGCGATCTTGATAGTCTTGACGAGTGTTCGGGTCGACCGATCTCGCGTTTGCTGCAACGTCATTGGGGGATGAACGGCGATCCGCAGTAGCAGCCACATGGATCGATCTCAATCGATCTTCCAAATCCGATCCGCAGGTGTCCGATCCTGACTCGCTGCAGACGTCCTCGGTACGGACCATCCTTACCGCTCGTGCAGGCTTAGACAGCGCTGGACCCTGAGTTCCCTTCTGCCTGAATTTGGACGATCCCATCATCACTTTCCCTTGACGCGATCTCCCTTGTTGATATCCGTGCAGTGTCTTTTGCATGTCCTCCGCGTCTTCTACATTCAGCAGTAGCAATTGATTGGACAGATCGGGGTCGTCCAAGGTGTCAATGAAATGATTGACATGTTCCTTGCGCGCAGCTGGCAATCCAGTCATCACCGGTATCTTCGCCTGCATTCCCATCACATTAAGCCGATACAGGTACTGGAAAGGATCTTCCTCCGATCGTTTCTTTGCATGGTAGTACTGCCTGCTCGCGGACATCCCGTGTCCCGCATACTCCACAAGAAAACTGTTCATCAATTCTTTCCAATTGAATCTCGTCGATCTACTCAGCTGTCGGTACCAGTAGCGGGCTGGGCCCACCATGAGATCACTGAAGACCAGACATCTCTCCTCGTCCGGTGCTTGGTCCCGGATAAACGCTGATTTCACTTTGCCGATCCAGGTCCGTGCTTTGTCTTCTTCCCGATCCTTCCCTGAGAATTCTTTCAGCTCAGAAATCGCTGAGATTCTGATCCTCTGCGTGATGCTTCCCCCTCCGGTAGTCGCACCGGTCGCGGCTACATGAGGGCGCCGTGGTTCGGGCATCCATAGATCATCCGGGTCGTATTCCGCCGCCTCATGGATATGTTGGTAAATGTCCGACCCCACCGACTTCATCTCCACATCCGACATGTCAAGGCTTTCGTGTGAAGGTTGGAGCAAAGTACGTCGATCTGGGTAGCGGTTTGGCTGTCGATTCATTCGCTGAGCTGTACGTTGATCCTCCTCGTACTTCTTCATGGCTGAATTGAAGTACCGACTTAGATCGCCCTCTTCTTGATCCTCCAGCCCAGTGCGGGTACTGACCGGTCTCTGCGGCATGTTGCTCTTGGCTTGTCCCTTATAGGCGTCGATCTTGGCTTGTCAGATCTTGTCCTTTAAGAACCTTCCACCCGATGGTCTTAGAGACATCTGACGAATGCTGATGGATCCATCTGACTCGCTCTCGGAGTCATCCGAGGCGTAGCGGGGCGATCCCGCGGGGTGTTTACAGAGCGAGCCCGAGGGCGTCCCGATCTTGTCTTCAGGAGTATTTGCTTTGCCCACCAGCATTATCATGATCTCTACAAACTCATTTGCCGCGTCCTTCAACTGTTCAAGCTGCAACTCAGCAGTTCATCTCCATCAAAAGCGTCAGGGCAGATACCCATGTCGTCCAACATCTGCAAAATCACATTGATCTCGTCGACTTTGTTGGTCCCGTGAAGTGGGACCGAGATCGGCTTATCCAGAGGACCAATCACCTTGGGCCTTAATATCTTGAACACTGGGTCCGTCTTGAGCAGCGTCTTCAACTGGCCATAATAGTACTGCCATTTTGCACGCTCCCGCGCTTCACCCGTCGTCTCCTTCTCCATGGACGCGATCTTTATTGGGTTATATTCCGTCTTTGGCATCGCGATCTTATCTGGTGTTTCATCGTATTCCTCTTTGGCTCCGATCTTCGATTGCACGGTTCGGCCGATCTGGCGATCTTTGACATCTGATCCCATCGATCTCGTCGCGGATCGTTCTGATGTGGTAGATCTCGCGATTGTGCTCTTCGGCTTGAGGTCGGGCGATCTATCGACTAAGATATAGGGTTTGGCTTTCGCCGATTTGGTTTTCACCATTGGAATTTCATCCAGCAGATCGCTCTTTGCAGAGCGATCTGCGGTGGACCCCGAAGGGACCCTAGAAGGGAATTGAGGTTTATTTTCCAGATCGATCTCTCGATCTTCCTCTTTCATTTTCATTTCATCAGAGCCCCTCACAAAACTCTGATGATCTGAGGATCTTGTGCTTCTGCGTGTCTGCGTCGATCCCTTTGTCGCTGACACTTCAATCCCAGGTTCTTGCTTAATCTTGACATCTTCGCCAGTGGACTCACGGTGAAATCCAGAGGCCTCAGAAGATCCGGGCACGCGCACCATTGTGGTGAAGTCGATCTCACAAAATTGCTTGTATGAGTGTCGATCTTCCACTTGCCCAGACTTGCCGACTCACGGAGGGGGTACTCCGATCCGTGCCTTGTTGTATGACCTTGTGCTCACCTTGTGTACCCGTCGGTTGGGCTGGCTTGAGCTCTTCGTAACGGCCTTGGGAGATGTCGATCTCGCTGAGAGGTTGGGTTGAGGGTTCGCTTCCGGTGCGGAAATCTTCACACCACGAACGGGGGTTCTGCGATCCCGATCTTGGATCGCACCGATCTTGATTTGTCTTCGAGATCGGGGTCTTTGCTGTGCGGAAATCTTCACTCAGCAAATAAAAGTCCTCCGTCGATCTTGCCTTGGGATCGGTCCGATCTGGTCTTGGGATCGGCCGATCTTGCCGGAAGTGCGCAATTTGGGTAGATCGGTGTCTTGTTTCGCCAAAATGAAACGTGCCGATCTGTCCAGGGGATCGCTTCGATCCTGCTCGGTCTTGTCTTGAACGCCTTGTCCAGATCTTCTGACCACTTGAGCCGTCTCGCGATCCTGTGTCCAAAATCCTTTTCCTTTTCCGTTGTGTGCTGCTACCCTAGCAGTTGAGTTGAGTGTGAGTACTTGATCGATACGGGCCAGATATCCCGGGGTCGCTCTTCTCGATCTTGGCCAACAATCCAAGATCGGTCTTCTGTGTCCCTGTAACACGCGTGCCTTAACCCGCCGGGGAAGCCAAATCAATCTTGCCTGGAGAAGAGGGTAGGATAACATGCGTCGTGAGCAGAAGAAGCAGAGTTCAAGTCTGTTTATTAACCAACCAAATTACTATCCAACCTACCCTTAAGCCTATTCTTAACTATAGGTCACTCTTCAAACCGATATCGCCTTGAATCTGGATCGCCCCCTTGCCACGTGTCGAAATTTCGTGCCCTGTACTCCAATGATAGCGCCAATATTCCCGATACCGTACCTGAACGCCAAAAGAGGACCAAATCCCAAATGGGGTACCAAATACCCATTTTGGGTACCCAAAAGCCCAAAATAGTGCCCAAATGCCGAAGGCGTCTAAATCCATTTTGCGACGTCAATTTAACTGGCTTCCACTGGCTCTTTCGATCTGAACTTTTGAGACATCACTCATGGACCTTCAACAAGCATGTTTGTCATGATCCAAAATTCTCATCAACGATACATCCATAATCAGTGGGGATCATGACCGATCTGATGCCCAATTCGAGATTGTTGAGGATCGACACAGTACAATCCGGCCATTTATGTTCTTCCGTTCATTGTGTGCACTCCGATGCTTTATCAAAATGATTCTGCTTCAACATCCACATCCTTGCCTCTGATCAGCCTTCAGAGTGGTCGTTCGGTTCAATCCAGTCCCTCATCCCAGATCGCACCGTGGAAATCACCCCTTGCTACGCCCCGTCTCAAATCACGTTGCATCGCCTGGTCCTAGGCGTACCTCTTCCGCCAGTGGGTGACATCTTAACTGGGTGGACACCGATCCACGTCCCATCATTTAATTAGTGATTTTACCACAGTTACACCTTCGTCGCAGAGTCATATCCCATCACCCGGTCCCAGATCCTTGTCCCAGATTGTTCCATGTAAATCGTTCCAGATCGCTCCGTCCCAGGTCGATCCATACCCATTAGCCTAACGACAGTTGGATCGGTTCGCCGATCCCGTTAAGATCATCTTCCACCTCCGTATTGGATCACCGAGTCTCATGGCCTCCTTTTCCACCAGTAAGCGGCGCTTTAAAGATGTGGCCACCGATCCTCGTACCAAATTTGAGTAGTGACTTTGCCACACAGTCGCCAAGTATTTCGGATGGACCATCGACCAACTCGACGTGGTGACGGCATTCCTGTATGGTTTCATGAAGAAACAAGTGTTCTGTGTCATCCCTGAAGGCGTGGAATTGGAAGGCTCCTTTGATTGTCTGGAGTTGGTGAAGGCAATCTACGGACTCAAGCAAGCGTCGCGCGTATGCAATGAAAATTTTACCGAGTTCGTGTGTGCCATTGGATTCCAAGCGTCAAGCTTCGACCCATATCTCTACATAAGAAATGTGGAAGGGCAATGCGTGCTGCTGCTGGTGTATGTGGGTGACGTATTGATCACCGGTAGCTCATGCGATCTAATTGCACGCACCAAGACCGACCTGAAGACACGATTCGAGATGACTGACAGCGGCAAGTGTGCGTTTGTGCTTGGAATCGAGCTTTTGGACGGTGAAGATGGCAGTGTGACACTATGTCAGCGTCGGTATGTCGATGATATCCTCAAGCGCTTTGGCATGGACGATTGCAAGGCCGTCGCAAGTCCAGTCGACATGAGCTCTCGTCTTGTTTCAAGTGATGCAGCCACCAAGGTCGATGCTCCTTTTCTCGAAGCTGTTGGTGCGTTGATGCACCTGACCACTGCAACACGCCGGACAGTGCGTTCGCCGTGGTCTATGTGTCGCGATTCATGGAGATCCCCAAGAAGAACACTGGGTTGCAGTTAAGCGTATCCTACGATACCTTCAAGGCACCAAGACGCATGGAATTTGCTACAAGACAAACAGCAAGATCGACTTCCGTGGATATTCGGGTGCAGACTGGGCTGGTGATCTTACCAGCCGCAAGTCAACTTCGGGGTACACGTTCATGCTACCTGTTGCGCCAGTGAGTTGGGGCAGCAAGAAACGGCCAAGTGTTTCGTTGTCCACGAGTGAAGCTGAATGCATCGCACTCAGCTTGGCGATTCAAGAGGGCAAGTGGACTCATCGTCTGCTTTGTGAGATCATGATGGCTGCCAATGAAGAAGGACCGGAGCTCATGATCCATGAAGACAATCAGTCGTGTATCAAGATGACAAAGAACCCGATCAACCACGGCCGTGCCAATCACATTGACATAAAGTATCATCACATCCGTGATGAGGTCAAGCGCGGTGAAGTGAAGCTCAAGTACTGTGAAACTGCGGTGATGTTAGCGGACATCATGACCAAGGAACTTCACGGGCCACGCCACAAGGAGACGACGGCGGCTCTCGGGATTTGTGCGTGTTCGCATTGAGGGGGCGTGTTGACGGTCATCGGTTTTCTACCGGTATTGGTAACCGTGACCGGTCCAATCCGAACCGCCTGTTCAGCTTAGTATTTACGACGTAGTTCTTACGGTAATTACCATTGTTGACTAGACGCGTAGGATGATGAGACGCTTCACATGATTTACATGTGGACTACATGTAAATCATGTAGTAAGTAGTAAGTCCCGATAATCAATCACTTTCGATTCTTCCGACTAGTGGGCAAGTGTGTTCTGCTCTACTCTCTCCAGCCTCTCCGCTTCCTTCGCTCCGCTCTCTGCCAATGCAACAGCCGCAATACGTGCATTGGTAGCGCTTGCGCTCGGTACTGAATGCCTTTGTTGCATCTTCAGCCTTAATCGTCGTCGTTGCCGTTGTCATCTTCCCGCCTTGTCTCTTGACGTGTTCGTTAGTCAGCACCTCGACCACATCTTGCGTACGCAGCTCTGCATTACTCATCTTCAAGTTCAGAACCACGTTCTCAAAACTTTTGGGGAGACTGAGCAGCTAACAGATCGCAATGTCTTCGTCTTCCATCTTGGCACCGATGCTGCTGAGCTTGGCGCCGATGTTCAAGACTTCGTTGCAATGGTGCAAGACGTTGCCTCCTTTCACCATCTTGATGCTGAACAGCTGGTGCTTGAAGTAGATACGTCCCGCCTTCTGCGAACCACCATACAGAATCTTCACCCGCGACCACACGACCCAGGTTTTTTCACAATCGTTAACCACATGGTGGTAGTTTGTGTCCATGTGTAGCAACATCAACCCAAACGCGGTGATGCTCGTAATCCAAACGCGATGATGCTCAACTTGACGTACTCATCTGAAGCTCGCGGGTCGGTGAAGGTTGAAGTCACTTCGCGGCTCACAACGTGCCGGACTGACTTCGTCAGAAACACGCCACGCGTGTAGCGACACCAGGTCGCATAGCTGTCCCCATCGAACCTGTCGATGGAGACCTTGGTCGTGGCATAGTGTGCAGAAGACATGGCGCTTGGGCACATAACCTGTTGCATTCGGAGCGAAAGGCGAAGAGAAAAAATAAGTGGAGAGATTGGAGCGAACGAAGTGGAAATCACTTGTTCACTTGAGGGAGGATTCGAAAAGTGACTGATTTATTGTAGCTTATCCTGACTACACTGATTTATATGTGCATAAATCATTAATCAGGAAGATCTTTAAGATCCAATGATCTAGAGACCCGAAGATCTTTTCTAAGATCTTCCCTATCTGATTACGTGTTCAATCTTTCCTGAGGTAACTACCATAAGAAGTATACCGTTAAAACTACGCTAAAAGTTCGTATTGTACCGGTAACCCTCAACACAATCTGTGTCTGCACCGCAGCGATGTACTTCTTGATGCACTCCTTGATGTCGGATTTGGCGCGCAGGCTAAAACCCTTCATGCATCCACTGCCTTCATCGACGACCAGAAATAAGTATCTGCTTTCACTCAGCGAGTAGACTTCCATCGGTACACAAGTGTCGATGTGCAGGATCTTAAACGGGTCATAGTGGCGATTGTTTGGGTTGCTTGGAAATGGTCGTTACACCATCTTTCCTTCTTGACAACCGCGACACACGATTGATCCATCAGGTGTCGATGGCATCTCGACGTCCTTGATCATGACCCTGGAGATCATCCTACGCAAGCCATCGAGTGGTGCATGGCCCATTCGCGCATGAAGATCTTCAAATTTTAGTTGCGAAGTAGCATTCACAGATCGTTGGGATGTGCAAAGCCAGTAGAGTCCATTCATAAGATCCGCCATCGCCACCACTTGCCTGGAGTCTTTGCGCAAAATCTCCATCTCACCCCGTCAAACACCACTTGGAACTTTCCGCTTTTGTAGATCTGGGGTATTGACAGTAGGTTCTTGTTCATGATCGGGACACAAAGTGCATCCTTGATATCAACTTCGCGCTCTTCACTGTTAGATAGAACCACCGTTTTGACAATAGTCCCAACTCTATTGATCGCAGCCTTGTTTCCATCTACAACCAGCACTTCGCCTTCATTGCGCCCGTCCAGAACTTTAAACTTGGGCTTGTCATAGCAGATGTGGCGCGTTGCATCGCTGTTAATCGCCCACATTCCCACCATGATCTTAATTGTCAAAAGGTCGCATTCCAGTGAAACAGCAAACGCCAGTCGATCATAGTCGTAGTTGTTGCCGTTGCCGTTGTAGCCTTGCCATTGGACTTAATTTGCCCCGTGTTTTCGAGCATTGTAGCTGCCGCGTCAAGCTCCTCGGTTGTCTTCCTTGTGCTTGCAAGTGACCAGCACTTTTCCACCGTGTGCCCCAATTTTTCGCAGAACGTACATTGACGGAATTCAAGCTCGGTGCTGAATACCTTGGTCGATTCTTTAGTCTTTATTGATGTTATCGTGTTTCTTTGTCTCTTGATGTGCTCATTCGTTATCACTTTTACAACGTCTTGCGACCGCAGCTTCACGCTGCTCATCTCCAAGTTCAGCACGACGTTCTCGTAGCTCTTGGGGAGACTGCGCAACAAGCAAATCGCCACGTCTTCGTCCTCCATCTTAGTGCCGATGCTGCTGAGCTTGGCGCTGATGTTGAGAACTTCATTGAAATTATGTATAACATTGCCGCCTCCCTCCATCTCCATGCTGACAGCTGTCTTTCCAAGAAGATCCGTCCCGCCTTACGAGATCCGCCGTAGAGAGCCTTAACCGCGTCCACGCAGCCCATGCTTCTTTGCACTCATCAACCACGTGATGGTAATCCGCACTCATGTGCAGCAGCATCAAGCCGAACGCAATGTTGTTCGTCTTGACATACTCGTCACTGGCGCGAGGATCGGTGAAGGTGAAGGTGGTCTTCCGGTTGACCTAGTGCCACGTCGACTTGATCATGAACACGCCACGCATGTAGCGGCTCCACATCGCGTAGTTATCGCCATTGAATTCGTCGATGCAGATCTTGGTAGAGCAATCTTCAGCAGAGGACATCGTGCTTAGGCTCATAATCTCTTAAAGTCTGAAGAGCACTGGGCGAGAGAATCGAAGCTTCAAGAAACAAAGAAGTCTGCACTGCAAAGTGTAGACGACTTACGAAGGAGAAGGAATAATTGGAAGTAAATTTATCCGTGGGTTTGTCTAAGCTACCTGATTTATCCGTGTCCGATTTATATGTTGTCCGCATACAAATCAGGAATCCTACATCATGTAGGTCACCTAATCATCCTATGCGTCTAATCACTGGCAAGAACTCACCGTATAACGCGAGATCGACTTAGACAGGTTTACGGTTTCCATGGTAGCTGGTAATAGTACCTTAACCGTCAACCCACAATAACAAGAAAGCACACCAGGACTCAGAACCAGCACTGGACGAATGTTTGACGATATTGGGGATGAATGCGCGCACACGAGCAACGACGGCAAACTCAGCGAAGAGATGGGAATCGACGGGTGAGTCACGAAAGGTGGTGGTGACACGCACAATGAAGATACATGACTCGACGAGCAACCCACAGGAGGTGGCGAAGATACGCGCGTTGAAAAAACACGGCTGGACGAGTGAGTCGCTTAAAGTGGCGGTGACATGGTCGGCGAAGGGACTGGACTCGACGGGTCAGACATTGGAGGCAGAGAAGGCGAGGACGGCGAGTATACAGAACTCGACAATTTAGTCACAGGTGGCAGCGATGACGCATATGGCGAGTAAACATGACTTGACACGTGAGTCACTGAGGGCTTTGATGACGGCATTAGTGACATCGGTCGCTCAGGATGATCAGGGTCCATCAACGCAGAACGAGCTTTGCTCGGCGAGAGGGCGCTCGAAGGTGAACCAAAAAAAAAAAAAAAAATGAGTCAATCCGAAGAGATGGAACCGGGAGCCTGTTTTCAGCCAAGCAAGATAATGTCGGGGAACTTAAGAAAGGAGTCGGAAAATCGGGAGTTCAGATCGAGCTCGCAAGTGTTCAATCCGAAACATCAATGCCATGAGCCGCCGCAGTCGCAAAGATAGGATCGAGCGGTCACGGCATCTGGTGACGTCGAAGTATGTCCCGTTGGCCAGCGGTGGTTTGGAGCTGATCTTTAATCGTGCGATGAGCAAAACATAAGGCATGATTGCCGCCGGTGCATGAGGTCACGGTGGCGTCCATCAGCTGGCTATTATGCGCCGTTGGAAACCCGTGTATAGACTTTTGCTGGGCCCTAGTCGTGGAGAGACGTTGTACTAGTTGTTTGATCTCGCGGTCCCGCTTGTGGATAGCCGTAAGCAAGTTGGCGATCATCCGATTAGCTTAAACGAGGAGGTCTGCTTGCTGAGCTGAGACACGCGCATCCTCCGTTTCTACCTCTTAAAGATCAACTTCCTTAGAGAAGATGTCACCTCGGTGGTCTTCAAAACGTACGCTTGCCAAGTCGCCGATTCCATTTGAGTCCCCTTAAGCTGAGCATGACAGTCAACCGACTCGGCGAGTTCGGATGCCATTCGACATCGACACGCGGCACTAGTACTCTTAGACTGCGCGAGAGCCACGCAGAGTCGAGCAACCGATTTCAAATGGTCTGTCGGCTCGACGACATCACTGAAGAATTTTAGACTTTTTGGCCCGAGTGCAAAACGCAAAGTGAATATGTATTTATAATAGGTACTTAATTCGCAACTTTGAATACTACCTCGAAGCCTATTATTCGCAGTGACGTCATCCACTGACGTCACCCACTGACGTCATGCAATGGCGTCATTTCGCTGACGTCATTCCGCTGACGTCATTCCCTGACTTCGCCCTTACTGGTACATACCGGTACCCACCGGTATATCGAAGCTTGGTCTTCGGCTTGCTTCAACACTTTACACAGCTTGACGAGGTGTCTTCTTCATAGCCGCCGTCTTTCCAACACTCCCTCATGACTCGTTAGCTGCGGCACCTTGGATCCCGAGTCGATCGCGAATGTTTTCAAATTGTACAGCGGCGATCGACTTGGTCATCAAGTCCGCCAGCATATCTTGAGTCGGGCAATACTCCAAAGCGACTTCGCCCGATTCCACCTTCTCAAGCACATAATGGTAGCGTATGTCAATGTGCTTTGTTCTCTTATGTAACTCCCGGTTCTTGGCGAGAGCGATTGATCCTTGGTTGTCTTCATACATCTTGTTCGCTTCGTCGCTTGCCATCTCACCAAGTTCCTTCAACAACACCTTGAGCCATACTGCTTCTTTGGTTGCTTCGGAAAGCGCCATTCTGCTTCCGTTGAAGATAGCACTTCCGTTGAAGATAGCGCGACCGTCCGTTGTTTCTGGCTTTTCCAGCTGATGCATCCTTTGTTCATCATGAACATACAGCCGCTTGTACTTCGTCTTGACTCAATGTCGCCGGCCCAGTCTGCTTCGGCGTATCCGCAGATACGGCTTCCTTCGTCACGTGTAAACTCAAGACCATGATTGGGCGTTGCTTGCAGGTATCTCAGCACACTCTTCAAAGCTTGCCAGTGAGTCGGGCATGGGTCGGACGAGAACTGGGATAATGATCCCACTGCAGCAGCTAGATCCGGACGTGTGGCGACCATGAGATACATGATGCCTCCGACAGCACTTCGATATGGCACGTTGCACATGGTGTCTTCGTGCTTGCATTCTTGTTCACAAATTTTCTTGGTTAGCTTCAGGCCGGGATCTTGAGGCGTCTTCACTGGCTTGCTGTTATCCATTCCGAACTTGGTCAACACGGACTTGAGAAACTTGGTTTGTTGCACAGTCATCATTCCCGTCTTACGGTCGCTCTTGATCTCCATGCCGAGAAAGTAATTGAGCTCACCGAGATACGTCATTTCGAAGCGTGTGCTCAGCGCCATCTTGGTCGACTTGAGTAGTTCGTTGTTGCTGCTGTCCAGGATGAGATCATCGACGTAGAGCACCACGAGAATCACGTCTTGGTCGTCGCGCTTGATGTAGATGCAGCGGTCCGATTCGCACTTCTTGAATACCATCTTGATCATGAACCCATCGATCGTTTGGTTCCACATGCGTGGCGATTGCTTCGAGCCGTAGAGCGATCTCTTTAGCTTGCACACATAGTCCAGCTGTTTTGGATCCAGGTACCCGGTTGGCTGGTCCATGCAGATGTCTTCGTCGAGGGGGCCGTTAAGAAACGCTGTCTTGACGTCCATCTGATGTAGCATTAGGCCGTACTTGTCCGCCATGCTTAGCACCACACGAATCGATGTGAACTTGGCCACTGGTGCGAAAGTTTCTTCATAGTCAACTACGAATTTCTGTGAGTATCCTTTGGCCACAAGTCTTGCCTTGAAACTGTTGGATGGTGAAAAGCTTGACGACCGAAACTGGGAGTGATGCTGGGAGTCCACTCGGAAGACCGGAGAAGACACTTGGGGGGTAGATGGAAGATTGGAAAGTGATTGATTAACGGGGATTACTACTTACTACATGATTTATATGTGGTGCACATATAAATCATGTGAAGCGTCTCATCATCCTACGCGTCTAATCAACTATGGTAATTACCGTAAGAACTACGTCGTAAATACTAAGCTGAACAGGCGGTTCGGATTGGATCGGTCACGGTTACCAATACTGGTAGAAACCGATGACCGTCAACACGCCCTTTCAATCCGAACTCGCACGAATGCCGAGAGCCGTCGTCAAGTCCTTGTGACGAGGTCCCGAAAGTCCCTTGGTCATGATGTCCGCCATCATCACGGAAGTCTCGCAATACTCGAGCTGCACTTCACCGCGCTTGACCTCATCACGGATGTGATGGTACTTGATGTAGATGTGCTTGGCGCGGCCATGATTCACCGGATTCTTCGTCATCTTGATGCACGACTGGTTGTCTTCACGGATGACGAGGTCCGGTCCTGGTTCGTTTGCGGCCGCCAAAATCTCGCATAGCAGGCGATGCACCCACTTGCCTTCCTGGATGGCCAGACTCAGTGCGATGTATTCCGCTTCACTCGTCGACAGCGACACACTTGACTGCTTCTTGCTTCCCCAACTCACAGGAGCACCCATCAGCATGAAAGTGTAACCCGAAGTCGACTTGCGATCAGCGTGGTCGCCGGCCCAGTCCGCGTCCGAGTAGCCACGAAAGTCGATCTTGTCGCTTGGCTGGAAGCGGAGTCCGTGCGACTTGGTCCCTTGCAAGTAACGAAAGATGCGCTTCACCGCCGTCCAATGTTCTTGCTGCGGATTCTCCATGAAGCGCGAGACGTACCCCACAGCATACGCAATGTCCGGGCGCGTCGCAGTCGTCAAGTGCATCAAAGCTCCCACAGCTTCACGAAACGGAACGTCGATCTTGGCCGCTTCGGTGCTTGCGACAAGCCGAGTGCTCAAGTCGACCGGACTTGCTGTGGCCTTGCACTCATCCATGCCGAAGCGCTTGAGGATGTCGTTGACATACCGTCGCTGGCACATCGTCACGCTGCCATCCGATTCGTCCACCAGTTCGATGCCCAGTACAAAAGTACACTTGCCACTGTCGGTCATCTCGAAACGCGTCTTGAGGTCGGCCTTCGTCTGCGCAATCAACTCGAGCGAGCTGCCGGTGACCAACACGTCATCCACGTAGACCAGCACGAGCACACAGTGACCGTCGACAACCTTGATGTAGAGACATGGGTCGAACGCCGACGCTTCGAAACCGATAGAGCATACGAACTCGTCGAAAGTCTCGTTCCACACACGTGAAGCTTGCTTGAGACCGTAGATCGCCTTCACCAACTCGAGACAGTCGAAGTCGCCATCCATCTCGACGCCTTCTGGTATCACGCAGTACACCTTCTCCTTCATCACTCCGTAGAGAAAGGCTGTCACCACATCGAGTTGGTCCAGTGGCCAGTCGAAATACTTGGTGATCGCGATCACCATACGCAGTGTCACGTACTTGACCACGGGCGAGAACGTCTCTGTGTAGTCGATGCCGTACTTCTGCTTGAAGCCCTTGGTAACGAGACGCGCCTTGTATTTCTCGACCGATCCATCCGCTTTGCGCTTGATCTTGAACACCCATTTGGTGCCGATCGCGCCTTGGCCTCTTGGTAGTTTGGCCGCACGGAAAACTCCACGAAGATGCATCGACTTGAGTTCCGCCTTCACAGCATTTCGCCAGTGAGCTTGATCAGGACCATTTATCACGTCTTGAAAAGTCACAGGTTCTGCTAGGTCCGTTGCTTCCACTGCGTTTGCACTTGCACGCCAAAATGTTGGAGGCGTCGAGTCGTCATCTTGATCGTAGACGCTTGCATCTTCTTCGTCATCAGACATCGTTTCTGGAGCACTTGATCGTCGTTTCTGGTGACGGTTGGAGACGTGTTCCGGCGCACTTGCTTGTTCCAACCCAGTTCGAGGGCGAGCTGAACGTGACATGCCGGGTCTTGCTTCACTCTTGCGCTTGCCAGTCTGCTTGTAGACGGTTTGACGCACGTCGTCCTCGTTGATCGCCAGGAGTTCGAGGTCCAACTCCGCATCTTCATCATCGTCACTTGGTCGGTCCATCGAAAAATCAAAAGTCGATTCGTCGAAGGTGATGTCACGACTGATCACCACGTGGTCCGCCTCAATGTCGTACACTCGATAAGCTTTTGACGCTTCTTCGTAGCCCATGAACATCCCTTCACGAGCCTTCGGGTCCCACTTCAATCGCTTCTCCCTTGGTGTCAGGATAAACGCCCGACATCAAAACACGCGCATGTGCTTGACACTTGGTTTCGACTTGTACACGATTTCGAACGGAGTCTTGTGGTCGATCCTGGGTGAAGGCAGGCGGTTCTTGATGTAGATCGCCGTCATTGCCGCTTCAGCCCAGAAACACTTCTCCAGCTTTGCATGATGTAACAAGCGGCGTCCGATCGTGACGATTGTCCTTATCGCGCGTTCTGCGGTGCCGTTGGTCTGGTGTGCATACGGCACCGTGATCTGCTGTTCGATACCATGATCTTCGTAGAAGGTCTTGATCGAGTTGGTCGCAAACTCATGCGCTCCATCGTGCCGAACAAACTTGATCTTCGTGCCGAACTGAGTTTGAATCTTGATAATGTGGTTCTTGATACAGTCTTCACTCTCAGACTTGGACCGCAGACAGAAGCCCTTCATGCAACCGCTAGCTTCGTCAACCACAAGCAGTAAGTATCTGCTGCCGCCGATCGAGACTTGTTCCATTGGCCCGCAGATGTCGAAGTGCAGCAACTCGAACACACCATATTGGCGTTTGTCACGGTTGGTTGGGAATGGTTTTTGGACCATCTTTCCTTGCTGGCAACCGCGACACAAACTTGGACCAGTCGAGTTGAGAGGTGCCTTGGCGTCCTTGATCATGCCAGTGGCCACCATCTTGCGCAGAACTTCGAGGGGTGCATGACCCATGCGCGCATGCAAGTCGATGGTCCCATTGCGTGTTGCTGCATTTGCCGATCGTTGAGGAGTCCGCAGCCAGTAAAGTCCATCGACGAGATCCGCAGTTGCCACGACTTGTGTGGAATTCTTGCGCTTCACTTGCATCTTGGATCCATCGAACACGACTTGGAACCTGCCACCCTTGCTGATCTGTGGCACCGAAAGCAGATTCTTGCTCATACTTGGTACGAACAGTGCGTCCTTGATCTCGATGTCGCGTTCGTCACCATTGGGCAGAACCACCCGTTCCATGATGGTTCCCACACCCTTGATCGCAGCCTTGCTGCCATCAGCCACTGATAGTTCGCCTTCCTCTCGCTCATTCAGGCTTGCAAACTTGGCCTTGTCGTTGCAGATGTGATGCGTCGCACCGCTGTCGACCGCCCACATCCCTGGCATATTCTTGCCCGTCGAAAGTCCAGCCTCCAGCGAAACCGCGAACGCAACTCGATCGTAGTTGTCGTCGTTGTTGTTGTTGGTTCGCCACTGAACGTTGTTGGCTCCGCGTCCACGAGCATTGTTGCCGCCGCGTCGAGCTCCACCTTGATTTTCGTCCTTCTGCTTGGTCCAGCACCGGTCCACCGTATGCCCCAATTTTCCGCAGTACGTGCAATGATGCGGTTCACGCTCGGTACTGGACGCCTTGGTCGCGTCTTCAGTTTTCACCGATGTCGTCTTGTCACCTTGCCGCTTGACATGCTCGTTCGTGAGCACTTTCACGACGTCCCGCGATCGAAGCTCTGCGCTGCTCATCTCCAAGTTGAGAACCACGTTCTCGAAACTCTTGGGCAGACTGCGCAGTAAGCAGATCGCAACGTCCTCGTCCTACATCTTGGCGCCGATGCTGCTGAGCTTCGCGCTGATGTTGAGGACCTCATTGCAATGATGCAACACATTGCCGCTCTGTCATCTCCATACTGAAGAGCTGGCGCTTCAAGCAGATGTGCCCAGCCTTCTGAGATCCGCCGTACAGTGTCTTCAAACGCGTTCACGCGACCCACGCCTCTTCACAGTCATCAACCACGTGATGATAATCCGCGCTCATGTGCAGCAGCATCAAGCCGAACGCAATGTTGTTCTTCTTGACGTAGTCGTCACTGGCGCGAGGATCGGCGAAGGTGGGGGTGGTCTCCCGGTTCACCACGTGACACGCCGACTTGGTCAGGAACACGCCACGCATGTAGCGGCTCCACGTCGCGTAGTTGTCGCCGTCGAACTTGTCAATGGAGATCTTGGTGGTGGCATCATGAGCAAAGGACATCGTGCTTGGGCTCATAACCTGTTGAATGGTGAAAAGCTTAACGACCGAAACTGGGAGTGATGCTGGGAGTCCACTCGGAAGACCGGAGAAGACACTTGGGGGGTAGATGGAAGATTGGAAAGTGATTGATTATCGGGGCTTACTACTTACTACATGATTTATATGTGGTGCACATATAAATCATGTGAAGCGTCTCATCATCCTACGCGTCTAATCAACTATGGTAATTACCGTAAGAACTACGTCGTAAATACTAAGCTGAAGAGGCGGTTCGGATTGGACCGGTCACGGTTACCAATACTGGTATAAACCGATGACCGTCAACATAAACGTTGAACTTCGCCATCTTGGTTCTCCTTCACACAAAACACCCATCGGCACCCGATGGCTTTGCGACCTTTCGGGAGTTTCCCACGTGTTGTTTCTCTGAAGATTCGAACTCCGAGTCACACGCTTCTTTCCACTTGCCGGAGTCGCTTGATTTCATCGCCGACTTGAATGTAGTCGGCGTTTCCCCCACTGAATCAACGATGTAGGCTGCTTCAAAATCCATCGCAGCTGCTGACACATGCTCTAGCGACGGACCTCTGTACGTTCTTCGCTTGGGACTTGGAATGACGGTAGCTTTTTCAAGTAATTGAGTGCGCGTGTGTCTCTTGATGTTGCTCTTCGAAGACCTGGTGTCTTCGTCGTCACCGTCGCTCGAGTACATGTCGACGTCAGTTTTACCTTCTTCTTTTTCTTCGCTCTTGTCTTGATCGTCAACCTCAACGGTACTTGACTCATCGTTGTAGTTGCGCGGACCTTCATTAAACTTGTCTTCCATGAACGTGGCATCGCGACTCATCTTGATCGCTCCTGTTGATACTTCCTCAAATAGAAATGACTCCTGGTGTTCGGTGTACCCCAGGAAACGACAGAGTGATGACTTGTTGATGGTCATCGGTTTTCTACCAGTATTGGTAACAGTGACCGATCCAATTCGAACCGCCTGTTCAGTTTAGTATTTACGACGTAGTTCTTACGGCAATTACCATGGTTGATTAGACGCGTAGGATGATGAGACGCTTCACATGATTTATATGTACACCACATATAAATCATGTAGTAAGTAGTAAGCCCCGATAATCAATCACTTTCGAATCTTCCAACTATTGGGCAAGTGTTTTCTGCTCTACTCTCTTCGGTCTCTCCGCTCCGTTCGCTCCGCTTTCCTCGCTCCGATCTACAATGCAACAGGTTATGAGCCCAAGCGCCATGTCGTCCACCAGCAACGCCTCCATTGACAAGTTCAACGGCGACAACTACGCAACGTGGAGCCGGTACATGCGCGGTGTGTTTTTGACGAAGTCCGTCTGGCACGTCGTCAACCGTGAAGTGACTCCGACTTTCACCGACCCGCGAGCGTCCGATGACTACGTCAAGGCAAGCAACGTCGCGTTTGGTATGATGCTGCTGCACATGAACGCGGACTACCATCATGTGCTGGACAACTGCGAGGAAGCCTGGGTTGCGTGGACAAGTCTGAAGACGCTGTACGGTGGGTCGCAGAAGGCAGGACGCATCTACCTCAAGCGACAACTTTTCAGTATCAAGATGGCTGAAGGCGCGAACGTCATGCATCACTGCAACGAGATCCTCAACATCTCCGCCAAGCTTAGCGGCATCGGTGCGAAGATGGAAGACGAAGACGTTGCAATTTGTCTGCTACTCAGTCTTCCGAAGAGCTACGAAAATGTGGTGCTCAACATAGAAATGAGAAGCACCGAGCCTCGCACTCAAGATGTGGTAAGAGTCCTGACGAATGAGCATGCCGAGCGTCAAGGAGAAAAAGGGACAACGACAGCGACTACGGTGAAGACTGAAGATGCAAGCAAGGCATTCAGCACCGAGCGTGAGCCCTACCAATGCACGTATTGTGGCAAGGTGGGACACACGGTGGATCGTTGCTGGACAAAACAGAAGAACGAAGGTCGGGGAGCCCGACGCGGCGGCAATGGTCGTGGACGCGGGGCTAACAATGTCCAGTGGGGACATCATGATGAAGGCAATGGCTACGATCGAGTGGCGTTTGCAGTCTCGTTCGAATGTGGAGTTTCGACGAGCAAGGACGTGTCTGGAATGTGGGCCGTCGACAGTGGTGCAACGCACCACATTTGCCACGACAAGACCAAGTTCGCAAGTTTGTCAGAGCGCAATGAGGGCGAACTCTTGGTGGCTGATGGCAACAAGGTGGCCATCAAGGGTGTGGGAACCATAATGGAAAAGGTGGTTCTGCCCAACGGCGAAGAGCGCGAGATCGAGATCAAGAACGCGTTATATGTTCCAAGTCTGAGCAAGAACCTGCTTTCGGTGCCACAGACTAACAGGCATGACATCTCCAAATCGTGTTTGACGGGTCCAAGATGTATGTGACTCTCAAGAACTCACAGCAAGTGGTGGCGACAGCGGATCTCGTGGATGGACTCTACTGGCTTCGGACGACTCAACGATCAGCGAATGTGACAACAAGTGGAACCAGTTGTGCCGATCTACATGCGAGAATGGGTCATGCTCCAGTCGATGTACTTCGCAAGATGATCGCGACCAACATGATCAAGGATGTGCGAGTCCCTCTCAAGTCGGGTGGAGCAACTACATGTCGAGGATGTCAACAAGGGAAAATGGTCCAAAAACCATTTCCAAGCAACCGAGACAAGCGCAGCTACGATACGTTTGAGCTACTTCATCTGGACATCTGCGGGCCCATGGAAAAGGATTCGCTCGGTGGCAGCAAATATTTGCTGCTGATTATCGACTAAGCCAGTGGATGCATGAAGGGCTTTTGTCTACGAGTGAAGTCCGAGAGTGAAGACTACATCCGGAAAGATATCACCATGGTACAGACGCAATTCTGTAAGAAGGTCAAGTTCGTGCGACACGACGGAGCTCGCGAGTTTGCAACCAACTCGCTTCAACTGCTCTACGAAGACGAAGGCATTGAACAGCAGACAACGGTGCCGTATGCACATCAAACAAACGGAACAGCAGAGCGTGCCATTAGGACTATTGTAACGATCGGCCGCAGCATGCTTCATCATGCCAAACTGGACAAGTGTTTCTGGGCCGAAGCAGCGATGACGGCCATCTGTTAAAGTCTGATGAGCACTGGACGAGAGAACGAAGCTTGAAGAACGCTGAAGAAGTCTGCACTGCGAAGTGTAGACGACTTGTGCTGAAGAAGGAATATTTGGAAGTGAATTTATTTGTGGGTTTTGTTAAAGCTACCTGATTTATCTCTGCACTGATTTATATGTTGTCCACATATAAATCATGAATCATAAATCATGTAGGTCATCCAATCATCCTATGCGTCTAATCATTGGTAAAAACTCACCGTAATTATGTGGCAAAGTCACTACTCAAATTTTGTACGAGGATCGGTGGCCACATCTTCAAAGCGCCGCTTACTGGTGGAAAAGGAGGCCATGAGACTCGGAGATCCAATACGGAGGTGGAAGATGATCTTAACGGGATCGGCGAACCGATCCAACTGTCGTTAGACTAATGGGTATGGATCGACCTGGGACGGAGCGATCTGGAACGATTTACATGGAACAATCTGGGACAAGGATCTGGGACCGGGTGATGGGATATGACTCTGCGACGAAGGTGTAACTGTGGTAAAATCACTAATCAAATGATGGGACGTGGATCGGTGTCCACCCAGTTAAGATGTCACCCACTGGCGGAAGAGGTACGCCTAGGACCAGGCGATGCAACGTGATTTGAGACGGGGCGTAGCAAGGGGTGATTCCAACGGTGCGATCTGGGACGAGGGACTGGATTGAACCGAACGACCACTCTAAAGGCTGATCAAAGGAAAGGATGTGGATGTTGAAGCAGAATCATTTGAGAAAAGTACGCCTGGGACCAGGCGATGCGACGTGGTTTGAGACGGGGCGTAGCAAGGGGTGATTTCCACGGTGCGATCTGGGATGAGGGACTGGATTGAACCGAACGACCACTCTGAAGGCTGATCAGAGGCAAGGATGTGGATGTTGAAGCAGAATCATTTTGATAAAGCATCGGAGTGCACACAATGAACGGAAGAACATATATGGCCGGATTGTACTGTGTCGATCCTCAACAATCTCGAATTGGGCATCAGATCGGTCATGATCCCCACTGATTATGGATGTATCGTTGATGAGAATTTTGGATCATGACAAACATGCTTGTTGAAGGTCCATGAGTGATGTCTCAAAAGTTCAGATCGAAAGAGCCAGTGGAAGCCGGTTAAATTGACGTCGCAAAAATGGATTTAGACGCCTTCGGCATTTGGGCACTATTTTGGGCTTTTGGGTACCAAAAATGGGTATTTGGTACCCCATTTGGGATTTGGTCCTCTTTTGGCGTTCAGGTACGGTATCGGGAATATTGGCGCTATCATTGGAGTACAGGGCACGAAATTTCGACACGTGGCAAGGGGGCGATCCAGATTCAAGGCGATATCGGTTTGAAGAGTGACCTATAGTTAAGAATAGGCTTAAGGGTAGGTTGGATAGTAATTTGGTTGGTTAATAAACAGACTTGAACTCTACTTCTTCTGCTCACGACGCACGTTATCCTCCCCTCTTCTCCAGGCAAGATTGATTTGGCTTCCCCGGCGGGTTAAGGCACGCGTGTTACAGGGACACAGAAGACCGATCTTGGATTGTTGGCCAAGATCGAGAAGAGCGATCCCGGGATATCTGGCCCGGATCGATCAAGTACTCACACTCAACTCAACTGCTAGGGTAGCAGCACACAACGGAAAAGGAAAAGGATTTTGGACACAGGATCGCGAGACGGCTCAAGTGGTCAGAAGATCTGGACAAGGCGTTCAAGACAAGACCGAGCAGGATCGAAGCGATCCCCTGGACAGATCGGCACGTTTCATTTTGGCGAAACAAGACACCGATCTACCCAAATTGCGCACTTCCGGCAAGATCGGCCGATCCCAAGACCAGATCGGACCGATCCCAAGGCAAGATCGACGCAGGACTTTTATTTGCTGAGTGAAGATTTCCGCACAGCAAAGACCCCGATCTCGAAGACAAATCAAGATCGGTGCGATCCAAGATCGGGATCGCAGAACCCCCGTTCGTGGTGTGAAGATTTCCGCACCGGAAGCGAACCCTCAACCCAACCTCTCAGCGAGATCGACATCTCCCAAGGCCGTTACGAAGAGCTCAAGCCAGCCCAACCGACGGGTACACAAGGTGAGCACAAGGTCATACAACAAGGCACGGATCGGAGTACCCCCTCCGTGAGTCGGCAAGTCTGGGCAAGTGGAAGATCGACACTCATACAAGCAATTTTGTGAGATCGACTTCACCACAATGGTGCGCGTGCCCGGATCTTCTGAGGCCTCTGGATTTCACCGTGAGTCCACTGGCGAAGATGTCAAGATTAAGCAAGAACCTGGGATTGAAGTGTCAGCGACAAAGGGATCGACGCAGACACGCAGAAGCACAAGATCCTCAGATCATCAGAGTTTTGGGAGGGGCTCTGATGAAATGAAAATGAAAGAGGAAGATCGAGAGATCGATCTGGAAGATAAACCTCAATTCCCTCCTAGGGTCCCTTCGGGGGCCACCGCAGATCGCTCTGCAAAGAGCGATCTGCTGGATGAAAATCCAATGGTGAAAACCAAATCGGCGAAAGCCAAACCCTATATCTTAGTCGATAGATCGCCCGACCTCAAGCCGAAGAGCACAATCGCGAGATCGACCACATCAGAACGATCCGCGACGAGATCGATGGGATCAGATGTCAAAGATCGCCAGATCGGCCGAACCGTGCAATCGAAGATCGGAGCCAAAGAGGAATACGATGAAACACCAGATAAGATCGCGATGCCAAAGACGGAATATAACCCAATAAAGATCGCGTCCATGGAGAAGGAGACGACGGGTGAAGCGCGGGAGCGTGCAAAATGGCAGTACTATTATGGCCAGTTGAAGACGCTGCTCAAGACGGACCCAGTGTTCAAGATATTAAGGCCCAAGGTGATTGGTCCTCTGGATAAGCCGATCTCGGTCCCACTTCACGGGACCAACAAAGTCGACGAGATCAATGTGATTTTGCAGATGTTGGACGACATGGGTATCTGCCCTGACGCTTTTGATGGAGATGAACTGCTGAGTTGCAGCTTGGAACAGTTGAAGGACGCGGCGAATGAGTTTGTAGAGATCATGATAATGCTGGTGGGCAAAGCGAATACTCCTGAAGACAAGATCGGGACGCCCTCGGGCTCGCTCTGTAAACACCCCGCGGGATCGCCCCGCTACGCCTCGGATGACTCCGAGAGCGAGTCAGATGGATCCATCAGCATTCGTCAGATGTCTCTAGGACCATCGGGTGGAAGGTTCTTAAAGGACAAGATCGGACAAGCCAAGATCGACGCCTATAAGGGACAAGCCAAGAGCAACATGCCGCAGAGATCGGCCAGTACCCGCACTGGGCTGGAGGATCAAGAAGAGGGCGATCTAAGTCGGTACTTCAATTCAGCCATGAAGAAGTACGAGGCGGATCAACGTACAGCTCAGCGAATGAATCGACAGCCAAACCGCTACCCAGATCGACGTACTTTGCTCCAACCTTCACACGAAAGCCTTGACATGCCGGATGTGGAGATGGAGTCGGTGGGGTCGGACATTTACCAACATATCCATGAGGCGGCGGAATACGACCCGGATGATCTATGGATGCCCGAACCACGGCGCCCTCATGTAGCCGCGACCGGTGCGACTACCGGAGGGGGAAGCATCACGCAGAGGATCAGAATCTCAGCGATTTCTGAGCTGAAAGAATTCTCAGGGAAGGATCGGGAAGAAGACAAAGCACGGACCTGGATCGGCAAAGTGAAATCAGCGTTTATCCGGGACCAAGCACCGGACGAGGAGAGATGTCTGGTCTTCGGTGATCTCATGGTGGGCCCAGCCCGCTACTGGTACCGACAGCTGAGTAGATCGACGAGATTCAATTGGAAAGAATTGATGAACAGTTTTCTTGTGGAGTATGCGGGACACGGGATGTCCGCGAGCAGGCAGTACTACCATGCAAAGAAACGATCGGAGGAAGATCCTTTACAGTACCTGTATCGGCTTAATGTGATGGGAATGCAGGCGAAGATACCGGTGATGACTGGATTGCCAGCTGCGCGCAAGGAACATGTCAATCATTTCATTGACACCTTGGACGACCCCGATCTGTCCAATCAATTGCTACTGCTGAATGTAGAAGACGCGGAGGCCATGCAAAAGACACTGCACGGATATCAACAAGGGAGATCGCGTCAAGGGAAAGTGATGATGGGATCGTCCAAATTCAGGCAGAAGGGAACTCAGGGTCCAGCGCTGTCTAAGCCTGCACGAGCGGTAAGGATGGTCCGTACCGAGGACGTCTGCAGCGAGTCAGGATCGGACACCTGCGGATCGGATTTGGAAGATCGATTGAGATCGATCCATGTGGCTGCTACTGCGGATCGCCGTTCATCCCCCAATGACGTTGCAGCAAACGCGAGATCGGTCGACCCGAACACTCGTCAAGACTATCAAGATCGCAATATGCCATTGAAGCCGTGTACTCATTGCGGATCGACCAAGCATGGAGATCTCGGTTGCTGGAAGCGGCTCACTTGCCAGAAGTGTGGGCGTAAAGGACACCCCTCTGACAATTGTTTTTTCGTGTGTCGTGCTTGCGGTGAGATGCACGACCCGGGGAAGTGTCCCATGGAGGAGTTCTACAACATGATCCGTCAGTGGTACGTCCCGAATAAGCATGCGGGGATGCTACCAGAGAAGGCCGAGAAGATGTTAAACTAGGACGCTCGCCAGGTTTGAATCTGGTACGAGCCGAGCGTTCTGGGCTCTGCATTATTGCATACGTGGAAAAAAAGAAGACAGATCGCGAGAGTAAGCAGGATATTGACGTGGAAACAAATATATCTCGTTCGAAGTTAAAACGTGTCGCTTCCGTGTCCCATCTGAAGCGGATCGATGAGTACTCACGATCTGAACCAGCTATGGAGATCGAGCTCGCTTATGGTGAATCTCGCGGATACTGGAAACATTATTCACCCGGGAAGTGGTTCAAACAAGCGAAAGCCGTTGGCAAGATCAACAACGTAAAAGCTACTCTGTTATTTGATTCTGGTGCTGAAGTGTCGATCATTGACACCACCTTTGCTCGTGAGGTCGGTTGCAATATTGACGAAAGTCAACGACAAGAATGTATCGGGATTGGAGAAACTCCGTACATGACGGTAGGACGTACCAAGATCAAGGTGACCCTCGCGGGATCGCTGGTATACTATTTCAATGTATGGGTAGGCGATCTGGCAGGGCAAGAAGCGATTCTGGGTATGGATTTTATGGTGCCTGCTGGAGTGCGGCTCGATCTAGCGGATGGCGCGCTATGTCTACCAGAAGAAATCCGCATTCATCTCGCAGGACGTCGCCCCGCGTACGGATCGAAGATACAACATATAACGGCGAAGGACCAACACGTGGTGATCCCGGTCGGAGAGTCAAGGGAAGTGAAGATCGGGATCGGAGGGGCTAAGATGAAGTTGTGGGTCGCTAGAGGACTAGATTGGGTCCCCACTGTGATCTCGGGGTGGGGTAAGACGAAATACCTGCAGATGACCAACATTGGCGACCGTGAGATCATACTGCCCACCCACACTATATTAGGCATGTGGGTCGAAGGCGATATGGTACCGCGAACCCAAGGTTTGGTGACAGTCGGGTCGGGGAAGTACAAGGAATGGCAAACTCTGGCATATGAGGCTACGACGGATCGAGTGAACGAACTCCCGAAAGAACCGATCGGACCATTGGTAGATCGTCCTACGTATGCCGCTCCCAAACGCATCTTGAAACGTCCGTCTGATGCGTTACAGAACCTGTCTCCGGCGATCTCCACGGTAACGCCGCAAGCTAACGATGACGATTCGCAAAAGGCAGATGCTGTAGTTGCGAGGGAAGTAACGGTCAGGGGGAGCCGAACTATCGCGGATGGAGAACGGTCATGAGATCGGTACCCAACATGCAACGAAGGGAGACCGCGACACCGGTCAAGAAGGGCTACGTGACAGATCGTCTCTACCGAAGGCTGAGCCGACTGACCGACTGTTGAAATTGGGCCAGCCGGAAGAGACGAAGGAGCCTAAAGAAGAAATAATGCTAAATACTGAAGACGTCGAGATTGCAGAAATACCAGTTTATCACCACGAGAGCGGAGATTTGTTTGCGGAAGATATCGAGCAGCATATGGCCGTGCTACCAGAGATGTCGGCGACTACGGAAGAAGTTACGATTGAGGACATTCAGATCGGTGATCCCGATGTGCCTCTCACCACAGATCAACAACGGCTCAGATCGCTGATCTGGAAGAGCCGTCACCTCCTCATGGGTAAAGGTAATGCTCTACCACCAGCAGCACGAGGCGCGATCTGTGATATTGATGTCGGTGGGGCAGCACCGATAGCGCAAAGAGTGCGTCCGGTCGCACCCAAATATCGGGAGAAGCTGTCAGATCTCATCAAAGGACTATTAGCAGCCAAAATCGTTCAGCCATCCACGTCACCTTGGGCGTCTCCGATAGTGGTGATCATCAAGAAGAACGGAGTGGATATTCGCCTTTGCATTGATTATCGAAGAGTTAACCAGCTGACGCGTCTGATGGTTTATCCCATGCCGTTGATCAGCGATCTGTTGGAAGATCTGGATAAAGCTCTATGGTACTGTTCGCTAGACATGGCTAGTGGATTTTGGGTCGTCGAAATGACTGAACGAGCAAAACTGATCTCAGCGTTTGTCACACCGTTTGGCTTGTTCGAGTGGCTGCGAATGCCTTTTGGGCTTAAGAACGCGCCCCAGATCTACCAACGTCTGGTGGACAATGCGTTGTATGGATATCTCAAGATCGGCCAGAGATCAGCTTCTGATGGCCCGATCGACGTGTTCAAAGATGGAGAACCTGAGACAGATCGACGACCGTCTATACTGGGACGCCGATCTTACATTGACGATATTCTCATACCAGCCACGTCATGGGGATCTTTGTACACAAAAGTAGAACGGTTGCTGGAGGCATGTGATAAGTGGAATCTGTCTATCAGCCTCACGAAGAGCTTTTGGGGGTGCCGTAAGGTCGATTATTTGGGACATCGAGTGTCGATGGATGGTCTGGAGGCTCAGCCCAAGAACCTAGAGTCGTTGGTTAACATCCCGTTTCCTAGCACGCTACGAGCTATGCAATCCTTTCTCGGGAGCTTGAACTACTACCGTCGCTTCATTGAGGATTTCGCGGTGTATGCCGCGGTGTTGTATGAGTTAAGAGAATCGGATTTCTTCGAGATCGGCCGATCTCAGCTTGCAGCAGGAGACGAATGCTCCAACGAGGGTCGATGGACGGAAGCCAAGGTTGCTTTCACTATGCTAAAAGCTAAGATAGCTACAGCTCCCATGCTCAAGCATTTCGACCCAGATCGGTCCCCCGTAATCGTGGTCTACGCTAGCAAGTGGGCTGTCTCAGCGGCCCTGATACAGGAGTACGATGGCGTGTACCATCCGGTGACGTTTACTAGCCGCACTTTAAAGCCTAATGAGCTTAACTACGGAACGGTAGAAAAGAAGTGCTGGCGCTACTTCGTGTGTTGGATGTATGCTATACTACGCTTGCCTCGCGGGAGATCACTGTACTGACCCGACATTCTACGTTAGCCTGGTTGATGCAGTCTCGAGGGCTCAACGGGAGATTAGGACGGTGGGCTGCTTTGTTGTCAAATTGGACTATGGAGGTGAAGAAATGTGAAAGAGGAGAGGAAGAGATCCTGGGCATGTTAGCAGCGAGTATCACTCCGAGAGGAGAAGTGGAAGAGATGCTGATTGCGATCTCCCCACGAAAAGACTGTCGACTCAAAATATCGATGCCTCCTCCAACGGTGGAAACAGATGAGGAGTTGCTGGTGGCCAGTTTCGATGGATCGGCTAGGATAAAAAAGAAAGGAGGGTCGTTCAGTGCCGTGATATGGAAGTTACCCGAATGGACGATCGTGGCGGCCGAATCGAGATATGTTCACGATCTGACTGTGAATGAAGCTGAGTATAATGGCTTGCTACTGTGCTTTGAGTTACTCGCCGATCTGGATAGGGGGCGAGTAATACTGTGTGGAGATTCCAGTCTGGTGATTCGACAGATGCGCGGTGAGATCGACTGCAAGGCACCGGGCCTTCAGCTTCTGAGACACAAAGCGTTGGAGAAGCTGCAGTCATGGCCTAGTCACGAGTTTCTGCATATGAAGCGAGAGTGGAATCAGAGCGCAGATCGACTAGCCAGCACAGCATTGCAGAGCGAAAAGGGAAGAACGGTTGTAGCTGAAGAGGATCGGCAAGATCTGATGACTCTGAACCGTCTCGATGAATTGTTGAAGCCCAAGCAAGATGGTCAGCTAGCTCGGGTAACTGCGATCGCGAGATCAGCCAGGAGGATACGTCATGAACCTGAAGTGATACAGGAGGAGATAGTACAGAGGATCAGGATTCAACGAATTGTCCAAGCTCAAGATGAAGAGCGTTGGATTGTCAATCTCAAGACATATCTAAGTGGCGATGTATCAAACTTGGATGCGGTAGAAGTGAAGATGTGCGCCAAACTGGCGCCGGAATACGAGATCGATGAGAACAATCTGCTATTTTTTTGCCCCATGGCGAAAAGAGAGTCGGAAGATCGCGATGGTTTGATGCGGTTGGTGATCCCTGAGACGTTGCAGCAGGATTTTTTGCATCACTATCACACGAGTCTGGAAGGAGGCCATCAGGGTATTGGCCGAACCTATCAGAGGATCAGATCGCGATTTCATTGGAGAGGACTGTATCGGAGCGTTCAACGATATGTGGGCGAATGTACCGACTGTGAGACCGGGAAAGGAAACCCGATGATTCATGGGAAATCCCCGGGCAATCTACACGCAACCTATCCATTCCAGATCATCGCCATGGATCATATACCGTCGTTGCCCAAGTCCATCAAGGGGAACACCGAACTGCTCATTTGGGTCGACCTTTTCTCGGGATATGTGATTGCAAAGGCTAGCTCCTCTCGGACGGCACAAACAATAGCGGAGAATTACGAAGAATGTGTGTTTCGACGCTTCGGAGCTAGCGAGGCTATCAGGCACGATCGAGAACCGGGATTTATGTCCGACTTCTTTCGAGCCTTCAGTCGGATCGTAGGACAAAAACAGCGTGCTACTATGGCTTACAGGCCACAAGCAAATGGAACAGCCGAACGAATGGTGCAAACCCTGACACATTCGCTCAAGATGTACGTGGCTGAAGTTGACCAGCGAGACTGGGATGAGTATGCTGAGCGGCTCACCTTTGCCATTAACACTGCACAAGATCGGATCCGGGGGGATACCCCATTTTATCTGATTCATGGGTGGGACCCGCGATCGACTTTGGAGGCTACGCTACCAGTGGGGAATACGGGGACACGAGATCGCGATCCAAAGAGGTGGAGATACAAAATCCAAAGACAATACCAGCGAGCCCGATCTGCAGTGAACGATCGTTTACAAGCCGCGATTCAGGAGCGAGCGGATCGACACAACGAAGATCTGGAACCACACGAGATCGAAGTAGGAGCGCAAGTTTGGCTATACCTGGACCGAGTTAAAGAGGGATATGCGAAGAAGCTAGCGCACATGTGGCATGGGCCATTCCGAGTTGCGGACGTATGTGGAGATCATGCTGTAAAATTGGAGATCGCTGGAACCCCATATCGGTTATTTCCGATTGTACACATATCGAAGCTAAAAAAGGTAAAGACGTTCCCTGAACGCCCGAAGGATCAGCTTACGATAGAGGAATCAGATCGCTTGGATTTCGATGAAGCTCTGCTGCCAGAAGACAGTTGGGATGGCGATCTTGAAGAAGGGGAATACGAAGTAGAGGCAATATTGGACGTGCGATCTGGTAGAAAAACCCGTTATGGGCGAGTACACCGGCAGTTTCTGGTGAAGTGGAAGGGATATCCCGATCTAAGTTGGGTGGACGAGGCCGATCTAAGTTGTGGGGCGATCTTGCAAGAGTTTGAGCGGAACCGAGTGAGTCGAAACCGTTTCGACGTAATGCAGTCTCATGAAGGCAAGTCGGACGAACCTTAACAGTTCGAACAAGTATGCGGGAGGTAGCATATGCGGATGTAGGGGTTGAAAGATGTGCTAGACGGTAGCACATGCTGGTGGATGAGGTTTTTGTATGTGAGTATGGAGATAGTCAAGTGAATTACCTTCCTGAATGATGTGGAGCGATGAGGATCGAGATCGTGGAAGCTGCAAAGAATTGAAGTACCAAAAAGAAGACGATTGAATGACTTACACGATCATGAAAGACGATCGGGCTTGGATATTGACCTTGGACTAAGACGATGGAGCAGGTTTGAACTTGTCCTGCAGACGAGGGATCTGCGATCCGGGATGATCAAGATGGTGCGGAGACCCAGGCCGATCGGGGACCGCTGGGGTGTGTCCTCCGAGATCGGGCGATCCGGGCGACAGGTCGCGATCCGGAGACAGAAACATGGTGGATCCTTCTGATGAGATCAGCGAGGTGGGTGGATGCGTCGGAGAGACCATGAGACGGACTTGAGTGCTTGGAACGAAGTTGATGAGTGACTGTACTGAGGTCGATTGCTGTACAAAAGACTTCAGTACAGGGGGCGGTTGTGGCAAAGTCACTACTCAAATTTTGTACGAGGATCGGTGGCCATTTAAACGGTACTGGTGGAAAGGAGGATGAGACTCGGGATCAAAGGAGGTGGAAGATGATCTAACGGGATGGAACGATCAACTGTCGTTAGAATGGGTATGAATCGACTGGGACGGAGCGATCTGGAACGATTACATGGAACAATCTGGGACAAGGATCTGGGACCGGGTGATGGGATATGACTCTGCGACGAAGGTGTAACTGTGTAAATACTAATCAAATGATGGGACGTGGATCGGTGTCCACCCAGTTAAGATGTCACCCACTGGCGGAAGAGGTACGCCTAGGACCAGGCGATGCAACGTGATTTGAGACGGGGCGTAGAAAGGGGTGATTCCAACGGTGCGATCTGGGACGAGGGACTGGATTGAACCGAACGACCACTCTAAAGGCTGATCAAAGGAAAGGATGTGGATGTTGAAGCAGAATCATTTGAGAAAAGTACGCCTGGGACCAGGCGATGCGACGTGGTTTGAGACGGGGCGTAGCAAGGGGTGATTTCCACGGTGCGATCTGGGATGAGGGACTGGATTGAACCGAACGACCACTCTGAAGGCTGATCAGAGGCAAGGATGTGGATGTTGAAGCAGAATCATTTTGATAAAGCATCGGAGTGCACACAATGAACGGAAGAACATATATGGCCGGATTGTACTGTGTCGATCCTCAACAATCTCGAATTGGGCATCAGATCGGTCATGATCCCCACTGATTATGGATGTATCGTTGATGAGAATTTTGGATCATGACAAACATGCTTGTTGAAGGTCCATGAGTGATGTCTCAAAAGTTCAGATCGAAAGAGCCAGTGGAAGCCGGTTAAATTGACGTCGCAAAATGGATTTAGACGCCTTCGGCATTTGGGCACTATTTTGGGCTTTTGGGTACCAAAAATGGGTATTTGGTACCCCATTTGGGATTTGGTCCTCTTTTGGCGTTCAGGTACGGTATCGGGAATATTGGCGCTATCATTGGAGTACAGGGCACGAAATTTCGACACGTGGCAAGGGGGCGATCCAGATTCAAGGCGATATCGGTTTGAAGAGTGACCTATAGTTAAGAATAGGCTTAAGGGTAGGTTGGATAGTAATTTGGTTGGTTAATAAACAGACTTGAACTCTACTTCTTCTGCTCACGACGCACGTTATCCTCCCCTCTTCTCCAGGCAAGATTGATTTGGCTTCCCCGGCGGGTTAAGGCACGCGTGTTACAGGGACACAGAAGACCGATCTTGGATTGTTGGCCAAGATCGAGAAGAGCGATCCCGGGATATCTGGCCCGGATCGATCAAGTACTCACACTCAACTCAACTGCTAGGGTAGCAGCACACAACGGAAAAGGAAAAGGATTTTGGACACAGGATCGCGAGACGGCTCAAGTGGTCAGAAGATCTGGACAAGGCGTTCAAGACAAGACCGAGCAGGATCGAAGCGATCCCCTGGACAGATCGGCACGTTTCATTTTGGCGAAACAAGACACCGATCTACCCAAATTGCGCACTTCCGGCAAGATTGGCCGATCCCAAGACCAGATCGGACCGATCCCAAGGCAAGATCGACGCAGGACTTTTATTTGCTGAGTGAAGATTTCCGCACAGCAAAGACCCCGATCTCGAAGACAAATCAAGATCGGTGCGATCCAAGATCGGGATCGCAGAACCCCCGTTCGTGGTGTGAAGATTTCCGCACCAGAAGCGAACCCTCAACCCAACCTCTCAGCGAGATCGACATCTCCCAAGGCCGTTACGAAGAGCTCAAGCCAGCCCAACCGACGGGTACACAAGGTGAGCACAAGGTCATACAACAAGGCACGGATCGGACTACCCCCTCCGTGAGTCGGCAAGTCTGGGCAAGTGGAAGATCGACACTCATACAAGCAATTTTGTGAGATCGACTTCACCACAGTAGCACATGCTGGTGGATGAGGTTTTGTATGTGAGTATGGAGATAGTCAAGTGAATTACCTTCCTGAATGATGTGGAGCGATGAGGATCGAGATCGTGGAAGCTGCAAAGAGTTGAAGTACCAAAAAGAAGATGATTGAATGACTTACACGATTATGAAAGACGATCGGGCTTGGATATTGACCTTGGACTAAGACGATGGAGAGAGTTTGAACTTGTCCTGCAGACGAGGGATCTGCGATCCGGGATGATCAAGATGGCGCGGAGACCCAGGCCGATCGGGGACCGCTGGGGTGTGTCCTCCGAGATCGGGCGATCCGGGCGACAGGTCGCGATCCGGAGACAGAAACATGGTGGGTCCTTCTGATGAGATCAGCGAGGTGGGTTGGAAGCGTCGGAGAGGCCATGAGACGGACTTGAGTGCTTGGAACGAAGTTGATGAGTGACTGTACTGATGTCAATTGCTGTACAAAAGACTTCAGTACAGGGGGCGGTTGTGGCAAAGTCACTACTCAAATTTTGTACGAGGATCGGTGGCCACACCTTTAAAGCGCCGCTTACTGGTGGAAAAGGAGGCCATGAGACTCGGAGATCCAATACGGAGGTGGAAGATGATCTTAACGGGATCGGCGAACCGATCCAACTGTCGTTAGACTAATGGGTATGGATCGACCTGGGACGGAGCGATCTGGAACGATTTACATGGAACAATCTGGGACAAGGATCTGGGACCGGGTGATGGGATATGACTCTGCGACGAAGGTGTAACTGTGGTAAAGTCACTAATCAAATGATGGGACGTGGATCGGTGTCCACCCAGTTAAGATGTCACCCACTGGCGGAAGAAGTACGCCTAGGACCAGGCGATGCAACGTGATTTGAGACGGGGCGTAGAAAGGGGTGATTCCAACGGTGCGATCTGGGACGAGGGACTGGATTGAACCGAACGACCACTCTAAAGGCTGATCAAAGGAAAGGATGTGGATGTTGAAGCAGAATCATTTGAGAAAAGTACGCCTGGGACCAGGCGATGCGACGTGGTTTGAGACGGGGCGTAGCAAGGGGTGATTTCCACGGTGCGATCTGGGACGAGGGACTGGATTGAACCGAACGACCACTCTGAAGGCTGATCAGAGGCAAGGATGTGGATGTTGAAGCAGAATCATTTTGATAAAGCATCGGAGTGCACACAATGAACGGAAGAACATATATGGCCGGATTGTACTGTGTCGATCCTCAACGATCTCGAATTGGGCATCAGATCGGTCATGATCCCCACTGATTATGGATGTATCGTTGATGAGAATTTTGGATCATGACAAACATGCTTGTTGAAGGTCCATGAGTGATGTCTCAAAAGTTCAGATCGAAAGAGCCAGTGGAAGCCGGTTAAATTGACGTCGCAAAATGGATTTAGACGCCTTCGGCATTTGGGCACTATTTTGGGCTTTTGGGTACCAAAAATGGGTATTTGGTACCCCATTTGGGATTTGGTCCACTTTTGGCGTTCAGGTACGGTATCGGGAATATTGGCGCTATCATTGGAGTACAGGGCACGAAATTTTGACACGTGGCAAGGGGGCGATCCAGATTCAAGGCGATATCGGTTTGAAGAGTGACCTATAGTTAAGGATAGGCTTAAGGGTAGGTTGGATAGTAATTTGGTTGGTTAATAAACAGACTTGAACTCTACTTCTTCTGCTCACGACGCACGTTATCCTCCCCTCTTCTCCAGGCAAGATTGATTTGGCTTCCCCGGCGGGTTAAGGCACGCGTGTTACAGGGACACAGAAGACCGATCTTGGATTGTTGGCCAAGATCGAGAAGAGCGATCCCGGGATATCTGGCCCGGATCGATCAAGTACTCACACTCAACTCAACTGCTAGGGTAGCAGCACACAACGGAAAAGGAAAAGGATTTTGGACACAGGATCGCGAGACGGCTCAAGTGGTCAGAAGATCTGGACAAGGCGTTCAAGACAAGACCGAGCAGGATCGAAGCGATCTCCTGGACAGATCGGCACGTTTCATTTTGGCGAAACAAGACACCGATCTACCCAAATTGCGCACTTCCGGCAAGATTGGCCGATCCCAAGACCAGATCGGACCGATCCCAAGGCAAGATCGACGCAGGACTTTTATTTGCTGAGTGAAGATTTCCGCACAGCAAAGACCCCGATCTCGAAGACAAATCAAGATCGGTGCGATCCAAGATCGGGATCGCAGAACCCCCGTTCGTGGTGTGAAGATTTCCGCACCAGAAGCGAACCCTCAACCCAACCTCTCAGCGAGATCGACATCTCCCAAGGCCGTTACGAAGAGCTCAAGCCAGCCCAACCGACGGGTACACAAGGTGAGCACAAGGTCATACAACAAGGCACGGATCGGACTACCCCCTCCGTGAGTCGGCAAGTCTGGGCAAGTGGAAGATCGACACTCATACAAGCAATTTTGTGAGATCGACTTCACCACAGTAGCACATGCTGGTGGATG